CGGCACCAACACCGACTGCGACGGCATCCGCGAAGCGCTCGTCAAGAACGCTCCCGACGCCTCTCGCTTCCGCGGCCGGCCCGCGTTGATCATTGGTGGTGGTGGTACTGCCCGTACAGCCGTCTACGTGATGCGCCGCTGGTTGGGCTCCAGCAAGATCTACATCGTGAACCGTGACGCGGCCGAGATCGAGTCCATTCTCGCCGAGGACCGCGCGCGCAACCCAGACGTTACCGCCCAAGCCCCTCTTATCCCAGTCAGTGATCCCGAGGAGGCTGCGCGTCTCGAGGCGCCGGCCGCCATCGTCTCCGGTATCCCGAACTACCCGCCCAAGACGGCCGAGGAACTGAACGCCCGTGCCGTGATCCAGGCTTTCCTGGGTACTGCTGCTAATGCAGAGAAGCAGCAGGGTGTCATCCTGGAGATGTGCTACCACCCTGTTCCCTGGACGGACATTGCGAACCTTGCTTCTGCGGGTGGCTGGAAGGTGATTCTTGGCTCGGAGGCGTTGATCTGGCAGGGTTTGGAGCAGGCACGTCTCTGGACCGGTCAGGATATTGTTGGAACTCCGGGTCTGGTGCAGCAGGTTAAGGATCTGGTTGATAAGACTGTTGCCGAGCGTGCAGCTAACAAGTCCAGTCTGTAAGAGGCAGCTTGGCTAGCGTCGCATTTTCTTTTCCATTCTAATGTCCCTTTTTTCTAAAACTTTGTCACGATTGTATAAAGATCAAGATTCTTGCATTATAGATGGCTGGCGTCTGTTGTGAATACATAACTATACTTAAAATCTCCCCCGGCATGACACTCTAAACACGTAGATGAGATGGGAAGTACTTTCCAGGTTCTATAAACTATCGGTCTAAGCACCAGGCCGAGTATATTCCAAGTTGCGAACGCGTCGCCAGACTTCTCGCACGGTACGCTCTTGAGACTCTCGGCCTGTCTCGGTAGCCGAAGGGCCAGCAGGTCTGCAATGAATTCATTAGTATGTGTCTGTGTCGACATCCCCATGTTCGGGGAGAGTTGGTAGTTAGTACTCACCTAATGGCCAAATACAACCGGCTTCCCAGCCGCACATCTTGAATTGGGTCTGTATCTGGGTTCTCTGGGGGATTGGCAGTAGTCACCAATCCACCCGCTTCAAGAAGTATCGCAATACCAGCGGCGACGTCCCTAATCCGAGCAAGCAATCAAGTCAGTAAACCAAGCCAAACAAAAAACAACCCACAAAGGCTTGAGCGAGCGTATTACAGCATATCTCAAATCAGGCAGGTTTATCCAAAGGCAATTTTTTGGTTGTAACATACCATTCCCAACAACCCCCTTCCCACCAAATATCAAAAGATCCCATCGCAACATACGCAAGATCAAGCGTGGCACTGCCCAAACTCCTCATGCCATGCACCATACCGCCCTTACCACCACGCCCTGTGCGCTCTGCAGCCATATTCACAAAACTCTCGATCTTGCGATGCATGTTGCCGTCCGGGATATCACGGCGGTCTTTGCCCCATTCACAGGAGAAGACGCATTGGGACGGGGCATTTGGTGGCATGGGCGGGATGGAGGGTTTCTGGATAAGTGGGAGGCGGCGCTTCTCATTTAGCCAGGCGCCACGGTTGATGCAGGAAGAGAATAGTTGGTCTGTGAAGGGGGCGTAGATTACTCCGATGACGGGCTTGTGTTGGACTATGAATCCGATTGAGACACAGAACATTGGGAAGATGTGTGTGTAGTTGACCGTTCCTGGTAAGTGTTAGCGCCATAGGAGAAAGAGGAAGAAATTATTGCAATGTAAAGCATCAAATAGCTAACAGAACATACCGTCTAATGGGTCGATACACCATGTTGGCTGCTCATCAATCAAATAGTCGCGCGAATCACCCTTGGCGTATGTTTCTTCGCCGAGGAATCTGGGGTCTTGTTAGCGAAGTTGATGCGGAGCTGAGCTTTATGGAGGGCCGATCTCACTTGTGCGATGGGTATCTTTCCTGCAAAGCACTGTGAATGAATACCTCCACATCTAGGGCAGTTGTATCAGCATGAATATGTCTGTGCAGCTACCTCGGCCTTAACTCCGATTAACCAACCTTCATCAGTCTGGGTAACAATATCCACGGCATTATCCTTCTCCTCGAAGTTCTGCGAGTTGCCCTCGCCACCATCCATGCGCTGTTCTACACGCGACATGAGAAGATCGCCAGCCTTGCGGCTAAGGTCTATGGCAAAGGCATATATCTCGTCGAGCTCATCCTGAGAGAAGGGTCCCACGGTCATGGCGGGGATGTGGAATGTGGTGAAGGGGTGCTTCGGGGAGTGGTGGTGTAGGGATGTAATCGGAAATGAATAGGAGGACAACTTGAGAAGACTTAATTGAAGGTGAGATGCGGAGGCATTGAGTCACTCTCGGTGAAAAATGGTCGAGGTCACCGCCGCTAGCCGATTTGCCTTATCGGTCTACCCCACTGTGGGGCGGTGATGGGATGAGGGGAGAGGAGAGGAGAGGACCTTAGGTCTGGAGAGGCCTAGATAGTAGATAGTATTAAATAGTATAGTATGATCATTCTAGTTGATGGGTTGGCAGTGGACTTGAATCTGGCCTGGTAGTTGCGAGTATAAAAGAATACTAAAGTGAAGTGTTGTAGTATGTCAAATAATGAAGAGTACTAAAGTACTACCAGATACCACTTTACCAGCAAAACGGATTTTTCCAACAATATAGAACATACAACACGACTCTCATTCAATACTCCCCCACATATCCCAGGTATATAGCCTGTAAAAAATATCCTGGACGGGTATAGAGTAGAGTGCACTTGCTACGTAGACTTCGGCACAACCGCGGTCCAGTGAGATTAACTCATGAACTTCATATTTTTTCCACCTTCAACAACTCAAATGGTCAGAATAAAATTTGGCGAAGTCTACGAAAGGCTTTAGCTTTCAGGCCCTACAGTTACATTGTTACTCATTCCTAGTCACAATGAGATGACAGCAACCAGTAAAGTCAAGGAATATTGTGATTGAAATGGGATGCGACGTTAGTTGAGTTGACATTGAACATGAAACTTCCCATTTATCACAAATTATTTCGTAAACCAGCGTCAATAGAAAAGGAAGCAGCATTTTCGCACGTCCAGGCAGTTGTCAGAATCGCGCGACGGCCCAAAGTCCATAGGCTTACGCTATCGGGTTCCCAGTTTCGAGTGAGGCCACGCCCTTGGGACCAAGAACTTCCTCGAAAATGTCGTCAAGATTGAGCCAAGAATCTCGCAGTTTATCTGATTCGTTTTTTCTTATGGACAGAATCATGGTGAATGGGCTTTTTATTCTTGCAGAACACTCGCAGCTCCTTGCATGCCACATCTCCAATTTTCCTCAGGTATTCCCGCATCACGTCGCCAGCGCTCGTGGCTATTCGACTTCCTGACTCAAATGAGCCTGATGCATGTCCCATTACACATGAATCTTGGGCCGAGCCTTGTGCGATGTACTGAATGAAGAGGCCGATGTTGGATATGAAGGACTCATCGGGCATGTATGCCGGGGTACGATATTCAACAAATTTCTCGTGCTCTTTGAATTAGCAACCCCCCTCAAAACCATCTTCAATGCAATATTTATGACTAAGAAGAATCAGCCCCAGCCCATTGGGACACCGAACAGAAAGAAAAAAATACCAAAACGACGACAGAACAGCTCAAGCCAACTAGCCGACGCGGGCAAGTAACCCCATGCACCCCACCCGGCAAAGCGCTCAACCGCGGCAAACCAGGAAATTGCGGAGAGAAGAGCGAATCCCCGCAGCGCATTTCCAATACCATCACTCTCCACCACATCACATTTACTCAACTTCTACTCTACTCTACTTTACTATAGCACATCCTCAACGAAATCCCACCTCAATACACAACCACCACCACCACCACCAAAATGCCGAAATCAATCCTCCTGATCAATGGTCCCAACCTAAACCTCCTCGGCACCCGCGAGCCCCAAATCTACGGTAGCACCACACTCGCCGATGTCGAGCGCAACGCACTGGCAACCGCGACCAAGAACGGCGCCAGCCTAGAGTCCTTCCAAAGCAACCATGAGGGCGCAATCGTGGACCGCATCCAAGCAGCCCGCGGCAAAGTCGATGGCATCGTGATTAACCCGGGCGCGTACACGCACACATCCGTGGCGATCCGGGACGCATTGCTGGGCGTGGGCATTCCCTTTATCGAATTGCATGTTAGCAATGTTCATGCGCGCGAGCCTTGGAGACATCACTCTTATTTCAGTGATAAGGCTGCGGGTATTATTGTTGGACTAGGGGTTTATGGGTACCAGGTTGCTGTTGAGCATGTTGCGGTTAATTTTAAGGAATTGGAGAAGGAGACTAAGGCTGCTCTCTAAAAAATTCAAAGGAAAGGAACTCGAAATGAATAGGGGTTGGGCGAGAATTATATAGTACCAGTCTTGGAAAAATTGATGGTGGGACTTAGATGGATGCCCACTGGCACTGACAGTGTTGTGCTGCCATGCTGGTGATTGATGGAATTATATGAAAAGTTATGAGTTTTGCATGTATGAGATGTTGAATTATACGAGAACACATTGCATTTAGTATCAACGTACGAAGATCTTTGCATTAATATGACTAGTACCTTGTCGCCATCTACAGTCGTACTGTACTTCACGTTACCCCTGCCCAGGTGATAATTAACTACTAGTAATTTCCAAGTTATCCCTCTAGCTCTCTAATCGCTATACTGCTGAATACTTTTATTGATATCATCACTCTTCGAGGATTATTATACTAATAGCACAAACACCCCTCATAACCCATATCTAAGCCCATAGTACCATAACAAAATGTGATATCGTACGCCGACTCCAGATCTACCCAAAACATAATGCCGACCAGCGGCTGCGCACGCGAGACAAAGCCCAACCCGAGGCTCCCTTATCGTTTCGGTGTACCTGACATACTAAGTGACTGCGACTCTCTGCGATCAATAGGCGGGGGTCCATTTCCCGGCATTTGCTGCGTCTGCGCCAGCAAGAAAGGCTCGATCTGGTTTGAGAAGGAGATAGATCTCCGGGACATTGGAGTCGGCGACGAAGCCAAGGTTCTGCATGAATTCGGGTTGATTGTCGGCTCTGGGTTTTCTCGTTAGCATATCATCACAAAATGGGATGCAAGATCACCAAGTTGGTAGGAATGACTCGACTCACTTCTCAGCACCATCCAAGGACGCCAGTTCGTCGAATAGTGCATCAAGGTCTGGGGCAATGCGTTGCTGACGTCGTGGTGCCCCATAATTATCCATGCCGACAAATGGGCTGAGTCCGAGGGAGTGATCTGGGTATGGTGTCGGGTATTGGCCACCCGGGGGAAAGGGAGGGTGAGATCAGGTATCATAGGAGGGCCGGTTTGAGATTTGGAAGGGGCGGATGTGGATTGACGCATTGCATTGTTCAGCGAAGCGTCGAGTTGGCCGTGCTGGCCAGAGACTTCAGAGCCACCGATTGTGGTCATTGACGGAGTAGGGGTTGGTATAAGGCCGCCCCCTTCGTCGATATTTTGCGTCGTTCGAAGCCAGGGGAGAGGGGGGAAAGGGTCTGATGTGGGTTGATGGGAAGTGCTTGGCGGAGGATGCGTGTCTGCCGACGCAAGGTGGTGAGGAGTACTGGCTGGCATGATGTGCACGGTAGGGTCGTCGCTGATGGCAAGGTCAGGCTGATGGGGAGTGGCCGGAGAGACACTGATTGCCTGGTTTCTGTTGATTGCATGGCCGGTATTAGGTCGATCCGGCATCAGCCAAAGTTGTCCCAGGTGGGATGAAAATGAGTGGATTTTGTTGCGTATCCCCAGCTCGACATCAGAAATGAGATCCCGTGTGAAGGATCGCGGGACGCAGTATTTGAGGATCATCCCGAATGTTGGAACAGTAGCCGAAAAGCTATAAGTCTCCATGTATACTTGCAGCAGTTGCAACAGACGCTTTGAGCTCTCCATTGCACGGCCTTTGTGGGGTGCTTCAGGGATATTTTGGTCGCTTTCTCTCAGGGCAATTTGCAGACTCAGAGTTGTCGCGATACTTTGGTATGCCATCTCCAAAGCAAAAATATGTGGCGATGCCAGCTTCAAAGGTTGGCTGTGGAGGTCGATACGATAACTTTTGGGCAGAGCATTTGACCACCGCTGTAGCTGAAGCTCCAGCGATTCGAGTTGAGATCGCGAGACGGTTGGATCTTGTTTGTAAAAGCAGAGGTCATTCAGGATGGAGGCCAGAGAAACAAGTCGATTGAACGTGCTCAACGCATGGAGCGGCCCACGCTGCATCGAGGCTCGTGCAGATTGCATCGGTCGGAGACCAGTCTGATCCTCCCAGGGATGCCACTCTTCCAACCCATCTTCATCGAGGGATCCAACACGAGCCAGATCGCCCTTTCGAAGAGACGGGCATTGTGATGTTTGCTCTGCAATGAGCGTCTCCAAGACAAAACATCCTAAAAACACATGTTTTGCTCGTCCCAGTTGCTTGCCCTGTTCTGTGGCTTTTGATGGTGCATGAAATGAGGGTTGGTCGAGGCCCACGGTCTGTGCGGTTCGGACAGCGTGGCCGACGAGCATCCATGCCGATGTCCATTCTTGTTGACCAAACTTGATAAGGGACAGGATGAGCAGCGCTTGCACATGCCCAACCTCGAATGGCCCAGTTTCAGAGGGGATCAGGTCTCTAGCGGTGTTGTATAATTGGAGTGAGTTTAATTGGTTGGGATGGCCCTCGGAATGGGCCCCGGCGGTGATCGATGCATCTTGGAGGGAGGCCAGGGTGAGGACCGCCCAGAGAGCGGCGTGATCTCCAGACCCCGACGCTGTACGGGACATGTACACATCGCCTTCGGTATATTGGAAGGCCGTCCGGAGAATGTCGTGTTTTTCCAGGATGGGGAACCAGCATTGTGTGTATGAGAAGTAGATGTCAAGAAGGGGCCATGCGTTAAAGGGGAGCTGGAGAGAAGTGCTGGTGGAGATTGATCGGGGTTCGTCAGGATGTAAAGAGATAGCGAGTGAATGTGGCGGAAAGTCATCAGGGGAGGTCGTCTGGACAGCGGAGTCTTTAGTTCGGTAGGGTAGATTTCTTGGGGCGGAGCTGATCATGGAAGTGCGTGATGGTGATATCCCCGGGAATGGCGTTTCCCGTTGCTCCATTCCCTCGGGGAGATGCCACTCTTGGGCCTCGGAGGAGGCAAGGATTCCATCAACATCCAGAGGTGTATCTCCATCACCGTAGGCCTGCATACTGCGCTCCCGTTCCTCTTCCGGTTGTTCCAGAACCAGCAGCATCCGCTCAATGTCGCGTAAGACAGTACTGTTCTTGAACGACGACAGCAAAGTATCCGACCCTTCGGCTTCCTTCCCCATTGTCGCCAGATGGCTGGGCAGGTTTATGGACCGCATCATAGCTCGCATTACATCTTCGCTTCCTTGGATTCTCTGAAACACCAACCCCCATAACAACTCGAGCGATCGAATGTAGCCGGTTGGGAGGCCTCGTTTCTTTGGGTTTGCCTTGTAGGTACAGGGACGACATAGTGATGCGCAGGTTGAACAGACCGGTTGCACTCCGTCGCATTTGTCCTTCTTCGATCGACAGCTATCGCAGGCTCTGGACACACGCTGTCGCTTCGGTTGGGCCAGATCCTCCGGCACATTCGACCTGGTATCCTCATCGGCATCGGTCCATCGACGCTTTGATTTCCCAGGTACCCCGGTGGCGGCTTGGCGTGACTCGGAGCTCATGGTTGAATTCTTAAAAATCGATTATCCACTCGGCGGTTCGGAGCGCATATTCATGCAACGTCGAGTGTAGTGTGGGGAGTTGAATCTTTTGCCGACGGCGGCGTGCGCAGACCAGGTCGCGCCTTACGCCATGAACTTCGGGCCCCCACAAAAGGAATGGGGCCGTGCGAATTGGGAGAATAGGATAGCAGGGAAGTATAGGATAAATGATAGAAATCGAAAGGTATTGGGGAAGAAAGAAAAAAGTGTGGAGGAGAATCGCAAAAGACCGAGGTGTAAGAATGGCGCTCGTTCCGGGGAAAGGAAAGTCAAAGTCACTGGATACCATACGGGTCCGCCCAGCGGTGAGCCAGTCCCCGATGGGCAAAATGTCATACACCCCTACGTTGAGATGAGTATATCAATCCAAGTAGATCTCTATATATGTATATATGAGTATATGAATATAGATAGATAGATGTCAATGTCTATAGAAATCTCCCTCTTTTCAATTCTTTTATTCCCATTCCTCCCCTGCCGAGAAAGAGATTTCTCCTTGCCTGCATACCCGCGGGGAAATGCGAATTGCCGGCAGAGGGCTGTTCCGGAGCGGCCCAGCGTCACAATACCAGGCCATACGCCGTAATTACCAAGTCACTCAGCGAAGCGCAGGAGCCGCTCTCTCCCCCGCAAAACCGCGAAACCCACCCTTTACCTAATTCTAAATTCCCTGGGCTTTCTTCTTTCCCCAAACCCACCAGCTTGGCTTACCCTCTCTTACTCTGCCCTGTTTTATCCTCCTTGATCACCACACACTCTCCACTTTCACTATGGGCATCTGATATTTCCTCCTTCAACCACTTGTCTCTCCCCCTCCTCCTCCTCCTCCTCCCTCCTCCTCCCTCCCCCCTCCCAAATCCACGACATGTCTATCCTGGTGCGTCCGCCAAAGCGCAAACTGTACGAGACCGACCACGACGATGGCCCGAGGAAGCACGCCGCCGGACTAGCTTCATGGCAGATTATTCGATCACAGTCTAGTTCACGAAGGTCGAGTGAACAGCCCGATCCTCACAGCGACTCCTTCACCCGCCACACCACCCCGCGCGAACTGCACTCCAACCGCGGCTCTCCGGTTCTCTTCGACAATGGCCCCCTCCAGACTCCCCGCAAATTCACCCCCAAGGCATCCGTCGTGCTCATCGGCATTCGCGGAACTGGAAAGTCCAGCTTAGCCGTCATACTGGCTGCTGCGTCCGGCCGCCGCTTGATCGATGCCGACCGATATTTTCAACAGATGGTTGGCTGCTCCCGTGCCATGTTCAAGAAGGATAATGATCACGCCGTCTATCGCCAGCAAGAGGCTCGAGTCTTTGAGTCAATGCTGGCCGACAATCAAGAGGGCTGCGTGATTGCGTGTGGTGCGGGATCAATGGAGCGCAGTGGGCAGCGACTGCTACGAGAATATGCGCAAACACACCCGGTCGTCCACATCACCCGAGATCCGGAAAGCGTCCAGTCATATCTGAAAGCGTGGGATACACAAAAGGTTCGCCATTTCCTAGAGCTCTCCGGGCCAATTTACCGAGGCTGTTCGAATCTGGAATTCTTCAATCTTTCGGAGGCCCCCGCCGCCACCTCTACCTCCAGCAGCGAGCAGGAGGCCAAGGACGGCCACGACCCATCTCCCGGGCCGAAATGGGATCAGCGACCACAAACTGCCACTCCGTTCCTAACATTAAAACGAGTTCAACGTGACTTCCTCAGCTTCATCGCCTTTGTGACCGGCGATACCACCGAAATGAGACGCCAACATGCTTCCTTCCCGCTCTCATTAATCCCCGTCGAAACGAGGCGTTACACTTCCGCAATTTCGGTTCCATTCTCTGCCCTCTGCGAACGAGATTTAGACATAGAGGACTTGGAGTTCACCGTCGATGCCTTTGAGTTGGTCATCGACGTCACTAGCCCCCCGGACCAAATGGGTGCCGACTCCAACCTCGCAGATAGCATCAGTCAGATGGCGGCCACGATTCGAAGGAATATCATTGTGCCTCTAGTCTACCACGTGGAAAGCTATATCATACCTCGGGGGTCTTCCTCGCCCATACCCAACTCTCGAATCACCGATGAAACCTATCTCAACCTTGTCCGCCATGGACTGCGACTTGGCCCTAGCTTTCTGACCGTCGACTTGTCCCGGGATGATCATATTCTCTCTCAAATCATCAGCTCAAGAGGAACCACAAAGATCATCGGCCATTTCGAGGCATACCAGCCTTTACCCGGAGGCTGGGACGGAGATGAATACATGAAGGTCTACGAGCGTGCGAAGCGACTTGGGTGCAATGTGGTGCGATTATGTCAACCGGCTGAGAGTATCCAGGATGGCGCTGCTTTGCAGCGATTCCGACACCGGATCGAAAGCTTTCCCGTATCTTCCCTTCCTCTCATCGCTTATAACACAGGACCCTTGGGTCGCAGATCCCGCTGCTTCAACCCTACTCTCACTCCTGTTACACACCCCTCCCTCATTCACGAAAGCCCAACCCTTCTACGGCCGAGTATCACCGCTCGCGAGGCCCAGCAAGCACTCTTCAGCTCCTTCACCCTAGATCCGATGCAATTCTTTGTCTTCGGAGCCAATGTCGAATATAGTATGTCGCCTGCCATGCACAACACAGCATTCAAGAAATGCGGCATGCCTCACCAGTATACCATTTTCCAATCATCCACACTTCGCGGCTTGAACAACCTCGTCGAGAACCAATTCTTTGGCGGGTCAAGTGTCAGTCTGCCTTATAAAACCGAAGTCATCCCTCTTCTCCACTCCATGTCCCCACACGCACGGGCAATTGGAGCCGTCAATACTCTCATCCCAATCCGCAATAATGATGACGCGGACCCTCATCTCTCCCACGAATCCTCTATCTACATCGAGAAGTGTCGGGCCGGTCCTATCAAGGGGATCCACGGCGATAACACCGATTGGATCGGAATCTGCAACTGCATTCGCAGGGGTCTTTCACCGGCCAATGCGGTGCGCCCTACGACGACTGGACTTGTCATCGGATCCGGCGGTATGGCGCGTGCCGCAGTATACTCGTTGATTCATCTTGGCGTGGAGAACATCTTTGTCTATAACCGCACCCTTGCCAACGCAGAGAAGCTTGCCCACCACTATAACAGGCAAGAGCTGTTCTCCAGCGATGAGAGTCGTGCAGGGGGGCGTCCCCGAGTAAGCACACTCAGCTCAGCAAGTGACCCATGGCCTGCGGCCTACAAACAACCGACAATCATTGTGTCGGGCATCCCAGCGCATAGCATTGGTGGACAGCCCGCGCCAAATTTCAACGTCCCTACTCAATGGCTCGAAAGCCCAACGGGCGGTGTTGTAGTCGACGTAAGTTGATCACCCAGCCATTTAACATCCTCGGACCACGAACTAACTTCATTCTCCAGCTGGCCTACAAACCTCTGAACACCCCCTTGATGAAACAAATCCGAGCCTTGTCTCATCGGGGCTGGGTCGCACTAGACGGTCTGGACGTCCTACCCGAGCAGGGATTCGCTCAGTTTGAGCTTTTTACGGGCCGCCGAGCACCACGCCGACTCATGCGGACAATCGTTCTGCAAGAATACAAGAACGAAGAAGGACACGATGATCCGAGCGCAATCCAAGACCGCCTACAACACCTCGACGGCCAACCGACCTGATCTGCTCCCCGAATTGAATGAGTACATGTTTTTACGAAAGAAAGAAAGAGATATGAAAAAACCATCTCCGCACCCGGTGCAAGTTGGGTGGAGCCCAGAAAGAGATTTGCGCAGCGAAGTTGCTCTTTGGGAGATGGCTCCAGATACCCATATCCATACCCCGCTTATTCACTCCGCCCCGGAAATGGAGTGAAGTGAGAATCGTTGAATTCTCGCGATGTGGTCTTGTGTTCAATTATATCATATTTGATCCCTGATGGAAGACCTACCTGCAGCTGCAGCTGCTCCTCCTGGTCAGCATGTTACATCCCATGAGATAGACAGAGTACAGCAGTGTGGAGAGCCCATGGTCATTAGGTATCAACATCAGACATCAAGTGTCGTGCAGATTTTCAGCTTAGGCATCGAAAAGTAGAAATCTCAACCTCACAATACTACTCATACTTAAGCCAACCAATTCATCCATGATGTGTCTGTGCATTTAACCTCCGTACTAGGCGGTGTCTAGACCACACCAACTCTCGACCTCCCTCTTTGAAGATAATTATAGAAAAGATCACCCTTGCCCCGAGCTTTCCACCGACCATTTACTCCGTAGCAGCCATCCATCCCTAGACCCAGACCTCGACCTTGACTCGACCTAGACCCACTGGTAGGCCGATGGGACGGGAGGGAAGGGAGGGAAGGAAAGAAATCCCCGACTCATCATTCAACTCGCACACGAGTAGGTACTAACTACTAAAAGTAAACGCAGACCCAAAACCCAGAGCAACTTGCAAACAGTCCGAGTCTCAGAAACACCCGGTCTGTTCTCAGTTCGTCTCATCATGATTTCATCTCCACCGCGGGACGATGAAACGGGGAGGGAGGAGGGAGCTGCAAATAAATCCCAGTATAGTACGGAGTAACAGAGAAAAAAGGCCGTGGCGTGGGCTATGATTATTAGGATTTCTATTCTGTTTTGGTTGGTTCTCCGTTTGTCTATATCCCCTTTTACGGAGTACACTCCAGTGGCAGGTGATGGGGGTGATGGGGCTGTGGCTAGGCTCCCTATTCACAGCCTCGCCGAATAATGTAAGGGCCAGGGCCAAGGCCACGTTGAGTACAGCCCTGTCGGATCGGATGAGGTGAAACAAGGCCTGAGTCGTCTTCTCGTCCATGGGTCGAAACATGGTCAGAGCGGGGCAGGGAGGCGGGCTGGATATATTCATGTACTATGGAGTACTACTACTATCCATGTCGCAGTTAACAGCTGATGATCACAAGCCACTTGGATGATGCTGATGCCAAGTGAGATTTATCACTCATTGCTACTCTTTAACGATTAATTAATACAATAAAGAGGAATACCCATGTCTAATTGCATCTCATTTCTCTCCACCGCCACAATGATCGACACGTGACCCCGTGCGTTTCAGGGCCATTCTGAAACAAGACGGCCTGAGCGAATTAAGTTGGTTGGTTGATTAAAATGAGCTTGGACTGGACCAGGTGGACTGGTCTTCAGGGCTGACCAGACTAGACTGGGAAGGTCAATGTCCCCTGGTGTGGGAGATATCTGCCCAGCTGGCTCCAGGCTCTATTTATACTTGGACTAGTATGGAGTACTAGTAGTACTAGTAGTAGTTATCGAAGTGAGGCCTCCTGGCTGTGGAATTAGAATACAAGTAGTATAATAATAGGATAGATGCTCAGATAAATAATAATACTCTGTAATGTACCTAAGAATATAATATAATAATTATAATAATTGTAATAACACTGCTGCGTTGTAATGAAGGATGGAGTGGGGAGTTCTGCCACTTCATCTCTCCCTCCAGTCCAGTCCAGTCCATCTCCATCTCCATCTCTCCTTTCCCCCTCCTGGTGCCCGACTTCCTCTTTCTTTGGTGCGGTGTTGGCTTTGCTTCCAGTTTCCTATTCTTATTCTTATTTCCATTCTTATTTTTATGACCATTGTTATCCATCCCTATTCCCCATACCACCACCGCACTACACATCTCCACTGAAAGTGTGTGAACCGCCGCGAGGGGCAGCCCCATCTCGCCTGCGCTTGTCACAACACCCGCGCCTCTTTACTTGAAACAACCAGTACCACTCTACTGCGTTGCTCTTCTCGACTCGCCTCAGCTCTTTCGTCTATGTGAGATCCTCCCCGATCGGTCTAAACCTATCCAATTCCCCCCTCCCCCCTCCTCCCCGTCCACTCCCAAATCGCCCTCATTTCAGTCGGAACCGCCCCCCCCCTTCTCAGCAACACTGGAACCATCCAGGGGCCATGTCTCACGCTTAAACGGATGATGGAGCCGGGTTTGTGTGTGTGCTGCCCTGCTCAACTTTGGCTAATCCATTAGCAGCTCTGAGCTTTAGTGCCCGTCTTTTTCTTTCTTTCGGATTACCCGATCAACCCCCCCTGTCCTTGTCGCATTCCCCCTCCGCCTCCGATCCCGCGCATCCTTCTCCATTGTGTCTCCACCTTACAACAATCGTCAAGTCCAAGTCCCAGCGCCTAGTGCCAGTGCTCTCCCCCAGAGCGCGAACGCATGTCCGCACACGCGCACGCGTGTCTCGTCTCTTTCCCTTCTGCCACCTCTCTTCGCCGAGCTTCTTCGCTTTGAGACTCGTCTGCGCCAGACTGCCATAACCGTCGACAAAGCAGCGGGAGCTGGATTTGACCTCGAACACACCTCGATCGTTTCAAGATGGAGTCACCGGTGATACATCCGGAGTCTCCTATGGAGCAGGAGGACATCCCCTTCCCTTGCATGGGCTGTGGAGAGGTATGGTTCTTGTCTTGGGAGGTGCTGTTGGGAGAACAACTCACTCTGACCGCACTCTACTCTAGATCTTGGAAGAAGGCAAAGCTTTTGAGCTGTGTAAGTAGCACTCCAGCCCACTTGTCTCCTCGTCTCAGACCCTTCTCTAATATACATCCACCTTCAGCTGGCCAAAGATGGCATATCGATTGTTTCCGCTGCAGCACCTGCAGCACCCTCCTCGACTCCGACGCCCATCTACTCCTCCTCGGCGACGGTTCCTTGATCTGTAGCAACTGTACCTATAGTTGCAACTCCTGCGGTAACAAAATTGAGGATCTCGCCATCCTCACCGGTGATCAGGCCTTCTGTGCTCAGTGCTTCCGATGCCGCAACTGCAAGAGAAAGATCGAAAACCTGCGCTATGCGCGCACATCCCAGGGCATCTTCTGTATGGATTGTCATGAATCGCTCATGCAGCGAAGACGAAAGAAAAAAGCCAATGCAGCCGCCAAAAAACCAGGGGGGGCCAGGGACAAAGTATGATAAGTCCCTGCCTTCGTTGCCCCCAAGCATGGAGGAGACTCGCTCCATTGACGAGACACACACGGAAGCATTCGCCGAAATCGCCGTGGAAAACCGGCCCGATACAGCAGCGTCTGAGCCGGCAGCTGCAGGTAAGGAAGCCACAAAGCTAGTTCACTCGTTCTCCCTCATTCTTTCTCTCACTTCTTTGCTATTCCGTTTCCCCTCCCCGTTTCATCTGCAAAGGCAATCACGACTGACAACGACTACCCTTCTGCGCAGACGACAACCTTCTTCTCCCTTCAAGCACATATCGTAGCAGTCGCCAGATCAGTGCGCAACGCGATACCAACACCACCACCACTGCCGATAACTCAGACGCAGGTGGCGAGCTCTTGATCCCTCTCGCATTTGACCCCTCCGCAAGCCAGCGATCCTCGTCCCGCGCGCAACCCCAGATCACCCAGGAGCTGCCTCGAGATTACTTTGGACAGGTTCGTTCGGGTGAGTCTTCAGTACGAGCCTCCTTCTCCCTGGAGCCTCCCTCTCGTGCATCATCAGAGCACCCTTCCCCGCACATAGCCTACCAAGAGAAAGGATGGGACAAGAGTGATGATACAAACCGACGCGATACCGATGGAGTGAACGGTACAGCCAAGTCATTCACTGCCAGCATGGACGCCACCATTTCAAAGATTGGACGGACAGAGTCAGCCCGTAGCTCTCGATCGGATCTGCCGCTGGCCCTGAGAGAGACAAGCGCCTTCTCCGGCGCAACAAGCCCTGACAGTACTAGGTCCAAAGAAGCAACGGCAGAAATCACCCGATCTGTGCCCCAGGAGCCGGCGGTGCGTCCCTCGAACGAACTCCGTAGACTACACGATCATACTTCGATGGAATCAGCACGTTCGCAACAGTCGGCCTACCCACCCAAGCGGGGCGACTCTCTGGAAAGCAAGCTCCATTCAATTCCCCGGAAGGAGGTCGGTGCATCCCCTGCATCTTCGACTTACGCTGGATCCCCCAAGCTGGATGGGTCCCTGAAACAACCGAAACAAAGCATCAACACATCAATCACTACCCCCATCTCGGATACCCAGCGACAGCTGGATGGCGCAGGTTCGCCGTCTATCGCGCGCTACCCCGGAAGTGAGTTTTCAGATATCGACCTGCCACCTAGTGATTCCTTCTTTCGCCGCGTCTCCAACTCTGTTCGTCATGGCCGTAGTTTCAGCGAGAAGAGCGTGAGGCTCGGCAAGGAAGGGAGATCTCCAAGATCACCGACTAATACGAATGTAGTCGGACCCGAGGTGGCTAGCCCAACCGCCAGCATTGCCCAAAACGAGGAGATTTCCTGGCTCCGGAATGAACTGCAAAAGGAACGTCAGCGCATCTCGGAAATGGAGAATGCTCTCCGTGCCACCGCAGATGTCAAGCAGGTCAACACCGAACTTTCAGAGAAGCGATCCACCATGGTTGTCCTCGATGCCCAGAGGAGATCGTTCTGCGAGAGCTCACAGTACTTACGGACCATATCGAAGCAGAGAAGCGTGGAAACGCCGGCCAACCCCTGGACCTGGCCAAACTTTCGAACCATGTTCTACGAGAGCTGGCTGAAGCCATTCACAAGCTGAAGGAGTCGTACACCCCGCAGATTGAGGAATTGATCCAAAAGCGTAATGAGCTGAATGAGGAGCTTGGCAGCATCACTCGCCAGAAGGAGAAGAGCTTCCAAGAGTTCGAACAGCTCTCGTCGAAGAATGCCCAATTGGCCGAGCTCAACAACCAATTGGTCCACCAGATCCAGGAGTTGTACAAGAATAACCCAGAGGGCCACCGCGGACCAAACGGACTGGGTATCTCTCATAACAAGGGCGGATCAATCCCATCGATTGAGCATATCAAACCGTCTTTCCATGATTTCCCCACCTCCGTGTCTACTGCGCACATCGGTGACGAGGGTGAGCCTGCAACCGCGACGGTCGTTCCCGGTCCACAAGTGGTTAGTATCCGCAAGGGCCAGCCGCGCAAGTTTAACTGGAAGAAGGGTGGTCAAAACGTGGCCAAGGGTGTGAAGGGTTTGAAGGGAGCCTTCATGGGTAGTGAACAGGAAGGTGGAGCCGGTGGCTTGCCTCGCTCTCAAACTCAAGACCCGAGTCGTCAGGGCTTTGGCTTCTTTGGAAACCAGAGGAATAAGCAGGGAGGCAAGATGTCGCAGGCCGACAGTGTGCCCACACTGGCTGAGATTCCAGGCACTAGTGAGTGGATCTTCGTGACGAAAATAGAATTGGAAGCAAATAACTCACACAAAATCTTTCCATTTCTAGCGCTGTTCGGAACTGATCTCGAGGCTCGCATGGAGCATGAGAAGAGTATCATTCCAGCCATCGTCACTCGTTGTATTCAAGAGGTCGAACTACGAGGTTTGTCCTTCCCCCTCTCTCTTCGGGTATGCGTGAGATCGTTTCTAACCCAATTAAGGCATGGATATGGAAGGTATCTATCGAAAGTCTGGTGCTGCCTCAGCTATTCAAGGCATTCGGGAAGGATTCGAACGATCTCCATTTGACTACGATATTTCAGACCCGGACCTTGATATTCACGCGGTGACATCCGCATTGAAACAGTACTTCCGCAAGCTACCCACCCCACTGATCACCTACGATGTCTACGATATGATTATTGATTACGCGGAAATTCCCACTACTGCCGCCCGAGTCGAGCATCTCGTGGAAAACCTGAAAGAGCTACCCCGCGTACACCGTGATGTGCTCGAGTTCCTCATTTTCCACCTGAAGCGCGTGGTGGAGCGACAGGACGAGAATCTTATGACCAGTCAGAATGTCGCTGTCGTCTTTGCGCCTACTATCATGCGACCGGAGAGTCTGGCTCGTGAAATGACAGATGTGCAGAAGAAGAACGATGTTCTCAAATTCTTGGTGGAGAATTGTCAGGATATCTTCCAGGGCATGCAGGGCTAATAACCCGTACCCCATGGGGTGTTTTCATCGCACTCAAATCCCACTTATTGCAATCTTGATTCTGGCTCATCTTGAATTGGTCTGCTCGGATTGGGGTGCCAGGTGTCTCTTTGATGAGTTCTTGTGGCAGTTGTTGCAACTTTTTCTTATCATTGACGTCCTTCAAACCCAAATTCCCTTCCCCCTTCCCCCCTTCCCCGTGATGTCTTTCCTCTGTTGGTGCACTTTGTACAGATACCAATCTTCTTTTTGGTCATTTGTCTTTTCTGTTTTATTTCGCGCCGCTTCCTGATATCTACATTCTACCATTTTCCACTTCCCCCTTTCACTACACTCTGTTCACGATCAGTACTCCCCACTCGATCCAGATACCCTACCCAGCCATGCTATGCCATTCATCCCCTTGTTTTTGTTTTGTTATTTTGCGATTGTTTTGCGATCGTCTTGTCCCGTCTTATCCTATCCTGTCTCATCTTGTCCTTCCCATATTCCGCAGGATCGAAGCTAGTCAATTCTCCCCTCGGGCTCTTTCGCCACATTTCAAAAGCGCAGCGCCTAGTGGTGCCTTTTGCGGATGAGTATTCCCCCAATGGAATAAGTCCTCATCTCTCATCTCTCCAAGCTCTAATTTTTTTTCAAGTCTTTTTTGGGGCGGTTCTTGTCCTTTTATGTCCATGTTTTGTCTTGTGTAGATTCATTCTCTTCAAGTTAACTAGCATTAAGCGTTGTCAGGGTAATATCCTTGGTTTATGTATAGTTCGCCAGAATTTCTCGTTATCGCTTTGTAACTCTTGAAGGTTAAACCTCCATCTGTAGATGGATGTAATTAATTTACCAACTTGGTGTTTGGGGATAATCTCACTGAGGTAGATTAGTATCACTGGAGTATGATGTTAAGTGTGCACTGAGAGTGTCTCCACCAATCAAATGACCGCCTACGCCATCACCCGTTGAACCTCCAAGCTCCTCCCCAATCCCCCCCACGCCATCTCCCACCACCTCTCCGAGCTTCTTTCCACCTCACTACACCTCAACTTAGCCCGGAGGGCCACAATCTTCCTTGCTGTCTTTCCTTTTTCTTATTCCCCCCCTTTCCCTCAACCTACCACCTCCGCAAAAATGTCCAAGGCCACCCCGAAATACCTCCTCCTCTCCCTCCCGACCTCCGTCGTCCCATCACACCACGCCGACGACGCCCTTGAAGCAATTTCCACCACCGTGTCCCCGGAAAATGGCAGCGTAGCCCCGTTTTCAATCCCCGAATTCAAAATCGGTACCCTAGACGCCCTGGTCCAGCAGGCGGATGAACTGGCTAAGCTTGAGAGCCAGTGCCAGGGTGTTGTGGCTAAGGTTGCGGATGCGTTGAGGAATATTCTTGATGGTGATGAAGCACAGATTGAGAGGATGATGGTTGTTAATGACAGTATGTTGATTCCTTTCCTTTCCCCTCCAGGTGCGCAGCTGGCAGCTGGGCAGAGCGGAGCGGAGCGGAGCAAAATAGGTGGCCGGGTCAAGCTAACCGCGTGGCTGTGGTTGTCATTTAGAACCGGTTGACCAGTATCTTCGAACATTCCAGTGGAATAAGGTTAAGTATCGCGCGGATAAGTCGCTTGCGGAGTTGATTGATCTTTTACACAAGGTATGTCATACATAGCCTTTGGCGGGGAGCCAGAGGAACCCAACCAAATTATCTTGAGAAGGGGACAGCTCAGTTCCATTCAAATGGAAAAGGAGATTGAGGGAACATATACTTACTAAATTGGACGTATTTATAGGAGGGCGCCAGTATCGACAATGACATCCGTTTCAAATACTCGCAATATAACCAGGTCAAGAACACGCTGGCAACCCTGCAGCGCAAACAAACGTTTGTTTTCCCCTGCCCTGTCTCTCCGTCACACTGTGCTAGCTAGGAGATGTCTACCAATGCCAAAATCGCAATCGCAATCCAATCCCAAACCCCCGCTAATCCAGCCAACCCGCAGAGGAAACCTCTCCACAAAATCCCTCGCCTCAATTGTCGACCCCCGTACCGTCGTCCAAGACTCAGAGTACATCGAAACGCACCTGATCGCGGTTCCAAACTCCCAAGAGAAAGAGTTTCTCAAGAACTATGAGACCGTCGCACCAATGGTCGTCCCGCGCTCTGCGTCACTAGTCGCCTCGGACAACGAATTCACCCTGTACGCTGTGACGACGTTCAAGAAGCACAGCGTCGAATTCGTGCACAAGGCCCGTGAGAATAAGTGGATTCCGCGTGACTTCAAGTATGTGGAAGGCGGCAAGGAAGAGGAGCGGAAAGAGGTTGAGCGTGTTGGTGGTGATGAACGCAAGGTTTGGGGCGAGACGCTTCGTCTTGGTAGGACGGCTTGGAGTGAGGCTGTTATGGTTTGGATTCATGTGCTTGTTCTCCGGGTGTTTGTCGAGACAGTCCTGAGATATGGATTGCCTTTGGACTTTGTTTCTGCGTTGGTTAGGGTAAGTTTCTGCCCCCTTTCTTTTGCCCCTCCGTTTATGTGTGCAGCTGCAGCTGCAGTGTTCAAGCCACGCTCTGCTAAGCTAAAACTAACCCGTCCAATTAGACCCCCTCTTCCAAGCAAGCGGATAAAGCAAAGAAGAACCTCGACGACAAGTACTCCTACCTCGCCGGCAATGCCTTCGGCCGCGACAAGAAGGGTCGCGTGCAGCGGGATGACCCGCAAGACATGCACGGAGCAGGCGAGGGCAGTGCGGAGTACACGCCGTATGTGTTCTACGAATTTGAATTCAATTGAGCAGCTTTGCTGGTCAGAGTACGAGATTGGGATGAGGGCAGGCCCGCTCACGTTTTTTTCTCTTGCTTAGCTTTGGCTTTGGCTTTTTGCTTTCGGGATCTTCGATTGTCGTGGAGATCGTTGCGTACATATACCACACCCAGGTACATCGAGCACAAACTAGCATTTATTTTTATGTATTTTTTGTTTCAATTTAATTTTTGGGATTCCAAACTGGAGGTTTTTGGTCTTCGAATCTTGTACTTGGCCCATCGAGTTGTGGGAGATTGAAATTAGTTAGTATGTGATTGTTCTGATGTACTACTCCGATATGGATGAATAACTACTACTCGGTTGAGCTATCGTCCGCACTACTAATAGTAGAGACCCGCCCTGTTTCGCCTTCCACCTGGGCATGTTGGAAGAAACATGGATCCCTGGCAGCACATGTTGATTATCCACATGATATACAGCAAGAAAGACTGACTGAGTCACAAGGCAAACCAGGCCGCTCGGAGAAATCCAATCCTTGTAGTGCTACAGTGTAACATTCTTTCCAACTCGAAGGTTTAAGCCTGGATTCCTGGGCTCCTTGTCTGACGTCTACCACGTAGTATTGGCTTGGTGATGTCGATCATGATCTGCACTTATCTAGGGACGCTCACATTGTTATTCAAGGTGTGAATTGTTACTATCCTTGGAACTTTATCAAAACCTTGGAAGCTGCATAAGGTTACATTTTCCTACGGCCCTCAGTAGTATATATTGTGGTATTCTTACCCATGCGCAATAATTGCTTTCTACTAAAACATAAGTTTCAAATATTGTCTGAAATTTTCTCATATTTCCAAGCCTCCTTCAAGCTCAAGTTCTGACTCCGATCGATATATTCGTCGCATTCATCATCCTCCACCATGAAGACCTCTATGATTCAAGCTCTTCTCGCGTTCGCCATGGTCGCCGTGGCCCTTCCCAGCAAGCCGTGCGATTCCTGTGACAAGGAGACTGGCAATGTCTGCGAAAGCGATCAAAGTGTTGTATGCAAAGAAAATGGAAAGGGTGGTCTAATCAGTCTGGGTAACGTCTTGCCTGGGGCCCTTGGGGAGAGTTGTGACACTGGCGCAGTTTACTGTTGCTCTCATGAGGCCGCTTCGAAGGTATGGCCCCTTTACCCGTATAACGTATAATTGAACATTCCAGGGACATTGGATAAACTGACGAATCTTCTAATAGGGTAACTTGGCTAACTTGGATGTGAATGCTCAATGCTCTCTCAATCATGTTCTATAAGCTGCATTCACACTGTATCTGGGGAACATGGCGCATGGATCGGGCGGAGAAGGAATACTTTGCGTGGTGTGGACAAAGGGCCAGGGAATTTGTACGTGTAGCAGCAAAGGGCGACGGAGTTTTTGGGAAAGGATGAGGTGTAAGAAGGCTAGTAGTGTGTTGAGAGTGGTCATCAGTGATCAATGATCAATTTGAATTACCTCTCTTGAGACTATAGTACTGCGAGTCCTACTAATAATCATTTAAATCTGTCTTCCAGAGTAATGTTTCAAAGCAATTTCATCTATCTTCGATATATACAGCGCCAGTCTGCGGGGAATCTAGAAAGAAGAAAGACTTCACCTCAACATTGATCCACACTGTACAGCGTCCTCCCAAACCAAAAAAATTCTTTTCTTTTCCCATCCATGCAATTCGGACATATCACCCTTACTCCTTCTTAGGAGGAAGATATCCCTTGGAATCAAGGTAGTCAATAATCTGATCAACAGCCTGCTGCAAAGAAATATCGACATTCTTAATATGCACCTCAGCGTTGGCAGGCGCCTCATAAGGCGCACTAATACCAGTGAACTCCTTAATCACACCCTCACGAGCCTTCTTGTACAGACCCTTAGGATCACGCTGCTCAGCAATCTCAACGGGGACATCAACGTAGACCTCGACGAAGGGCAGACCGGTAGTCTCGCCGGGGTGGGAGTCTCGTGCAGGGCGCGGGCAGAGTCACGGTCCTTCTGGTAGGGGGAGATGAAGGAAGTGATAGCGATGGAGGCAGAGTCGGCGAAGAGCTTGGCGACTTCACCGATGCGGCGGATGTTCTCGTTGCGGTCGGCCTCGCTGAATCCGAGGTCCTTGTTCAGGCCGAAGCGGATGTTGTCGCCGTCCAGACGGTAGGCGTGCACGTTACGGGTGCGGAGGAGTTGGCGCTCGAGCTCGACGGCGATGGTGGACTTGCCGGAGGCTGAGAGGCCGGTCAGCCAGATTGTCAGACCGCGCTGGTTGCGCTCGGTCTCGCGCTCGGTGCGGGTGAGGCCTGCGGCGTGGAAGGTGATGTTGCTGGGTTTTGTTAATATAGAGTAGGGTATATGGTATATCTCGGGGTTGATGTATAGTATAGAGTACGTACGTAGCCATTGTGAGGGATATGTGTGTGAATGAAGGGGAATGGGAATTCGAATGGAGAAAAAAGAAGGTGAAGGAGGGGATTTGGAGGGGAATTGGCGTGGAAGTGGAGGGGCATGAAACTGGGCCGCGTCAAGCGGGACGCCGATCGCGGGATTGCGCAATACAAAGTGGATATCTTCCGTACTTTAAGAGAATACGAGAGGGTTGATTACTCTATCTGTTTCCATAGTAATGTCCATTAATACTCCTAGTCTACATGCTATACACAGAATAACAATAGAAAATGAAACGAAAAAAAGAATGAGTCTACCCATCTACTCAGTAGCCCCGCGGTACAGATGCGCCATAGCCTATCGACATGAAGAATCAGATTAGCATTCGCCACTCGCATCGCCACCAGGGGAGGAAATTAGAGGAACAAGGAACAAGGAACAAGGAACAAGGAACATAACTTACCGCCGCCTGTTTAGGCTCAATGAACAAAGCCTTCGCCTCAACCAGCACAACGGGCTCACTGCCATCTTCAGGAAGAGTCTCAATGCGACCCTCAACCCAAGCCTTTCTCCCCTCCTGACGAACCGTCTCCGCCCGAAGCGCAAAGTAATTATTCGCCAGCGCGGGCGCCCGATAATCAATATTCAGATTCGCTGTCACGCCAACCTTATTCGGCATTGCGGGAAAGCAGCATCGCGCAAAACCCTCATCTAGCAATGTAGCCAACAGTCCACCGTGAACAATGCCCTGGTGTCCGCACACGTCGGAACCAAGATACATCAGGCTGACCATGCTCTTGCCGCCGCGCTCGCTGAAGACGTAGGGCGGTACGACAATCTTGTTCGGTCCTGAGAGGGCACCTGCTGTGAGCATGCGCTCGCGCATGGCTTCGGGGATGTTCAGGTGGGGACGGGCTTCTTTGAAGTCGGGGTTAGCGCGTAGGCGCTCGGCTTCGGGGTGTGTGCGGAGTTTCTCGTTGATCTCGGCGGCAATTTCGTCCGTCGGAGTGTAGACGGGGAGACCGTCGGCGGTTGCGGGTGGTGCGGCCATGAGGAGCGAGACTGTTTTGCTGGTTTGGTAGGTTAGGCCTGCGGTGAAGGCGAGGATGGCGATGGTCGTGAAGCCTGCGATTCGGCGGAGACGCGATCGGGGAGGAGGCGGAGGTGGTGGTGGTGGTGGTGGTGGTGATGATGGATGGACGGGGGCGGTTGGTTCTGCGATTCACAATGCATTAGTGAGATTGTTATCAGTGGAGATCGGTGGATCGATTTCGAGTGTTGCGATGTAGAATTGGATCTGCTCCATCTTACCTGTAGAGTATGTTCTGCGAGTAAACGGTTGTCCGAGGCGTCGCGGAGATGTTACCGAGAGACGTTGAGTCAGGAGGCGCGATGCAGGCTTGGATCGGGGGAGGAGGAGGATGTCGGAGGAAGAAAAGAATGAAGAAGGTGGAGGCCGCATTGTTCCAGAACGATCTGCCTAGACTTGCAAGACACTCTCTCTACCCAGTCAAGTTGTTGGGAGGCAAAGGTTGAGAAGGGAAAGAGTGGACACCGCAAGATTTACCTCGGCATCTCCCGGCGGAAGGGGAAGGGGAACCCGGCCCCGATGGTTGCCCGAATCTTGGAGTGGGATTTACGAGTACTCGTATATGCTTACTACTAGTAGCAGTTTTAATGGGTATTCAAATAATAAATTCTATTGCGTATGCCAATGAGCTAGTGCTAGCAGTGTAGATTGATAGTAGTAATAGCTTGGTAACTAACGGTGTTCACTGGCATATCTATGAGACATTGTTGATTAGTCGTCTAGTAAATTAAATCATCCATCTACTAGTTAGTATTTACAGTAGTAAGCAACCACCGAAAATGCACACCGGCGTAAATTATGCAAAGACATTATTCATTATGCAAACTTGCAATGCATAGCTTAATCGACTGGTAAAAATCACGACATTATTTTTACCAGTCAGATCTCCCGATATTCGACTGTTGACAATACCCAGTGTGGCAGGCGATATGATTTTCCACTATTGCCTACAAAATGCCAAGGATATAATCAGCTACGGCTTCAACTGCCGGTTGTATTGGAAATGGCTCCAACAGGTGCCTCTATAATCCACTGCATATATTCCGCCGTATTCCTTTAAATAGTCATCATGAAGTCATATATACTAGTATACTGGTCTTCATGTGATCGGATAGTGGTTCTTCCAACTTGAGCCTGATCGATTTTCCCCCACGCCTTGAATCCTGTCATCCTTCTTTACTACCTGCCCGTGTCTCTTGGACTAAATTGCTGAAAAATCATGACTGTAATGACGACAGACGAAGACTGCGATGAGTTGGAATATCTAGGTCGTAGCTTCCTCGAGGATCTACTCCCATCGATCAAAACATACACACTTTGCAGTGAATCCCAGTTTTTGAACATTATCAACTCGCAAGCCACTCGTTTCAATACTATACTTGATATCCCCCACGAGTTCCTCCTCTTCCGGATCAGTGAAGATACCGATATTCATACCTTTAATACTATTATTAACCCCGAAAATCCTAATATATCAACATACATTTCATCCATCAACCTCAGTGGGAGACTATTACTCAGCAAAATACCCAGCGTACCCCATGGCTCCGTTGGCGGAGTACTTCACGACATAATCCTGAGTTCAATACTACCAATGGGCCTCAATAACACCCTCAAGACATACGTGGGGAGTAGGATATGGGGCGGCGGGGGAAAAAGAGCAAAGGAGCCAGACTACGGATGGGGCCCGAAGCGCAGAGCGCCTGGTCAGCCTGATCGACCAACAATAGCCTTAGAGGTTGCGTACTCGGAGGCCGACAAGAAGCTACAGTCGGACGTTAGATTTTGGTTAAGCCCGAGAGACGGCAATGCGAATGCTTGCCTCACTGTCCGTATTCAGAAGTCGAATATTCGCGTCGAACAATGGCATCGAGATGACCGAGGCAGAATTTGCCGTAAGGGGGTAGTTTGGATAACGAAGACTACGGACCGTTTAGTCGTCGATAATAACTACCCTATCCAAATCTCGTTTGAAGACTTATTCAACCGCAGGGCAGATTGCCCCCGAGAAAGTGACATTGAGGTCTCCCCGGAAGACTTGAGAGAACTTGCTCGAACTGTCTGGGATGACTATCGGGTGTAGGAGTTCCTTGCGTTGTGGATTCTTCCCCTTGGGCTGTTACTCTTATTCTCAATCCCAAATTAGCTCTTGTATTATATCCTCAATTGGCCTCAGACTGAGTCAGGGTTGGGTGCTTCTTCTCAGTTGCGAAAGCTGCTCTGGGCAACGCCGTCTAGAGATTACACTCTTCGAGGGGGACACTTTCGCTGGTTTTCTGCATGCATCGGGATCCATTGTTACTCAAATTCCTCCGTGGTTTTGGGGACAACAGAGATCCCCAGTTGGTAAAGAGGCAAAGAAATGGTGTGAACACCGATCACTTTATAGCCCCGGAAAGAATCGCTTACGCCTTGGTCTATAGCAAGTAATACTAGTAGTTACCAGTGGACGCCCACCAATCTTTTCTACATTTGATTATTCATACCTCATGTTCAGATATTTCAGTGTCTCGATTTAAATTACAGATCAAAAGCAATTAACTCTAAAAAATCATAAACAAATAAAACTGAATCAGCAGCCACTTGCATCCGGATTCTCCTCTTCGAGCTAGCCAGCCTCGGGCTTTACAAAACTTCCTTTAATATTTTGGGTCACAGAATATAAAATAGTACAAAGGTCTTTTTAAACTGTATAATATTGAACAGGATAAGTCCACCTTACTTTTGTCGTTCGGGCCAGTTTTGATCAGATAGAGACCTCTAGAACGGGAGGGCCTCAAAAGTACCATTAACACGCTAGGTATCACAGAATAGATAGCCCTGTGGGGCATGTCCTTTTTGGATATAGTATGAATTAGGCTGTGGAAAAGAATTACCGCTCGCTGGTTGGATAAGAAGTCCTAGTGAATAAGCCCTAGAGGCTAGTAGTACTAGTGTTTCCCCAGATTTCAAAATAAAAAAAATCATTAGAATATTCAAGTTTGTTTTTCAATTATTATCCATATATTATTATACATATTCCCATCAAAATTAGTCGTTAAAATTAAAAATGTCCTCCCCAATGCAAAGGCATATTCGGTGTAGATGTGGCGCCCGCCAACTGGAACAACCCTTACTTGGACTCGGACTTCCCGCCACTGTTGGATTTCTTAGTGGCGCTAGACACATTGGTTAGCAAGGATCAAGAGTAACTATATAATGAAAAATGGATTGATCTTACTGTCGTGAGAACCATCGGAAACGGCTAGAGGAGCTCGGTGTGACTGCAACCTGCTTTTGGGAGTTGTTCATGGATTGGAAAATATCCTCAATTTCCGCTGCATCGAGCTTGGGGGTCTCAGTTGTGCTGGTATAGGGCGATTTGCGGCTGGTGCCATAGGGTCCAGCGCCGATGTGAGGGAAAGCGACCATTGTAGATTTGAGATGTGGTGGTTGGGGTTGGTTTGTGTGTGGTAATAAACCGGAATTGGTATTGGTAATTGAGGAAGTGAATTGAATTGATGCTGATGATATTTGGATTTACTGGTGATTGAGGACTCTTTTATCTTGATTCTGTTCATTCCCCTAATGTACTTCTGGTTAGACCTTTTGCAATTTTTTTTTTCGTTCCCTTTGCTGGTCATGAGACGGCGAGACCGAAAATAACAACTCGGCACAGCAAAGCCGAGGGGAGCTAAGGTTAGCTGCAGGCACGGCCTACACAGCCCCTGGATTTGGCCTAGATTTTGTCTAGATTTTACCACCGATCTAATCTAGCCCGATCACCCGACCGCCCCATCAGAGAAAAACCTCCCGATATTTTGATTGTTGGCCATATCTAACCGATTTAGGTAAGTCTATCACAGTTTTCTATGCGTGATTTTCACCAAACAGGCTTAAACCACACAGAAGATATCTTCGCGGATAAAGATTTCTTAATTTGTTAATTTCATACCCCGGCATGGGACTGTCACCGGCCCGGGGGACTTTGAGATAGCCCTATTTTACCCTTCCCATCGACAATTCAGAATATTGAGCTATCTTTCCAAATATGTCAATACTAATCTAGAATTGATGATTCGTAGCAAGAAGAAAAAGATAGGATCAGAAATCGGGTAAATTGGAAATGAGCTGGAATCAAGGTGACCAATTCAAGTACAATACTCTCAAAGTCTGGGAGAAACAAGTACGAAATATAGTACAACAGTGATAAGCAAGATCGTGACTCATTTGAGATTATAGGACAGTATTATAAGTAGGGTGGGGAAATTACAGTCTGCTTGATCGTACTACTCCGTAGACTAGTTATATATAGGTATACTTCTACAAGTGTTAAGTTCTACGAGGATATTCAGGAATGTGGTAGGGTAAAAGCAAGTTGAGTAACGTAGCATCGAGAACAGGCACTATTGGCGAACTAGGACGCAAAGAATTGGGACCAAGGAGCTCATTCCAATTGAGAATAAGTAGTAGAAATCATTTATAGTTAACCTGTGTCAAACTATCCGATTATCACCATCCTATGTCTGTGTAGAGGTATGTTATCCTGCCTTTATCAAGGCAGAGTGTCATAGTTTTCCCCGCTTTGTTCAATACGCTGTATACTCGCCCGAATAGACAATGATACTATACTCTATACAGCCCGAGTCAGTACTCCAGATCCGACTTCCACCTGTCTTGTCCCCAGAGTCCGTTTGACCTGCACCTGTTAGCCACATCACAGATTCGAAAAGGGGGGGGGGGCATGGAACATACAGTCATCCACAATCGAAGTCAATTTGCTGAGGCAGTCATCAAAAGAAGGCTCATAGGTCTTCGCCTCTTTACAGCCGCCTTGTTTCTCGCTAAAGTCAATACCGATGGAGAATTTCTCATAACCCTTGTCTTTGTTGCTGAGATAAGGCCCCTTAGGGTCATCCTGCGTGCGTTTCAGATCGCCGTCTACGCCCTGGCAGTAGCCCCGGGCGGCACCGACCAAGCTTTCTCGCGCGATGGTGGTATGGTTCTTATCTTGAGGGGAGCAGTTGGCTCGCGATCCCACATCTGGCTTGTCTGCACCCTCGACGGCCTTCAGGGCTTGCTTCATATATTCCTGCTTGGTGCGAACCCAACCGAGATCCCCAAACATCCCGAATGTCTCCGCACTGTATATGCATTTGCAGTCATGATATTTCTCCTACCAGATCAGTCAGCACCGTTTCTTGACCCTTTTCCTTCGCCATAACCGAGTAAAGGAGACATACCACGGTGCACTTTTCATCTTTGCCTTTGCAGATGTCGTCGTCGTCGCATGGGATCACCGTATCTTCATCCGGGCATTCATTCTTGCACGCGCAGTCCTTGTGATAACCCTATAACATTTTAGACCCCGACACCTTCCCGATAGAACACCAAACAACTTACTACGCTGCACTTGTCATCCTCCCCTCCCACGCACCCCTCATCTGAGCATACGGGTAAGTCCTTCCCGGTTGGACACTCGTCAAGACAAGGGCATCCCATCTGCGGACCCTCGGTGCACCAGCCACTCTGCGCTTTGCAGTCTTTGCACTTGGTCTCGGTGTAATCCTCTGGACAGCTATCCTTTTTCTTTGGGTTGCCAACGCCCGCAGGTGGAACGAGAAAGCCAGGGGGCGCCAGGGGAAAGGGGATGATGACGATGCCGCTGCCATCGTCGTCGGTCCCACCACTGTCAACACGATCAGATCGGTCGTTTTGGAAGATGCATTCGAGAGGAAAGGGGATAAACCTACTCGGGGGCCTTCTCGGACTTGCATGGGCATCGCCGGTCGTTGAACTTCGTGCTTTCTTGATCCTTTTCAACATTGTAATACCCGTCACACGCGACCTTTAAGATATTTTTGCACCATCCAGGTTTATCTGAGATTTCTCCGCCGCAGTCCGAGTCATCGCACTTCCACATATCATCTCTGGTGCTTGGTCAGTGAGACGAATCCAGAAAGGTAGGGTGACATACTCGTCGGGGCATCCAGATTGGGGCGGCTGCGGGTTGGCGATAAATCGTACCTGGGGGCATGAAGGGCTGACCCTGCGTGGCGAGGCCATCGCCGTTTGGGCAACCAAGGTCGTGGCCAGGAGCAAGAAGGAAAAGCGAGCCATTTTGGGAGAGAATGGTCGCAATAGATGGCCAAAAGAAGTCCCTTCGAGGGAATCCTAGCGGAATTATATCCTAGGCCTACTTGTATCTCGCTGGCAATACATACCAGGATTTCCGCTAACCGAAACAATGTGACGGTAATTACTTTTGGGGCTCTAGCTAGATTCAAACATGGCCGTGTCAGGTTAATCTCGGCAAGTGGAGATAAAATGGACCCCAAACCTGGAAGGTAAAAGCGCTGGGGCTATGCAATACTGTGTTTAGGGGCCAAATGCCTCCAAATTACTCCATATAGCAAGAATATTTGTCAATCACAGGGACAGGGTCTGATTGGGCCCCAATATTAGGGGTTTCCAGTCCCCAACTATAAGTTTCTTCAGCTATAACTCTAAGGTCTGTTTCATAGCCCCGAGGCGTTTTCGAGCAACATCTTGGAAATGAGACTCCATCTTGACCCAGCCGCCGCGAACAATATAAGATCTACATCAAACTAACCCTTTTACATTGTATTCGCACTCGAGCTGGGGCTATTCTATCCATAGTCTTAAACTCTAGACTAAACAATTTAATTTATGCATGAAGAATGAATTACTTCCATAGGTCTACTTTTTATAAACCTACTTTAGACCCCACTCTCTCTAGATCAGGCTGCCAGGAATAATGTAGCACCCAACAGTAAAGTAACACCTCTCGGTTGTGTCAGTCGCACTTGGCTTCTGGATTAGGCTAGCACTCAAGTTGGACCCTATTCTATTTACCATCCATGGGTCATAGTAACTTCTATCAGAGACCAGATAATTGAATATCTACACCAGGAATGAATAATTTTGATAGACTTTGTTTTTATAGATTTACTTTATGGAATAGGCTCCACCGTATCTAGGTCCTGCTGTCAGAAGCAATGTCACATTCAACGGCCCCCAACTCATGAAATACTGAAATTCACTAGTTGCATCAATTTACAATCCCCTATTACACCAGGGAAATAAGTTCTTAGTCTGTCGTACCGTAGTATTGAAATATTGAGCCTTAATCACTCAGTCATAATATAAGAGTTTAGTTTGAAAATATCATATCTTACCATTTATATAAAAATAGAGAAGTAGATTCAAGTTACATTCATACAGCCTTATGTACAACGAGGGGGCCAAATATCCTGCCTAGAGGCCAAGCCTTGAGTGAGTAGGTATAGTTCCTAGCTCTATCTTCTAAATTGATAAAGAACTCGGGATTAACTACTAATACCAGGCATTATACAGCCAAGAGGCTAGACCCACTGTACTATAACAAGGCTATAAGGCTAGCATTGGGGCTGTAATATATTATAACCAAAAAGGGAAAGCTATGCGACCAGAAGTAACAGTTGAAGCAATATAAATGATTAAGGCGCCATAAATAAACACAATTGTCGCGAACATTCCCAAATCTGGTTAAAATCAAAGCGATCCCGGCAAGTGGCACTGTGGAGCAGTATGGTTCCTGGCCCCATCGCTAGAATCTTGCTTTAACTGGAAACAGCGTTCACTCTAGGACCCTTGGACCCTTGGACCCTTGGACGCTTGTCTATGCAATTGAGTTTCCTTAATTAGCAACTACGGAGTAGCGGATTTTAGCGTATCGCACTGGTACCCTGGATGAGGTGAATAATCGAGTTGCGGCCCCCGAGGCTGTTCGACCGATTGGCCTAGCACCCTACATTATGGGCCGAAGGATCTATTTTACAGCAAGCATGAACGGATTAAGTAATTTTATTTTTTATAGATTCCCTAATTTCCCCTGAAACTTTTTAGACAGATCAGCAACGATATACACCAAGAAAGGAAGGGAAGGTCGCAGTGGCCAAGGCAGTATCTGTATCATTTCAGACATTAATAAAGCGTAGACCCCATGGGAGTTAAAAGCCAGTGGATAACAGCACAATCTGATCTTTCGTCAAGGAAAAAGCCATCTCCATTATCAAAACACCATGGCAGTCCGCAAAGCAGCTATGCTGCTGATATCGGCTCTTTGTGTTTTACCCGTCATTGTCCAAGGTTATTCAATCGATACCTCATGCGACCGTGAGTAAAAGCAATACGTCCCTATTCTTTGCCCTAGCATTCAATGACGAGTTTGATAGCGATCAAGGACGAGCTTAAGGATAAGGTTGCGCAGGCGATGAAAATGGTGGACACAGCGAAGGAGGCGGTACAGAAGTCGCCCATGGATGACGAGGTTGATCGGCTGGCCAAGATGCTCTTCGCCGAGGAAGACATTCCCAATACTCTCGAGGATATTTTCATGGGAATGGGGCAGGAAAAAGACCTCAAACCAGTTGGCACGGAGCCTAACATTTTTCCGGTGAGTAGTGGACACAGACTTCTATGAATAGCTACTCACGAGTCAAACTAAGACAATCTACTGCAACCTGGATCGCTTCAAGCCGGGGAAAAAGAAATTGACGCTCCATGGATACGAAACAATAGTTTATGATTCAGTCAACAAAGCCGAATTCAAAGAAGGATCCAAGTCGAAATATGAAGGCTGCCGCTTGGGAACTGTCATGGCCTTCACTTCGACATTTGGGAATCCTAATCATAGGCACTCTATCCAACTCTGCCCGTGGTACTTGGCTGTGTCGGGATACACCGATTTCGAGAAGGATGTCGACAGTAAACTGCTAGGTAAGCTGAACAAGGGCAAATTGCCTACGAAGCTTCCCGATTCCACGCCCATCGACAGCTTGGAGTACTTCTTGCATGTCATCATTCATGAGGTAAGCTCCGTACCCTGTTAGCAGAGTAGCCACAACACTCACACTATCTAGTTTTCTCACACGGAAGCCGCTAAGAAATTGTCAACAAACACACCCGCAAAGGACTTGGTATACGAATGGAAGGACTGCGTGGAACTTTCGGGAACCGGCCGAGGCTGTGACAATGCCGGTATGCTTGCTATACATTCAATGATGCAGAACCTAGCTAATATTCCTGCGTTGTAGATTCAATCGCATTTTTTGCCCGAGGTAAATAATTGTTCATCTGGCGCCCAACGGTCCATATTGGATACTAATATTCAGCAGGGGCCGATCTTATTGTAAACCGTAACACTAGGATCACGAAGGATGGAGAGTTTGAAGCGATTAAATGAGGATGAATGGCGAAAAGGTGGTGGCATTCGTGGTGCTATTGAGGAGAAGAGAAAGAGATGGAAGCGCGGCAACCTGGATGCCGAGGCCGCTGGTACTTCAGGCGCCAACGCCTCAACAAATATATGATTCCAATTTCACTCATTATGGTCTGAAAGAGCTCATAGCACGAGACTGGGTTGTCGGCGTTCATGAATCAGGTCCATATGACACTCTCCATAGATTGGAAACATCATTGCATACGTCCGGACGAAAGATTGCGCGAGTGGCCTAATGGGTGGATGAAAGATAGTCTATCTTCGATGTTTTTCAAGAAAGCGTACATGACTTCAATTTAAGATCCTATAAACACTCAGGATTCTTGATCCCTTTAAGAATCAGTTTGTATACTAACTGTCTAATCTGATCTCTACTGTCCAATATCCTTGCCAGTCCTAGGTCTCTAGCCTAATAACTTAGTAACTCTTACAAGGATGGTACTGCTACTATTATAACCTAATAGATAACTAGTGGCGACAGTGAATTTTAAGTTTCTGTGCTCGGGTCCATATCATTTCGGGCAGACAACACGATGACATTTTTGTCGTTTCCAGCCTAGCGTCCCCATATTTGGTAATTTGGCCCCACCCGGAGCTTCTAGACGCTGTAGCCGTGGCCTCCGGTATTACTTACCTGAGGCGGCGGGGCGATATCTCTCAGCAGGTCATATGCCTTTCGAAATACTCCAGTACACGGAACTAGGCTCTCGCTGAACCAGGACGATGGTGTATGGCGGGACTCAGCTCTCTTGGCCCCAGAGCGAGGCAAGACACGCCGTCGGCGATCGTAACGCAGAAGCCGAAGCCGAGGCCGAGGCCAGCAAGCAGCGCAGGAAAGTCCAGAATCGGAAGAATCAACGAGCACGCCGTGAGTCTGCCCCTCGCTCCGATAACGCATTCCATACTCACAAACCCGCTACAGGACTACGGCTCAAGGGCGGAGACGCGGGCAATCTTCAGGAGTCGCGCCCATTCCGAGTCAAGCGTTGGCGCCTCGACGAGCCCGACCACATTCCCTCTCAAGAGATCTCGCCAGCATCAAAGCGCGCAACAACCACGGCCTTCTCCCATGGACCGCCTCAGACCGACGCGGGCATATCGGCCTCCACAACCAAACGTACAGTCGTGTTTCGTGAATCACTATCCACGACCACCCACATCCAGCCCGTCGTAAATTTGGACATCCAGCCCTTTACTTTTCCCTTTTCCTCGGACCACCTCCTCCATCTCATTCACTATAATGTCTGTCGTGCCTTGATCACGAATATGCGTACCCTCAACACCGTACCCGCCGACTCGACCATCTGTACCATTACCTCGCCCTGCCGTGACAACACGGCCCTCTACCCCCTCAAGTGCGATATCCCTTCCTCCCTCATCCCGACTGCCTTCCAGCAGACTCACGACCATTCTACCTGGATCAACGTCATTCCCTTCCCCCGCGCCCGCGAGAACTTAATCCGATACGAAGGCAGCTTCGACCCCTGGGAGCTACTGCAGGACCTCGTCGGTGACCTTTTGAACTCGACGCCAGACCCGCGACAGCGAGACGCGCCTACTTCTGTGAAAATTTCCAGGACTCCACAGCCCCTGACCTTTTTATCCGGAAGTGATACGGATGAAGTGACCGCCGGACGTAAGGGACTCATTGTCTGGGGCGAGCCGCACGAGATGAAGAGTTGGGAGGTCACGCCCGGTTTTCTCGCGAAATGGGCGTGGGTTGCGGAGGGCTGCGATGAGTTGGTGGAAATCAGCAACCACTGGAGGATGAAAAGGGGGGAGGAACCTCTGCGGCTCGAGATGTTGAGGAGCTATCCGCCACCACCGCTCTCGCACGCAGCGTCAAGTGGAGGTTAAAGAGACACTATCGACGTTTACATGTGTTTTCTGCGGTTTGCCAATCCAACATCGGTCTCGTAAAAAGCAAATTAGGTATGATGCAAAGGATGTTGCTCCAAAAGTAAAAAGACCTATGATTCAAACTCAGAGGGGACGCGGAGATGTGGCAGGGGCTATGACCTATACAAACATTATCGACTCGACTGCAGTCTATATGCTCATGTTTGCCCTTTCCACTGTGTTTCGCTAATGATTGATTGATCCCGACTGGGTGAGTCTGGCGAACCGCCAAAGTGCGGAGGATGACCCAGAATCCCATTTGGCTAATCCGATTTCAAGAGGCTGCCGGGCCAGTAGAGCGTTACTCAAAAGCGTGGGAGACTATCAAGAGCTTGAGGCTGTTCCTCTGCCAACGATAGGGGTTTCACAAGCCCTGGAAGAGTTTAATGAGAGGAACTACCGGATCCTAATGGATCTACGTCGAGCCTGTGACTGGCTTTGCGCTCTCTTTATCCACCAAGAATAAAAAATAATGCACCCGAGCCGATATCATGTTAAGAGAGAGACATTATGGAAATTAATAGAATTCAATGGCAGTGCATACGAAAATCTGTCAAGGCTTAAATTTGGGATGGCTCAACAGTGGAAGATGGAATAGCGCGGATCGAAAGTTATCAAATGTGCGATTCATTCTTGCTATGCTCTCCGATCTAGCCTGGCATCTTCTGAAACTTGGTAGCAGTAGCCGACAGAAAACAGACCGGGAGAAACAGTGATATGGTACTGGAACCTCATCATTGCTCTCATTTCTGCCTCACATCGCCCTACTCATCATCCGTCAGCCCCACCATCTTCAGGGAGTCTTTCCAGAGCCGAGCCTCTTTCTCAGCGTCATACGCATGGCCTGCGAACCCTACGCCGGCAATCTCATGATTATCGTTACCCCGTGTGGTTTTTCCGCACTCAGCAAGATATTCTCCGCCTTTCTTCTCCCATTCTTGGCCGATCGCTGCCCACACAGTCGTTGCAGCCCCCTGCTCTGGCGACTTCATCACTTTATACATCTCTTCATTGCTCTTGAACCCCTCCACCATTGCAGGGTCCATATGCTGCATCAGCGCCGTTGCAATCATACCGGGATGAACGCTAGTAGCGTGGAGTCCTCGCGAGCCGTAGCGCCGCTCGATCTCGTTAGCCATATAGAGATTGGCGGTCTTTGATTGTCCATATGAAACCCAGTCGTTGTATTCAGTCTTCTCAAATTTGTAGTCGCCGGATTCATTGATCGAGGCCACATGATGGGCAGAAGAAGAGAGGTTGACGACTCGAGACGAGAATTCAGGGCTGGCGCTGGCGAGTAGAGCTGGCTTCAGGAGCTCAAAGAGTAGGAAATGGGCGAGGTGATTGACTCCAAATTGCATTTCAAAGCCGTCTCTCGTGTACTCCAACTTGGGCAGGGCCATGATGCCGGCGTTGTTGACTAGGATGTTGACTTGACCGTTCGACTTCTGGAGAATGGCTTTTGCGGCAGCATGCACGCTGCTCAAGGAAGTGTTGTCCATTTCAACGAGTTCGACTCGCTCTGGTTCAAGGATTCCGTCCAGAGCAGACTTGGCTTTGTTCAGGTCTCGTGCCGTCAACAACAACCTTGCTCCAGTCAAAGACAGAGCGCGAGCTGTCTCAATTCCTATTCCAGATGAAGTGCCTGTAACGACAATCACCTTTCCAGATAGCTTGCCCTCTACTGCTTCATCCTTGATAATCTGACGAGCGGTTGGACGAGCATCGCCAGGGCCAGCAGGATTCGAATGAGCTTCTGCGTACCGGGACATCGTGGTTGATAGAGAACTTGGGTAGGTTGGATCCGGGTAATGGTTTGAATGGAATCGATGGGCTTTGATGAGATATGCATTCAAATTTTTGGGGCACCGATCAACTATTTATTCTTTTCCGCCTCCAGACTTCTAGCCCACGTTCACATAATTTTGCTTTGCATTTCAAAGCACTCGGATTTAACCGGTAAAGTCCAGGACGCTGTAGACGAGAATGATGCTCAGAACGTGTTTGTATTTCAAAGCATCGGACTTCTGAAGGTTATCTCGGAGAGACCTAATTTTCTTCGCCTTTCCATACTTCAGACCCACGACCTCGAGAGATGACTTTTTTGCCATATCCGGCCTAGCCTTCCGAGCCAAAACCGCGGTCCCGCCTTCCGGGGTTGTCGGTGCCACCTGCATGGGCTCGACGGCACTTTCTCCTCTTTCGGCCTAGCTCGCGGGACTAGTTAATCCTTTAAACTTAGTTAGGGCACGGATTACCTTGTCTGTTTGCACCCTTCGGCAATTGTGTTACACGAACAGGACTTGGAAAATTCTAAACTCTGTAGATTAGCAGCTAATTTACGCATGAAAATGGTAAGTCTGTGGATTATGCGCTCAAAGCCTCAGTCGAACTGTTCTCCGCATCATCGATTATAAACTCAACCCCGTAACTCACCAGTAAGTCGCCTCCGCCTACTGTACGACCCCTGCTGGGTTACTGTCAAAACACCAGATGAAATGCGAGGTTTACCTAACAACTTCATATCCCAACAACCATGACTTATCCAAGCTCATGGTTTCATGTCATAGTCTCTCTAATAATACCAATTTTACAATAACTGGTGAAATTCTAGAGTCACTTCCATGCCAAAATGTGTCATGGGTTCTCATGCCGAAGAATGTTATTTACGCGTTGCAAAATGGTCACTGTGAGCAAGCGCGCAATAGGGGATAGTTTTCTTTAGTAATAAAGGATGTATTATAAGGTATCCGCAAAAGCTGCAAGTGTAATTCGAAAGTGAGGGCCTCGGGTGTTTTATGTCACACTATCCTCTCCGATGAGAACACGCTATTGATAAAATCTTGCAATAGCTGCGTCCCTACCACGGATAGAAACGAAGCCTGCTGATCTCGTAAACAATTTTCAATCTAGTTTACAACCTCTACCTCACTCGCGGTGGACTGTATCACATCAGCAACAGCCTCCGGCATACTGAGCATAGCCGAGTGGCTTCCAGCACAAGTACGTGTCCGCACTAGCCCATCACCGGGCATCGCTGCCATAGCTTGCTGCACAGCCAAAGGAAAACATGCATCTTTCTCGCAAAAGAGATACGTAGTTGGCACCTCACGATAAGCCTCATAGGTGAGTGGAGTGAAGAAGCTCGGTTTGGCGTGATAAACCAATTCAGTAGCATACTTCTTAGCCGTGTCTTCGTCAAGATCATTATAGAACTTGGGAATTGGATCGATGCAGTATGATTTTTCGCCCTATATATTTCAAAATATAAATTATTTTCCGGTCAATGGAACCTCCAGCCCAACTTACTTCAAAGGTCATAATTGAAGCTGCTCCCTCTGGAAGAGACGAATCGACGGATTGGCTCGCAGATATGAGAAATGCTGCCATATACACGAGAGCAACTACTCCACCCTTCTTACCCTGTGCAGCTATGTCTCTGCGTGTGCGGCCCTTGACGGATTCTGTGCCAGGGATACCGCCGTAGGAGTGCATGACCACAACCACTTTTTTCCCTTGGGAGACCAGGTCGTCCAAATATCTTTTCTGGATGTAGGCGGCATCATCGGCGACTGTTGTTGATGTTGGACCACCGACAGACAATAGTGTAATTGTTTTCACAGGATATCCCTGTGTCCGTAGAAGTGCTGCTACTGGTTCAAAAGTGCTTCCCCGGTGCCAGGCTCCAGGGATAAGAAGAATGGTTGGTTTCGGGAGAGACATATTCGTTATTCAGGACGTTGTAGATGGTATGTGTCGTCTCGGCCGGCCAGTGGCAAAATCTAGACAAATGAGACACAAAAGGTGAAATGCACCTTATGTGATGAGGGAGCCTGATTGTTCTGTAATGCAGAAAACCAAGGGGCCCTTTTGCCCATTTGACGTCTCCTCTCCGGGCTTTGAACATAACAAATGAGTTTACTAATCAAAGCCGAGGCTCTCCTTTTGATTACCGATCAGGCTGATTTTGAGCCGATTCTCCGCTGGAAAAAGGAATACCGGTAGAATGGGTCTATATTGTATTCATTTTCAGAGTGTATTTTTCAAGCTCTGCCATATGACGTTAAAAATAGGTATATTTTAACAATTACGCACGCAGTTTCTTACAATTTCTGCTGCTGCAAATTCAAGTAATGAGGGCAGCAGTTCAGTTCAAGTGAATGAAATCGCACCAACTATAACCCAAGCGAGGAAACAGCGGAAGCACTCGCAGCAGTTAGAAGATGATACTGAGTCGGCCACATCAAGACCAGTCAATGGTGGCCTCCATCTAGCTCGTCCGATTCCCTCGTTTCATAGTGCAGACCGCCAAGAAAACAACCCAGGAGGCAAAGGATCAGCCCAAAGTTATTCATCCTTACCAACACCTACCCTCTATATCGTCAACTGTTTAGAATCAGTGCCATACGCTGCATATAACAGTACTTTCCTTAATATCCTAAGCCGCTTATATATCCTATCTTCTTCCACTGCTCCTTCCCGCAAGATATCTTTTAAATGCTGGTTGTATCAAGCCTGTCTGAAAGACAGATATAACTTATTGCTAGATCTGACCTCTAACCCGGATAATGTGAGCCGGGTGTTTAGGCTCCTACTGACTCTGTCCACCTAGGATTATATAGTCTAGCAGGTGAAAGGACTTCTAGAGGATAGCTTAGACGAAGCCCTAGAGTTATAGAATATACCTTTCTTCTTGCTAGAGGGTGTAGGGAGCCACTATCCTCTAACGGATTATATAGGAAAACCTGTCCTTTCTCTGAATGCCTTGCCGATAAGTAATCTTATTAGTGCTTTTATACGTTAGAGAACAGAGCCAAAATCCTTCTAGAGTGACTATGACCTTATCACCGACCTTAGCCTTAATAGTGAGTAGCTTGATTTATATGATGTAGAGGATTATCTTAAGGAGAAAGGTATCTTCTTAAGTGCTGATACTGTATTTTGTAGAGTTCCTGTATATATATCCTTAATAGAGTTCTGGCCTTCCGACATAATAGGTGCTAATACTCAATATGTTATAGATGTGGACGAATTAGCCCTGGTATATAACTATTCTCTTACTGCGGATCTTATAGAACTACAGTCAAGAGAATGGGGATTAGATATATAGGTACTTTTTTGTTATACCACCATTCATCAACATATGAATGACTGACTAATGTCGAAAACTGGTGCAGAATGTAGATCTTTAAAATTATACTGATCTAAGCGGTTCTTGGATCTGGGATGTGGGACTATTCATTGACCGTACGTACTTAGTGAACCTAAATTAGTTGCTATTATTCTCTGACAAGAGCAGATCTCATTCAGTCCGGAATTTGCCTCGGTCGCTGCCCTGGGTTTCGCCGAGAAGACGCCGAGCATACATTCCGCCTCGAACTAAGTAGAAACTTCTTGGACTCTTCGATGTGGTGTGTTCATATTCACAGAAATAAGCCTGTACCCACAGATGTGCGCATATTAAGCTTGCTGTATACCTACGAGTATCCGGCTAGATTTGCTGATGGCTAATTCGGACTATTCATTGTCACTATAAGATACCATTTATTCTCAATGCTTTCTGCGTCGAGCCTGGCAATACTTGGAATGGAGATATTTCAGCGCATGGTGGGATACGCACCCCGTGTGTCATGATCACACAAGCCGATTTCTCGACTTGGGGATAGAACCATCCCCGGAGCACAGTGCCATCACAAGCTTTGAATTCAATGGTTTCACGAGCGAGGACCATTGTTGCAGAGATGTTGATTTTTCCAGGTGTAAGTCGAAACTGAAGAATGCCGAGTCGGCTGTTTGCGAACGACAAATATATCAGTAGAGGCGATGATATGCTACTGTTTTCCTGTTCCTTCGCGAGCCCGGTTTTACGAAGTATGAGTAATCCAAAAATCATCAGCCTCCTTAAGCTATTGATTACGCTAATTTAGCCGACCGAGGCTCAAATCATCAGCCAAGACATGAACCAAGTTTTTCATTATGCCGAAACAGGGATCGTGGTTGCTTTCTTCATTTTGATTGGTTTACGTGTGTCCAATCATATTAATTATATTCGATTGACAAACTAACCTATGTATACAAAATCAAGTTGGAATATATGGTAAGGAATATAGACGCTGCAGTAACCTCCTACGAAACTGGCTCTCCAATCGTTCAATGTAGTTTACGCACCAGGAAGCGATCGAAAAAATTAATAGGCTACTAAATTTCACAATAAACGATACAAAAAAGCATATGTTCATCCATGTGTTGACTGCATACTACTCTTGCTTGGTAATACAAAGTCTCATGTCGAAAATCGCAAAATAGTTTCAATCCATGGATAGAAATATATTAAAATGTGTCATACGCAACAGTCACAAGAACATATATTATTTGAATTTAACATATAAAAGAAGCATTTTTTTCTTCATATTTGTTTTGTTTAATATGTATATGTACCAGAAACAATAAGCGGTAATATGGTTAATCACCGTTTACTTTCCACTCCGTCCAGTTACTCGAGAGCTCTGGAATTTTGTGAGCAAAGCAGCATGTATACGCAATCAAGAGACATGCAATACAGTTCTCGAGGGAAGTTCGCAAGTATCCGCATTCGCCATCACATAACGCCCTCCACTTCGAAGCCTTGTTCAACCGACCAATCCAACCTCAAGAAAATGGAGCACCTTCCCCTGGCTCATCCACCCCCTAGAGCAAGTTTTCCCACAGTGGTTGCGGACTCAATAAGCTGATGAGCTTCCTTCAGCCCAGCAAGGTTCAACTTAAGACGTCTGTTGAGGTTTGGTACCACCTTTCCCTCATCTATATAACGGGCCAAGGCCCTAAAGATTCGCTGATAGTTCTCCACATTGGTGCGATGATAGGCTGATGAGCCTAACCAGTCCCACGAGAATGTCATTGACTTTGACATAAAATCGGTCCCATAGAGATCGAACTTGGCTTGCACGATTGAGCAAACTTTGGCGAAGGGTGCACAAATTTTGCCCAGGGCGTAGATATATTGCTCTGTCCTTGCGACCACATAGACGTACCTGGAATTAATAGTGTCAGTTTTTGAGATTCAAAGAACACGACAGCAAGAGAAGGGCGGAATATACCTGATTGGGACATCCAGATTCAAGGCTTTGATTTGGGACTCAAGATCCACCTTATGATTCACAACATGGGTGGCACCCATTTTCCTGCATGACTCCATGGTCTCAGGTCGGGATGCAGTTGCAATAACCACGGGAAGTTGCAAAACTTTCCTGGCGATTTGGATAGCAGCGCTTCCAACTCCGCCTCCGCCATTGATCTAGAACAGTCAGATGTATGTTCGAAATACAACCAAGGTAGCAACAGCCATTATAACACTGGCTCAGGGCATTAGTAAAACTTACAATCAAAATACCAACATTTTCGTTCTGCTTAATCTCCAGCCTGTCAACAAGAGACTGGTATGCCGTACCGAAGGTCAGGCCCATACTAGCGGCTTCCACGAAGTCAAGCGACTTCGGCTTCTCGGCACAGTGACGTTCATCAACGAGAAGATACTCTGCAGCACTGCCTTGGCGAGTAGTGGAGGCAACGTAAAAAATATCATCGCCAGGCTTGAAATTCGTACACTGAGGCCCAACCTCCAAAACAGTTCCGGCACCGTCAAATCCAATGATATGGAAATCCTTCGGCACAAACTTATAGTAGTCTTTATTCGATAAGTATGAAAGTCCAAAAACGAAGGGAACAGGATCATTACCTGGAGCGTCATCATAAGTCCCTTTGCGAACTTTCGTGTCGATAGGATTCACAGAACAGGCCTTGACTCTAAGTGACGTCAGAATTAATGTAACGGTACATAGAATGAGAATACTCACTGCACAAGAACGTCCATTCCTTTGGGGCTTCCCCGGTCGCGGAACGTCGCGGGACTCGAGATTGTCGACTGAGCCATACTTGGCAACTCCAATTGCTTTCATTGTTTTGGTTTCCATCGTGACAAAGGTTAGACTTTTTCTCTCAAGGAATCTACGAAGGGAGCACCTATTATATCTTTCAGAAAACCAGAATTATGTGGTTTCAAACCGAGGTTTGTGAAATATGATTAGATAATTCTGCAGCATTTATGATTATTCTTCATACTTCAGGGCGGTGATCACCGAACGCCGACCTCGGCACGCTGAAACATCGAGCCGCAACTTTAATGACAAACACTATTCTTCCAAGTTTGGATCCAGTCCAAATCAATGGAATGAGTCTTTTCCCCGGCTTTTGGCCTGTCCTCACTACCAGAGGATCACGACCAAGCTTAGACATGGAGCATGACAGGATGAGTTACGCGTCGGGTTATGAGGAAGCTGATCCGAAATTACGCTGCACACTTTGTGAAATTGACAATGGGGCCTGATGATCGAATTATCGGCACCGACCGAGTCTGCGCTGATCCTACCCGCTTTGCCTTCTGTGGCTTCCACGAAACCCCGCAAATTATGCAGTAGAGGACCAATCAACACTACTTTTTCGGAAGCTCTCGAGTATGCGCTCTGGTTTCTCGATCTAGACTGAAGGACGCGGGGATCAGCTAACAACAATATATTTATACAGCCCTTCACCCACCGCTCTAAGCGATACATACCTACGGGTAGCTATTATAATATTTTTTTTTCAGTCTACGACAACCCTGGGTCTTCTCTGAATCTTCGAATTCATGGCGGACCAGGCTATATCCACCTACACACCAATTGATGTTCCTCTGCCCCCTGCACCTGCAATCTCGTACTTCACGGAGCAGCAGTGGAAGACCCTTTACGCTCTAGCCGATGCAATTATCCCGTCTATTCGCACCGTTTCAACATCCAGAGGATCCAACGATACAGTCATTTCGCAAGATCAATGAAATACAGCCATATCAAAACTAGCACTTACCAGCCCTAGCCCTGAGTCGGTCAAAATATCTAGAAGAAGATGCTCATCGAATATAGCATTCCGAGCCTGTATTGAGCGCATCTTCGGCGACTTTGTGAATGACAAAGGACGGAGCAGTTTTAGACTGATTCTGAATGCCTTGAAGTAGTTTTCCTTCCCCTAACTAGCCTCATTGATAACCTACTGACGTCTGATCATGTAGTACCCGTGCTGGATTGTTGATTATGACCGGTTCAACCACACCTATCCATCAACAGTCCGTCGCTACCCGTGAAAGGATCATCAGTACGTGGGATACATCGCGCCTAGCCCCTTTTCGAGCTACATACCGGGCCCTGACTGCTATCGTCAAAAGGTCGTGGGTGCTATCCAGCCCGACAATCAACTCTGTGCTTGGCTTCCGCGTCCCTATCCATTTAAAGCCTGCCAAGGGATTCCGGCACAAATTCCTACACTTTCCTCCAAGCAATGAGCCAGGCAACGCGCCAGAAAAAATTAGAACCGACGTTGTCGTCATTGGTAGCGGCTGCGGTGGGGCCGTGGCATCGAAGAACTTAGCTGAAGCTGGATATCGTGTGCTTGTAGTAGAGAAGTCATATTCCTACTCCAGCGATACCTTTCCAATGGTGCCAAACGCAGGATTCGTAAATATGTTCGAGGGCGGCGGTGCAGTTCTATCCGATGATGGGTCCGTTGCTATCCTAGCAGGCTCAACCTGGCGCAGCGGCGGCACTGTCAACTGGTCAGCAGCACTGCAAACGCAGGCATATGTCCGGCAAGAGTGGGCTAATAATGGCTTACCCTTTTTCACCTCTCTCCAGTTCCCGCGAAGCCTCGATCGTGTCTGCGATCGCATTCGCATTACAGAGCACGTGTGCCACAACCGGCAGAATAACGCTCTTCTCGATAGCGCACACAAACTAGGCTATGCTGCCAAGCCGGTTCCACAGAACACGGGTGGCGAAGAGCACTACTGTGGCTACTGTATGCTAGGTTGTAACTCGGCGGCAAAGAAGGGACCTGCTGAAACGTGCCTCGTGGACGCTGCGAAGGCTGGGCGATCTTTATGGAGGGCTTCCGGGCTGATAAGGGTACTTTTCACTGAGACTAATGATGAACGAGTAGCATCAGACGTGGAAGGAACATGGACTTCACGAGACTCATATCTCGGACTTAGCGGAGAGGGCGCTATTCGACGCAAGGTAATAATTCATGCCAAAAAGGTGGTCGTGGCGAGTGGCACCCTGCAGACCCCCCTGCTACTTCTACGAAGCGGCCTTGCCAACCCACAAATTGGCCGGAACCTTTACCTACATCCTGGTAAGTTTCCTTCGTTGGGCTTGATCTAGATACTGACCTTGCTTCATAGTCCTGGCATGTGGTGCAGTTCATGAGGAAGAGACTCGGCCATGGGAGGGAACCGCATTAACCACAGTGGTGAACGATTTCGAGAATCTCGATGGACGTGGACACGGCGTGAAGATCGAAGCGTCGGCAATGGTCCCTTCTCTGATCGTCCCTGTTTTTCCCTGGCGAGGTGGAATAGACTATAAGTTGTTCGCGGCTTGCATCAACCATAGCACTGGCTTCATCACGCTCGCTAGAGATCATGATGGTGGGCGCGTCTACCCAGACCCGACGGATGGACGTGTACGTGCCGAGTATAGCGTCTCTTCTTTCGACCTGAGGCACATTATGGAAGGTGTCATTGCTTGCGCCAAAATGGCGTACATCACCGGTACAAAAGAATTCCACACGGCTTCTCGTGAAATCTCACCATTCATTCGGCCCGCATTCATCCAGAAAGACGCCTCTTATTCTCATTTAGAGGAACATGGCCTTGAAGGCATTAACAATTCTGCGCTTCGAAGCTGGATTTCTGAGGTCAGAGCCAAGCCGCTTCTTAGCCAGCAAGCTTCATTCGTCAGTGCTCACCAGATGGGCACATGCCGTATGGGTAGTTCTGCTAAGTCGAGCGTGGTAGATCCTACCTGCCAGGTCTGGAGAACTGAAGTTGTCTATGTTGTGGATGCTTCTGTATTTCCTAGCGCTAGCGGTGTGAACCCTATGGTTACTGTTATGGCTATTGCGGACTGGGCTAGTCAGGGACTGGCACGGAAGATGAAGACGCCAGAGAATGCGATGGCGCGGCTTTGAAGAACAACCATATTGCCCGAGGCCCTAGACCGCTCGATAGAAATGGGCGGGCATATGATCCGTGATTTCCCATCGCTATCAAAATAACACAAGCTGTTACGAAATATAAAAAAGTCCCTCATAACTACTAAGTAACTACACCCTATTCGCAGTTACTCACAGTGACCAGCAGACACCGCGTAACATAGAGAACTAGTGGATTCCGCCATCAAGAGATAGGTAACTTCGGCCTAGGTAGGTATTGGTAGTTATTTTTGAATAGCTTTAGTAAGAAGAGGATTCGTTTATGTGTAAATAAGCTCCTATATCTACATCAAAAGGTTTACATAACATATATAAATAAGCTATATATACCGAGGTACAATATATACGATTTAAGGAAAAGGAAGTAAAAATATATAGCCTGACGGTCTGTTACTCTACTGCTAAGGGAGTCGTTGGAATCAGTACTTATTTTCGTCTCTACTCAACGGCTGGTAAATAATCTAGATAGAATATCTAGAAAGGCCAATCCAGTGGTAATTATCTTTATATTAGACTTAAGCTAGAAGATTATGTTACTGTAGTATAGATACTCTTCTGCAAAGAAGGCTTTTTTAATTATTTTTATCTACGGGTAAGTAAAATCCACGAGAATATTGTATTTATGGTTAAAGATAATCTGACGTATCCTACTAATTATTACACTCAGATATCATCAAGCGAAGGGCATTTTATAGACTGTCACAGGAAGTCAGTCCTTGGCGAATATCTACCTTGAACTTGACCTTGACCTTAAAAAGAGGTTGACAGTTTGGTGCCGCCACTTGTCATGATCGAGTGCTTTCATCCACTAAACTAACTGGGTGTGGGTATATTTGTTTTCCAACACATCTGGCTGCCACCCCAATCTTCCGGCACTGGTTCTTAATTTTCCCCTCCTGGCGTCTACCAGAGAACTGACCCATTTATCTTCCACAGTTCCGCCGATCATTTTATCACCCTTTTTCAGGTAGGTGGTTGCGCCAAGGAGAGTTGGCTGAAAATTACCATAAATCGCCTCCCACTGCCCAGGTTCGGAGGAGAAGATTTCGTGATTAATACCAAGAAAATCCGACCGCTCCTTTGTTAGGGAGTTAAACCAGTCCCAAGCTTTCCGATGCTTCTCGCCGTACGCGAACCTGTGCACATCCTCGATAGAACGCCAGTAGGCGATAAAGTTGTTCTCCAGTGCGCCTCGCTCGTCGTAGGATTGCCAGTGACTCCCCCCCTAGGAAACCATTACTGCCCATGTTATCGTCAAGTTCGGATATCATCTTTGACAAGTGGTTCCCCATCGCCCGAGAATCAGTGGCAAAAACTCCAGCTGGGTGGTGGAATTTCGACCCAAGGTGGAAACAGACAACTCGCTCCGACGCAGGCACATCTGAAAATTCCCCATCTGCGTTAGGTATCTGGGCAGCGTATTTCTGTGGGACGACTCCTTCAAGGTATGGATTCTTTATAAGACCGTAGGTGATGAGGACTGCCTTGATCAAGCGAACTCCAAGAATGGCGAGTGCACCAAGCATGGGGATTTGTGCATATGCTGATGGTGTCAAAGCGAGAATGAGTGACTGGAAGAGGCAGCCAATGAGCAACCACGAGCTCAAGGAAAGATGGTTCAAGATAAGCCTCTCTAATGCAAGACCTCGAGTTTTTTGAGGCTTGACCCGAGGGGGTAAGATAGTGGTGAACGGCATGATGGCTTTGTAAAATAGAAAAGATTAAATTGTTTGGCTCGATCCCTTGGAAAGGGCACAGTCTATTTAGACTGTTTTTGGCTCAACCTGGAGCTGCACAGAGCGTTTTCCGGCTGAACCGAGGTCTACATATTTGGATTAGTGATCTTTATTCTAAAGTGAGCAGTGATTTAGTTGTCCCGCGGTTAATTCAGTTTAGACAGGTTTTGATCATTGATTACTAGTACGTACCATTTCTCTTAGGAGTGCTCGGATTTATCAGTAGCGATGATATATAATGAAGCGCAATATGGTGCTTAGCAACACATATTAAATTGTTTACCTCGTATGTCGTGGATTACTTATTGTTTCCAGTCCAATGCATCGGTTGATTCTAAGAAGTGCCGGACCCACGTTACATAAATGTATCTTTACAAAACGGTAAAATGCACCGCCACACGCACATGCTTTCAGTGTCTAGTGTAAATAACGGGTTTCATATAATGTATTGTCAGATTTCTGTTTTGTATTGTCTTGCTGATCTCTGAAACGACCTACAGTCTGTAACGGCCCCAGGCCCGATGGGATATCGCGTGGTGGCACGTGACCTTTTCCCTGCAGGAAAACAAGGTAGAAGCTTATATAGATAACTCTTCTTCAAGATTATTGTAAACAGCATACAGGTCTAGCCCTAATTGAACAGTTGTCGCTACAGCCCTTCACATAAAATAATCTTCCGATTCGATCAGTAATCATTAAAGCACCCGCGAAAGTCCTAGAGATCCTAGGCACACAAAGGTAGACCTGTGCAAACCCATGGGCATGCCCATAGGCAAACCCGCCCATGAATGGGCATGCCCTAACTGCCCATAACCCGCCCATACGTGGGGTAAATAGTAATGTTATGTGATTTATATAAAATATTAAGAATTAGGCTATATTTGATAGTATTGCTGCTGTATTGATCCTAGAGGAATTCTATACTGAATATTTTAGGTATCTTTATAACAAAGTTTACCAGAATTAATCAAATTAAATATAATTAAATCATTTAAATTATGAAAGACTATAGATACTCAATAGTATCTAATATAATAATACTGAGGCTAATATGTACTTAACAAACTAGAAAAAATAATCCTACTAAGGATAGAGATTATACTTAACCTAATAAAAGTAGGAAGCAGATGTAATGGTACTAAGGAGCTGGCTAGTGACCAGTTGACCCCGTGATTGATAGAGATTAAAAGCTGTAATATGTAGTAGACAATGAAACTGATTCTTGAAGAATCTTCAAAGAATCGAGTAGTACTCGCCTGTTTAATATAATAAAGAGTCTGGAGATCTATTCCAGATCGAATATGAATCAGGGTAGTATCAATATCGTTATAGCCTTATATTATCCAGTGATACTGGCAGAATCAACCTCTGTCGGATCTGTATCGTAATCATATCAGATATCTTGATAGGAATAGGCCGGATCTCTCTTATTCCTGATAGGGCTAGGGATTGCTACCAATTCGATAGATCCCGTGACGGTTGACGTAGGTTGTGGTGATGTCTAGGATTAATACAGCAGTAATACTATAAAATATAGCCTAATTCTTAATAGTTTATATAAATCATATGATATTACTATTTACCCTACTTATGGGCGGGTTATAGACAGTTAGGGCATGCCCATGGGTTTGCATAGGCCTAAGCTCACATAGGGTCGATCGGGCAGGATTCGGAAGAGACCGAAACTTCCAGATGGCAGCGGGCGTGGGTCAATCGATTCCAGATCTCTGAGCCTGTCGACATCCATAGTCTTTAGGGCTTCCGCTAGAGGGAAGCGTGCGTATGATCCCACATTGTTTCTACGATTCTGGGCTCTTGACAGGGCATTCCAAATGGGATATCACAAATGAAAGTTTTTTTACATGAAGCGCCTGACCAATAGGCACTAACCCGTATCTTTTTTTAATATGTTTTCAATTCATATTTATATAGAAATATAGATTTTTTATAAAAGGATAGGGCTGCTCACGATATCGCAACGATATCGCAATTTTGCAATTTTGCGATATCGTATCGTTTTTCTCGCAATCGCAATCGTATCGCAGAGGAAAAAAATTGCGATACGATATCGTGAGCAGGCCTATTTAAAAAGGGGATACTTATACGTCATGTTACGATCCGAACTAAGCCCCGGATGAATCCGAAGCAAAGGTCAGCTGATCGGCCCGGTGGCCGACTTCAACACGGCAGCATAGCAAGAAGCGCCCATGATCACGTGACTAGATGATCCAACTGAGCGCTCGACCTCAGTCTCAGTTAGGCTTGAGCAAGACTGATCAATGTAACTACAGTGCGAGTATCATTAGTATATAGGGAACTCGAGAAGACCATCGGTATTCTTGTGTTCAACTCATTGTTCATAGTGACTGCTTGGAACCCGACTTCTTAGTCACTTGACTTACACTCACGTGACGGTAGTCGCTTAGGTCATCAGATCTAACACATCCAACCTCCGGATGTCCACCTTCCCCGCCTAGTGCCTTACGTCCACGAGGTGCAAGTGCCTGAGCGCGGCTTTGTGCTTGAGCAGGAAGTTCTGGGTTTTCATCAATCACATGTCCACATCAGTACGTACAGAGTTGATCAGCATGTTGTCACCCGCGCGTCCCTGCTCGGCAGATGGCGACGACGCGTCGGACCTTGCTCGAGTGCGTGGTAACGGTGACGACGATCGAGGCGAGCCTCCGAGAAGCAAGAGGGCGCGAACACAAGAGCGTAGAGCGATGCAGGCATGCTTTCGATGTCGCAAACAAAAGCTACGCTGTCTTGGTCGCCGGCCATGTGTAAGATGCGTCAAGGCGAACAAAGAATGTGATTTCGGCAAAGGGAACGCGGGCAACATCGCTCACCCTCCGAATGTCACCATCGGCACTGCACAGCAACATGAACAACAGCATCAACAAGAGCGTAGAGCGATGCAGGCATGCTTTGCTTGTCGCAAACAAAAGCTACGCTGTCTTGGTGGCCGGCCATGCGTAAGATGCGTCAAGGCGAACAAAGAATGTGTCTTCGGCAAACCGGGACAAGCGTCCGCCACCCCGAACTCAAGCACAAACACGAACGGGAAGGTGGTTGAGGATGGAGATGGGGTGGCGGCTGGAGCTAGATTGGAGTACCTGGAAAGCCGCGTCCCCAACCTGCTGGCTGGTCTAGACGAGCCCGGCGCCAGTGGGGCCAATGGAGCTGCCCCGACCCCTCCTCCAGCTCCGTCTTTAGCCCCGCTCGCCGCTCCAGTGGTAGCCCCCGCCACGGCTCCTGCTGCTGCTCTCCCGGCGCCCGGGCCGCCGACCTACGATACTACAGCCTTTACGAATACTGCTACAATTCCTCTGCTCTCCACAACCGGTCCTCGAACGACCCAGGGGCTAGGGCAGGTGAGGTTTGGCAATTCGCCAGAAATCAACTTGATCTCGCCGCATTCCTATTCCAGCCGACCCGAGACAATATCGCCATCAAGAGAATACGACGCAGGGTCGCGCGGAAAGCACAAGGATAACGAGGAGGAGGCCAAGGAGAGGCTGGCTTCGGCCACCAGGGATGGATTTGAGCCCCCCCTTTCAGGCGCTGGTATACCAGGTAAGGCTGTCCGACCCGTTTTCCTGTGTGAAGGATAGTAGTCGCTGACTCGACCAAGCCATCGGTTTGGGAGAACCGGGAAGGATCAAAGCGGAACTCGCCTCTCCCTGACGAACAACCAGTGCACCCTGCCCCCATGCCACAATGGGGCGTACGAGACGAACCAGTCACCTCAGGTGTGATCGACCTTGACACGGCCAGAACCTTGTACACCTTGTCAGTGACCCGGCGCCCCTCTCTCCACCTTCCCAACTTCATGAACAACCACGCCGCTGACGTTTTGGCCCTAGTTTTATGAATCACTGCCACCCCTTTTTGCCCATTGTCGACATCACCCTTCCCGACCCATTTACCTCAGTCCAGCGCTATCCGTCACTCTTCTCCGCAATCTTGGCAATCTCCGCCCGGTTCTACCTCCGTCACTCGACCACATCGCACATTATCGACTCTTATGTCCCAGCGGCCCTCGCCGATATAGCCGAATCTCACCTCGCCCATACCTTGCTCCGGAAAAGACATACCTTGGCAGACGTGCAGGCCATCTTGTTGCTTGCGGCTTGGGGATTACAGAGTGGTGGAAAGGGGCCCGACGCGTGGGTCTTGACGGGGCACGCGGCGCGTGTCTAGGAGGCTGGGGATACATCGGGCCGTTGGGCAGGCTGTGGCTGCTACCAAGAGGGACGGCTCACAGCTCGAGGCTCCGGTTGTTGAGGTGGATGCGGCCGTGTGGCGACAATGGAGGACGTGGTAAGTGGCTACTCTGACCTGACTACCCTTTGGGAAGGAACCTATAGATCCCGTGGACGGGGCGCCGACTGACATCGTTTGTTACAGGCTGGCTTGGTTCAGGTACATCCCTCTCCTGGGTCCTGTTGATATTCGATCGGACACGAGACACGCACGTGAATGACTGACTCGGTGCAGCTTCGATTCCTTCCTTTCATTCGGGTTCGGTCGACCCCAATCCACCCAGTTCGAGTCCATCGACGACCAAGCTTTCCTCAAAGCCCGCCTATCTCATCCGCTCCCCCGGCCAGGCACTCCAGCCGGCTTGTCGCTATATGGCGACGCGTATATTGCAGCGACGGCTCGATTGGCTCACATCGCTCGATCATTCGTTTTGTGGGTAGAGGAGCAAGCGCCAGTTGGGTCTCTAGACGGCCAGTCTTTGTTGTCGATGTTGTCGAATTTGAACGGAAGGTTAGACGACTGGTGCAAGCTTTGGGTCTGGTCCGGTACGTCTCTCCCTCCCTCTGAGTGTTGTTTCGTGCGGAGACTGGGTACTTGGGAGGGGAAGGATGGCGGGATGTCTGTTGTGGCATCAGGCTGACGTTACAGGATCCTCCCATGCGCTTTATCTCGGCGCGTCAGCACGTATAGCCCGACTGCAGGCCGAGCACCTTCGCCTGAGCATCAATGCCATGGCTCTCCGCTCGTCGACTCACAGCGACGGTCATGAGAGCAGCGTTACATACCTTCGCAAAGCGCTCAACGCAGCGACGAGCACGATACAAACACATTTCGAATCGAGCCAGACCGATCTCGCTCTGAGCTTTGCTACGGACGTGAGTTTGCGCTCTTCCCTGCCCACCTCATCTCCCTCCTCCTCAGTCTATAGTCCCCTCAGGGCGTCGTCGTGCCTTGCCGTAGTCCGAATATGATCCAGGCTCCTTGCTGATTGCGTAATTATAGTACATGACCATGGCCTTTGCCCAAGCTGCAGTCTTTCTGATCCGCTTGACAAAGGCACCCCCCCCTCGTCCAGCAGGTAGTCTCGCTCGACCCCGCGGTCGTCAGCCATTACCTCACCATGTCGGTCGACCTGCTCGAACTGGGCGACATGTCGGAAACGCGCTTGTCGGCCTACTTTGCACGGACTATCCGAGGAATTTCGCGTGCCGCAGGACTCGCAATTCGTCCTGACGATTCCACGACTACAGCCGGTGTGGCTGGGGACGGACGAGGAGATCAGTCTTGTGTACCCGAGCAGTCAATGTCGCTGGTGAGCGCGGACGATGTAGGCGACGCCGGACTCGACGACGCCGACACATTCTGGGCGGGACATGACCCCTTCGACTTGAGCTGCGTGCTCGGCCTGTCGGGTGTTGGTGTGGCGCAGGATACGGAGTGGCTCGACCCGGCTCTGGGGAATCTGGGGTCCTTCACTCGACCTGCAACGCCTTGGAATATGATCTTTGGTACCGGGGAAGGATCTGTCTGACGTCGGGACCCATGTCGGCAGACCAGTCCTCTTCCGTGCGTCGTTTGCATTACGACGCTATAATACATACGTGGACGGTACAATATGCACGTGGCCGCCGCGGTCATACGTAGTCCCAAACCCCCTCAGACTATTCCCCTTCCTATCTCAAGTCGTGCAGGACAGCCCCGGTACACGACATCCGCACTCCCATACCGACCCAAATGTCCGACCTAAGATGCAGAGCGGCGGTGTTTCGCTCGTCTATACGCACGTCATAATGCCAGACATTAACTAACTGATCGGCGCGGCCGGCCGCCGAATCGGCCCGATGCCGAATTTCGCCTACTATGAGTGGGGGAGGGGGCTTTCTCGCTTGAGTACTTTCGGACATCCCGACTGCGCCTCTTTTGTAACGAGCTAGTATGTTCAGCAAGAGTGCAGCGATATTATCGCCCTGGAACGATAGTTGGAGAAGGAGGGTTATGCCGGAAAGTCAAAAAGCAAGACGAACGGCTAGACTAATGGTCACGCCTGAAGTTAACTTTCGCTGCGGAGTGAAGGCTAGACAGAGACGACGGAGGTGAGGGCGTGGGATTGCTACTCTGTATATATGCATATAGTATATGTATGCAATCATCGGTACCGTGCTCGCGGATTTAACTACAGCATACGGCACCCTTGTTGCTATCTCTCGTCAAGTGCTCGAGGCGACCTGTACCGTTTTGCATTCCCCTGATATAGCGGCATCCACCATTCTGCATTCCTCTGACGTATGAAGCTGGAGTCAGGGCCGCGTCTATAGGTAACACAACAAGCACTGAACCCTCACAAGACGATCAAGCAGAGTACAATCTTGCGACAACGATCGTGCTACATTGTCTGACACCTGGAGCTATCTTCAAGCAAAATTCTTAGCTACAAGCGCGACCTGACGTTCTGGTGTAGTAGCTTGATCCTCAACTTCGCCAGCCCGACGTCTTGTAGGACGGCGTCGCCTAAACCTGCGGTACCGCAACCGGAGCGCCACCCTGCTCGGCTGAACGATATCCCGCCTCGACGACTGACAATGCGCGCAGCGCCTCCTCGAGACCGACAAGCGGCGGCCGGCCTGCGCGGCAACGTGCGAGCGCGTCGCGGAAAAAGACGGGATAGAATTGATCGGTGTTATACTCGACAGTCGTGTGCCGCAGCGCGCCGTCGGTGGACTTTACAACGATCTGGTCGGCAAATCCCTGGAGATATGCAGCATCGTGAGAGACCGAAAAGCCGAACTCGCGCTGATCATCGGGTGTGCCGGGTACAGGTATCCCGTATGGACATGAGCAATCTGGCCAGACGCCATGGTTACTGTAAACATGGCCAATTCGTCGATGTCGATGTCTTTGCGGAATGTCTTCGTTTGCGCCGTGACCGAGATGATTCGACTTTCGGTCAGCGATTCTAGGAGATCGAAAAAGTGCACGCCGACGTTGAGGACGGATCCACCGCCAGCCGTGGCTTTGGCCAGCATCCACTCGCAGCCATTTGTTTCGTATCGAGTGGACGATCCGACAATGAAGCGAAACGACAGATGCCGGTAGCCAGTAGGCGACAGCGTACCACTCTGACTGAGCTCGCGCGCTAAGTCGCTCACACGTAGGATAAACGGGACGGCGACAAAGAGGCCAGCCTTGTCCGCTGCTAGACGCAGCGCAGCAACCTCGGCTGTGTTCAGCCCACAGGGCTTTTCAATCAGGAAGGGCCGTCCTTTGTCGATGACCATTCGGGCGGTCGCCGCCATCTCGGAGTGCCGGCTGAAGATCATTGCGAAGTCAAAGTCGAGATCGAGCAATTCGTCGCGCGACAGTAGCGGGCAGTCGAGCCGGCGAGCCATTTCGGGACCCGCAAACCCCTTGTCATCGCAGATGCCAACGAGTGTGATGCCAGGATCGGTCAAGACGGGAATGTAGAGCGGAAAATGCCAGTGGCTAACATCGAAAATGGCGATTCGCATCATTGATATAAGTATAGTTGATGATCTTGTGTATAGCAAAGCCTGGGTATTCCATTTGACTAGATCAAGTCCGCGAGAAAAGGTGCTGTCGGACCGGTTAATACCTTGGGAAGCAGCAGAGCTACAGCTGAGGGGCAGACCGGGATCTCTCCGATATCTCCACACCTTATCTCGGTGTCGGGCCGATAGTGCGGGGCCGATGGTGCGGGGCCGTCGCACTTTTGTGTAATTCTATCCACTTGAACTTGCTTGATATATATCTTGATCCCGAAGGGAATCAGTCATTCTGCCATTTGTGAAGACCCCAACTCGACGGCTTGCTCACACGTATAAACATATCAACGGCAGCCCTCTGCGTCAACATGTCCACGAGTCGTGTTATCAATGTCGCTGTAGGTCATCGCGGCAGACACGGTCGACTACCCAGCTCACATAGCGCAGGTCATCGGTGCGGGGGAGATCGCAATGTGCACCCATGTAAGGCTCCCCATGTGTGCAGTCGCAACCTGTCCAGCTAAATCCGGCCTCTAGCTGCCTACCCTCGGCTTCCTTTCGCACATGTACGAGGTCACGGCAATAGTGGATGTTTCGAAGCAAGCCTTGGAGCACTGTGCGCGAAAGTTCAACATCCCCCGCACATTCACAGACGTGTAGGTTAGGTCAAATTGGAGGCATGCCCCGGGTGCTCACGTCTTCAACAGGTCGGAAATGCTGGCAGCGTGCTCCGACGTAGATGTGGTATTGATCTGTCATTCCGAGTGAGTTTCCCTTCCCGAATGATGTCGAGTATGCGCGATTGCTGATACTGAGCTCAACATTCAGCGAGTTCCACGTAAGGAGATTACCGGCCAGACGTATCCTAAATATTAGCTCATATAAAGCCAGAGCGTACACGCAGTGCAATGTCTGAAAGCCGGCAAGCATCTCTTTATAGAAAAGCCGATGGCTCAGACCTTGCGAGAAGCGGACGATATCGAGACCGCACGCCTCGCTTCCGGCAAGTTGGTCTTTGTCGGCTACATGAGACGATATGCGACCGCGTTCTTGAGGTTTAAGGAGGCCGTGGGCAAACTGGATCCAGCCCAGATCAACTACGGTAGGGCTCTTTTCTAGGGTTAGAATCATTGCTGATTGCTCTAGTCCGGTTCCGCAACTTTACATCGAGGGTGAGTAATGTTCACTCGATGCCAATGGTTTCTACACTAACAAGCTTCTGTAGGTCAAGGATGGGATTATCTCACAGAGCGGCACCTACTCACAACGTTTCTCGGGCAAGTCTCTCCGAATGCCCCAACGTGTATGATCGTCCGCTCACTGAATGCAGATATCCCTGAGGAGGCTTCGGCTAAGAGGCGTCAAGTCGCCACGAGCCAATTCGAGGAGTACACGGGCCTCGACTACAAATCGCCGGTCGCGCAGTACATTCGGGCTTGCAAGTTCCACATCTCCCCGCACGACCTAAGCCTCATGCGAGAGCTGTTTGGTCTTCCTCGCCATGTCATTGCAGCCGTGCCAAGTGCTCGGGGGGAACTTTTTGTCCATTATGCTGCAGTAGTAAGTTAATCCCCAAGCCAAGCCATGGAGCCGGCCCAGTGCTAATCATTACTCGTAGCGACGGCTTTGTTCTTGCGTATGAGGTGAGTCTAACGCACAGTATCAAAATCGTGTGCAACGCGTTCAATATACTGACCTCTGTAGTCTGGCGAGGATGCGGTCTTGTCTGTGGACGCGACCGTCGAGGTCCTGGCTCAGCACCAGCGACTCAAGCTCACCTTTGACTCGTGAGTCTACTATCCCATTACCCCAGTCAACCGGATTGCTAAGGTTTAGGCCGTATATCAAAGGTTTGCCAATCACCGCGACTACGCTCTCCAGGCACCCCAACGGGGACTTTTCTGAAGAGACAATCCGGCCGACATACGAAGACTACTACACGTTAATGTTCAAAGAGCTGCATCGCTGCCTGAGCGGCGATGCAGAAATCAAGACTACCGTGCTGGACTGTGAGTGTAGAGCAGACCCAACTAGAGCAGTAGACTGACTTCATTCTCAGCTCGGGAGGAAATTAGCATGCTGAGCGATATTCTGAAAGTCTTAGCAGAAGGATTCGAAAAGAGCCAGGAGATTAGCAGGGACCGGTAGAGTATACTGCCAAAAGTCTATTTTGTATACATGATCGTCATCTTTCCTGTTGCTGTTGCGGCGATCACTGTGATGAATCACGTGAAATCCGTATCTAGTGTCGGCCACAGCCATTACAATAGCTTCCTCTTTGTCCCTCATGCTTAGTATTCTCGCGAATGCCACTACTTTGTCGCTCGATACTGCGCTAGCTACACATCGTAACCAGGCGCCTCACAATCACATTAGGCCAGGCCGAGGATCACTTGACTGTGCGGCTATTCTCTTCACTTGTGATTCCCCCGCTCAGCTCATAGCCACGGTGAGCAAACGTGTCGACCTTGCCTCCTAGGTCTGCTAGGCCGCAGACAAGGCGCAGCAGCGTGCGGTTCTGGGAGGCTTACTATCCGGATCAGCTTTGTACAAGTCAAAGCCGAGGCAGGAGTTTGGAGAAGAGTTACCGAGCTCGTAATAACCTGGGACGAGGCCCGGGACAAGAATGGTAGGAGGATGTTATATACACGGGTAAACACCCCTTTGCACCATAAAGATCGCTTGACCCGCGCTTGAGTCACGTACCGTATAGGTATATATTAAATCAAAGATTATACTTAAAATTCAACTCAAAATTCAACGACTCTGGCAATCATAATCCCTCTTCGCTGCCACGTCCACGAGACCCAAATGCCGTCCTCGTCATCTTCCTCCGTAGGCGTCAAGCAAGGGTACCTATGTATGCTAGTCAGCCAACAAACATCTCCTCATCCCAGCAGCTCGTCAGCGAAAGCCCCCAAGACACTCACGAAAACTCAGATCTCCCGTCGTTCACGATTCCCGTCTCCAAGGCAATGACTCGCTTGAAATCATCAGGCGGAGGCGCGTCCTCGAGCGTTGCCCAAAGCTTCCACGTATTGCCGTCATCCTCGCTGATCGCAAGGCATAGCGGTGTTCGCGGGCCCCAGTTTTGCGTCTGGTAGTTGCCGGCCCTTTCATTGCGTCAGCTCTTACACTCCCTTGCACGGTCAAAATGCAGACTCACCAGACAACTCGTCCATCCCGCAAGGTCGTCACGCAATGACCCGAATTGTTGTTGGGTAGCGATGTCCTATACGCTGGCCCCCACGTTCGGCCATAGTCGGTGGAGTCCGCTTGGATAATGCACCCAACACTGGATCGCATCGTCATGTGACAGTGTCCCGGCTTGCCTTTGGACTCCCATATCCCAGGTTGAATGACACCCTCTCCGGGGAAGCTGCCGTCGGCCTTTCCGCGATCAGAGGGAAGCTCGATGAGATCGGACCGGATCCACTTTTCTCCTTGCTTAAAGTCGTCGCCGGGCCTGGGTTTGGGCGCGACGTCAGACCAAGCGTCCTGCAAACGAGGATAAGCCGATGCCTTGAGAGGTTGTCCGGGGGGGATCTGCAATCTGCTAAAGGGAACGCACCCATACACCGTAGGCTTCACTGCCCGGCGGGTTGGTAACCTCGTACGAGCCCGCCGAGAGCCAATCGCCATTGCTCAATACGATCGGCGGATTCTTCTGTGGCCCTCTGCCTCTTTTTCCGTCTGGTCCGGGAACAAGCTCTCTCGGTACAGACCAGGTCTCTCCACCATCGTCGCTGCTTGTCCAGAACGTAACCCAGACGGGAATAGGCGTAAACTTTTTGAAAAAGACGTGGAGTTCTTGCGGCCGAGAGCGGTCCGGGATAAAGAGCACCGGATTCCAGTAGACAATCTCCTCGCCATCTTTATTGCCGGCGATTCCCCGAGGCTTGGTCCAACTGCCATCGGTATTTTTGGAGAACCTGCCCATGTCCTTTAGCTCAAATGCGACTGGTCGCAAGCTTCAAGGTGAGAAAGAGGGCACTGACCAGATCTTTGTGTCTATCGAGCCCTCGTAAGACCCTCCGAACCAAGTCGAATACTTGACACCGCCAGCCACGGCAATGTTGGTGCAGTGGATCGCTGGAGCTCGTTCATCATCCTTGGAGACCGACTCAGGAGTGACTAGCGCTGGTTTGTCGGTGCGAGCGCACTCGGCGTACGTTGGGACTTTGGGAGCGTGCTCTGCAGACATGGCGGGGGCGCAAACAAGTGGGATGAGAGTTCAGAATAGGTCTTGAGTGATTACAATTGTTACCGATTGAGACGCGTCACTACCAAATTATACTGCTTCACGCTCGCGGATTGAGTTAGTCGGCAAGTCTCGGGCCGGCCGAGCATCCCGAATCCCACCCCGCACCATATGCGGGGCTGTCGGAGGGTACCCGATACCATACAGAACGGGGATTTCTGTTTTATCATGAAAGAAAGGGTGCTTTTCAAGTAAATACCGCGCCTATTTGGCAGATCCATCCATGGCCGCCATTGCGCGCCCGCTGGCGCAACCGGACGACAGCGTGTCGCCGGGAGTGACGCGTCCCAGCCGTTCACGCGCTTCACGCACCGAGGTCGATTATCGAAAACTGCACCGAGGAACGCCGGCAAACGAGGAAATTTCGAGTCAAGGGCACTGATAAAAACAGCTATGTCCAAGAGTCTCGGTTGGAGACGATATTGAAGCCCGTCGCCGGCGTGCACGATTCCGTGGACGAACGCTTCGCGCTGGTTCAGGGGGCCATCGACCAGGTACCGGACATTGGGCAAGTGAAGGTGGCCGTGTCAGAAGAGGTCAGGGATATGGTGCAAGAGTAGCTGAAGGTCACTGTGCAAGGCGAAATCGTACATGCCATTGGGGAAGAAGTCAAAAGAACGGTGCAGCAACAGGCGAGTGAGGTAGTCCGCCGGGAAGTCACGCAGGTCGTGCAGCAAGAGATCATGAACATTGGCACCGAAAAAGTCATTAGTATCGTTCAACGGCAGGTCACTAGTATCGTTCAGCAACAAGTCAGTAGTATCATACAGGAGCAGGTCATGGCCATCGTTGAAAAGCAGCTATCCGGTATTCACCAGTCGAGCCCGAACCCATCGTATGCCGACGTTGCGCGTACGCCGCCCGGCAGCCACCCCAGTAACCTGAAGACAATCTTCAACCAGACAACCCCTTTAACTTTCACGGATACGTTGCACTGCACCGTGGACGTGTCTAATGTGGAAGAGGCGGAATGGAAGCGAGCGCAAGGAAAATCAGACAATTGAGAAAAAGATGCGTGACAAAGAGGAAGGAGGCGTGTGGCAGTCACGGGACCCCCGCAACACTGGTCGCATCCGCATCACCCGTCGGGACTAAATTGAGCTTGGACGGGTGAAGGAAGCGGCCGAGAAGACCGAAGTGGCGGGGGCAGCGGGGGCACGCATGCTGCGGGGTGAGTGGTGCCCGGTCAAGGTAGACAATGCGTGCCGGACAGCGGTGCTGGACGAGCACGGCGAGCTTCGAGCAGATATTGTAGAGAGATGCTGGAGAAGGAAAACTAGGTGAGGATTGCAAGAATGTCGTGGCTCAGCCAGAAAGATCTACCAAAGGCGTACGGATCTATGGTCGTGTATGTAAACAAGCGCGCTGACGCAGCGAGTCTACTGGAAGGCCAATACTTCAACGAGGATGGAGAGTCGGCCTTCACCCGTGTCTTCGAGCCCAGGCGTGGACCGATGCAGTGCTTCAGTTGTATGGGTGTCGGGCACTAAGCCTTTTCGTGCACGAAAGCGCAGCTTTGTAGCAGCTGTGCTCAGCCAGGCCACCGCCATAGTGAAAGCCAAGCAGAGGAACCTAGGTGTGCAATCTGCGACAGGCCTCACGAGTCGTCTAGCCGCCAGTGTCGTACTCTCTACCCGGTGAATGATGTCTAAGCCGATGCACATCCTGCAAATAAATGTGCGGAAACAGCGAAACGTGCAGCACAGCTTGATGAACGACCCAAGTCTGAAAGAGTGCGTGGCCCTGGTAATCAGCGAGCCTCATGTTTTTGAGATGGATGGGAAGGTGAGGATGAGCCCGATGGGACATCAGGGCTGGACGGCCATCCTTCTTTGCGAGAGACACGACGGCAGATGGACGGCGCGAAGCATGCTGTGGGTACGCAGGGATATCGAGTGCGAACAGGTGAGTGCGCCATCGGCAAGGACAGACTGTTACAGCGGCTAGCGGCTAGAGGCATCCAACCGGATCTGGTAAACTGGATCAATGCCTTCTACTCCGGACGCACAGCGACGATCGTGGTGAACGGTCAGGCAAGATTCTGAAACATGTAACGTATCTCGAAGGATTCAGCAACCGCGTGATCTTTGCATGGGCACTAGTAAATCCGATTTTTGAGCTAGGGCAAAGAGCGAAGCAGTTGGCGCAGCAATCTACTGACGAGGGGCGAGTAGCACAAGACACCGAGTCAGACTGAGCAAAAGAACAGTTCAGAACGCCCAAGAGCACCTGGGGAGAGCGACTCAGCAGGTGTGGACAACGGCCGGAGAATCCATGCGCAGAATCGACGCTGCCTGGCCTGGCGATCACACTCGGCAGATTTACGACGACCTCAGCAAGAGACAAGCGAACATTCTCACACAGCTCCGCACAGACATAACACCACTGACGGGTATCTACACAAGATCAAAGCAGTTGGAACGAATCGTTGCGATTGTGGTGAGGCAGCGGAGTCAAGAGAGCACTTCATCTTTCACTGCGACAGGTGGAGTGAGCAGAGGAAGTTCTTGGGCGTGTGGATAGACGAAGACAATCTTTCGCGTCTGCTCGAAGGCAAGTTCACCACGCATAGCGATGACTGAAAACCGGACATGGATGCGGTGCGAGTTGAGATCCGCTGGATCCCCGCACATGTGGGTGTGCCTGGCAATGAGGCGGCGGACGCTGAGGCAAAGTTTCCGGCAGAATGCGGGGGTGGGGCGTATTGCGGTCCTGTGACCCGATTGGCCTTCTCCGTGTGGCGCTGGGTGCGGTAGCGGATCAAGATCTGGTGGGAGAAAGCCCGGGCGAACGAGAGAACAGCGTAGCGATACCGCCAGTTGCTAGGGGTGAAAGATGGGCCTTTGAAGAAGCTTCTGAAGCTCTGGGAGAATCTGCCCAAGGTGTATTCGTTAATCCTGGTGTAGATGCGGTCCTAGCGTATCGGGTTACGGTATTTTCTGTTTGAATACGCTAATCAACGAGGGGAAGAAGACTAATGCAATAAAGACCGGTGTTACTGCAATGAGGGTAGTCAGACACTCTGGTATGTCCTCTTATAGTGTCTGTTGTACACTAGCGTGTAGGAAACTATGTTGAACAAGATCTGGTATAAAACAGATCTAGGGTAGATAACTGATTACAATACTATTGTATCAGACTCACAGGCTATTTGCTACGTAACTGAATTCATGCACTAAATAGGACTTCTCGGATAATTCTACTATGTGGAACATAAGGATATCAACGTAAACATTAATATACTCAACGGGAGCGGGCACTAGGAGGTAAAGACACTGTATATAAGGAAGAATACTGTTAACTAACAACTATAAGAGGTTATATAGACAGAGGAGCTACTACACTAGTATAGAACAAATGCAGAAGGAATCAGGGCATAACTGAGGTTATAGCTGTAGTGGTGGGGATAGGGGAGACAGTAGATGGCTGTAGAGCGCTGGGCGAGCTAGCAGTAGCCGATTACATTTATTGTGGGAGTTTTGTTACCGTTTTGGGGGTTTGATTACATGTTTTACCATAGCAACACGCCGTATCTCCTTTGTTTTTGTTACCGTGGGCATGGCGTTTGGACAGGTTCTGGTTTCCGATGGAGTAAACGCCTATATAGCGACGGCGCTCACTAGCTAGGCTGCATTAGGTTAATAGAATCTTGAATTGAATTGAATTGAATTGAATTAAATTGGATGCGGTGAGAGCTCTGATCAATTTCACCCTAGCGACTAAAAGATTCGAGCACGACACCAACGAACCATGTCGAACGACGAGATAGATCGCGAACAAAGATCGGAGAACTTTACCCTACGGACCATCAATACCGCACCACCCCACGCACCCTCGTGCACACGGCAGGTTCCCCCTTCATTTGCTAAAAACACAGCTTCAAGAGTACCCGCCAACCATTAATTACGAGAACTCGGAAAAAGGCAATACACACTGTTAGATGGCTAGAATGTCAAAGGGCAGTGTGCATGCAGTTCTGTTAGGTCTAGCCTTCCCAGGATGCGCGTAAACTTTGTGACGTAGAAAGTGTTGCCCTTTACGTGCTTAGCCCCGGGCGGAATAAATCCTTCCTCCTCCTGTCGGTGGGCTAAGGGAAAGATGAATAAGGCAGAAAGACGCCAGTCTACGGACTGCATGCAGGCAATATGACCAACTTCTCCAATGGCCATATGAAGGCACGACATTGCTTATACTAAACATACGTCCATTCCTCCATCCGAACGCCGTCGTTCGATCCAGCCGCCATCAGGCGTCCCCCGTCAACCGTGAGTCTCGCGTTATTCATGTAACCGCCTGCCGCCGAAGCCAAAAGGAGGCAAGGCCCAACTATCTCTGTTTCTTAGTCCCGCTCGCCCAGCTGGGCATCGCGCAACTGCCTTTGCCGCTTGGGGATTGGACTCGATCAGATCGCTCAGATCAGGTTTCGCAGAAACGCCAGTCATTTCGGAGGGGAAAATCCCGGGGAGAATCGTGTTAACCCGTATCTTGAAGCTGTTGAAAGACGCATTAGCACACAGAACCTCGAGTACTGGAACGTCAAACTTGCGGTGTGAATCGCGAGGCGAGCAGACTTGCACAGTGTAGTGTCGCAGCCTAGCCAATTAGTGTCGATTCGATTGGGAGACGACGTGAACTCACCTTGGAGATGGGATACGACAATGCTCCCACTGTCCTGGGCGACAATCAGCCTCGGCATCCCAAGCGAAACAATGTGTGGTGGATGACTTACCGCTGTAGCATCATTCCTGCTATGGAGGCAATGACTATGACCGTCGGAGCTGATGACTGTCGCAAGAGGGGAACCATCCTCGTGCTGACAAAGTAGACACCATTGACATTGATTGAATAGGTCGACTGAAAGTCGTCATCGTCGAGACCATGCCACAACAGCTTCTCGACTGCATCGGGATCGTTATGTCGGCCGTCAAACTCTGATGCTTCGGCTTTCCAGGCGCGATTTATCCCAGCGCAATTGATCAATACATCGACGTGGTCCTCGAGCGTCTGCAGCGCAGTCACGAACTCATCGACTCTTTGTTTAGACCCAACGTCGCCGGGTAGTCTCATTGCAGTCAGCACTCGCGATGGTGAGGTGGTTGGGCTGGGGTGGGGGCAAACGGTAAGGAGGGATCGCTCACGGTATGACTTTGCCTCGACTCGTCGCATTGATCTCGTCTGCCGCCAAGTTTAGGACATCGACTCTTCTTCCCACAATGTAGACCTTGGCGCCGTTGAACGCAAAACCGCCGGCGATTGCTGAGGAGGATGTGAGCGAGGCACAACGCAACAGCCGTGCAGAACTACGTACCTTTTCCGAGTCCTGAACCTCCTCCGGTAACGACCACAGTCTAGACACGTCAGCAGCTGCAGTTCTACGCCGCGATCGACTTACTTTTCCCTCGACAGAAAACAGCGAAGACAAGCTAAATGATTCGAGGTCGAGCATTGCAGATGCGTTTCGTGATACGAATTTGTGAGGTGGTGATGAAGAAGAAGAAGAAGAAGAAGAAGAAGAAGAAGAAGAACACCTCTAAACAGGAATCTGCGCGTTATTGTGACCTTTACGGCCAGAAGCACCACCACTTTGCGCTGATATGATCAGAGCGGGCCGACAATCGGTCGGTCCGAGTCAGAGCCGAAGACGCCTTGGCAGCTACGGCCAGGAGCACCACGACTTTGCGCTGATGTAATCTGAGCGGGCGGACAATCGGTCGGCCCGAATCGGAGCCGAAGACGCTTTGATAACTAGGCCCAGACCTCCCTGACCATCATAAATAACTATCTCCCGAACTTTCAGAACGGGCCTTCAAACACTATCGATTCGACCATCAATCAAGATGGGATTTGGCATAGTCGAAGACCGCCCAACACCTTGTCAGTCTTACCAATCTGCTTGAGAGATGTCTTATCAGTGCTGACTGTGTGATGTGCAGCCGAGGTCTATAATTGGCGAATCTACACATTTGCAATCGTAGCGTCGTTTGGAGCTCTCATGTTTGTGGGTTCACGGCGATCTTTGTATCATGGGTCAATAAGCTAAGCTCTTGTCATCAGGGTTATGATGGCTCATTCTGGGGAACGACGCTTGCCCGAGCCAGCTTCCAGGAGGTAAATCGACAGCATGCAGATGAATCTCTCTACCTTCTCGGCTGACACGCTTCAGCATTTCGGCTTCACGGACATGTCCGCTTCTGCCAGGACATCTAACACGTCAAACCTTACCTCGGTCTACCTCGCTGCAGGTTTCTTTGGTTCGCTCTTTGCCTGGCCGTCCAGCGAGACGCTTGGCCGGATCCAGGCAATGCAGGTCACCTGCACTGTCTTTTTGGTCGGTGCTATCCTTATGACAGCTGCGACCTCGAGCTTGCCAATGATGTATGCGGGGCGAGTCTTGACTGGCTTTGGCGTGGGTGCCTTGACGGGTATTATCCCGTCCTACATCGCCGAGGTAGCTCCTACCGCCATCCGTGGACAATTAACTGGGTGAGTTATTGCTTCTTGGCGCCTAACGCTACGAAGAGAGCCATGCGCTGACAATTTAGGTATTTCGACGTATGTATACGTCTCTACTGTCAAGATGTGCTGTGCTTACCGCCCCCTTTATTCTACAGGTAGCGTACCAGGTCGGGTCAGTGCATTTCACAGTTTGTAAAGGTGGTGACGCGCGGCTCACATTGCTTCCAGCTCTTTGGTCGGGTTCTGGATCAACTACGGGATCCAACAACACATGGGGGTCGACGCGGTGATCACATTCCGCATTCCCATGGCCATTCAACTCATCCCCGGAGGTGCTTTGGCCTTGGGAACGCTTATCCTTCGAGAATCGCCTACGTTGCTCTGGCGAAAAGGTAAAAGGGAACAAGCGATCCAGAACCTCTGCTATCTTCGCCAACTCCCCGCCGACCATCAATATATGCTGGAAGAAGTTGGCAGGATCGAGGCCAGGCTGGAGGAGGAAGAACGGCTATCTGGCGGCCGGACAGGCTGGGTGGCTCTACTGCGTGGTTCCACGGCCGAAATGAAGACTTCGAGTATGCGATACCGGCTGTACGTTCCCCGCACAGAAAATCTTTGGCGTGTGCTGACCACCGCTCAGCGCCATAATTGTTGGAATGTTTATGTTCCAGAACTGGTCCGGTTCCATCTGCATCAAGTGAGATATGCTCCCATGGTTGAGGAGTCCAGACGACTCGTTGCTGATCTGCCAGCTACTATTCTCCGATCCTGTTTAAGTCGCTCCTCCTCAGCGACGTGGCGCTATACACTGGCATCTATGGAGTCTGCCGGTCTGTCGCAGCTATTGCCTTCTATGCCTTGATCGTGAGTCGAACGGAACGCCGGTTTTGCACCTTCCCAACCCGACTGACGCAACGCTCAGGTGGATCGCAGTGGACGTCGAATCCCCTGGCTGATCTCCGCCTCGGCATGCTCCCTGGCACTCTTGTACATTGCAATCTTTACAACTGTGGCCGATACAACCCTAGGAACCCCTTCTGCCTCTGTCCACGCCGCCGGTACCGGCGCAACCGCGATGGTGATGCTTTACGGAATCTGTATGTCCCCGCATCCTCCTCGCTGGTTTCCACCAGTTGCATTCAGCTGACAACGACATAGTCTGGAGTTTTGGAGGGAACGGTCTACCGTATGCCTGTCAAATTCTTGTCGTGGCGAAGCGATTAAGCTAACATTGATCAGATGGATCGTCGCCGCAGAGATCTTCCCCGCCCGACTCAGGCCAATCACCGGTGCCTTTGCCGCCTCTCTGCAGTGGCTCTTTAGTGTATGTCATCCCCCTTTCTTGCACAAGTACTTGTCTCCGGCTGACCATGTATGATTAGTTCATCCTCACATTGGTCTTCCCGTACATGATCGAGTCTGTCGTCAACGCAAACGGAACTTTCTTTTTCTTTTCAGCCCTCTGTTTCTTGACCGCGTAAGTTTTGGCTGTTTCATCAAAAGTGGCTGCATTGGGGTGGGAGCTGACGTTGGTACAGCGTATTCACCTTCATCTGGGTTCCCGAGACCAAGGCAGTGCCCATCGAGAGTTGCCAGGCGTTGTTCTCTGGCAAAATGCGGCATGCGGCCTGGCGAGCCAAGAAGCTCTTTCCACCGAACGGTATTCCACCCCTTCCCGAGAATATCGCGGCGGGCGAAGCGGCGTACATCCAGGCGCATCGGCCATCGTCTCCGTCTCATGAATTTATCAAGAGCAAGAACGAGAGTGACCACATCGAGTCTGTTTGAACAGCCTTGTCTACACCGACAACAAGATGAGGAACATGTTTGGTGTATTGAGAGAGAGAGCTGTGGTGATGATAAAGAGCGGAGGATCATTCGGCACGCACGATTCCGAGGTGTACGTTGAAAAGGGTTGATACTATACGGAGTTTAAGGACTAGTGAATTCATCAACTCATCAAGGCTCATCTGTTTCTGGCTACAGCAGCATTCCCTTCTCTTCTGTGATCCGTCTCCTCTTCTCATTCCTCTCTATCAATCATCGCACGTCCAAGACTAATAATAGTACGCTTATGAAGTGGGCACCGAGTATATAGTTGGAAACCCGGCAAACGTACTACTCAGTCTCCGTGCGTATGGCCGCACTGTGTCCCGATCTGATGGACCTGCCTTTTGAGTGGAGTGGTCTGAGGAAGGAAGTATAGTCAAGTGGGATCATGGTGCAGACAATGGAGAACTTTCGAGGGCTGGGCCACAGGGCAGTTTCGCTAGTGGAAGAGTCGATCGAAGATCTGATGGGTGCGTTTCGACCGACACTAGACTTGGGTCGCTTGAAAGACAGGATCTCTAAACAAAAACGTGGGCATCGCTTCCTGCAAGACGCAAGAAATGGGCTCGACTCGGCATATCTTGAGTTTTCCGAAGCAATCTGTACGGAAGTTGCACATGGTCTAAAGACGCGAAATGGTTGGAATGGGCGGGCGGTCCGGCGTTATCTGAAAAAAGAAGAGAAACTGCTCGAATACATCATGCTGATGATGTTGTGACAGCCAAGGAGTGGGCGTCCGTGCGCGGGGACCTAATTTTAAGCATTGAGCCACGCGTACTACATGTTCTATAATAGGGCTTACTTCGTTTATATTAATTAGCTATGTTTTCCTCTTCTTTATAACTATAATTTAAGTCTTTTAGTTAGTTGCCTCGTACCTTCTCGAAGGTACTAATCTACCTCGTTATGATCTGCCCCGTCGTGGGGTATAGATTCACTTATTGGTATAAGTAGCCGATTAAGTTCCGAACTATATAGTGCGGATGAATGATGCTGTCATAATATTCTGGTGAGGTATTCCCATGTTGATATTGATGCCTCAGGCAACCAGGGGGTTGAGAACCCTCGGTGGTCAACTGGCAGCCCCTGGGGAACGATGCGGGACGGCAACCCCGCATGCAGGCCACGTCCTCGGGTTACACAGTCTGTTGGCATGCGCCTCGTATCCTGGTGTTGATTCCTGTTTGTTTCATGTTTGTATTGAAGACTTTGTTTATAAATTGATGCTTGAGGAGTGGGGTTCAAACTCCTCAAGAAACAGTCGCTGTTACAATTGGACTTGGTGCTTTGCTCTTCTACCTAATTGGCAGGCCTTCTACCTTGCAGGTAGATATATCTTAACATTTACCCACATAGTATATAAACACACGAGAGAAAAGAAGGTAAGGTGGATTTGGGCCAATTCCACGACAATGGAGCGAACGACCCCAACTTTTTCTCGGCACAAGATGCTATAAATATGACAAGATGGTCTTATGCTCGTGGGTCTCGAGGTTCGCTTTCGGGTAACTTGTGGCACCGCTTAAGTCAGTTTCGAGAAGATCAGTTAGTTAGTTAGCTAGAACTTTATAAGCGGGTTGCATGGAGACATTGGAGATTGACACACGGGTATAAATATTGGGAGTTTCCCCGACTCGCCTTAAATCCCTAACTTCTGACTTAGTTTCATTCATGTACTCAGTAATACACTTACATTTCAACATCACCTTGGCCTACCAACATTCTTGATATTTCTGTACTCATTGCACTCGCTAATTTTACAGCCACTGTGGTCGCGGGTAGCTGGGCATCGCTTGCTCTGAGGGTTCAAGAGTATCGTGCGACTGTCAATTCCCCCTCCATGGTGGGTGTGCACTGTCGGCGGGAACCACGTCTCACTGCCAAAGGATGCTACTGAGCCGTACATATATTTAAATATGGGAATTCTTATGTGGTTTGTACATCGATCCACTTCTCCATGCAAAGTCCGTGATACGGAGAACGCTACTGTCAGTAGCACACGGGATTATGGGTCCGACTCCCATTGCTACGTGAATGGCTATTTCACAAATGGTGAATCCACTCCAGAGAATTATTTTTCAGATTGATTGGTGTTTCTGAATATTTACTTATTCAAAGCATCCCATGGCTCATTCTCCGCATGCTCCCTAATTGCTAGGCCCGATGTGAGCTTTCGGAAACTTTGCGAATCAGTTTCTGCAGTTTATTGGTGATTAAAGAAACGATATTTCTTCTCCTTAGAGACCAGGAAATAGTGATATCCAAGGCCTATGGGCGCCGTCGCAATGGCGAGGGAACCTCAAACAAAATCAAGTCTTGATTGCGTGACCGATGAAGAGCTAGCCATATAGGCAAGCAACTGACTTTCGTGAGGCGGTTGTAGGACGAATACCCTCAATCAGGTCAGTGTTCATATCATATAAGGCAACTCCAAGGTATTAAACCAAGAGGAAAAATCCGAAGTTGATAGAGTCAGCATCATAATGCTTAGGATACAAGAGATGGTATTCGTACAACACTCTGCGGAACAAAAAACTTAACTGATTGGCTAAAAATTAGGCCCGTTCCTTTGGCGCGCAATCGCGAACAATTCCTAGAACTTGACCCAGGCCTGCTCGCTGAAAAGAGAACTGACGTTCTTCAAATATGACTCATTCAAAGTCTCACTGGATATTAGATGATATATCCGGACTATCATATTATGGCAAATACATGCCCTAAAGATTCTTGCATCACTGTTCTCGCATCCGCTCGTTGCCCGGCTTTCTGCCTTTCCACAATTTCCCTCACTAATTTCGCTGTCTTAGGGGCATTCCCAACTTGATTTTGCATTCCATCGATACATTCAATAATCCACAGCTGAAGATCTTCATCTTTGGCTTCACAGGCAGCCATCATGAGGGGCCATAACATGCTAACTGGCAAAGATTGTCCTTCCTCCAACGTTATCCTTGAGAGTTGGATAACCTTAGTCACTGAAGAATCGATCTCCGAAATTCCCTGGAGGTTTGTGTAGGCAACGCGTTGGAGATGTATGAAACAAGCGAAGAAGTTGGCCGCGTACGTACGCAGGTGGTGCTGTAATTTGGTCGACAGGTCGCGAGCTACGTATTTTTGGAGCTCTCCGCCGATTGCAAGATCAATGATTGCAGGTCGCCTTGCCCAGAGCGCGTGCAGGTCTTGTTTGAGCTTTTTCGCTGCAAGCATTACCTCCAGTTCGTCGTCCACGGTTCCTCGAGAGCGGTGCCACTTGTCCAGGCTTGCGATTCGACCTGAAAAACCGAGCACCTGAAGGTAAAATTTGTATGCCTGGCGATTCAGACAGGTGAAAAGAAGATCTTCTGTTTCCGTCATAATGTCATCAGAGCTGGCTCTTTCGCCATTACCCGTTGATGAGCGACCATCCTGGATGATTTCCAGGTCCGAAAGGTCCGCAGTCGTGTACAGATGAAAGCCTCTTCCACCCGCACTCACAATTTTGGCATCTAGCAATTTCAGCCAGATTTGAAGTTGGCTTTCCAATGAAGAGCTGGAAGATTTCTTCCGACTCACTAACGCATGAGCTTGATCCAGTAGCTTCACCGATTTTTTTGTTGTCGGAGCCGTCACTATATCGACATATGATAAAAAAAAGATGCTTCCCAGGATAGCTTCTTGCGAGTCGAGATCATTATGTTCATTATAATGACTATCGAGTAGTCTTTCCACTTCGACTGTCGCGATATTTGAATGAGAGTCGCAGATTTCCGTCATGGAATGTGAGCGTAGCAAGGTCGATTCTCCAAGTGACAAAGCCGAAAAGGCGCATATAGAATGGCGTAGAGCAGGATACGTTTTCGATAGGCGGAGAAGTGCATCCCGAGACTTGTGCCATTGGGGCTCAACCCCAATCAGAATTGGTGGCACTGCAAAGTCGACGAAGTGTCTCAGGAGGTCGATTTCCGTAGTCGGTATCAGAGCGGTTTCGTCTGAACTCTGGATCGGGGCGGACATCGCCACGGAAATGGGGACGTTGCTCGGGGCCGATACCAGATCTGTTAGTGTAAAGTTTTGAGGGAAGGAGTTTGAAATATGCGGGTCGGAATTATTCAAAGACTGCCCGTATATATGAAACGAATGATTGTCGGTTGACATGGGGTTTGAAAGGATTGGATTGTTTTTGCAAAGAGAATCTTCACCCAGAAGCTCCATTTCTAAATGATCCAGAAATGTGAAGCTTTGCTGCAAGTGTGGATCTCTCATAGAGGTATCAAAATTGACATTCGGTGGGAAGCCTCCTGGCGCACTTGATTCGAAGTCCAAAGGAGGGACACCCAGGCCCTGGCTCTGGGTCTGAGCTGTATTGTCCGAATCGCCTCGGTGGTTAATCGGATCTTGGTTTTTCGTTGTCGACACGCCGGATGGTGGAATTGCATCTTGCCATGGGGTGGGCGAAGTGGGCGGACGAGCATTCCTGGCCTTCACTGAAGAATCACGACGTGTCGTGCATTGATAACTACAGGTAAGCCGCAAACGGCGGCAGTTTCCACAAAGCGGCTGCTCTTCATTACATTTTACCTTCCTACATACAAGGTCAGAAGATAAACCCCAAGGAGTACACAAATGATATGTAAGAAAAATGTACGGCTTCAAGAACTGAAGACGACCTGACATACCTCTTTCGACAAGTAATGCAGCCGCGACGAGATCTTCTACAAATCCGGGCGGACTTACGATATAACTCCGAATTCTTCTCCGCCCTCTCTCTCTGTTCAGCTAGTGGAGATGAGATTCGGTTATCATGGGGGGCGGCAGAAGTGCTTGAGTCGCAAGCTTCTCGACTCGATTGATCTGCCGGCGATCCGATTGGAACAGTATCGCTTCCGAGGATTTCAGGTTCCATTTGCATGATAGCGAGGCCTGGATTGCAGTGATAAGTCGAATCGATTAGCGACGCGATTGCGTTATGATCGATGGATGAGGATGAGGCTAGCTAGGGAGATTTTCCAGTGCGGGGGAAAAGCTGGTCGGACCGAGCCGAGGTCTTCGCTTCAAGGTCTCGCTTACATCGGCTACGTCGTCAGTTCCAAACATCTCGTCGCTTCGGCCTAGATGCGATCGCCACAGTAGTCCGATCCAGATTAGAGAAAGTCCCACTTTTAGAATTATTGGATGCCGTTTCTTATTCCAGTACACTAGAATGGAGCACGATCGGCATCTTGGTTATCGTCTCCGCTTCCTTCGGCAAGCTTGAGCTTTCTCGGATGGTCATCGCTTCGCCATCGCCGAGTGACCAACGCAAACAGTTTTCGTGCTTCTTCATTCTTGTTAATTTCGGGCATACACCGACAGCTGGACGTCTACGACCCGAAAGAGACCAAAGGCTGTTCGCACATTCATGGCAACACTTGTCTTCTCCAGGAAAGCCCCAAGCTGTCATGTCATTCCCAGTTATATTGGATAGTCAACAACCGGAAGTTCATGCAAGCACACTGGTTCTTCTAGAAAAGCCTATTATGTGCCTGGTTCGGGAGTAAGAAAGAGGGACACCCAGATACCGGAATCTGGCTCTCCCGGCTTGATCTGTCCAATTCCGATTCCGGATGGACGACCTCCTCTCCGGTGACACCAGATGATGGCCTAGCCCACCGGAATCCGGTATTTTTCAAAATCTCTAACTCTACGAAGCCTATGCTATTTTATAAAGTTGGCTCCCCCATCTCGTCCTGGTACAAAAAGTGGTCGAGTCGAGCGACGAGGGAATTACCTGGAGTGAACCGCGTGAACTTGTTCCTAATGATAAAGGTAAGAAGATTGGGCGTTTTTATGCTACCATACTCTTTTATTTCCTTTTTAGAGCCTGTAGATTCAGACAGGCCACATCAATGCTCACGTATTTGTAATAACTTCATCTCTTCGAATGAAAAATGAGAAAGTCGATTTCATGACTAGCTAATATTCCATAAAATCAGACTATCATTCATCTGACATAATTTCAATTGTCGTTTTCCTGGCAAAAGCTAATTCAAATACCTCGTTTTGTCAATTTGATTCGTAGTCTGATATCCTCAGATTTAAAGCGACGACTTGAGGAAAGTCGTCCATGTACCGTCACGCGCCCATTGCTGTAAGTGGAATTTCATAACGGAACCGGGTGTGGACTTGAACCTACCAATAGAATCCGCGTCGGCTGAGGCAGTGTCTATTTGTCGCTAAGTCCTTCGTCGGCTATCACCAACTTGGTGGGTCCAACGAACAATTCGGCTGTAAAGACTAGCTGCAGCGCTTCTCGGCAACGTAAATGTTGATTCCTTTCATATATTATATGTCCACTTCACACTGTCATTATTATTATTGCTTCCCAAGGCTTCATTATTCAGCGAACTAACGATGGTTTACCCAGACTCGTTCCAAGGATTTATGGTAGAGGGGCACTCTACATGGAGTGACTTTAAGAAACGCGAGGTACGCAGAGTTCCTACCCAATCATGGATTAAGTCTCTAAATTATCTGAAAAGTTTCAACCGAAACAATTTGAAAGCCATGATGTGGATGTTGAGATTGAGGCATGCGGCGTGTGTGGAAGTGATGTGCACACGCTCACTGGCGGGTGGGGACAAGCAAGCTTTCCACTTTGCGTCGGTCATGAAGTGGTTGGAAGAGTTGTACGTATTGGAACTGAGGTCACCACCGTCAAAATTGGCGATAGAGTCGGCGTGGGTGCTCAGGTATGGGCATGCTTGGAATGCAAGGTTTGTAAGGCTGGACAAGAAAACTACTGTCCCCATCAAATCGGTAAATCCCCCCTCTTGGAACAGCAGATTAAAACTCTATTTAACGAAATGGAAGATACCTATAACGCCAAATACCCAAACGGTGACGAAGCTCAAGGGGGATATGCGAGCCATATCCGAGCCCATGAATATTTCATCTTCATCATCCCCGACAACATTCCCTCGGAATTGGCAGCTCCAATGATGTGTGCTGGTCTTACATCCTACAGTCCACTTGCACGAGGGGGCTGCGGACCGGGAAAAAAGGTTGCGATTCTTGGAATTGGAGGCCTAGGGCATTTTGGTATTCTCTTTGCCGCTGCTCTGGGGGCAGATACCTATGCCATCTCTCATAGCCCCCACAAAAAGGCGGATGCTCTGAAATTGGGAGCGAAGGAATTCATTTGTACGAACAACCCGGACTGGGCCAAACCGTGGCAGTTTACCTTCGATTTCATCTTGAACACCGCCGATATGACCAATGTCTTCAACTTGAAGGATTACATGAGCACACTCGCTGTGAACGGGACTTTTCATCATGTGGGGTTGCCAGACAAACCTCTCCCGGAAATGAAGGCTCAGGATTTCTGCCCAAATGGCGCCGCTATGTCAGGAAGTCACATCGGTAACAGAGACGAGGCTTTTGCTATGTTGAATCTTGCTAGCAAGCTCAATATCAAGAGCTGGGTGGAGTGCATTGATATTGGCGAGGCAGGATGCAAAGAGGCTGTCCAAAGAGTGAAGAAGAACAATGTCAAGTATAGATTCACTCTGGTGAACTATGCAACAGCATTCAAGGGCTAGATTTTCAGATGTTGATCATTGGAGGATTTACTATTCGCAATCAATGAAAATGAAAGAGAAAGAGATATACTGATTGAGCTGATGTTAATATGTTCGCTTCAATCGCTCCAAAAATCCCTCGTACCGATCGCCTCCTTCGGGTGGCCGAAAGGGGGCTGGTGCATATTGCAATGATAATGTACTCCTGACTGATGGTGGTAGGCTAAGTGTCACACCTGCGTCTTACTAGAATACCTGCCTTTACAATATATGATTCTGGATTACTGGTAGGAAAAAAGATGAATTAGATTGACATATTCCATTTCCATGCGTAAAAATATGAATGAGCAGGAAAGGTCCAACTCGGAGCCTTCAGTTATCAAGCCAGCATTATTTGAGGCTGAAAAGCTGGATCAAAAGACTGAATCTTCCAGGAGAAAATTTCCCAATGCATGTTATTCTAGACATCCCATCTCATGTAATCACTGGGTCTGACCCTTCCACCCCATAAAGCAAACATTGCGTGGAAGATGCAACGTTCTTCTAATATTTTGAAAATCTTATTCCGAGAAAGAAAAATGTTTTTTTAGACAATTTCTATACTGTGCGTAACCTTGAGTTTTCCGTATTGAGGTAAACTATTTGATCATGAGGCACAAGCTTTTCCCAAAGCCAGTTCATTTTCATAGGCTGTCAACTCCTTCATCGTATTCCGAATCCAAAACTTTGTCGCCTCGGAACATTCTATCAGCGGCGCTCTCGGAAGTAACTTCTTCTCATACCCCCTAGACCACTCAATGGCATATTTTGTGCCATTCATACCGGTGCTTCCCATACCCCACTCGGCCCTACTGATAATCCCCTGCAGCTTGCCGGCTTGGTGATAGTCTCCTTTATGAAATAAATCAAAAAGCCGGACGCATGATCGAGGATGCGTATTGGCAAGACCTGTAACGGCACCACATGATTGCGCAATTAGACCTGGAAGTAACCAGTCACTCGAGCCACCGAAGACAGCGAACTTGGAAGGACCAAAGCTGCTTGCCAGCCGGGCAAGTTTACCCACGTTTCCGCAAGTCAACTTCACACCAACAATATTCTGAAATTCTTGGTCAGTTCACGATAAAGAAACAGCTTTTGGTGCTTTGCTCTCACAGCATGCTTTGCAAGCGACGCAATGAGGTCAGAATTCATATCCACCCCCTGAGTCACAGCTGGGAAGGAATAGATAATGATTGGTATGGGGAGCGATCTGCCACCTTCGGAATTATCAGCTAAAAGTTCTCGGAAATCCTTGCTGGCTGTGTTGACTTTACCATTATGTAAAAGTTTTCTATCACAGCGGGAGTGCTTGCTGCCACCCAATAACTGGGCGGGAGAATTAGCGCATACTGCCCTCCATTTGCCTTTGCGTCTTGACACATCGCAATTGTTTCCCGGACACTTTGGGCAGAGCATCCGACCACGATTGTTGTTCCGGCGTTCATTTGAGTCTTGACTGAAGATGCCACTTTTGTCACGGCATTCCGCTCTTCGCGTGACAACAGAGGGGCTTCTCCTGTGGTGCCGAGAACTGTGAGTCCATGAACACCACTTTCAATCAAATATTTGACGTGATCTGCTTGAGCTTGCAGGTCTAGCTCTTGGGTATCATCGTCAATGAAGAAGGTGATGGTTGGGCAATAGATTCCCTTGGGTACTGCTGACATTTCATGGGAGATTGAGCCCATCTTAGCAGACAAATCAACAGTGTCACGTAAAAAAGACTTCCATTAACCCTAGGTTTCGGGAATCCTTGTCTCATATCATGTCAAAACAGGCACTCCATTAGTCGTCCGAGCCGAGGATAACTCGTCGGCAAACGCTCTCGGATGCACGTCGCCTATTTAGCCTGGCTTTGACCGACTGCTCTTGAATAAACGACTGATATTGAATAACTGATCATCTTCTCTGAGGTGGAAATAGGTTCGATCTATTCCAAATTGTGTCAAGATGGAGACAAATTGTCATAGTACCTACGAAAATCTCACATAATCCATAGCGACAATCGCCCGTTGTAAGAACCTCTGGTAATATGTGACATTCGGCAGCACTAGCCGCTCCGAAAGGCCCTGACACAAGGATCGCACCTCGCACCAAGAGATAGGTCCGCCTAGAAGAAGAACTCTCACATGCGAGCTCACCAACCACCGAACCGGACAACGCCAGAGCCAATGGCGGGCACTTAACAACCAACGAGTTTGGACAGACCACTGACCGGCTGCAAAACACTATCAACAAACCAGTTGCGACAAGACATCAAGAGAGAGGAATCGAAGAGGCTTTCCATTTGAGGATTCTGGTGGGGCTTTAACATTGGTTTCTTCAAGTGCATCAACCACGCAGAGCATCTTCGGCTTTGGATGAATCACGGTATATGTCTTGTTGAGCGATCTGATTGGTGTGAAATTAAATTATACTCTCATCCCGTGGTTCCGTTACTGCAGAATTTTTGGACAAACAGGGAGTATCCGGGGTTCCAAGACTGGAGTTGCGCGTTGCCCTAGCTAATTGAGCCCTCTGTTTAATTCGAAAACAACCAGTTGGTCCATGCGGCATGGACCATGCCTCAGGTGACGTGACCAGCGACTGTTCAAGTCCCTTTTTTTTTGTTATAAAGTACTATTTAAATTGTCTTTCAGAATTCCTTAGGACTTGAATGTTATATAGTTCTATAAGTATAAAACCTAATAAATACTAGAGGTAAAGCATCTCTACTTTTTTTGTGCTCTTTATTTGAAGAAATATATGGTCAACAAAACCGAAAGTAATGGGAGCGACACTCTTCATAACTCGGAAAACTACTCTAACGAAATCATATTTTAGCCTTTAACTACACGATATCAAGAATTAAGAATTAACCCTTCCCTATGAATACAATAAGAAAGATGGCGCTTGCATCACCCAAAAAATAACACGCGAATACATCTATAGCATAAAGAAAAGATGAAGGTGTTATCAGCGGCATAATCATCACATGAAAATGAGATCTAAAGCAAGTTAAATAACCGACTTGATTGCGGATGCTAAAGTGTTATCCAAAAACACCGTAGGTTAGATGGTGGGTGATCGTGTCGCTTGGGTGATCGGCTCGCCTGGGTGATCGCTTCGCCTAGGTGATCGGCTCGCTTGTGGATTACGGAATACAATCGCAAATTACTGCGTAACTTGATGTAGATTGAAAAGTCAACTTTTTTGTCTTCTTTTGGGTTTGATGGTATACCTATTTGGGTCTTGGGTGGGTTGCCCAGATGACATCGCCCGCCCCCCCAACACGTCTGATAACTAAGAACTAACCCGACCCGTGGGGTTGGTGATCGTCGGCGAGTATAGGTGAGATCTAGCTCGAGCGCATGCGGCACTGCTCGCTCTCCTTTAATTTTTCTCTCATCTATTTGTTTTATGTCTGCTCCTCTCTCATCTGTTTATCTTTTCTCTTTTCCCTCTCCCTGTCCATACCCTCTGAGCTCTAGCCATCAAATTCCTCGCTCGCCAGTCCCGCAGTCGAATTGATCAACCATGCCCGCGCTGAAGCTCAATAACCAGCATCTGGTGAAGATTGCAACCGCCAGCGAGGCACAGGTCAAGATCCCCAACTACCGCCGCGGTGATGCCGTCAAGGAGGGCATCGTCCACGTTGGAGTCGGTGGTTTCCACCGCGCCCATCTCGCGGTCTATGTCGACCGGCTGATGCAGGAGCATGGGGTGATTGACTATGCCATTTGTGGTGTGGGCCTGCAGCATTCTGACGCCAACATGCATGACGCCCTGGGCTCCCAGGATCACCTCTATACTGTCATCGAGCGGTCCGCCAAGGGCAGCTTCGCCAATGTTGTGGGCAGCATTAACTCCTATCTCTTCGCTCCTGACGACCGCGACGCTGTTATCGCTAAGATGGCTCACCCCGACACTCATATCGTCTCACTTACCATCACCGAGAGCGGTTACTACTATAACGAGAACACCCACGAGCTGCAGAGTGAGCACCCCGATATCCAATTCGACCTCGACCCGGCTAACGAAAAGGCCCCCGTACCACATTCGGTTTCCTCTACGCTGCTCTCTCCCGTCGCTACCAACAAGGCCTGCGCCCCTTCACTGTTATGTCCTGTGATAACATGCAGAAGAACGGCTCTATCACCCGAAAAATGCTAGAGTCCTTTGCCCGCCTGCGAAACCCGGATCTGGCCGCCTGGATCACCGAGAAAGGCGCCTTCCCTAACGCTATGGTCGACCGTATCACCCCACAGACCTCCGCTAAGGACAAGACTGTCCTCGCTGAGAACTTCGGCATTGAGGACGCTTGGCCCGTTGTCTCTGAGCCCTTTATGCAGTGGGTTATTGAGGACCAGTTCGCTGATGGTCGCCCGCCTTTTGAGCGCGTAGGAGTTCAGGTCGTCAAGAATGGGCACGACGTCGAGGAGTTCGAGAAGCACAAGCTGCGCCTGCTTAACGGCAGCCACTCCGCGATTGGATATCCGGGCCAGCTGGCGGGCTTTCAGTACGTCCATGAGGTGATGCAGCACCCGGTCTTCTCCAAGTTCGTATGGCAGATGATGCAGGAGGAGGTAAAGCCGTTGCTGCCCGAGATCCCTGGCATCAACATCGATGAGTACTGCCATACCCTCATCCAGCGCTTCTCGAATCCTGCTATCATGGACCAGCTGCCGCGTATCTGCCTCAGCGCGTCCGGCAAGATTCCGCAGTTCATTATGCCCTCTATCGCCGAGGCCATCTGGGTTGGCGGTCCCTTTCGCCGCCTTTGCTTCGTCGCAGCCGCCTGGTTCCACTACATTAACGGCGTGGACGACACTGGCACGCCGTTCACCGTCGATGATCCCATGCTAGAGGAGCTTCAGGCCAAGGCCCGGAATGGCGGATCTGACCCCACGGAACTACTGACCATCGAAAGGCTGTTCGGTGACGATCTGCGGGGCGATCTGCGGTTTGTCCAGGAGATGAAGGAGGCGATGGTGCAAATTGCTCGCGAAGGCGTCCTCAAGACGCTGCCCAAGTACGTTTCCTAATGATCCAAAGCAGCGCTTGCTGTTCTTCTCTTTCCGGAGCCCACCTCAGACCTAGGCCCTGTCAATATGTGCGTCTTCTCGCTGAAGCCTTGTTGACCTCACGATCTATTGACTGAAATGATGGGATGTATCGGTGAGAATACTGGGATATACCCCTCTAGCACGAGCTCATGTGGACTGAGGACGACGAGGGATCTATTGTCTCCACATCGATGCGTCTTACACGTTTTGGTTGGTTCTGGGCCACGCCGCAACGACTGGCAAGGAGAGTTCTATCGATCAGATAGTAAAAAAATAATGCAGGCGATGCGCATCTACACATTTTCTCAGAAATTGCAACAACACTTTATGTGTGGCTATTTGATCAAACGGATGAGAGGCGAGTTATTCTTACAGTACATTAATCCCCCGTTAATTCGAACGATTATAATAATCGCTCGCATAACCCAACCAGGACCCAATGCTGGGGCCCCAATAAACCCAATAAGACCCAACTTGACAAAGCTTCTGCATCATTTTGATCATAAGCTGCTCAGTTCTCAAAATAACATGCTTTTTTAACGTTCTATGGCATCAACTGTGGGTTCGTATCACTTGACAATCAAATCATTCGCCATGTCTAGGTCTTCTATCCTAAGAGAATCTCCTAGCGCCGCTGATGACTCTACAATGTCAAGATCTTCTACTGTAACTAAATCCTCTATTGCCTCTGATTATACCGCAGCTAGTTCTCTTACCACAACTAGATCTACTACCACAACTAGTTCTACTAGATCTTCTAAAGTATTATCTTACATACTGCTGATTTCTACTACTTCTATAAGCCCTTCAGTATCTTCTATAGCCTCTGTGGGTCTTATTTACATCATTAAATAAGTAAACCTTTAAGATAAGATGTATATAAAATACTACTACTCCGACAACTTATAGAGATATTAGAATCTTAATAACTGTAAGGTATCTAAACCCTAATATATTTAAGATCCTATAAGTATTTAGAATTCTTAATCTCTTTAAGAATAAGTCTATGTATTAACTATCTTGTAATGAACTGGGGTTGTTACCATTCGCGGATACCTGACGTAGATAGCATCCACTTAGGCATCCACGCCTACATATACTTAGTTCTATCTCAGCTTCCTCCTTCTTCTCCTCAAGCTATTACTTTCGTCAAACAGCTACTGTTTCCTTTGCTTCGTATGCTACGCCGTACGTTGATCTCTGTGAGCATCTGAGCATCCTCACATATCTAATCTGATCTCTACTATCTAATATCCCTTTCTAGTTATAGGTCTCTAGCCTAATAACTTGGTAACTTGTCACGGGATTCGAGTATGCAATACCCCGGGCTTTCGAGGTCGATTCAGGGTCGAATCCCCTTCGTGTAATGGTTACTAAGTTGTCAGGCTAGAGACCTGTGACTAGGCAAGGATATCGGACAGTGGATATCAGATTGAACAGTTGATACACGGACTGATTCTTGAAGAGATCAAGAATCCTGAATGCTTGTGGGATCTTAAATACACTAGGGCTCGGGTGGATATTGATATGCAAGCGGCTCGAAGGGGATTCGGCCCTGAATCGACCTCGAAAGCCTGGGGAATTGTATACTCGAATCCTGTGACAGTTCTAGGATTATTTACCTATTTTAGGTAAATTTATCCGTAGTTATAGTATATCCTTAGTTATAGTATTATAGGGTAATAGTCATAGATATAAAACTAAAAATAAGTATTTTATAGGCTAGGCGGGGTATCTAGGGTAAATGATCAGGGTACTCAGGGAACAGCTCCAGGAGTACTCTGGGAGTGCTCTGGGTGTACTCAGGTTTGCTCAGGGTCGCTTAGGGAGCAGCTCAGGGTGGCGGGGGGGACTAACTCAGGTTGGGCTCCGGGAGCCAATCGCTTCCTGAGGCGGCAGTGTTACCGTCATCTTTATTACACTATTAATAATATAAACTCTGTATAATCATTTTCTTAAGAAGTCTAGATTATACATAGATAAGATAATTCTCTTTCTATAGGATAAGTTTTATACTTAGACGATAAGTTCTAGCCTAAAGCAGGCTCTTACTTCAGTTGGCTAATTAAAAAGATAGCTTAATAAAGAGCAAAGAAACAGAGTACTAATTTATAAGATTTCTATCTCTATAATATATTAGACTTTAAGTTATACTATCTAGTCTATATAGATAAGTCAGAATATAATAAACAGATTAGTTCTAGATATACTAGATAGTGTAACACTCTGGATCAGGCCTACTTCCCTTTTGGGCCTAGTGCGATCATCGCAGCCTATCTGCAAGGCCTCACCTACTGTTTTCAACTCTTCTCCACACTTAGTATCGCGTATTCAATGCACTTGTTTCTTGCAAATAGGCCTCTATTACAGATAGTATCTGCTAGGTTAGACGTTACTATAGATTTCTAAATTCTATCGTAACTAGCAATACTAGATCTTGCCTATATACGTATAAGACGGCATTGTGCTTTCTTAAGTATTCAGGGCTTAACTAATACGGCTGTATTCGAAGATTTTATTGAGCAACTTCTTTAGTACTATAGAAGGTAGCTAGAACCAAAATCTATAATTATTATAGATAATACATCCTTCTACTATTCTAACTAGATCAAACAGATATATACTAATGCTAGAGTAAAGCTAATATATCTGCTGCCTTATTTACCTAATTTAAATCCTATTGAGAAGTTCTTCTCAGAGCTGAAGACGTTCATCAAGCATTACTGGCGAAAGTATAAACAGAGCCCGAAGTGAGGATTCGATAATTTCCTTACGGGTTGTATCGAAGCTGTAGGGTTCTGGAAAGAAAGCACGGTCGGCTATTTCCAGTATTCTGGCGTAGTAGTTAAAAGCTATCCTTGAACTATAGTATTCAGAGTATAGTAGGTGATCAAGTTGGACACAATACTTAGTTTATAAGATAATAGAGGCACATTGTGTGGCGTATTCTGGGCTTTTAAAAGGGTATGAATAATATATATCAAGTCAACTTAAAATGATGGAACTGGCTTATGAATCTAAATCTATGCAAAGTTGCCACTGGTTCTACAGTAACGGGAGGTCTTCCTATTGATTTCTTATCTCCCCCACCCACTTAATGCTATCACCGACAAAGCGGCGTGAAATACAAGGAAGCAGACGACAATCGAGAACTTTCTGATGATCCATATTGGGGCCTCTCCTGGGTACTTGGCATGGGTGAAGAGAACCAGATAGGCCAGTAGACCCGCCAGGAGGGCTTGGAGAGACAGTAGAAAGGTGGAGCTAAATATCGTTGGCTGTTGCTTGCCGGCGGGAGTTAGAGAGGTGAACTTGTCCGCCATTTTGATTTGCAGTAGTGGGTGCGAGGATGTTAACATAAGGATGGAAATGGAATCGGAATTGGAAATCAGGGGGAGTGGCTCAAGACGAAGAGGTCTAGGCAGTCTCCCCCCCACTGTTAGGGCTGTGGATGTGGCTCTATAAGTAAAACAGTAGGCCTTGAACGGATCGACTGGCAGTACTATTTACTGTATCGGAGGATGTAAGTTGACGACGGATCCAAAGGCTGCTTTATGAGGACTAAAGGATGACCGTACAGTTGAAGAAGAACGTGTATCCTTCCATCGAATTGCTTCAACTCTCCTTTTTTCGCCCTACATATCCCCCTCAGACTGGCTGTTGTCCGATTCGATCATTGCTCTGTCGATTTCCAGCACTCCTGCGCCGGCAGTATAGGATTAGCCCGGGTGATAGAGTTTGTGCCACCGCGTGAGATAAAGATGGCGCTGAGGTTGGGAATGGCTGGGTGTTTGGTTTTGAAATACCATCGACCGACTGTTATGGTTGTTCTTCAGATCTTGGGAAGCGAAGGGTTGATGTTGCGGTACAGAATGCAAATGTTTCGATAATGGTCAAACCGCCCGCCCCCGAAGAATGTTCAGAAGCTGGACAACCCCGCGGAGGTTTTCAAGATTTGTCTCGGTGATTCTATAGATATCAGCCATGTGAAATGTAAGTGATGAGTCCTGACACTTATATTTGACGACATCAGGCGACGAAATGCATCGAGCGACGTACAAAGTAGGGAGATAGCACAGGCCTGGGCGATAATGATCGATAACGTTGTTTGTGCCATGCATTGTTACTCAGGAAATGTTGCGGCAATAATACCTCTTGGCCCAGGGTATGGGGCAGGTGCCGGTACGTCGATGTTGCTAGCACTGCGAGACCCATATACTTTTGGAATGTAATCCACCATACTCTGGGGAAGAAGAAATACAGGGTATTGAGAGGGAGATTGACGGAAGCTCAGAAGCAGGAAGTGGCGATGCATGGGAATATGCGAATATGCGACTACAAACGGAGGTAAGCTTGATGCCTGAGGCAGGAAATGCTCATCCGGACCGCACGTCAACAACGTAAACAGAATGCGTTTGTCAACAAGACAAACAAAAGCAAAAGGCAGAAAGTAGAGGAGCCTGGTCAGTCGATGAGGGTGAATTGTTAACCTGGAGATTCTGACTAGAAAAGCAAAAGATCAACTCCAATTGGGTATATGTCTTTCACCCATAAGTAGTCTATTAAGATGGGCCTACTATACCAGGACAGAGGCACAAATTTTTACAAATAAACCACGCCTTCACTCTCCGAGTCCTTTCTGAGGTTGACGACCGAATTCACCGTTCCTATAAAGTTTTGCGCTTATGTCTCAACTTTCTCGTGTTCCCCTCTATACCTTGCCCCTTTATCCATCCTTTATGGCCTAAGGTCCGAAAACTCCCAAAGCTACATTCCCATCCTAACCAACTTCCTTTGACTCATCAGTAAATATCAACAAACCATTCTGATACCCAAAAACCCAAATCACCGGATACCGCCAATGAAACCACATCGGATGCTCCTCAGTCCCAAACCACCCAAAGTGACGATCAAGATTATAACAAAGATAATTGCAACTACTCAAAACAAGCAGCGAAAGCAAAGCCGTGAAATGGGCTGTTTCTTTGCCGTAATATTGGTAGACAATGAAGCAGTTTACGGTCAAACTGCCAGAAAGAACTGGCATTGAGACAGGTAGGGAAGGGGTATTCTACTATTCAGAAAAAACTTAACTTAATGTGATTTCATTTGTTCTTGAAGTTTCTTCAAGAGTCAGTCTCTGCTACCTTTTATATTATTGATTGAATCTATCCTTATTCCTTTTGGGTTCCATCCGAGGTCTTGCCTAGTCATAGGTCTCTAGCCTGTCCCTCAGTACTCGCCGTTACACTGTCATAAGAAAAAAAGCATTCGTTGGGTTTCCGGACCTTGGTAAAGTGATAAATGGTAAGTTGAAAGTCTAAATGATATTAGTCATTGATCCATTAACTAAATAATTAACTGACTTAACTAATGACTTATGACTTTACGGAACCCATGGATATAAAGACGGATGCAGCTGATACCATGACGTCATATCAGCAATCGCAATATATAACTACTTGACATGAGGTCAGATAACAACATTAGCCGAATCTATGGGATTTTATGAAGAGACACTGCATTCAACACAACCTCATCGAGCCCTTATATTCTTATGCCAAGCATGAATATTCATTCCACCACGCATACGGCAAGATTTGTCAATAACAATATCACCATATCGGAAGAAGCCGATGTGAGGTTGACACTCAGCGATGAAAAAGATACGGATGAATCTTCGATTTTGCTTTGCCCTGGAGAGACCAAAAGAAATTTCACTGGAAAGATTATCTGTGTTGGACCTTATGAGGTCTATTGTGAAAGGCCCTGGCAGCTATCAGAGGATGTGGAATTCGATGCTAATAAGGATGTTACCGTGAGGGACGAAAGTGAGTAATCTATACTAAGTGATTGATGAGTAACTACTGACTAGCCAACCTAAGAGATCGAACAAGGAAATAAGGTTGTTTGGTTCATTTAAGGAACAGAAGCTCGTCTGTTTTCGTGTATGCACACAATCCAGTAATGAGGAGAGACAAAGATACAGACAGCTTGTTTAAGCGTTTGCGGAATATGGTCTTATGGATAGATACACTTCTATGGATGCAGTGGCTGCAGCGCCATCGCAGCACGGTAGGGGGCAGATGCTTCGGCGTCTCAATGGCCAACTCGTCTCTTTACAAGAAGACTAGATCTAGCAAATATGGGTACAGTGAGATCAGCTTTTTCACGATGGCCGTGAGACGGCGGCGAATAAAGTACAATTCACTACATTTCTTCACAGAAATCATCTCTACGTCTCACTCCCACCAACCCACTAACTAGACATCAAAAGGTCGGAAAGGGAAAGCGCTAGCAAGGCCTTCACAAATACCCAAGGACTATGAGTCGATGAGCCGCATTTGAACTTGGAACGCGGCCCTTAAATTTTGATTGGCTGTCAATATGTCTTGCTCGTCTAGCTTTCTGTATGCATCTACTTCAAGAAGGGGCAAACAAAAAAAGGAAGCTTCACCAAGGATACAGAGTAGGATCACATATTCAATGTCAAGTATCTTGTGAGGGGTCGGGCGCAAACACAAAGAGCAGACAGCGGAAAGTCATCCCCCTTTTATGACCATATTCGTCGAAATATGTTCCTCGGGTTTCTGCGTCTCCGGATCTAGACCGAATCATGTAATAAGATAAACATGCTCCTCCAGGCGAAAGCTGCAACATCTGAAATTTCGCACGGTGTCCCAAAACTGTGATGTAGCAGTTGCTAGCATAACGGCAGCGTATCTCATACCGTCGTTACCCACGTTATGAGGGGCTGCATCAAGTGGCATACATGGGAGGTTCCTGGTAAACCCGACGAAACTCAGGATGCTAATAGGACGGTGAGATCCTACTAGCAGTGAACCGCCGGGCTCGTATCCTCTTAGAAAGGAAGAAGGAGTCAAGATGATACATTCTAGAGTTACAAGAAGGATACTGAGAATACAGCTAAAGAGGAGAGGAGAAAAAAGGCATCATAAGGTCTTGCAATACAATGAAACAAAGGAGGGACAAAGGACAAAACTTGACCTCTAAATACCGACTTTTAAAAACACGTTCATCATAGATGCAAGTGGGCTTCCCAGTCCCGTGGCACCCTTCCTTTGGGCCCAGGTACTGGCTGACTGACTGGATGGTGTAATGGCGGCTGCAAGGGTGGCCCCAGAAATGTTTCCTCCGTGCGGTAATCAAAGAACCAATCCTCGCCAGGCTCAAAGCTGCGAACAACAGGATGTCCCGTCGACATAACATGTTTGGAGGCATGCTGTGATGGAGACGAGTCACAGCAGCCAATATGTCCACACTTGGCACAACGACGTAGATGGAACCACCATTTATTGGTAGCTTCGCAATCCACGCAACCGGAGCCACTCGGTGGGACGTTCAGATCAATCACTTCAATTTGCGAGGTGCCTTGTGTAATAGCACCAGGATCGTCGTACATACCGGGGCGATGGGAATGCTGCGGCTGAATCGTAGCAGGGCCACCTTCCATCAGCAGTATTGCTGGATCAGTTGGCAAGATGCGAGGAGCACGAATCATGGCGTAAAAATTTGCTTAATTTGTTGTCTGTTGTGGAAAAGTTGATATCTGATCTGCAGATGACGTATGACAGATTAACTCAAAATTAAATGGCTGTATGAGTAGTTGTTCGATATGAGAGAGGAGGAATAATGCCGAAATGGGTACTGTTGGGGGCTGAATATATGTGCAGTATTCATTATACTTGATGTCATATCAAGTCATACAAAGAAGATAATACACGACGCAGTAGCGTCACCGACGCTCTAGATTAGGATCTAAATCCTCTTGGAGGTATTTTTCTTAGATCCAGAAATTCTGTCCTGGGTCGCATAGAACTAAGCATAAAGCTCTATGGGGATGGCGGTGGCAAATGCGGTTGACTTTTGTCTCAGACCAATCAAGTCGAATAGAAAAATTAGCTTTGTCCTACGTACATAGAAACTAAGCGGAAAGCTTCTCCGTATGCTCTAGGTGGCGGTGGCAAATGCGGTTAGCCTTTCTCTCAGACCAATAAGTCGGATGGAGAAAGGCTATTTGTCGAAGAAGATTGATTCCAACATACCTTTAGCAGCTATATTATGAATTCCAAGGGTCTTTAAAAAATCACCAGCGGTATGACCATTGTGAATTTGGATTGTTACCAGCTCATATCAGTCGTCTTTAACTCAAAAACATCAAGGCTGCCCTAGAGGCGGCGTGTATGTAGCTATACATTGATGCTATTGTCAGTGCTACTGCTGAGAATAAAGAGAGGCGAAGGTGAGCAAAGTAATATAATTATTTCATGGTAAAGAAACATTTAGTCATGCTAGGAGCAGGCGATCATCTTATTCTTCTGTATGGTATGTAAATTTGTTATATATCCTCCACACCAGCAACCATCAGAGCATCATAAGTATCCTAAGATGATTACTATTGTTGATACAACACTGAGATACAGTATATGGAGTTTTTAAAGCTTTTGGAGCTCTTTGACAATCGTTGATCTTTATATTTATTAGCCATCGAACGTGGACTTCTAAAAATTGTATACAAAGCCTCAATCTACTGTCCTAAAGAATTAAAATAAATAAAAATTCATAATCTTCCTCTGATTTGCACCACAACGATGACGGTACTATAGTAGTCTGGAACGTTTCCGTGTGCAGTGATACTGGGCTACCTGGAATATAATTCGTCCATTAATTCCTCAATTGAACCGTAGGGTAATAATTACTTCATTTTGTACTAGTTTTTTAGCGAGGATGACGCGCTCTATTTTTTTTTGGTCAGCCTTATTCTACACTGACAAAGGTTTTAAAACACACTCGCAGACTAAACCTGAAGATCTGCGGCTCGTCAAAAAGAAACTTCTGAGTTTGCGCATGTAGCCATGAGCGAACATTTCACAACCAGCGCGCCCGGGCCAGCTGTAAGCGCCAAAAGTGTGGACAATGACACGCTTCCCGAGGAGGCAGTCGACACACTTGACAATTACAACTATGTCGTAGTTGGTTCAGGCGCCGGCGGTGGACCGTTGGCCGCGAATCTCGCCCGGAACGGCCATAAAGTTCTCCTGCTCGAAGCAGGGGATGATCAGGGATCCAACATCCACCAGCAGGTTCCAGGCTTTCATTTCCTGTCTACAGAGGACGAGAAGATGCGTTGGGACTATTTCGTCAAACATTATGCGGATGAGACCGTTGCACGGCAAGACTCGAAAATGACTTGGGAGACAACCGCGGGAACACTCTATGTCGGACTGAATCCACCAAGCGGATCAAAACCGAAAGGCATCCTCTACCCGCGCGCAGGAACGCTAGGTGGCTGTTCGGCACATAATGCTCTGATCGCCATCTATCCGCACGAGAGTGATTGGTCAAACATCGCCAATCTCACCGGCGACACTTCGTGGGACCCGAAGAATATGCGCCAGTATTTCAGGCGCCTGGAACACTGCGAGTATCTTCCAAGTGGTAGCTCTGGTCACGGCTTCACCGGTTGGCTGCATACGAGCCGCGCTGATCTGGAGTTAACCCTGCGGGATTCTAAGTTTCTTTCTATCCTCACTTCTGCTGCTACTGCTATGGGAAATACTATTCTCGGACTAATCCCCGAGAAAGTTTCCCAACTCGTTGGACTCCTGCAGCGGGACGTGAATTCCAGTGATCCTTATCGGGATGTGACTGAAGGCATCTATCATATACCCCTGTCCAAGAATCAGGCAAAGCGAAGCGGCACTCGAGACTTTCTCGTAAATACGGCTAGGGAGTATCCTCTGCATATCAGGACAAACTGCCTCGCTACACGTGTGCTTTTCGAGGAGAATACTGTCATGCCCAAAGCAATTGGTGTCGAGTTCCTCGAAGGCAGCAGTATGTACAAGGCTGATCCACGGTCAAGTTTATCCGCCGCCGGCACAAAGCACCGCGTCCTCGTCTCTCGAGAGGTCATCCTTGCGGCGGGAGCTTTTAACACACCACAGCTCCTCAAGCTGAGCGGTGTCGGCCCGACAGACGAGTTAGAGAGGTTTGGAATTCCTGTTGTTAAAGATTTGCAGGGCGTTGGCACCAATCTCCAGGATCGCTACGAGGTCCCCGTCATCAGCAAAGTACAGGATGACTTCCAAACCATAGCAGAATGCACATTCGGGAAGCCAGGGGACCCAGCCCTTAAAGAGTGGACGCACCAGTGTGGACCCTATCTATCAAATGGACTTAATATTGGCATGACAAAGAAGTCCAGATATGCTGATGGGGACCCTGATCTCTTTATCTTCGGTGGACCTACCCTCTTCGAAGGCTACTATCCTGGGCATTCTGAACGCGCCACATTTGACAAGAAACATTTCACGTGGGCCGTACTAAAGGCTCACACGCGTAACCGCGAGGGAACTGTTAAGCTCGAGTCAGCCGATCCTCGGGACATGCCTGATATCAATTTCAATTACTTTGGCATGAGTGCAGCCGCGACAGAGGCATCCGAGCGGGACCTCAACGCCGTTGCCGAAGGTGTCAGCTTCGCGCGCCGCATTATGGACAAGACCCCACTGTTCGACAACAAGCCTCCTGAAGAGCAGACACCGGGATATGAAGTCTCTTCTGTAGAGCAGGTGAAGCAGTTTATCAGGAATGAGTCGTGGGGCCATCATGCTTCATGCACATGCCCTATAGGGCCAGACGATGACCCAAACGCCGTTCTTGATTCTCGCTTTCGTGTTCGCGGCATGAGAAACCTGCGAATAGTTGATGCATCTGTCTTTCCGCGCATTCCTGGATTCTTTATTGTCCTTCCCATCTTTATGATCAGTGAGAAGGCGACTGATGTTATTCTTGAAGACATTAGCGAGACCCGCCATGTCTGAAGCGCCTCAGTGCCAGACATAGGTGGCAGCCATAGTCTGGCAGATCTCATCGGAGAGTACGTGCGACTGATCATATTCCAACGCAAATTCGTCTCAGAGAAGAATGATATACATTTCCATATATACAAGTATATAGCTCGTTTTGATACATAAGCATGATCCGTCATATCACTTCTTAGATAAAAGACGTGCTGACCAGCAAGACCATTGTACAACAATCATGGACAGTTTGGCTAGCGACCAGCCATCTCCCCGATCAGACCTTCTCTAAAAGCTTCTCGCATCTCTTCTCGTCGCCCGTATATCCACCGTTCTCAGCCTCCATCTTCGAATTTGAGCATTGAATTGAGCCATGCGCTTGGCAAACTCCTCCTTATCCCACACGAAGGGGCTCTTGCTAGCAAACAGGAAGTCAATCTGCTCGAGCGTGCGGCCGGCAGTCTCGGGGAAGAAACAGTAGATTATGGGGATATAGGCGAACAAGGTGGAGAAAAAATAAGTCAGAAATGGAAACATGAGACAGGAAGGATAGAAGTAACCTTCTCGTGGATACCGGGAAAACATGACCGGGACGAGCAGCGATCCAGGGCCGTAGCCGATTGCCTAACCCGCGACGCCGAAAACGTTGCCCTTAGCGCGTAGTCATGCCGGGAAAATCTCGGTCGGATAAATAAAAGGAATAATCAACCAGGAGGAACTGAAGACAACAATATAGAACACCATGGCAGCGGCTCCGGTTCCGTACGATGATTTAAATTTGAGTCATATGCCTCATGTAGCTGATAATATAAGTAGGGAATGTTGTTAGGATTAAATTTGCAATAAAACTCGGCGAAGGTATCAAGTGCCGAATGGCACTATAGATATTCGCCCTGTTCTTTCTTGATATTGATCTCAACATGTCGGTGTTACGATTCACATGATCTGTTTGGTGCTTGATGTTGATGCCTTGTATGTAAGGCACACACATCCTATTTAACTAATGTAAGATGGGAATGCTCGTAGGCTATCTGCGTTGGCAGACGGGTCGATCGCGAAGAGACAACACCACCACACTCGCAGAGTGCAGGAACGAGATAGGCAAAGCGTGACGTTGCAGAGGATTGATAGAACAATCAATAGAACCTTTCATGAGCAGTATACCGATACCGCAACCTCATCAGCCCCAGGAAAACATTTTCATTAAGGGGAACCTAGTTGTTGAATTGATACTATGGAACGAACGCTACTTAATCTCACGAAACAAAACGGTAGCCTTGTTGCTAAGGCCTCAGTCACATGACGCTAGGATGCCGATGTTGAGAGCGGAAATCCCCATTACACTAACTCGTTAACTAGCTAACTAGATAGTCTCGCAGGTCGCAGCTGGGCAGGGTCCGCGGACGAATCCCCTCTGAGTCGTTCGCGTATCGATACCCACCCGAGCACTCGTCTATATAAGACCCCACAGATATTCTGAGATTCTTGATCTCTTCAAGAATCAGTCTATGTATCGACGACCAATCAACCCCTTCGTTACCCGTCCGATTCCTTGCCTAGTCACAGGTCTCTAGCCTGACAACTTAGTAACCATTACAACTATACTAATAGGAGATTTAAGCGATTTGATTAAGGAGCTATACAGCCAGAAAAGTAGGAGTATAAGGATACGGACTTTAAATAAAGATAGTATATCATAAATTTATGAAGGGGATAACTCTGGCTTCTTATAATTCTTTTTATTGTTATGCTTTTTGAGTCCTAAACTCTAAGCAAACAATAGGGTTAAAGAATTGGCCTCTCCTTAAGGTATAAGTCGCTATAGCTAAGGTCAAGAGTCTATATAATAGATCTATAGCTCTCATCTACTGTAAGCTATTGTAACTAATTAAGAGCTGTGCTTGTCTGGGCTATACCAGTAAAAGGAAATGCTCCTAGGAACTTATGTCTGATATAATCATAAAATTAGCGATTCAACAGTAAGTAGAATTTGATAGGCAATAAGTGTTTTGTAAGCTTCTTTATATAAGTGGATAGCGGCCTAGGGTCAAGAAACTTATCCTAGGCTAAAGGAATGGATACTGTTCCTGGGGCTAAACCAATCTATAGGATAGAGCTAAAGACAGCAACCAAGAAACGCATATATATCTATGTTGAAAAGATTACGTCAGAGAGTATATTGGAGGAATTTGTTTCTGCTACAATATAGAGGATTATGGTCAATAAGCGATAAAGTCGAGTAAGCAAGCGCTAGAGAACATCGACCGTACACAATTAGATCATATATTTGCTTGGGCCCCTGGGAGCTACTGCAGGCAGCAAAGCACTTATCATCGGAGGAAGTAAACAAACAAAAAAAGAACCGTGTTGTGGGCCAGCCCGGAGCTACCAGGGTAAGCGATCAAGGTGCTCAGGGAGCAGCTCCGGGAGTACTCGGGGTCGATCAGGGTTGCTCATGCTCGCTCAGGGAGCAGCTCAGGGCGGCGGGGGGGACTAACTCAGGTTGGGCTCTGGAAGCCGATCGCTTCCAGAGTCGGCAGTCTTACCGTCACCTTTATTACTTGATAAATATAAATATAAATAGTAGTATTAGTAGTAGTTAGTAGAATATAATAGCTCTAAATAAATATAATTATTGAGGTATACTCATAATATTCTCTTTAATATAGTATTAGAAAAGATAGTAATATATAAATACTTTATCTCAAATTGCTATATTAGAGACAATATTGTCGGCATGACTACTATATCTTTGCTGTATATCTGCTGTATTACAAAGTACCCGGCGGGCGGGATGGTTGGTATATGCATTTTAATACTAGGAAACAGCGAATATTAATTTGAAGTGAAGTTTTGGCTGATCATTGTTTATTCACAGTAAATTAATTCCTCACCATCTATCCCCCCCCCCCCCCTCGCATGACATCAGAGAGTGACTATTATTGGGCTCATTTCTTTCCGCATTCTTGAAAAATCTCCTTCCGCAAATTCTCCTCATCGGTTAACTCTATCTCCTCCCCATGATTAACATAGCCCTGAACCGTCTCTCTCGAAAATACGACAATCTCAGATCTCTTAATCGCCTTCGCAAATCCATTTTGCACCGTTGGATAAAATGACCCGTCTTGGGGTGGGTAGCGGCCGCCGGGCGTGCAGGGCGGAACGTAGGCGGACCAGTAGATGCGCGTTTCACCAAAGTAGCCAAAGTAGATGTCGGAATTTCGTATGACGGTCCTAAACAAGTGGCCCATTTTTAGGGCCTCATCGAACCCAAGGGTTTTTTGCGAGACCTGCTGCGCTTTTAGCGACGATCTAGGAAAGAGGTATAGAGGGCCAAACCTGATAACATTTATATCTGTCCCCGCCTCTGTTGTGGTCCATTTTGAAGATGGCGACGCCTCCGTATACAGGCGGTTGGCGGAGGAGCATCTTTCGCCAGCTGGCTTCTCTTCTCATATACGCGGTTTTCTTTTCAGGGGATGAGAGCATGTCAAGGTCTTTGAAAGAGAATCGACTCGTCTTTTTCTCCTCGTTCGCCACCAAATTCCCTTCATAGACTGAGGGGAAGAATGGCGGAAAGGCTTGTGCCAAGAGCGAATTGTAGATAGGTTGTGTGCATGGAGATTCCTCTTCATTCATACTTCCTTGCTCTGAGTTTGTGTCCTTTTCAAGGGGGGATGAAAGGAGAGAGTTCCAGATTGATTTTGCATGCCCATGCAATTTTGCCTTTTTTGAGTTAGGGTTGGGTACGGGCCGGAAGAATAGTGCTTGTTGGATTGCTGGCGAGGTCTGAACGAGGACTTTCCAGGTTTGGCATACTCGATCGGCTGAGACGAGGAGTGTGCGAGTGTCGAGGTGGAGGAGAATGATCTCAAGGAGTTCAGTGGTGGTGAGGACCTTGACCTGGGGCTGCTCCTGCTTGTGCTCTTGCATTTTGGTGTCTGGTAGTGTTGTTCTCTTGAGTTAATTTTGACTCAATTGAAAGGAGCACTAGCGGATGAATACTATTGTAATGGAACAAAACATGTGTATGTGTCAGTGTCAAGGTTGGAACCTTGGAAGGATAACATGATGACCGCCCCGCCCCGCTCCAGGGGCCGTGTGGACTTTTCAAGGTTACTTTGGCCCCTAGACAGCACATATCTATTTATATCTGCACCTTGCTCAAATTAAATTGAAGAAAAGAAAAAAAGAAAATTAAGATACAAAAACCATCGTGACGTCAGAAATATCGTTTGGTGTTGAGTTGTCTCAGGCATTAAGGCGGCCGGTCAATATCTAGAACCTCGATGGTTTCGCGCGCCCTCTCTCTCTCTCTTTCTTGTATCGGTCGCCACTATTTGTGTCTCTTTCCTTTTAAATTCACAAACTCAAAGAAATACGTCACTCAACATCTGAGATCATGAAGCAAAATATCGTCAAAAGGTAGAAGACATGAGCTCCATGAACCACCCATTGTACATAATATCGTCGCCGAAGCCGCCCGAAAAGTCCATCCAATCCACGTTTTGCATAGAAGATATATTATCAGAAATCGTATGGTTGGAACCAAGTTTCGCCTCCCATTCAGGCTGAAAGGACCGAAGAAGTTTGGCCGATCGAGAAAAGACATCTCCATCGGGATCTTCACGATTGTCAAGCTCGGCAATGATGGGAACTTGCTCTAGGCTGTTAATAATTCGATTAAGGAGAGTGAGGGGGTTGGTTGTCTTCAAAAGATGATCTTCATACCAGGCCGGAGAGCCAAGGGTTGCAATTCGATAAAGTATTAGCAGACAGCGAGAGATTTGGGCGAATATGGCAAACGTGAATCCAACATATTCAGCCGGAGGTATCATAAAGAAAATGTCAAGCCATGTCTGAGCTGACGTAAAAGCTACGTAGAGACGATGGCTTTGAGATGGTGTGATCTCGTGAGAGTCGAAGGAAATGGATGAAACAGCGATCTCGAGCTCGTTATTATGAAGATGTAGTAGAATGACTTGGGCTTAAGTCAGCATCAGAGGATCATTCAAATTGAAGAAAAGAAATGTTCTGGAGGCAGATTAATGAAATAAAAGAAGAGAGAAGTACCATATTGATGTGCAGAATCCAAAATCTTGGTTTTCATTTCCGAAAAAAAATGCCATCTGGTCTTTGGGCGGATCCACGTGTCCAGGTGCAGAATCACCCGATGTCTTTCTAGATTTATTTTTTTCCAAGACTAGTTGCATTTGAACTAGATGAACCAGAATCTTGTCGTTTGGGACTTCCTCCCGTTCTTCTAAAATTCGGAATGACTCTTCCATACGGGGCGTCCAACGAAATGCCTCAATCTCTGGAACGATTGAAGAAAGTCTGTTAGACATAGGTTAGTTTGGTCACTTCCTGGCCTTAATAATGTTGAAGCGTACACTGATATCATCAAGAAGTAGCCGAGTGCCGCTCGATGCTCCTCCATAGTACGAAGCCCAGAGGCTATCGGGCAAACGTTTAGATTAAAGATCGGTGGTGGCGCTTGGAGAGATTTGTGGAGACCAAGTTCAAAAACCAGGGATGTCGCAAGGTGTGTGAAGACAGATAGAAATGGCTTTCCATGGAAGTGGTAATTTCCCCTGTTGTTCCGAAATCAGACCATTTCCTTCTAACCGGCTGAGGTAATTTTCTTACCAGCCAAGAAACGTCAAAAGCCCCAATAGAAGATCGATGCTTTTTTCGGATTCAAGTAACATAATTTGGGCTACTGATTGTCGAACTTTGTAGCCAAGGGTTTTCTGGCGAGCGGTCGACTTGGTACTAATTGACATAATGCAAAGCCATAGAAACGGTCGCTCTTTTTGGAGTTGCACAGAAGTCATATCTATCGGTATATGAACAAATGGAAAATATTGCAGCTTGAATACCCGGAAATCATAAAGGCATTTTTCGGACTCATGGGAGGACATATCGGCTATACAAAACGAACTCATGGAGTCAGTTGTAGCCGGGGTACTTGCGTTCGTTTGATTTTTATGGAGCGAGTTCAAGACGAAGCTCTCTTCAGAATCTAGTGACATTCCACTATTTTGGTTGCTGTCAACGGCTGAGCGGGTTTCTGTGGCATTGATGACTTGAGAGATTGTACCGCTGTTTTGGCCCCCAGATTTCATTTTTTCGAGTCGCGTTGCGTGAGATGTACCGGACTTTCTCACACCACTCCTTCGGACTGTTTTCGCTGGTATACATTCTTTGTTTATTTTGTGGCACCTGGTTCGATCAGTCTCCACGCTTCTACAGTCAAGGTGAACCAGTGTGATGTACCTCTGACAGGGCTCGCCTGCGGCGCGAACAATGCATTTTCGCTTAGACTGAGCGCAGTTTGAGCAAGAGTAGCCATATGCAGCCGATGACCTTGATGGGACTGACGTATTCACGTCCATAGCAAAAGAAGAGGTTTGCTCAGAAAGTATCCTGGGAGGAACTTCCTGCAACAACCCCCAGCCGGGGCATCAACAATGGGATCCCATGTGATAGCTGATTACTAATGCCTTATCGGACACCGGGCCGGATATTCTACCTTCCGTAGGACCCATTATAAATCACGTGGAGTTTGTCGATCTATACAATGCATCTATACTTTGTTGACTCTCTTTCAAAGCGGAAAATTCTGCACCTCCACAGAGATCAGATAGTATGATTTGTCATAAAAATAAGTTATAAGCCTACTGTCCAGTAAGCGAATTCTACTTCAAAAAAATGTTGTAAGTGAAGTCATGCCCAGACATTTCGGAAAAGTCAAGTTCAACCTCAAGGTTCCACTAGTAAGCTAGTCTAGTGGAGAATGATATCATGGAATGGCAAGGAAATGCCCACAATCGAAGCCGGGGTTATTTGGGCTCCGTATTAAAAGGATTGGCCACCGCCAGCGAATTTTAAATTTGTCAGTTGTACAGTTTGTTGCCTTTGCCAAAACACACATCTCCAGCGCCCACCACTGCATAACAATGCACTCCGATTATCCACGAGACTACTATTCAGACCACTATATGCCTCACTCAGGAGGGGAAATAGCCAGGAGACACGGTGATCATCATCACACTGGCCATCATCACGGTAGTCACCATAGCGGGCATGGCCATCACTCTGGAAGCCATTCAAAACACGCTCACCACCACCGGAATGACGACCATCAAAAACATCGCGATCCGCATCACGATCGGCACCTAGCCGAAGGAGCCATAGCAGCCGCCGGAATCGCCGAAGCCGTTCACCATCATCGCAAAAAAGAAGGCGAAGATGTTAGCCAGGGATTCGGGCATCTTGCTCGTACAGTAGGTGCCGGTGCTCTGGGCGCAATAGCTGCCAACGAAATATCAAGGGCTCGTGATTCTCACGATAGCAAACATTCGCATTCCTCGAGTGGTCATCACCACCGTGATCGACATGGTCACAGGCATCACCATTGATTGTGGCCATGTTACTTTGCATTTTGATGTACTTAGTTTTTAACGAGCGGTCAATAATGAGACAATGAGGTTTTTGCGAATACAAAGATTATTGAGAATTAAGTTTGAGCCGATATTTACTCATCATTTTATTTGAAAAATTCATCTCACTACGGAAAATGATGCGATCTATATGCATGCGTATTACTAGTAAAACTTCCTGTGAGCGAGAACGATCAATCCCAACTTTCTGAATTCTATAAAAAACCACATTGGCGTGCCTCAAAGTCTAAATCAAAGGTCACAAATAGGGATTCAATCGAGCCCTTACTAGAGAACGTCAAGTTTAAACATTTTCCCCAAAGTGTATCAGCTAGAATCAAGCCTTTGAAACTATCTTTTTTGGTCGGATATCTTTCCAGCCCATGAAGCATGAGAAGAAAAGCAACCACAAGCAATTCCTGTCGTTAGATAAAACACTCGATCGACGCTTTCGGCATAAGCTGCAATTACCCCTGCTAAGTCCTGCCCAGAGACATAAGACCGGAATCCAGTAGCACCGGCATTGATGATTATCTTCGGGTCCGTAGAAGGCGCGTATTTTGGAATGAGTGATGAGAGACTGTTGGTAAATACGGTGTCTGAGAAGCTCAGGAAAAGCGCCCCGGTGAAAAGTTGGCTGAACATAGCCAGTGCCGTTGCAACAGGAATCTGAGGGGAAGGAAGAACGTGCTGGATAGCAATAATCGGCTTGAAATAGAAATCAGTCAAGAGGTTTGGTATATATTTGAAGCTGTTGGACTTACCACCTGCAACCCAAGAGCACGAGTAGCCCCAAGAAGTATTTGATATCCGATCCATTTCCCCGGTGAAGTATGTGGGGATAGCGTCGACAGTAAACCATTACCTACAGCCATCAGAGAGGCCGAGGTAAGGATGATCGGCAAATAGTATCCGAGTCTTTCAACTGGTGAAAATGTCAGTGAGCTGCACCCACCAACAACATAACTATAATGAAACTTACTTATTTTGCCGGAAATCGTAGCGACACAAAAATGGGCAAGGATACTCGGAAGAATATCAACACCACTCATCAGAGGGCTTGCATTTTTGACTCCCTGGAAGTACTGAGGGAGATACCAGGAAACACAAAATACCTGGCTCAACAGAAAGCCGTAAGATAGGCTGCTTGACCATATAATTCGCTTGCGAATCAAAGAAAATGGGATCATGGCTTTCTCTCCCTGTCTGTGATCCCAAAGCAGAAAAACAAGAAAAGTTGTCCCGGATCCGCAAAAAAGACCGATAATTTGCGAGCTATTCCAGGCGAACTTATTTCCACCGTATTGAAGGGCCAACAAGAGTTGGATTGCCGAAGATGCAAAAAGGGCAAATCCAAGAAGATCCAACTGGCCAGGCAATGCGCGAATAGCGATGGCAAATTTCTGTTTTGGAACAATCTCTGGGATGTTGACAAACGCGAACATAACTGCGACTAAACCACCAACGGGGAGATTGATATAAAAACCTTTAGTCACATTGTTAGATAATTAGGAAGATATTATTATCTTTGGCCTAAACTTACACCATCGCCAAGTGGTATACTCGGTCAATGCGCCCCCAATCAATGGCCCAGCCGATAAACCGACTTGTGAAACTTTTTAAAAAATCAATATATACTCTTGGAAAATGATCTGGATGTAAGTCTTACCTCCCATAACAAGGCCGATGAATGTTGGGCGCCTGGACAAAGGCACGCATGCAGCGATAATCGTGAAGGCACCATTTAAAATGCCCGAGCCTCCGATTCCTGCAATTGCTCGTCCAACAATCAACATTTTTGAAGATGTGGCAAGACCACATATTAGAGATCCAAGCTCAAAAATGAAGAAGAAACTGAGGAAGGTCCACTATTTCAATATGAGTCAGTAAAGGGAGGAGTTGGATAGGGCAATCGAAAGGCTTGTTTGGTTAACCTTTGTACTGAGGTTCATATAGATTCTTCCTGTAAGGGGCTGAATAGCTGCACTATAAAAAGGTCAGCGAGTTTATTTAAAAAACAAAATTCTCCTGATAAACATACCTTGCTAGCTGATAGGCGCTTCCGTACCAACCGACATCAGGTAGTGAATTGAACTCACTCGTGATGCGAGGGACCGCCTGGGTTAAATTAATTAGCGAGAAACCCCTTCTGACATTTCTGGAATTACCCACCGTTGATATTATCGAGGTGTCTAGGAGCATAAGAAGGCATACAAGGCCGAGAGCACCAATGATGTTGAACAATTTGAACCCGGTCGCCCACTGGTTCTCCTGCTCCACATTAAGTGTCACATTCACCTTCGCTTCAGCGGTGACGTCCTGTTTAGCCTTATGCAATAATGAGGGCGCCATATCTTTGCCATTATTTTCGTGGCCTGGAATTTTTCCGTGAATTTTATGTGACTCCGAGGACTCGGACGCAGCCTCGTTGGAGGACATAGTGAAGAGTGCCAGTGTTATGTGGCGCGAGGGTATATTTCTGGACGTATGTGAAAAATTTCAGTGAGGCCGTTGGAGATAGAAGAACGTCGAAGCTTATTTTTTACTAGTCACATAACCCAAGAATCAGAGAAGTTGAATGCATCTAGTGCTTCATTTATATTCCCAAGGTCCTCGATTCTTGTGGGTAGTACAAGACTGCGGGATTCACTGAAATCCGCACTTGAAGACCCACCCACGAAACCCGCAGGGCGTTCAAATCCGCACACCTGGGCATCCACTCTATTTCGTGACCCAAACTGAGCCACTAATCGTCATATGGTACTGGTATGGAAAATGCCAAAAGAAGTCTGAGTTTCTAATTACTAAGGAAATCCCTATTGAACACGCAACGTCGGCTTTGTAAGCCGTTTACCTAATAGAGCCAAGCAAATTGGGAGTGTATCGGACTAGTAACAGTATTCATGTCGCGACACTCTATATTCCATATCGCCCATATAAAATTGGTGGATGAATTTGAATGGCTAGATCTATCTAGGAGAGACCGAGGCAAAAGGGAGGGCTATATTGGATACCGGAGGCTTCGCATCTCAACAATCTCTTTCTAAGAGTGCTTGACATATCTCACCTGGGCATCCATCATGAGGGACAAAATCATGATATATCGGTCGCTGAGAGTCTGGAACAATTCTACACATTGACTTGACGCACTGCGGGCGACTTTCGCTGTATGTTGTCTATCTTTAAATCCACATCATTTATAACTGCGGCGTTTTTGATGGAACATTGCATGCCTTGACCGCATCTCATTCACCAATGTTCTCCATTGGCCTCAAAGCATGTTCTAAAACCACAGAAAGACGAATTCTCCTTTCCGAGAATCTAGGTAGCGATGCTTTGCCTTTTAGATCATCTTTCACAGGGAATTGACGATCTATTTTAACTTGGATGCCCAAGGTTTGTTCCACTAGTAGCTCCAGGGCTTCGTATCGTTCAATCACCCCGGTCTATAAAGCGCCCCCAATCGGACGAACTGCAGGTCTCCAGGTCTTCAGTATTATATGTTTTTATTTAAGTCAGTTGCGCGGTATCTCCGGCCCAGCCTAGGGCGAGCCCCAAGCAGGATCAAATGAAACATATGCCAACGGACACCTGTCACTTTTCATGTTTTAGTCTCATTGTACTACTAGTAGTACTATCTCTGCAGTAGGACCAAAGAACCACAGCATGCTGTGAGAAACAAAGGGAGAAATAAATTAAAAAAACCAATGCGAAGTGGATTTACAACGAGTTTTTCTTTCAGTTCTAAGACCTCAGGCGGAGAATGACGTTCCTTGCCGTACATACATTAATGCAATACGAAAATCAACGACGAACGACGCAGCCTTCCGGACCAAGATGGACTGAAAGAGGCCATGAAAGCAATGGAATACTAGTACATGAGAAGAGCCCTCTTCTCAAATAGAAGATACTAAAATCTGCAATCTCTCCCCCAAGAGTAAATCCGAGCAACATCATCAAAAATGAATTCCAGCCAGAAAAAAGCATCCAGTTCCGCTTTTCATTGCCGCAGCCAATGGACGCGGGGTGTCGTTCAGGAGCTCATATCTCGTCACCACGATATCAACGAGCCAGATGGAAATAGCACCACACCCCTGATGCAAGCGTGTCGGAATGGGCACATTCATGTCGCGACGTTTCTTATTAATCATGGCGCAGATGTTTCAGCACGTAACAGCTCAGGCTACACGGCGCTATACATGGCAGCTGAGATCGGGAGCCTAGAGCTGGTCCAGCTATTAATGGGCAAGGGTGCCACCGTCGATGAACAAAATCCGGGTAAGTTGTTCAGATATCTGATCTATGACATGACAGGCCGGATATCTCAAGCAAATATGGGGACGAGAAATTAATTTGTTATCGCTTACAGTTACCTGGCCCATGCGAGTCGCCAAAACTCCAGATATCCGGCGTGTTTTGACCTTGCCTCTGGCCTCGCCTATGACTTCGCCTCCTACATCGCGCTTCCCCGGAAATCGCGATCGGAATCGGAATCGGAATCGGAATCGGGCTGGCGGGGACCCGAGGGATCCGATGAATCGCAGACGAAGCCTAGGAGTGGAGGATGGTTTCATCCGTATCATTGAAGAATCTTGGGCAAGGGAAAACGAAGGCAAGATGTGGATGGATTAGGTAGCTATGAATGAGTATCAATGTACAAGTCTTCCCAGTGACTACCACTCCTTTGCAAAGCGAGCATGGTGCTCAAAATGCATACTGTGTCTAGCGTAGTGCTTTCTAGTCGAGCCGAGTAGAGGCACAGGCTCAGTGGCTTTCTCATCTAAGGCCCTCCATTCACGTTCTTGAACCTCAGATGAAGACTCTTCTAAAGAGGGAGGCCGGTCTTCGGGGGCTGTTCCCCACTTACTCTCCTGTTCACTCAAAGTAAGAACCAACTCCTTCCCCTCCGTGAAGAAATCATGATCAAGCCAGCTGCGCGTGTAAGGCTTGCCGTTCAGGGAGGCCGACTGAATGAAGCCAGTGCCCCCAGTGCCTGCAGTATTGTTGAGTGAGTTAAATTTATCCCAATTGGTAACCTTCACGGTAGCCGTCTTCCCCGTGAGAGGCGACTTAATGCTGACTGATTTGAAGAAGGGAACCGTGATCAAATAAACACTCTGGCCAGGATTCGGGAAAAGTCCCATCATGGACATTGCGACAAAGGAGCCCATTGCACCGGAGTCGTCGTTTCCCGGAAGTCCTGCTGGCGTCGGAGAGAAGTAGTCTGGGATGTAGGTGCGGACACGTGCGGTTGATTTGGCTGGGCGACCGGCGTAATGATATTGGAATACTGTAAGGAAAGCTGGCTCGTTGCCGATGTAGGTGATGTTTCGATCGTGTAAGTAATCCAGGCGCCGAACAAAGTTGTTTTCGCCGCCAAGCATCTTGATAAGTGTCTTCATATCATGGGGAACGAAGCTGGTGAAAACATTAGAAGGATCCATCCCAAGCGAAAACAAAATTGACAACTTACAACTGATACTCCCAAATGCTCGACTCAAAGGTTTCCCCAGCAGTGTTCTGGAGCGAACAAATGCTTCCAGCCATATCGATATTCGAACACTGGAGTGGGTCTTGATGCCCCCAAGTGCCATTATAGTACTTGGGTTGGAAGAACCCAGTGAACCCTGTGTTGGTACCATTGACAAATGAAGTCTGATCATCTTTGAACAGATTCTTCCAGAATCGAGAGTTATTCTCATAACGCGTGGCATCTTGGGTCTTGTTCATAGCTCGGGCCATTTGCGCGATGGCGAAATCGTTGTAGGAGTACTCCAGGGTGCGAGAGATACTCCGTGTCATGGTCCCGAAACCCTCATAGTCAAAGTCCTCCACGGGGATGTAATTGACCTCCTTCCAACTTTTCAAGCCTCCTCGGCCTTCATTGGACCAATCAAATGGCTCAACCTCGGCGTCCTTTTGGACAGCAGCATATCCCGCTTCCCAATCAATTTCGTCGTCAAGTCCCTTGATAAAGGCATCGACGAGGATATTATCAGCATTGGATCCGCCTTGTGTGAAACCTGCAGAGATGATCAATATATGGAGGTCTTTATTCTCGTTGCAGTACGAACCTTTGCATAGCGACATCCGGCAGTCCGGAAGCCACCCGAGGTGGCGCTGGGTATCAATCAATGAGCGCACCATTTGAGTGACAGAGTTGGGGTCGAAAATCGTGAGAAATGGAATCTGCGACCGGAAAGAATCCCAAAGACTTGGCAGGGTCAGTATATGTTGTGCAGAGGGTGAAAAGAGACAAACCAGTAAAAGGAATCAAAGTACGGCTCCGAGCTTGTCCATAGAGGGTTCTCGCCAGTGTAGTTCTGAGGATTCACCATCGTACGGTAAATTCCACTGTAGAAGTTGGTGAGGACATCGGATTTGATACCATCCCGGGAAACGCGAATGGGCTTCATTTTTTCCTCCCATTGATCAATTGCATTTTGCTTTGTGGTCTGGAAGTTAAAGTTTGGAATTTCCGACTCTGCGTGCGAGCAAGCCTGTTCAGCGCTCATGAAGCTGACACCGACGCGAGCATTGACAATTCCATCAGGTGGGCTTTGAAACCGAATAAATCCACCACCCTGTCCAGTTAGCACTGATCGATACAAGATAACTTGCGAAGGATTTTCTTACCGGAAGAGGGTACCCATTGATACTGCGCGAAATGGTGAGATCATGAACATCATTGCTAACGCGAGTATTGACAAAGATGCCACTATCGCGCAACCAGCCGGAACTCTGGAAATCCGCACAGAAGTGCAGGTTATAAGATCCACTGCCAAAGCTTGGAAGAAACTTGGCGCTGCCCGTCATGCGCCCGCTAGACTCGTCGATTGAGATAGTCGCATTGTCTTGTCGTGTATCCGATAGGTCTGAAAGATCTAATAGAAGCAGCGGGCTGTCCTCGGTGTTGGAAGGGAAATTAAAACGAAAAAGTGAAGTATGATGAGCAGCAGTCATCTCCGCCCGAACACCGGAGGCTAGCTCAATACTGAAATACCCAGGGCTTGACTTGACCGAATCATGTTTGTATGGAGTCTTTCTAGCCTTCTTCGGAAAGGCACAGCCGTTGGGATCATCGCCATTGCATTTTGCGTAAGGAAAGAGCGGAAAGTTGCCGAGAGAGGGACTGCCACCGGTACCGGAATCATGCATGCTCGAAAAGCCGGTGATATTGCTGTTCTCGTAGGCGAAGCCGCCTTGGTTTGATTCCGAGTCGGTATCAGCAACGGCCTTGGCCATGCCGTATGGTAGCGTGGCACCCGCGAAGACATTTCCTATTCCTCTCGATTAGATATGGCAATCAACATGGAGAATCGGGGAAGTCATTGTGGTTACCTCCGTTGGCACTGCCGATCAGTGGGTTAATGTACTGCAGTACATCATAATCTTCAACCGCGTTGGAGGCAGCATCGACCAGCACGCGACTGCTGGCCAGAAAGAGCGACAAAATCAAATGCGACAACATGGTCCTAATGGTGTGAAACCAGTCGGATATTCCTTGCACGAGGGATTGGGACTGGGCTGGTATTTCAAGTCAATCTCAAGTCAAGTCAACTCTCACCCTTTAGTCCCTTGTGCGTCCTAGCGCGTTTGTGGCCCACCTCCCCCGGCATGCACGCCCTGTCGATCAACCCCGCGTTGCTTCATGTTGCATCGACACCCCTCGACGTGCGTCAAGCTAAAATTCGAATACTACCTAGACATTGGTACTATATGATGTCTTTTTCAGGGGGCAGAGAGGGGATTTAATCATACTACCCCGGGTCATGAGTCTCAATATCTTCAGAAGGGCGCGTTGTGATGGGACCGCGCCATTCCACAGATATCCCTCCATTGCCGGAGATGACAGGGGGGGTCCATTTGACAATATCTGGATACCCGAGCCGATTCGATGGGCGAGTACAAGTAGTGAGGTGGTTGGGACTGGGAACTCTATGTCTGGGCGGACGGGCCCTTGCAGTGACGGTCACGCCATGATATGATGCTAGTAAGCCAACGACAGGGTTGATAAATAAAATGAGAAGATGATTGGCCGGGTTGTCAAACTTGGTGGGCGTACTCTATATAGAACTGACACTCATGGACATTTGACCAAAAGTACCACTTGCCAGCGAGTGTGAGAGTGTGTCAGGTGTAGCGCGATAGCTATCATGATATCAACATCGGATTAGTTTGATAGAATGCCCAGAGGATGCAATGAATTCGTCACGAAACTCCCAACCATGAGAGGGATAAGTGGAAAGAGAGGTTAAATGGCAGATTACAGTCTAAATAGTACTCTCCAAAAAAAGAAATATCAAAACATCAAAGTATAGACAACCCAGCGTATACCAGAATAGTCTTGGCAATCAACGGGGCCAAATGTCACGTGGCCAGGCTGACGAGGAAATCTTCAACTTTGATTGCACCACCAACTTATCCAGCTCCATTGACTGCTTCGTTTTCACTCCGCTTGCATTTGGGTAATTTTGTTTGACTACAAAAAAGTCTTCTGGTCTCTTTCTTTGAATCACAGGAGCCAAAATATCGCCAAAACTGCCTCCATGTCCGACCCGGAGAAAAAGTGCTCCGGAGATGATTGCGACAACAAAGCTGGGACGTTGCAATGTCCGACATGTCTAAAGCTAGATATCAAAGGCAGCTACTTTTGCGCCCAGGATTGCTTCAAAAGGAACTGGGTAAGTTATACGTTCATTGACATCTCTTTGAATAGAGAACTAGGTATTGACTGTATCCAGGCTACTCACAAGGCGATCCACAAGACAAAAAATGGTAAATATTGAACATATTATTTGATTGACATGTATTGCAACTTTGAATCTTTCACTGAGCGCTTGATAGATGGTGGGGTTTACAACCCATTTCCAACATACCCATTCAGCGGCAGTGTTCGACCTGTATACCCACTGTCTCCACGACGTCCCGTTCCGAAATCGATCAAGCACCCCGACTGGGCTGAGACTGGAATCCCCAAGCGAGAACTCCGGTTGAGCAAGTCGAAATGGGATTTCTTGGATGCCGAGGGCCAAGAAGCCATGCGCAAGGTGTGCAGGCTGGCCCGTGAGGTCCTAGACATCACCGCCGCAGCTATGAAACCCGGCGTGACTACCGACTACCTGGATGAGATTTGTCACAATGCTTGTGTTGAGCGACAAGTGAGTTAGTTCCACCTAATTATGCAAATATTTACTAATACGGGAACTAGTCCTACCCTTCTCCACTCAACTACCATCACTTCCCGAAGTCACTGTGTACATCCCCAAATGAAATTGTATGCCATGGCATCCCCGACCAGAGAGTCCTTCTTGATGGCGATATTCTCAATCTGGATATCTCCATCTACCACGGCGGATACCATGCCGATTTGAACGAAACCTACTACATAGGTGACAAGGCCAAAGCAGACCCAGATGCGATCCGACTCATTGAAACAACGCGGGAAGCCTTGGACATGGCCATTGCAATCATCAAGCCCGGAACCCCGATTCGGGAATTTGGAAAAATCATCGAAAAGCACGCAAATTCCAGGGGTCTTGCCGTTGTCAAAACTTGGGGTGGTCACGGCATCAACTCGGAATTTCACCCTCCTCCCTGGATCCCGCACTATGCGAAAAACAAAGCTGTTGGAACATGCAAACCTGGGATGACCTTCACCATTGAGCCTATTCTTACCCTAGGCACAAATAGAGAAATGGATTGGCCGGATAACTGGACAAACGTTACAGCGGACGGAAAACGGACGGCGCAATTCGGTGAGTCGAGAGCCTTCATACCCGGTGCAAGGTTTTCAATACTAATTTCAATGATTATAGAACATACTATGCTTGTAACTGAAACAGGCGTGGAGGTTCTGACAGCGAGGTTAGCGGATTCTCCGGGTGGACCTATCCCCATACCAGATCCGGTAACCTAAAATTGAACGATGCATACGATGCGAATGAATCACGTTGATACTTTTGTCGAATATGAGGTGATTCTAGGAGGGTGATGCTGGAATTATTGAAATCTATCTGCTTGCATACCCCCAATTATGATAGCTTTGAATAAATTACGCAATTTCATCCTGCCACCATCGTTTGTAAAATTGCCTCATCACTTTCATAGGTGTACACTTACCATCCAATTTAGCATCTTACACTTATCATCATCCTTCCAAGCTATACGCTACTTTTACTGAGGTCGTAGGCCTCACCTGGGCAGGCCTAGCGGCATTGCCAGCTCACGCTTCATGTATCATGCATGTAGGACCAGAATCAATATCCTAGCCTGCATTGCATATTGCTTTCATTCGGAAGTTGCGCACGGATTGCACGCGGTTTGTCGTTAGATTGGTAGATATAACGTGAGAATTCCCTCCATCGCATATATCTCCCATCTTCATCTCCCATCTTTTCGCCTCTCCCAGTAATCTCCACCCGGGCACTCTCTATATAATTTCATACCAGCCAAGTCCTCGTACATTTTATTATAACAGATAAAATGGCGCGTGGAGTGAGTATATGTCGTCATGTTATTACGATGCCCACCTTGCCATGCACGGCATCACTTCGATGTGTTTTTGGAATACTTTTGTCTAGGTCCGGATGAAGGCCAGACGAAGTGCAAACCACTGTATAAGCGTTCTCGATATTGTGAGCTCCATTTTAAGGAATAGAGTCCAGGAGATCCCATAGATAATAAGGAGGCAATGGAAGAGCTGAAGAGCCTGTTTTGTGACATGGCTTCCAAGTAGTGGCACCCCGTGTCAAGTCAGACGGCGGAGATTCTAATGAGGGTGGAATATAACCCAATGGACATTATTTCACCCTCTGAAATGCTAAGCCTTGATCTAGAGTTTCCATATCCCACAGGCGACGTGGAAAAGTTAGGAATAGCCGATTTCCAAGGAAAGAGGCAACTGGACTGCTACACGCAGTACAGTCAGGGGATAACTGCGAAGCCGATCTTACGGATGGGTCGGCTGCCTCTCACTTTGCGCAGATGCCGCCGGATAAGCATGAATGAATGTTCTAGGTCAATGATATTTACTGTGTGGATGGTGGCCACGGCCAGTCATCCCTAACGCGACTGCCTCTGTTTATAGCTATAACTATCCTTTACCTCCTGTTGAGACTGTGATCCCTCAGGCTGTCCCATGTCACCTATATTAGCCTCCCTTAATTGTTCTATCCATCTACATCTTATATCACCTCCTCCTTGCATTGCACCCAGAACTCAACATGATGGAAGAAAGTGATTAATCAGCCTAAGATAATGCATTCCAATCAGTCGAACGCGCAAAAGAACAAGTAAAATATCAGCAGTCGAAGTTTGAGGCCTTCTTGGGCTCTTCAGCACAACTGTATGAGTCGATGCAATTTTACCCCTACTAGTCCCACTACCGAACAAGATCCACAGGCTCATATCTATACTCATGCATTTCTGAGATGAAACTCCAGTTTATGTCTATGCCCAGGTGCCTCAAACCAATGCAGTCCTCTGGCACATCTACCTTTTATTTTTCTCAGGTACTGGCACGTACTAGTTCGTTAGTAGCCTCCTTATACCTCCACGTTGTATATTCTTTATAGCTAGTACGGTGATGATAGTCTAGAGGTTGGAGCACATTAAAAATAATTTACACCCGGATTTCTCCAGAATAAAGCCGCCATGTTGCTCTTAGGTATCAGAACAGAGAATGTGGCAGATGATTGATTGAAATATGCGCCACCCCGTCTCTAGACAGAGAGCCCTTGTTCATGATAGCCAATATATTACAAGGTCAAAATATGCGCCTACTCCAATTCAAAGGTTTATACATGAGTTAAGGTTTCATGTCAAGGGAATGTACATGGACAGTTGCCTAAGGCCGGTCGTGCCTTCCGCCACTGCCTCCCTGGTCTCTATAGTAGCTATACCCACCTGGGCATTACTAGTCCCCTCCCTGTTCTGGACCATTTCATTACACTCAACTTATCCACAACACCCGCGGATTGACATCATGCAGAACAGTAATTCAGCAGCCCACGACAAGGCATGTCAAGCAATCGAACGGGCGAAAGGACTAGTCCAAGAACAAGAGGAGAGATTCGATGCATATTTTCAGTCCTCGGGTGATATACCACAGATGTACGACTTGATGGAATTCTACCCAATTAAAGACGAGTACATGTTTTACAAGCGGGAATTGCTTGACGCCATGGAGGAAGTTTCAACCACAGAATCCCTCGAAGCGCAGCTAGAAACAACACTCGAGATGCTCTGTTTAGATCGAATCGACCAAAATCGTGTGCGCTTCCGCGTACCACTTCTCATGCTGCAGCTGGGGAAGGACGCAGAATGTTACGCTGTTATCAAGTGGTGTTCTCAACCTCACATTTTTGACGAATATGGGGTCACACAATACTACCGCTTTCAAACCTTAAGCGCTCAGATCCTTTCGAGGAAATTGAGCCTCTCTATGAGGGAGACGTGGAGCTATTCCCTCTCGCCAATTTGGCTATTCTAAAGGCAAAGATTTTGCTAGATCTGAGCACCCTTGACAACTGTGTCCTGGCTGTAGGAGCCTAGGTGCCTCCCGAAATCCTTGACATGATCCAGCTTCAAGCGGTCCAAAGTGACATTATAGAAGATAGCCGCGAGAGCCGTGGGAAGAAAGACCATCAAGATCAAATTACAAAGCTAAAAAGCCAAATTGATGTTCTCTATCGACAAGTGGAAAAGGTGGACAGGCTGTACTTGTCTCGTCTTGAACAATTTGCTACTGGAACAGATTTGAAACTTCCAGGTCAAACCACCAGATCAGCCCATAATATTGATGTTGAAACATATCGCGCGTGGATGCTAGTTCCGGGGGGCTATGAGTTTATCAAAGCGATGTGTATGAAATGACTGGTTTCGAAACCCTGGTGCAGAACCCAGGATGGGCGGCATCCCAAGACTATCTTTGTCACCTCCCTTCATGGGGAAGCTTTTTCAGTGTAGTCTTAGTATGTTTCTTGTGGAAAAGAGAATCAACTTGAAAATTGCCGTGTAACTTTTCAACGAATTCTAATACACCTACTAGTAGATTATCAGAGAATTTCCCTGCGGAGCAAATCCGGGCATTCATACCCTAGGCAGCACAGCTCAACCTAGTATCTGCAATGAATATTTTTCTCGATATGAGCAAGCTAACATTTAACTCTTCATTATCCTAGATTAAGAAGTGCGATATGCCCTAGGAAATAAATAAATAGGCCCCATATTGGATTCATCCATCGTTGTGCGACTCTGGAGCATCGGAACGCTCCGTCGATCCCACTCCACCTCCGCAGACATTCGCCCACTCGATATTGACTTGCTACTCTTTTTCCCGCCCACGAATAGCTAGACGAATTCGTCCCAAGAGAAGTGCAAACAAAAATCAAAATCCCATACCCAGACTCAATGGCCTTGAAGGACCTCGCCTGTTTAATTGCTGTCACTCACTGCGTCTCGGGCAGCCTACAATTCCTCTCCAGACCAGACCTGTCGCCACCGAGGTTGAACATCACAGTGCCGGCTTCACCTCAAACCGAGGCAGGCTATCTCTTCTTTACAGCAGCTCGGGGAGATACCCCCGATAGCGCTGGCCCCGATCAGCCAGGAGCTTATATCTTTCGCGACAATGGAGAACTGGTTTGGTCAGGGGTGGGATACTGGGCCGGATGGGTCGCCGATTTCAGTCCCATTATGCTCAATGGGAAGCCAGCTCTTCGTGACTTTCAGGGTGATGTGATTCCCGCTATTGGTCGGATGCTTGGAAATCATGCGCTCTTGGACAATTCATACCGGACTATCAGTGTGATTCACGCAGCGACACATCGTCTCAGCTCAGCGCATGAATTCGAGATGGTCAACGAAAGTTCCGTTTTGATAGAGACGCCGATTATGACAGTTGCTGACCTGAGCTCTTACGGTGGAAAAAAAAGACCAGAAGTTCTTGCTCGAGGGCGGATTTCAAGGTGAGTTATCCCCCAGCGAGCTATTCTCGGCTGATAGAAACTTTAGAAATGGATTTGAAGACTAGCGAGCCGATTTTCGAGTGGTCATCTAGGGGAAAAATCAGTCCTATTTGTGAATCGATCTCTCCCAGTTCAAAAGCTGCTTTTTCTCTCCGATGCTGACGAAAATAGACAGCGCCATTCCATTGGATAGAAAGGGCACATACGACGGCCGCACTTACAATTCCGCGTGGAATTATTTCCACATCAACAGCATTGACAAAGACTCTGAAGGAGACTATCTAATTTCAGCACGACACTACAACGCCATATTTAAAATAAACGGTAGCAACGGCGATATAATCTGGCAACTCGGCGGAATGAAACGATCCACTTTCCAAATTCCATCAAACCTGGAGTTTGCCTTCCAACACGACGCTCGCTTTCAATATAGATCGCCGGACGGGGAAATTGAACATATATCCTTCTTTGACAATGCGGCTTACTCCGCCCCAGGACGAGAAATATCTCCGTGTTCAAGAGGCCGATACATTGAACTCAATAATACCGCGAAATCATCGAAAGAAATACACACCTACCATGCACCCAACAACTTGATTGCGCATACACAGGGGAGTTTCAGATTCTTACCAAATGGCAATAAACTAGCCAACTGGGGGAGTGCGGGTGCTCTCACTGAGTTTGCGGACGATGGGACTATTCTCTTCCACGCGTATCTCGACTCGTATCCAAACAAGAATGTTCAAAGCTATCGCGGGTTTAAGGCAAACTGGACCGCCGTTCCGAGTGAGGAGCCCGCAGTTCTAGCTTTGAAATATGGAGAATAGGATGTGGTGGTGTGGGTCTCGTGGAATGGAGACACGGAGACAAAAACCTGGAAGTTCTATCTCATCGATAAAGAGCCTGGAGAATATCATTTTCTAGGCTCAAGTCGACGATCTGGCTTTGAGACTCGCTTTGAAACAATCGCTTCCGCCCCAGACTTCCGGAATCATGGAGAACTGCTAGTTGTGGCCGAAGCACTAGATATGAATGGTAATTCGCTCCGGAAAAGCAGGCCCGTTGCCTTTACAGCAGATACGACTTATCAGGACATCCTTGAAATACAACGAGCGCAAGAGCATTCGAAATCTGGCTTGAGTTATAATCGCCTAGAGCTATGAGAGGCAAAGGGAGAAATCACATTCATTGCTGGAAGGCTACTAATTTCATCAAAGCATGCAACATAGTCAAACCCCTCCGGGGTCAATGTGTATGGACCAAGTTCTATCGCGCCCTCGTAAGTCGAGTCCGAACCAGAAGGTACCCCCCAGCTGCTGCCAGGATGCTAGCAGCTCCAATGAGCAGAGATGTATCGCTGAGTAGTGTTTCTTCACGAACCCGTCCAATACGAGAAGGCTTTTTGTCAACAACGACATATTTGCCAGAGCCCTCGGCAATATAATCCTCCCACTGCACTTGGGACAGGTTCTGTTGGTAATCAATAACAGTCCCTGACCAATTGTTGGTAATATTGCCATCGTCTTGCTTGTACCAGCTGTTACAATTAGGATCGGCAAAGCTACTTTCCCTTAGTAACTTTTGTATACGATCATTGTACTCTTCCAAAACGTTGGGCTTCGGTTTCAAAGCTAGGGTTAGTCCCTGCTGCCGAGCCCGAATAACCTCGCCAACCATCGTATTGAGATAACGCGATTGAGCCTCGATCATCAGAATAATAGAGTTATGCCCTAGACTTGTCAGCAAGGTGGAATCACTAATATAGTATCTTATGCAATATCGGAAACATCCATCTACTCACCAAGATTCGTGTTAGGCCCATAAAACATGCCAAAATTGGGCAAATCCTCAACGGTCATGCCGTAATAGGCCTTCGCACCACCGTTCCAGATATCACCCAGAGCGCGACCTCCAGAACCATAGACCTGGATGGGGTACATGAAGTCCACAGTCTTGAAGCCGGTCGCAAGCACGATAAGATCATATTCTTGCTCACCAGCCCCTTCGACTTCGATTCCGTTTTCTGTGATTCTGGTGATCGGTCGAGTTTCCAGGTTGACATTTTCACGAGCCAGTGTGGGATAATAGTCATCAGTGATAATGACTCTCTTGCATCCCGGCGAATACGTCGGCGTCAAAGTCTCCCACAGCTCGGGCTGGTCAGCCAGTTGAGTTTTCATCAAACCGGTGCACCAATCGCGGATTAACTGAGCGAAATCCGAGTCACCGTCGAAGATGGCATCGTGGAACCCTTCTCGGAAATCCATCTGTAGAGCTCGCTTACGCCAGCGAAGCGGAGGGAGGTATTTTAAAAGGGCTTGTTGAAGCGCGGAGACTGGAGCGTCGCCGCGAGGAATCACCCAATTTGGAGTGCGCTGAAATACGGTAAGATGCGATGCTTCCTTGGCAATTTCAGGGATGATTTGGGCAGCCGTTGCACCTGGGACAGGTAATTAGCACGCGCTATGTAAAACTGTTTCCTCTTGACATTGCGTGCGTACCGTTGCCAATAACGGCGATTCGTTTTCCCTTCAGATCGTAGCTCCAGTCCCAACGGGCGGAGTGCATCATCTTGCCCTGGAATTCCTTCAATCCGGGGATTTCGGGCTCGCGTGGAAGATTCAGCTGGCCGACCGCGGAGATCAAGAAATCTGAGTTGATGATATAGGAGTTGCCGAACTCGCTATCCTTTTGTCCAGAAACTTGAACAGAGACTTTCCATTTTGACTCCTCGTCATCCCATCGCGCCTCTTCAACCGTGGAGTTGAATCGAATGTGCTTGTAAAGACCATACTTTTCAGCGATGCCAACGAGATATGCCTAAACATAGGAAAGATGATTAGTCCGAGTATCTCGATGAGATTTTAACAAGAAGGAATAGAGGATGATACATGAATTTCTTCCTGTCCTGGATACTCTCTACTCCACTTCGAGTTCTGCTCAAATGAATAGCTGTAAAGGGAGCTCCATACTGCACGGTGTCAACAATGCTCTTCGTAGACGTGGATGGGTGGGCGACCAACCATCACAACAACAACCTGGATATTTGTTGTCATGCCAGGTTCCTCCTACACTGCTGCTCTTCTCCAAGATTACAAAGTTGTAACATTTGTTTCGCTTGATGAGGTCAATAGCCATACACATCCCTCGAGGCGACGTTAGCAAAGGGTAGTTTTGGAGGGAGATAGGCTGTCTTACCCGATATCCCGGCACCTATAATAACTACTGTGGCATTTGTGAAGTCCTTGTTGCCCACAGGCAAACGTGTACTGCCTGGAAGAGACATTTTAGTGACTGGGGTTCACTGAAATGAAGACGGGGCAGGCAGAGATGTGCAATATCCATGGATTATGTGGGACAGACCCCAGCCAGCGTCGGTCCAGACATTCCAGGGCATAATTACCGAGGCACCCCTTTTTTTCTAATTTTATGACAAGTTCAAGCGACCCATTCATCGTGCCTGAAGACTCCGCAGTAGCGGCTGCAGCTGCATATTTAGTCCAGCGCTAACTAACGATTGGCAAAGATACTACTGCGCCGCCTGAGACGTTCTAATTCCCACCCGACTGCAATAAACCAATTCATTTACCAGCTATGGAACAGCGAGGATCCCGTACACAGACCAAAAACGTCCTACATCTACACGGTGGAATGATCCATAGATGCCATGGAACGTCGGCAGCGGGGAGGAAACGCGTGAAATGCGGGGAAGAAGCCGGCCGCCGAGGTAGTGCCGAGTATAAGCTGACGAATCTTTTATGCATGCAGGTCAAATTGAGCATGGACAAATGAAATCAAAAACTACATTCAAGGTAGCTCAATCCCCTCCCGTTCAGCAGTTTGCAGAATATACTGCTTAACCTGTGTGACAAAGAAGTGAAGAATTAGCCATTACCGCAAATGATTACTCCGGGTACACACATAATAAATAACGAGATCACACGTACCTTGTCATCTGGAACCAGTTCAATTGCCAATTTTCCGTCGTTATCTCTCTTCTCAGCATCGGTGCCGGACTTGAGTAGGAGAATGGCAGCAGGGCCATGGCCCTCGGAAATGGCTTGGTGAAGAGCCGTCATGCCATCCCCGTCTGTCGCATTGACGGGACTTTTCCCTTCCTCTAAGAGGTTCTGCAGGATAGGGACAGATCCTACAGCTGCCGCTCGGTGTAGGGGCAGTTGACCGCGGATATCTTTAACCCGAGCACTGCATTTGTTGGCGATCAGGATTCGTACAGTGGAGATGTTGGCCTTGGAGCTTGCAAAGTGCAACGCGTTCTAAGAAATTCGTCAGATTCCGAGGAAGAAGTTATCCATGAAGGTACGGGGGTGGCTTACCTGTCCCGAGTTGCTCTTCACGGATACTTCGGCACCTTTACGCAGTAGGAGCTCGAGGATTTGATCACCCCCAGCATCCTTGAGACTGGCCGCAATCATCAGCGGGGTCCAGCCGGAGCCATCCTATCAAACCATAAGTCAGTATCCAACTTACAATGACAGGGGATGTAGGCAGATTCTGCTGAATAAGATACGTACTTCAACATCGGGATCAAAGTTCTTCATGGAGACAAGCAGCTCCACAACGGGCATATGGTTATAGGCTACAGCCCAGTGAATAGGAAGACGATCATCTTCGTCTTTCACAAAGGCAGACTTGGGATTTGCCTGAAACTTTCGTCAGCAATTGTATAGCCCGTAAATGGATGGTAGCTATCAGTGGTGGGTTTCCTGCGGGGCAGCTCTACGGGTATCAGCTCACGTTGAGAAGGGACTCGACAACCTGATCTGTTCCAAATATCTTAGTAAATCAAAGCCCACAATACCCAAGATACTTATACTTACTCCTACCCTCCCGGGCAGCCTCATGCAGAGGGAATTTTGCAGTTTGGTTGGGATCCATGACGTTTTCCACTTGCTGGAAGGAGGCAGAGTCGATAAGAGCTGCGATAAGCTGAAGGTGAAGGTGATCCGTCGATGCCTGAAATGTCAGGCGGAAACGGACCAGAACTTCGACCTTCACTTTGTTCAATTCCTTCCGAGATTGACCACCGCATCGCCCACACCTTTCCCCCGCAACCCAAGATCCCCTCGACTCTTCGAACTCCCATCTCAAACCAGAGCTTCCAGATGCGCTGAGTCCACCAGACCACAAAACTCGACTCGCGACTTGGTGCAGGGTTTTCATCACGCGCAAGACCTAGGAGCTATCGCGCCAGAACCGCACACGATCTTAATCCCTTCACCCACCTCCCTACCAATCCCTCACACATTATGGACTTCGCACCCTCCCAATCAGCCGAAGAGGCTGTCCGTGCCTCCGCCAAGAGAACCGCAGACCTCTTCGGCTCAGAATACCTGATGGTCGCACCCTCCACCACGACAGACGGTTCGATCGGTGTCTCCTACCGACGGAAAGCAGAATACGAGCACGTGAAGGAACTACCCCCAGTTCTAGCAGCAAAGCAAGCCCAGGCAGCAAGCAGCCGCAGCAAGCGTCCCAAGATCCAATCCGCGCAACAAGCCCAAGCCCAAGCCACTGGAGACAAGAGCGGCGCATCAATGTCGCTCGTCAAGCGACCAGCGCCCGGAGCAGGCGGCGGCGCAGGTCTAGCAGGTGGCAGCGAGGATCAGCCAAAGAGTCTGATCGCCAGACCCTCAGCAACCAAGCAACAACCGCCAGAGTGGCACGCGCCGTGGAAACTGATGCGTGTGATTTCGGGCCATCTGGGCTGGGTGCGGGCACTGGCCGTCGAACCTAATAACCAATGGTTCGCAAGTGGAGCAGGCGATCGCACGATCAAAATCTGGAATATGGCAACTGGAAACCTTCGACTTACGCTGACGGGCCACATCTCGACGGTGCGCGGACTGGCGGTGTCGCCGCGACACCCGTATCTGTTTTCGTGTGGAGAGGATAAGATGGTTAAATGCTGGGATTTGGAGACAAACAAGGTTATTCGCCACTACCACGGCCATTTGAGCGGTGTTTACACGCTTGCTCTGCACCCGAATCTCGACTTGCTCGTCACGGGTGGTCGCGATGGCGTGTGTCGTGTTTGGGACATGCGTACTCGAAGCAACGTCCACGTTCTGGCGGGACACAAGGGCACGGTCGCGGATATCAAGTGTCAGGAAGCGGATCCGCAGGTTATTTCCGGCTCGCTGGATGCGACAGTGCGGTTGTGGGATCTTGCCGCTGGTAAATCGATGGGTGTGTTGACGCACCACAAGAAGGGTGTTCGCGCGCTTGCGACCCACCCGACTGAATTCACCTTTGCCAGTGCAAGCACTGGTAGTATCAAGCAATGGAAGTGTCCCGAGGGCGCGTTCATGCAGAACTTCGAAGGCCAAAACGCTGTCATCAACTCGCTTGCGGTCAATGATGAAAATGTCATGTTCTCCGGCGGCGATAATGGCTCCATGGGCTTCTGGGACTGGAAGACTGGTCACCAGTTCCAATCTATTGATACAATGGCCCAGCCTGGTTCCCTCGATGCTGAAGCGGGTATTATGGCGTCGACATTCGATAAGACCGGTCTTCGTCTCATTACCGGTGAGGCGGATAAGACTATTAAGGTGTGGAAGCAGGATGAAAATGCCACGCCCGAGACTCATCCCGTCGCCTGGGCTCCTACTCTAGGTCGAACCCGGTATTAGAGAGCTCACGCTACGTTGGCGCCAGTCTCCTAGATGCCGTTTTCTTTTTGTTCAGAGTTGAGTCTCATTTAATACCCTTCCTACCTGCCTACCTGCTTGGTCTCATTTTCGTCATGTCCTTTCCTATACGGCACTATGTGGAGTTCAGCGGGGTTTTTACATTGTCCTGGGGGATTCAATCCAGGGCATTGCGGAATTGTTTACGGAAAGTGGATCAAAAGAATTATATCTCATGTACAAGTACTACTATATACAATTTTCAGAAGAAGTTGTCATTCCACTGGATCAGAAGCTTGATATCTGCACAACGACATTTACTAGTAGCTACTACGCACCTGCTACTGGGTTATACATCTCAGGGTTTTTCTGAATAAGGGTATCATAGTATGCAATTAGCCACCACAAGCCCTCATGCTAGTGGCAGCAACGAAAACAAGTAGAGTAACTACCAACACGAACAAAACTCCCATAATGCACCACAAATATCACTTCCCACAAAGATGTCACAAATGTTCATACGCAGCGCTCGAGTTCACCCAACAAACTCACTGCTCAATCCCCAACCCAAACCCCTTAGCTTCCCCATCCTCCCGAAAAGCAGACCGAACATCCTCCGCCGCAACCCTCAACCTCACCTTACTACTTCGATCACCCCGAGTCGGAATCGTAGACCCACCAAGCACACTTTTCGAACCTGTCCCCTGCTCCAGCGCCAAAACGCCCGAATTCATCAACTCCATAGCCGCGAATCTCAAAGCTCGCACGCGAGCCCCGGCTCCCCCGCCGCTAAGAAGGAAATCCTTCACGCCTACACCTGCTGCACCAGCCACGGCTACAGCCGCGTCTGCAATACGGCGGGCTTCATCGAGAACGTCGCCGAATGTTGACTCGGTGATACCGGTGCGTTGAACGCGGGCTAGGAGCGCGGCGAGGAAAAGTTTTCCTGATAGTGGAAGGCCACGGAGAGATTGTTGGAGGGGTGTGGAGGTTGCTTCTTGGATGGCTTGTTTGATAGTTGCGATAGTGACGCGACCAGGTTGACCCTTGGCTGGTGCTAGTTTGGGTGCAGCAGGGTCTGCGGCGAATGAGACGGAGGGTTTTTGGTTTGCCTTGTCGACTCGTGCGGGTGTTTTGCTAGGGGTCGCGGGCGTAGAATCCTCCTCGTCTTTTGTTGCGGCAGCAGCAGCTTCCGCTTCGTCGGCGTCTTGTTCTGCTATTTCGACGGCGCGGCGGCAGATATCCAATGCGCGGCGGGCGTCACCGCTGACGGCGGCGACTTTACGGCTTGCGAATTGAATGGCGTCTGGGTCGACGATGTTTCCCGGTACGCTTGCCAGGCGAGTGCTGATGATTTCCATCAAGTCTGTGTGACGGTAGCCTGGGAATGTGATTCTGGTTAGACCGAGACGGCTGGAGATCTTGTTGCTGAGAGTTCGCTCGGGAAGATCCATTGTGTTTGCGACGGCTAGGACGATGAGTCGTGAGTGGCGCAGGGCGGGCCAGTTGAAAAAGTTGTACATGACGGATTGGTTCTTTGTTACCAATTGGTCGAGTTCGTCCATGAGAACAACGCAGGATACTCTTCGTGGAGAGGGATTGGAGAATTCGTTCTCCAGGAGGTCTAGTGCGTGAGATGGGGATACTCGGTCGCCTTTCAATGCTTCCCAGAGGAGAGAGTATGATTGGTGGGGGTCTGTCACTTTCATCCCGTTGATTTCGACGAAGATAAAGTCGTCCATTTCCTCTGTCATGACGGCGCCATTGAGTTGCGCAACGACTTCGCGGACGGTGGCTGTTTTTCCTGTACCGGGTGTGCCTGAGATGTAGATACAGGCACCCGTGCCTTCCATAATTGCCGCACTGAGATGGTTGTACACTTGGTTGAACTCGGTCTTTCGGCAGGGGAGAGAATCTGGAACGGTGGAAACATGTAGCAATGTACGTGCTTGGCGATAAGGGGAGGCGAAATGGGTGGGTGAGAGGACACGCGTGCCCAGCGGCGTGAATTCCAAGGGCTTCTTGACAACAATCCTGATTCAATGTTAGTTGATTCGTCCCATGGAAGACCAATATATCGGAAGACAGTACCTTTTATGAGTTGGGGTCGTAAGTGCTTTCTTGCGTTGCGACTGTGGTGTTCCACCAGGGGCCAGTCTCTGTCGCTTTCTAGGAGTAGTGGGAGCTGCAGTCTCCTCTTTAGTCTCAGCATACTAATAATTGAATTAGCGTCAGAACATCGGCAAACATCTTCCAAGTGCTTCTCACGTCGCTGTCCGCAGTCTTGCGCTTCCGGGCTGCTTTCAGACCTTCCTTAACAAGGCTGATCAGCTTGAGAATATTATTCTCATCATAAACCTCTTCCCAAACAAATTCCTCCGTGTATCGACCTTGCACTTGGTTGACACCGCGGCGGCACACGATGCACTTATTGTATTCAAGTAACTCAGCCTTGTTTTTCGGGGCGACTCCGTTAGGGTATCTCGCGAAGAAAGCCTGCTTCGACATGACGGTGGCTTTGCCATTGATTGAATTCAGGGGATTAAGGTTGAAATCGGCTGTCAGGTACTGTTCGTTGGGCAGGGCATCGGTTCGTTGCTTGTTCCTAGTAGACAAAAACTCGTCGGGTCCGGCAAACCACATGATGTTGGCGTTTTTCATGACCTCGCCTTCCTGCTCCTCGTCGTCTTCCTCAACGAATTCCGTAATGATTCCCACCCAGTCCTTTCCTGCCTCGGGTGACTTCAGAAGCACAATCTGGCCCAATCGACATTCGAAGCTCCCCATCTTCGCTCCGATGATTGTCCGCTTCTTCTGCGCCGGGCGGGAGGATCGTCGCCGGTTGGATTTTGTAGGACTGGCATTATTCACTTCAGAATCACCATTGACCTCGGGCTCCGCATCGAAAATCCAATCCCAGGGGTGATCCTCGTCACCCAGTTCGTCGTCGGAGTCCTCACGGACCAGAGCACCTTTCGTCATCCATTTTTGGCTGCGCTTGCGGGCAGCGGGACGTGGCTCGTGCTCCGATTCACTCGAGTGACGTGCATCGCCTGCCATTGTCGGAGGATGGGGTGTGTGCGATGGGTGAATGTCTCCGGGGAAGCTCTCAAGGGCGCAGGAAAATCGGCGCGACGCGTTGTCCACTTTACTCCCGATACGGGTTAGCGTGCCAAGACCAAGTATAGCGGCAGCGGACAGTATAACTACAGTAACAACATACATTAGAAAATAGACAATAGACAGCATACAGCATACAGATGAGCAAACCATCATAGCCCAGCAAGTAAGTAGGAAGAATAGAAAGAATTGCACAAGATCTCTGGGTAACCCTCTGGTGCCTGGAGTTATTCATAGCAGTGGTCTTAATCGATCCAACCTCACATCTTCACCATCGCGGGTAGACACAGCAGCACCTCTTCTATTCAGCACCCTTTTACCTCGATCCTTTTATTGAATGAGCCAAACTCTTCTTCAGTCCCAATCACAACTCAATCACAGGTCAACCACATTCACAAGGAAGGAACAATTCAATACCAAAGGCAGTCACAATCCCCCGGAGGCTCCTTCCTCATAATAACCTCCTTCCTTGTTTACCACCACTTCCTCCTTCCTCCTCTCAAGTTTCTTCACCTCTTTTCTATAATCTCGTCCATTTCGCAACAACTCAAGAGCTCTGGTCGATCGTGGTGCACATCTAGGAAAGCCAAATCTAGTTGCAAACTACAACATTCCGCTCACACCATGGAGTAAGTGACTGACATCCACTCCAAAAACATATCTTCACCATTCAGCGCTAACCAAAATCTTCAGCTTCGAAAGAGAAGCAGCAAAGGGTAAGAAACTATCTTCCTTGTCTCATCTCACCTTTCTTCACACGACATGTGCGCTTAAGGAGAATATGCTGACTTGAACCAGGGTGGAATCTCCCAGGCTACGGCCCGCCTCCCAACCCTCAAGCGCCACAACCCTTATCACCAATAACTCCAATGCCGCAAGTCCCGGGCAGGCCACAACTTCAACCAGGCTTTAACCCTCCCAAAATTCAACCGCTGCAGAATACAGTTCGGCCTCCGGCCCCCGTAAAACGCGAAAGCTCGGACAGGTCGAGATTCGCCAACAGACCCCAACCACAAAGCCCTCGTCAACGTGGCAGGCCAAGAAGAGCACCACCTCGAATTACCCCCAAGGCACCTTCTGGTCCCGCTGAAAGACGCAATCTACCGCCAGTGGCGACGGAACTCAATGTTCCGCCGGCGCAAGGGACCGCGGTCATTATTCACGGCCCCCGCATCCTCGACTCGGTGATAGCGAGACGAAAGGAACCCCCACCTTATGAGGCCCATTGCAAGGTAGGGCAAACCTTAAAACGGGCACGAGAGGAATATTCTGCTAACTCCCTATGCTTATTCAAGCTGATGTTTCATTGGCCTCCCGAAGATGGCCTGACTATGAAAGGTTGCTTTGGTGCAGATCTTGAAGACCTTGATTCTCTGCGAAAAACCTGGCGGGTCCATATCTACATCCAGCACGATCTCAATAATTATCTCTGCGTGGCCAGTGCTCAAAGCTTCGATCGAAAGGAAATGGTTCAAGTTCTCCGAAACCTCTACACTGAGAAGTACGCTAGACTCAAGCTGCAGATCAAGGCATACTTGGTCGAACCCCCATTGGTCACCGAACCAGGAGACAAAGTTATCATCTCAAAGTGCAATGGATTTTACCACCCGACTCTTCAGAAGGATCAAAACAATCAACTTCAACCCCTGCAAACCGAAGACCAAAAACGCAATGAGGCAGCTGGTACAAGAGGCAACAATCTCATGGCAGGTGTTCCATCGGCCAATCATGACCTCATTCGCAGCCACCTTGACCGATGCCTGAGCATGCTGAAATACGTCGATTCTCAAGTAGGACTCAGAGTCAAATTTGGGACTTTCATACTGAGCCGATGGAAAACTCCAGGCGGCTCAGCCAGCTATCCGCTACATAAATTCCCGGAAATTCTCACAGATAATAAATGGCAGGGGCGTCTCGTACCAGGGTAAGTTCACAATGTTCTATAGGACGGAATACGAATATCTAATTGAATTATCTAGTCTCGGCCTTAGCCAGACCAACCTCCTCAGGCGCTGCTTGCAAGCCCAGGATACCCTCCTTCCCATGGGAACAGCAAAAGGCATAACCAACGCAGGACTAAACCCCGACACAATGAAAACTCTGCACTCAGCGAGCTTCGAATTCGCAAAGGCTGAAAAATCAACAACTACGTTCCGCTTGGACGTCAATTTCAACCAGGATCATAGCGCGATTGAGTCCGGATCAGCTCAATACCGCTGGTTCAAGACATCAACAGGGGCTACACGCCTGCCACCGCTTCAACTTGCTATGATTGATTTCGACAGGTATGACCATTGCCGCGCTCTAATTTTGATAGCATATTGACTTTCTATAGGGTCAATTGGGAGATGGGAATGGATTTATTTGAGCCACTAGCCAAAGAAGATCTGAGTGAAGCCCAGATTGAGTTTGCAAATAACGTGAAGCTTGATCCTGTCCGCGGTGCAACCCCAATCAGTTCAGAACCGAGACGGAAGATCATGTTCGCGGACACTGCATTGATTTCGAAGCTAGTTCAAAAGACCGCCCTACAGTTCAAAGTTACAGGCACAGACTACGTGCTGGAACTGGCAAGATTTGAAGAATCTCAATACTCCTTGACAGGTCGTACTCAGTGGACGCCGCCTAACGTCCAATGGGGCGCTTGCCTCACATCTCCGGGATGGGATAGCCTACTTAACGACAAGAAGAAAAGGCTGGATAAGTTAGGGCTTGGTTCGCTTTTCCCACGCGTGAGCGACTTTCATGACTTTTTAAAGATTGTCAGGAAGATTTCTGGGATACTCGGCCCAATGCCGAACTTAGGAGGCAGTGACGAGGGGAATGGAGACCTGTCTGGGGTTTTAGACTCCGAGCTCGGGACATTGTTCTGATCAAAACCTGAAGCAGTGGGTCTATGGCTGTGAGGATGAGTAGGATGAGGACGAGTTTGAAGCAGTGGGTCTGGGGATGATGAGTATGAACACCAAGGCCGGCCTACTAGTTGCCAGTGATTTTCTTTTTCCAAAACATATTTTACATGAAGGAGGCAAAACCAAACGAGAAAACTTCGAGTTTTCTCTATTTTTATCTTTCGAATTGATTTTTATTCTTATTCCAAAACTTGACTGCCTTGTCTTTTTCCTTTCCCCGGTGTCAATCATTACGCGCTCGCCGCAGCCGGCTGTTCGGGCGCTTCACCAGCAAGCATCTTCTGTCGGAGAACTGTATTATTGATATCAAATTAGCAACCGTCCAAGAAAATCAACTTCAATAACAATTCAAAAAACTCACCCTCCTCAACAACACGCAGCTGCTGACTCTTCCCAGAAACAATCTTCTCCAGTTCCTGCAAATTGGCATCCAAACCCTTGACCTTATCGTCGTAGAAAGCAATAGCCTTGGGAGGAGTCTTCTCAATATAAAACCCAGTACCAACATCAACGAGAACCTTCTCCCGATCCGTCAATCGGCCCTTGACATACAACGAGCTGGTCAGCGGGACGAGAATCTCCTCACGACCCTCGGTGCCCTTCTCCTTGGAGCCTGTGACACCGTCGGTGATGGAGCGCACGCAGTCACGGAATTTGGCCTGTGCGGCGCGCAGCTTCGTGTGTGATGTTGTAAGGTGTTCCAGTTCGGATGTTAGGCGTGTTTGGAGCGAGCGGAGTTGGGGCACGCTCAAGGTTGCGAGGTTTACTGATGAGCATGGCTGTTAGCTTTCGGGATTGGATTGAGCTGGGTTGGGCTTGTGTGGAGGTCAAGTGGGTGGTGGAGAGAGCATTGCTTCTTTCTTGAGAGTGTGCTGTGCTTGCTGTGCTGTGCTGCAGTGCGGGTGGGTTGGATTGGATTGGATGGGATGGGATTGCCGCATACCTGAGCCTGGGGGAGCTCCGCCTTCCGCCATATTGTGGGTGTTGGCGTGAGTGAGTGGAAGAGGTTGTTGGTGGGTAGGTTGTTGTGTACAGTGAGTTTTCTTGCGGACTTGATATGCGGGCGGAGAAGCCCCGTGAGGTGGGGTGGATTGGTGGATTGGAGCTTGGAGCGGGGCGTGGGCATAGTGGGTGTAATGGGTATTGTGAGTGCTGTGGGGGTAATTGCACGACAGCATAGTATGTGCACGCACCTTGCCTGAGAAGCTGCCACAACAGCTGTTAGTTAAAGGCCATCTCGGGGGCTTCAGGTTGTATATTCACAAGCCTAGCGGGAAAGGAACCTTGGATATCTAGTATGCGCCGAGGTAGTAGCAGGAGATGGGTTCATTATTTTACAAGGCTAATATCAACATGTTAGTAGTAAAAGTACAAATGGTTACAATATATCCAGGACTGCCCATAAATCACCCGATTAGAGTTGTGACAAAAGTCCCTCCACGAATGTGGGCAGCTTATCCATGGACACATCCTCTTTCACGCCCAGGCGACGACACTGTACTTCCAGTGTCTGATTCTTCTTCCACCCATTGCCCACAACCACGAGCACTGGATATCCAATCAGGTCCGCATCACCCAATTTCCAGCCCATCCCCTTATCCCGATCATCGAGGAGAGTATCCACCGACACAGAAGTGAGGCTGTCGTAAATCTTCTCAGCAACAGAGTCCAGCCCCTTCGTAGGCACGACGGCAACATCGAAAGGTGCGATAGCACGGGGCCAATTCAACCCCTTGGCATCTGCTAGACGGTTCGCAACCGCCGATATCAAGCGAGAAACGCCAATTCCGTGGCAGCCCATCTCCATCGGAACAATCTGCTCCTTGGAAGACTTGGCGCCTGATTCAGCAGTTCCGTCGAGAACAGCTTGGTTCACAGAGACCGAGGCCTGAAGCACCTCACTATACCTCGTACCCAGATGGAAGGTGTGGCCCAGTTCAACCGCAGGGTTGCTCGTCACTTGGCCATCGGCACACTGCGCGCAGTTGTCTCCGTCATGCACGCGAACCAGGCTAAGCTGGTTAGACGTACCCGGGAAACGGTCCAGTTTGGAGTACTCGATATCCGCAGCAGTGCAGCCGATTTCTTTCAGGAGATCGCTGAGAGGTGGACGTTGGTATACTCGCACCTGCGAGTCATATAGATCCAACACTCGGGGCTTCTGGGAAGATGATCGAGACTGGACATGGGCTGTCCACTTCTCTTTGGGGTTCTCCACGCTCAGATCGAGATCGACACCTGCGGCGGTGGCGATCGCCTTCACAGCATGCGAGTTAACATGTCTTTCAACTGGCTCCGTAGATCCATTTTGCATGGAATATTTGGGGTACCAGCCCCGGAGAAGGGTGTTTCCATCTTGTGAAATGGCCATCCACATGCCATTGGAGATTGTTGCGCCGCCTTCGACCTTCGCCTCCTCCGTCTGGAAACCCGGAACAGCGGCACTTTCTTCGGTTTCGTTAAATTTGTGTGTTTTGCCATCAGCCAGTTCTTCATTATAGACGTGATCACAGTGGGAACAGCTAACAACTCGGTCCTCGCCCTTTGCGCTAATGAAGTGGTATTCATGGCTGAGACTGCCACCCATGTTTCCGGAATCGGCTGCAGCGACGAGATACGGGATTTTCAGTTCATCAAAAAATTGAGTGTAAGCGTGTTTCACGGCCTTGTACGTCTTCAGGGCCTCGGGCACATTGTAGTCGAATGTATAGAGATCTTTCATCACGAATTCACGACCGCGGAGAAGACCCTGCCTTGGCCTGGCCTCATCTCGGTATTTTCGCGCTGTTCCCTGTAATTAATACGGGATACATTTTGGAACGAAGCGCGACTCGACTTACTTATTTGGTAAACCCGGAGAGGGAGACTCTTGTAGGATGTGGTGAGACTACCAACGAGGGAAGTAATTTCTTCTTCATGAGTGGGTGCAAGGAGAAAGCGAGTATCCTTTCGGTCGTGAAAGCGAAAGACCTGAATATGGGTTTAGCAATGAAGTTCAGGAGATGGCAAGGAGCAGGGAAAACTGACCTCGGCGGAGCCTTCGGTCAGTCGACCAGATTGCTCCCACAGTTCCTGGGAAGAAATTGATGAGAGTGCAACTTTGGAAGCTCCTTGAAACTAGTTAGCAGTGGCCAAGTGCTGTCTCTAGGGATCAGCCACCTACCGAGTGATCGCATGTGCTTGTCGATCAGACGTTCAAGTTTGTCCTGCACCCGCAACCCAAGTGGAAGAAGATGAAAGACGCCAGAATAGGCCTGAGATGATTGTCAATAAAGACGCTAATTCCATAGAAGCAACCTGCTAGCTCTTACCTGTCGAAGAAACCCGCCCCGGACTAGGAGATCATTGGCATCTTCTAATGACTGTTAGCATGTTATATGTTCTCCGATGACTCGCAAGTCCCGCACCTTTTGCCCCTTCCACAGGCTTCTTAGATATCCCACCTGTGGGGATCCAGAAATTGGACACTCTGTTCCGTCCGTCATACTAGAAACACGATTAGTTATGACAGTTCAGCAGATCCAGGGAACTCTGTCGGAAGCGCGTACATGAAGCTGGCATCGCTGAACACAGGGCAGCAACGCCAATCGGCCCTTCAACGGGCGACTGTGAGCTTGTCGCAATGCAGAAATCATCTCGACGACTGCAGTCCCCGACTAAAGAAACCACAAAGAGTTGAATTGTCGTCCAAATAGCCCAGCGTATTGCCCAATGGAAATCGGCGCGGTCGCTCCAAAGACAATTGCTTATCGGGTGGTCCGAGCGTCAGCCGATAAGCCCGCCGCAAAAGATTTCTCCGTCCAATTTTCTCTCCGACAATTCAAGAAAGAGAGAAAAACAACTCTCTCCGCAATCCTTCCCAAACACACACCATGCCTAAAGGGAAAGGTAAGCGCTCTTCGGGCGCAAACGAGATTGTCAAAGATACACCCGTCTCGGTTTCGGAACCCCAGACTAACCCCGCCGAGCCCCAAATCGAAGAAGGTGCTTTCGCTGGTCTCCGCGAAAAGATCGAGCAACGCTTGAAGAATCAGAGCTCCGCCAAGGGAAAGGGAAAGAAGGATAACAAGGTTCAGCCTTCCACGGAGAACACACCTGTCAAGAAGGAGAAGAACGCCCCTCCCAAGGCCGACAAGAAGCAGGATTCGGCGCATGGAAAGAAACGGGATCGCAATGGTGATGTGATCGCCCGGGAGGAGAAGGAGAAGCAGAAGGGAGGCAAGAAGAGCGAAGACAAGCCCGATGCATCGAAGAAGGAAAGCAACAACGATGCGCTTCGTGCGGAGATCATGGCTATGGGCGGCACCGAGGCGGATCTGGATTTGCTTGCGGATGTTGACTCGGAGTCTGAGGTCGAGGGTGAAACTTCCAAGAGGAAGGCAAAGGGCCGCGAGGCTGATCTGCGGAGAGAGCTATCCAATATGCTAGCGGCTGCCGGTCATGTCGTTCCTGAAGATCTCGCAGATGATGAGGTATCAGAGGTAGAGGAGGAGGATGACGAAGAGGAGGCTGAAGAAGATGAAGAGGAGGATGAAGAAGAATCCGAGGAAGCCAAAGATGTTGAAGATGACAGCGAGAACCCCAATGAGCAAGATGCGGATTCTTTTGAAGAGTCAGATATCGAGGATGCCCCCCCGGCGCCTAAGGCAAAGGAACCCGAATCTCATATCCCCAAGGAATATGCCAAGCTGGTGAGTCTAGTCGAAAATTACAACTGCCTTCTGGTGACTGTTTACTAACTTCAATTGCTCAACAGGCTGTCATGCCTCGCTCCGACTGGTACAATTCTCCTCTCCCTCCCGTCGCCGGTGCCAAAGAAATGAATGCTCTTCCCCGCCACCTGGTTGAGCGCATCCACGAGCAAGCCAAGGTCCTACTTCTCGAGGAGAACGAAACATACGCCGAGGCCCAAAAGACATCCGCCTCTTCCTCTTACAAATTCTACACCAGCATCATGTCCAGTGGTACCCTGAGTGATAAGATTTCCGCCCTCACTCTTGCTGTGCAGGAGTCGCCATTGCATAACACAAAATCCTTGGAGTCTCTGGTCGGACTCGCGGGCAAGCGCAGTCGTGCACAGGCTGTCGAAGTTCTCCGATCTTTGAAGGATATGTTTGCGCAGGGTACTCTCCTGCCTTCAGACCGACGATTGAGGTCTTTCGCCAACCAGCCCGGCCTTGTCGCCGCCTTCCAAGGAGCTGGCGGCCGATGGACCGAGCGAGACCCTCTGCCTGGTGGCCTGCAAAAGAGCCATTTGATGCTTTGGGCCTTCGAGGATGGCGTCAAGGAACAGTTCTATGAGATTCTGAAGGTTCTTGAGGTCTGGTGCAATGACGAGATTGAGTTCTCGCGTTCCCGCGCTGTCAGTTACGTCTATGAGTTGCTCAAGGAGAAGCCCGAGCAGGAGGCCAACTTGTTGCGTCTGCTGGTTAACAAGCTTGGTGACCCCGGAAAGAAGATTGCCTCTCGCGCTTCGTATCTTCTTCTGCAGCTCGAGCAGCAGCATCCTATGATGAAGCCTACTATCATCAAGTCTGTTGAGGAGCTACTCTTCCGCCCTGGCCAGAGCTCGCACGCCAAGTACTATGCCATCATTACTCTGAACCAGACTGTTTTGAGTATGAAGGAGCAACAAGTTGCGATGCAGCTTCTGGATATCTACTTCTCGCTTTTTGTCACTCTTCTGAAGCCGGCTCCTAAGAGCAAGCCTCAAGGAAAGCACGGCAAGAGCAATCCCAACAACCAGGCTGTTAAGGGAGAGGCTCAGACTGATGAGATGCGGGAGAAGCTGACGTCGGGTGTGTTGACTGGTGTCAACCGTGCCTACCCCTTCACCGACGCCGACTCGGGCCGGTACGTTCATATTACGTTCCATGCCTTACACTTTTCTGCTCAATACTAACATTGAATCTAGATTGTCCAAGCACATCGATACTCTATTCCGCATCACCCACTCCTCCAACTTCAACACGAGTATCCAAGCCCTCATGTTGATCCAGCAATTGACTCACACTACTCAAGTCGCCAGCGACCGTTTCTACCGGACGCTATACGAGTCTCTTCTGGACCCCCGCGTGGCCACCTCTTCGAAGCAATCGCTCTACCTCAATCTCCTCTTCAAGTCTCTCAAGAACGATCTCAATGTGCGTCGCGTGAAGGCATTCGTCAAGCGTATCGTGCAAGTTCTCGGCATGCACCAGCCATCATTCATTTGCGGTATCTTCTACCTGATCCGTGAACTGGAAAAGACCTTCATCGGTCTCTCATCACTCCTTGACCAGCCCGAAGACAACGACAGCGATGACGAAGAAGTCTTCCGCGACGTTCTCGACGAGGATGATGAGCAACCCGAGCCCGCCCCCGTGGATGAGACTACTACCAAGAAGTTGAAGGAGAAGTACGACCCCCGCAAGCGTGATCCCGAACACAGCAATGCAGAGGAGAGCTGCCTCTGGGAATTGCTTCCTTTCACCACCCACTTCCACCCCTCCGTCTCACTCAACGCCGACCGTCTCCTCGAGCACGAGCCCATGAGCGGCAAGCCCGATCTCACCATTCACACCCTGTCCCACTTCTTGGACCGATTCATTTACCGCACCCCGAAGACTAGCGCTGCCTCTCGCGGCGCCTCCATCATGCAGCCTCTGGCTGGTGGTGAGGCTAAGGATCGCCTCGTCGAAGCCGGCAAGACATCCATGCAAGGCGTGCCGCTTAACTCGCAGAACTTCTGGAAGAAGAAGGCCGAAGATATTTCCGCCGAGGACGTCTTCTTCCACGAGTACTTCAACCGAGTTAATAAGGACAAGGTCAAGGCGAAGAAGGGCAAGGCCGCCACCGCCACCGACGACGCTGCTGCCTCCGACGACGAAGAAATCGGCGACGAGGACGCCATTTGGAAGGCTCTGGTTGACTCTCGACCGGATCTGGAAGATGAGGCTGACAGCGACGATGATCTGGACATGGATGATCTGGAATCCGCCTACGACGACGACTCCGCTGAGGAAGGTGTTGAAGGCGAGAACGACGACGAAGTCATTTTCAACGACGAGTCGGACGTTCCTTCGGACGAGGAGATGGGCGATGAGGAAGCTGGCGACTTCGAGGGCTTCGACTCACCACCCCCTACTACCAAGAAGAGCAAGGCCAAGGATGCCGCCCCTGCTGCCAAGAAGTCGGCCAAGAAGGACGAGGACGAAGACGAGGACGAATTCGATATGGATGTCTCGGACGACGAAGCGTTCCTGGACAGCGACGAGGATCTCCCGTCGGATATGGAGCTTGGTGGAGTGGGACTCGAGACGGACGAGGCCGAGCCCGAAGAGAACAACAAGAGCAAGAGGGAGAAGCGTCGCAAGCTCAAGCATCTGCCTACCTTTGCGTCCGCGGACGACTATGCGGCCTTGTTGGATGGCGAGGATCTGGGTATGTAAAATGGGAAGGCATATTGGTTTGCAGATGTTTAGTTTTGTGGATGATGATCTTGTATGTAAAAGCCCTTATTTATTCGCGGCGTTGTGGCCGGATTACATTGAAATCATAGTATTTAGTTGTTTGTCTACTCTGATGTCAGTGCTCGTTCCAGTTTAGTAGTTGTAGCAGTAACAGTAGTAGCTACTACTAGTACTAGTGTGATGTCCCTGGACATGTCCAGGTTATAACTGGTCACTCTATCCGAGTCCTTACATAGTACATAGACCTCGGGAGCTCCGAGTCTGGTGATGATACCACTGTAATACTATCTCATGAGGGATATATCGGCTATGATGCCAGCTTTTTATTCATGCATCCATTGATTCCAAGGTTTATACTACCCAAGATTTACTTTTTCACCCAGTACCACACGCTGCAGTACAGCCAACGCAAGGCTACCTCGCCGGGGCACAGAAAGGGGGCGCAAACCAAGAAGGGAAAAGGTCAACGGCAAAGCGGCCATCCTGCAAATTGCGACCACGCGAGAAAAGAAACGGGTCCAGCTCCAGCTCGGCACGCCATCATATCGGGCATCGGCATTCGGATCTGATATTTATTGCGTGATGACCGGACAAGTCCGCATCGTGCAGGATCGGATGGCGGCAATGTATGAGTGGATATACTCCATAGTAGCTCTGGAGTGTAAAGTAAGTTGGGTTAAGGGAGTGGGCTGAATATGAGGCCATCACGGTGGATGAGCACGCAACTTGAAGCGTCCGTGCATGGCGGTACTTTTGAGTGGCTTGGATTGGCTTGGTTTTTCTTGGATTCTTGGGTTTGTATGCTTGATATGCTTGGATATGCTTGGTGCCTACCACAGGTATATATTCTGATTCTTTCTGGGTATTTCGTACATGAAATCTCCATGGATACGAGCAGGAGTTCGATTGCATGTGAGATATCTATTGGCCATGCCCTAATTGCAATGCATCTGGGCGTGTTTACCGTACCGTACGTGTATTTTTCGGCAACACCTGCTAAGTGTAGGTATTAGTCAGCCAGCATACCATGAGAAAACAGAAAAGAACAGAACAGTCAACAGCCAGCAACAACAACAGCCAACGGCATATTGGCATAAGTTGGTTGAATAATAGTGATGATGTATTTAAGATGTACTCTAAGTATCAATGCCCTATCATACGATCGGGTTTAAACCACTGTCCTCCGGACGGGGCACAGTACGCATTGTCACTTCACCCCTGTGGAGCCACCGGATGCGGATTGCGATTGGCAACGATCAAATCAGGGCAAGTCAGCTCACCCCGCCCATGTTTTCGGGCGTGGCTGATGCATGGGTTCAACCACCGCGTCAATCCATCATTCGGCCCCTGCCCTGCTTGCGGGGCTAGGGTCCACTCCGGCAGGTCGTAGCTCGATATGATATTACGAAGTGGCCAGGTATCCTCGGTCTGCCCGTACAGTACAGCATGTACGTAGGGGGACGCAGAGCAGAGTGAATCTCGAAAATCTAGAAAAATCTAGATTTCAAGTGGACAGGAACGTGCAAAGTGCATTAGTGTCGTCCACTGATTTAGAGACCTCCGGCATAGATCCCACGATCCCACCTTACTCCGTACATAAACTCCAGCCATGTCTGGGGTCCGATCACACAGGGACGCAAAGTCCAGGTTTTCTTGTCCGCCCCATCCGAACGCCATGGACTGTTTCTCGGTATGGCACGTCATATTGGCGGCGCCCAGATCGACAGGCGTTTTCCATTTGAGCGTAGCAGGTTTGCCCTGTGGAGCGGTTTGGCTGGATTTGGTTACCCACCAACTCGATTAGGTCAAGGAACTGATGAAAATGAAAATGAAAATGGGCCAAAAAAATGACGGGGTATGCTGGATACCCGCTAATTACACTTGCTCCATCACTGTTCCTCTTAGTTCCTGCTGCTGTACGTGGCCAAGCTGGTATACTCAATTACCGTCTTTGCTTCTCGTTCTTTTTTATTTTCTTTTTTTTATTTCCCATTTTCCTTTTTTTTCTCTCTCTCTCTCTTCTTTCTTGATTCTTTATCACCCCGTACCTAATGGTATTTCTACTTCTATTCCACTCTTCACCTTCTACAACCTTCCTCTCTCCCAACTTTCCTCTCTAAGCATTGTGATCGGGTGGTTCTCCTTCCCCCCGCCGATCCCGTTGCCCTAATTCAACTTCCGTGAATTGCTTCACGTATAACTCCCCTGCGACAAACCCCCGGAAATCCTTCTACTGAATTAAATTCCATCGCGACAATTCTCCATTCCCTTGCAACCACCCATATCCATACGCATATTCCTCCCACTGCGACCCTTCACGAGGCCCGGTTTATGTATCCGAAGTTCGACAGTACAGCTTTCTTCGACTCCTCCGAGTACCGCCAAAAGCGGTTCGCCGGCTCTTTAAGACTCAAATGGCTCGGCCTGAAGACTCCACAACAATGGCCCAGCATCTCGATGGCGATCACTCCCCCGATCTAAGTGACAAGGAGCAGGAACGGAAACTCAAGGACTACGATGCTGAATCTGGTCATGGCCGTCGCCATTCCCACCATCATGTCACTGCGCTGGACCTTTCCTCGACGACCGAGAGCGTCGGTCGTCAGATTGAAATGGAGGCCGAGAATACGATTAAATATCGCACTTGCAGCTGGCAAAAGACTGCCGCTTTACTATTCTCCGAGTACATCTGTCTGGCTATCATGTCCTTCCCTTGGTCGTACTCCATCCTCGGCCTTGTCCCTGGCTTGATCTTGACGGTTGTTATTGCGGGTATAGTCTTATATACCTCGCTGATTGTCTGGTAAGACCTTATTCACCCTTTTCCCCAGTCCTCTATGTATTTGGTCTTTGGCGCTGGGGCCTTTCCCAGCATTGCGGGGTTAATCGCATGCCGATCGCGCTTTGATGCTAATTATTATGGTGCTCGGTCTATAGGAGATTCTGTCTGCGACACCCTGAAATCCGCGATGTCTGTGATATCGGTCAATATTTATTCTGGGACTCGAAGATTGCCTGGTGGGGCACGGCTGTCATGTTCCTCCTAAACAACACTTTCATCCAGGGTCTGCACTGTGTCGTTGGCGCAAACTACCTTAACACGATGTCCGATCATGCAGTCTGCACAGTCGTCTTTTCTTTAATTGTCGCAATCGCCTCGTTCTTCTGCTCTTTGCCCCGAACCTTCGGCACCCTCGCCCATATCGCGACAGTTTCCGCCTTATTTACCTTCATCTCAGTTATCCTAGCGACAATCTTCGTCGGCATCGAGGGCCACCCCACCAATTACCCTGAAGCAGGCGAGCCACTTGTTTCCGCCCTTCCTCCAAAGGGCACAACATTCGTCCAAGGAATGAACGCCTTCTTGAACATTAGCTATACCTTCATCGGACAAATCACTCTGCCCAGCTTTATCGCCGAGATGAAAGAGCCCCGTGACTTCTGGAAGTCCGTAACAGCCGTGACAATTGCCGAGGTCATCGTCTTCAGCCTCGTCGGCTCGATCGTCTACGTCTACACCGGCTCTCAAACAGAGTATATGAAAGCGCCGGCCTTTGGTTCCATCTCCAACGAAGTATACAAAAAGGTCTCGTTCTCCTTCATGATCCCAACAATCATTTTCCTCGGTGTTCTATACGCATCTGTCTCCGCACGCTTCATTTTCTTCCGCCTGTTCGAGGGAACGCGCCATAAGAGCAGCAACACGGTCGTCGGATGGGCCTCCTGGGCCGCCATCCTGGCCGCGCTCTGGATTGCAGCTTGGATTGTCGCGGAGGTCATCCCTTTCTTCTCGGACCTGTTGTCTATCATGAGCTCCCTGTTCGATTCCTTTTTCGGTTTCATCTTCTGGGGCGTGGCGTATATTCGCATGCGCAGTGCTGATCATGGTCCGCGTTTCTTCATGGAGCGTGGCATTCGCGGCTGGTGCGGATTTATCTTCAATGTGCTGTTGATTTGCATTGGTCTATTTTTCCTGGGACCTGGTACCTATGTGAGTTCTGCCCATTCCTCCCGCCCTCGCGGTTCCCTTTTCGGGACACCCTTCCATTTGGTCTGATTTGATTTGATTTACTAACATATCTTTTCTCGCTATTAGTCTTCTGTCATGGCCGTGGTCGCCAGTTACCAAAGCGGTGACGTCGGTGGCGTCTTCACTTGCGCCAGCAACGGTTCGTAAGAAGAAAAAGAAACGAAAAACGAAAAACGAAAAACAACTATCAACCCTGCGGGGCGGGGTTTTACTCCCAGCATAGTCTGCAATGCATCTGACCACCTTATCTTCTATCTCGAGATCTCATGTGATGAACTTGAATTCGGGATATATATTTATGACCTGATGGCCCGAGAGAGAGGCCTGTATTACTCTGCATTTGATGACTTTTCTCCTCATATTTCTCGCCTTTTTATGAGTTATTTGGACTTTTGATATATACCAAACGGCCGTGATGACGGCATGGATTGCTTCACATTGGTGGAGAACATTGGAAATTATGGAAGAAAGAGATGATTTTTGTACTATTTACAGAGATTTGGGATGTTTGGACTTGTCTTGTATTTTGTCGCTGCTCCAGCATTCCGTTGCACATAATTGCGGTCTTGAATTGACTTGGCCGGATGACCTCGGGCAAGCTGTTGCTTCCTGGAGTGATATATTCCCACCCCTACAGCTCCACGTTGCCCTGTCCATCGATATCCACACAAACTGATACCCTCAACCATTACCGTATCTTGCCATTGACCAGCCACACTCGGATCCGAGTTAACTGTAGACGTGAATCAGTTTCTCCTTGGTCCTTATCACTACCTGCTGTCTCCTATGTCATTGGTTATTTGACATGATAGGTAATACTCCCTATTCGTTCTATCACAAGCGACTCGATGTTTGTTCCCTCCTGGCCGCAGAATGTATACTCAATATCCAACCTGGCTGCAGACTGTCCCCTTGGTACATGTGTGAAGGACAACGCCTCGATCCTCTGCCATATTGGGATTTGTTCCATGCAGTGTACCGTTTGACCTTCCCCACCCACACCCTCTTCAATTTCGATTACCTGCTCAACCACCCTAGCAGTAGCGACACTATCCCAAGACGCCTCCCGTGTTAATTGGCGCCGCAAAATACCTAATACCTCACGGCGGACAATAGGATGACGGCACTTGGCCCCGATTATGTAGAGGATGGGGATAATTCCGATCTCCGGCGTAAAAGTCGACATTGATGACCCCGCATACCGCTGATGCGCCGCCGCTATCTCGCTCGCTAATGCAACACATTGCTGGAACTGGGGTAGGAAATTGTCATAGTCCATTTCTCCTCCGGGTCCGTGACTACTGAGGAGGATCCATGCGATAGTATGTTGTAAGCGTAGGAGTGATATGAGACGGTCAGTTTCAAAGATTGACTCAGAGTGGTTACCTCTTCCCAGGAAGTTTTCGAAGAGACTCGACCACGTTTCCAACTGCCCGAGGAGCGTGTCCTTGAGTGAAGAAGCTGAAGGCGGCATTGTAGCCGTGAGGGAAGTTCGTTGTTCTGTGTTGCGCAGCCACATGACCTGAGAAACGAGAATCTGGAGGTGATCGGCAGCTTGATCGAGTGACCAAAAGGCACTGTCGAAGAGTGTAAGATGGGAAGTGAATGGCTCTTGGATGTTGGCTGGAGTCCAGTCGACCAAAAACATGCCGGCCTGCATATCGAGACGGCGAATCTGTTTTGTGACCTGGCCGATTATCGCGTGAAATCCCGAAGGTTGGCCATCGTGGTAGGTATAGTCGTACATTGTAGCGTTTTCCATGTTGCGTGAGAGCTCGACACCTCCGCGCAAGTGCTTTACTGCCTGTACATCGTCGCCGACCAGATGATCAAAGCAGGTAAAGAGGTAAGAGACAAAGAGGGTCGAAGCTGTTATTTCAGTGCTGTCACCACTGTTCGGGTTCAGCAGAAGTTGAATAGCGCGGTTATAGTGAAGCAAAGAAGTCTTGTCCAGTAGCTTGTCTTTCAAAAAATACGGTTCATATACCCTATCGTTGGAATGGTGATCCAAATACTTCCGGTGAATCATTGCCAGAGCAGTGGCAGCATGCCGCACCGATGGCACTGTTTGGGAGAAAAGCATTAGGGTCTTCCGCCATGTTTCGCAAGGACGGTATTCATTCAGATGCTTGATCGAAATATCCTTGAAAAAGCACATTGCCTCTGCCTGGACTGACCCAGTCATTGGCAAGATCATCAAGGATCCGAGATTCTGCGAGGCGAGGCGATGATATTTCGAGTGCCTTCGCTTTGACTCGTATGCACCGGTCGTGGTACAGGGGCGGTAACTGTCGTATCCATCTCCGTCGGCGCTCTCATTGTGATTATGAGTTGATTTAATTTCGGTCTTCTCAGCCTTGCAGGAGAAGGGCATTACACCATATCCATCGCAGGTGCGACCAGTAGAGAGGCATTTCAAGCATGACGGTCGAGATAGATCGCATTTAACTCGTCTTATCCTGGGAAATGTCAGTTTCGAAGTCATTGAATCACAAATGATCGCTCTGTAGGGGTACGTAGAGTCAAGACATACTTGCATGTCTTACAGCCTAGTCGTGACTTTGGAGCGAACTTGCGAGGCTTTTTTCTCCAGGCTTGGTTGGCCGTCTTGTTTTTGGTCTTCATCCCATCCATCACGGTGATATGAACTGGCTGGTATTTGCAGAGAACGTTTCAGGCAAAGGTCAGTCCAAACGACACCACTATCCTTAAGCCACCACCTGCATGCAACGTCTCTGAAGGAAACTAATGGGGCACTGATGGAAGTTCAGGACGATGATCAGCTCGTCCGTTCCCATGCCATTTAAGGTGCCATCGCCATATCTTTGCGGTGGAACGCGGAGTGAGAAAGGATGAGGGGCATGAAGTACAAAAAGGCGAAGCTGGCAGAGAGGCTGTGCTTGGTGGGCAGCTTCCTACAAGCGATGCATTTCAAAAGGATGAGGAAGGATTGGAGTAGCCTAGAGTAAGCAAATGTATACGTGGTCTAGTGCGCTTCATACTAAGTGAATATTCATTGGCTGGTTCGTACACGCATGAGCCCGAGAAAGGAATCTGATCTTCATAGGCCTTACTTGCCAGAGACTAGTGCTTATATGGTGAGTCTTGATTGGCTTATTCGTATAGGTGGGGTAACAAGGACCGCGGGAATTCACTATTTTGGATCAGGATGGGACTAATTTAAGTAGTTATCCTTGTATGTCTGTATGCTAAGGACGCAAGTATCCATGAAGACAGGAGAATCAATCTCAATTGAAACGTGGAGGAAATCCGCGGACTCACCACTGCGCTTACTATGTACAAGGGTAAGATCCTGCCCCCGCACCGTACAATCTTGGTTGGTTATACGAAGCATATGAGAAAGATCCCCAGAACATGAATTGAAGAAGCGCCTTTTCGTCCCGACTGAATCACACTTTCTAAAAATCTTTCCTCTTTTGCACGCCAAAGTCTGTATCCACCTTGGCGATGAAGAAGAACCACATACCTAGGTATGTATGTTTCAGCAGTCCAGATTACATCTTTAAAAGTTTCTAGATTCTAATGACCGTTGGGAAGAGCAAATGAAAGCCGTTATGACTTCATCGTCCGTGTCAATCCAGGCTTACGAGTCGGTTTCGTCTTCCGGAGACCTGCTTTTTTCAATATATGCCACATTGTCATTGCAGATATCAAAGTGTCCTTGGATCTAAGCTCACCGGCCAAATCAGCATAAGTTCTTTTTCACGGCTATACTGATGAAAGCGTACGTTTGATGGTACTTTATGCTGAGTAGCCTCTTGCTTTTGAGGTCGGCAGAACGAGGAGCATCTGCAATAAAGTGGTCATGTACCACTAACTAATGGGCGATGGGATGGGTCAAATCGCGTTGAATCGCACGCGCGTATATACCTTGTAGCTTCCGAATAGGTATGTTTAGCAATTCGGAGACCTGGGCATAATTAGAGCCTATGGCAACGAGCCTAATAGTAATAGTACGTTGTGGAATAGTAGTAGGCATAGTGGTAGTAGTATTGGTAGATCAAACTAGGGGTAAGAGTGCGGGGATGACAAAGGGGGGTAAATAATTCACAAAAAAAAAGAAAAACAAATATTAGTATACTAGTATAACTACACCAGTAATTAAATATGGAGCTGGGTGCGCAGGGACTTTTTGAATGGACCTCCGTACTTGGTGGTCAAAATATTAATTGGCTCGTTCGTACAAGCGGAGCGGAAAGTGATTATATGCCAGAACAGGTATCGCGAGTTGATAGGAAGAATTCAGCTGCCTACTGAAGCCGTCACATTTGACCCTACTATCTAAGAAGATTCAATCCTTATAAATACTAGTAGTTCCCAGGTATCTCGATTGTGTCAGTTTTTGCAAACAACTTGAACTAAAATAAACGATCAATTAAACACCCCCAGGGATTTACCATGAACCGACTTGCAAATGCCCTCATACTTCTCATGAGCTTGGGATTGAAAGCTCACAGTTTATATGCTCCGGGCATGGTCTATGAATTCGAAAATGTGAGTATGGGACTTGCGATATCACATTGCCCGAGGGTTTCAAGTTTTTTGACGTGGCCTCCAGATTGAACCATCAGCCAACCTCACATGGACGCCATGTTTCGATGCCTTTAATTGCACTAGACTGGAAGTTCCCTTGGATTATTCAAACAGAAATCTTGGCACGACATCCGTTGCCTTTATCAAGTTGGCTGGCAAAAATGCCACCGTCGAGTCTCCAAGCATTGTACTCATTCCCGGTAATATTCCATTCCTCTCCATCGTGCGACATTTTATGAACTTCGTTTGACCGATATTATGTTAGGCGGTCCGGGTGGCTCTGGTGTCGACCTACTCCTCACATACCAGAATATCATTGGTCAGATGTTTGGAGAACAATACAACTTCGTCTCCTTTGACCCTCGTGGTGTGAACAACAGTGGTTTGCATCTCGATTGTTTCTCGGGAGACGCAAAGGCAAGGTCCACTTTCTATCAACTGCATAGAACAGGCGCCACCAATATCTCATCAGTATCGCTTGAGGAACAGTACTATTCAAGCTCTATATATGGCGATTGGTGCAACCATGCCGTCGAGAACAATTCACCCCATTCATATTACGTGACCACGCCAGCAGTTTCCCATGATTTGCTCGCGTTTACCGAGGCTGAGGCTGAGATGGCTGGCAAATCACCATCAACTGCCAAATTGTGGTGCTATGGCATCAGTTACGGCACTGTTATCGGCAGCACTTTCGCTTCCATGTTCCCTAACCGCGTCGGCAGAATGGTGCTCGACGGTGTTTTGAATGCAGATCAATATTATAGCAATTATTGGACAGACAATGTTGATCAAATGGACGAGGCCATGGAAACATTCTCGACCTTCTGCCATTCCGCAGGGCCCGAAAAGTGCGCATTTTGGGGACCTACGCCGGCCAATATATCGGCAAGAATGGATGGCATTATCCGTGAGCTTCAGAACCGTCCAGTCCCGCTAAGCAGAGTCGGAGATCTGAACTTGCCGACAATGGTCTCCTATTCAGACCTAAAGACACTTTTCCTCAACGCACTCTACACCCCACTGGCTAACTTTCCAGACATGGCCGACATCTTATACCAGGCCGAGCGGGGGAATGTATCTGCTCTTGCAGGCATGTTTGATCAGTCAAATTCTATAACCGATACTCGCCTTGCCATTACATGCACAGATTCATATCGGAGAAACAAACTTACTAACATTGAAGAGCTCAAATCTTGGGTGGAGTACACGATTTCCAAGAGCAAGTACATCGGTGATATCTACCCTACGTTACTGGAAGGTATTTTATGCCGATCGTTCCGCCCACATTTGCCTGATAGCATGGTATTTCAAGGTAGGCAAGAATCCTTCTACTCTCCTTTTCAGCATTTTATGAACATTGTCTTCGGCAAATGGGTTAGCATCTGCACGGGGTATAAAGTCTAATAAGCTCTATGCAGACGAAATAGGTGGACTCAATACGCCTACTTCCTTCCCGATTCTCTTTACGAGTAATACCATCGACCCTATTTCTCCGCTAGTATCGTACGTTTGGCCAAATCGCATTGTCATTAGGTACACTTGCAGCTGACATTATCTCATTTTAGGGCGCGCAAGATGTCATCTCGGTTTGCCGAATCGGTACTTTTAATGCAAGAAGCCGTTGGTGTAAGTTGCTATAAACGAACCTACGTTTTCTCGCCAAGGATCTAAGCTTACTGGCGGGTGTTTTCTTGACTTCAGCATACGGTCATCAACCAGGGTGGGTCAAACTGTTACTTTGGACATGTCCAGGCATACTTCCAAGGCACAGCTATCTCGCCCAACACCACCTGCCCGCGACAGTATATTCCTTTCATAGATACTTCTCCCTTTTAACAATCGCAAGGGAGAAAACGGATCGTGGTGGTTGGTTACCAGGCGAAAAAAGAAAAGAAAAAAACATCCAACAGCAGGGATTCGCATGTGGTCACCCACCATACTACTAACCTGAAGGCGTGTGGCTAAAATACAGTAAGTAGTGCGGCGGGTGCCGCCCGGGTGAAAATGGGGTACGCGCCGCTTTAGCGTCGCGCGACCCGGGTGATTAGGGTGAGTGCGCAACAGACAGGGTGAGAACGGGGTGACACCGGGTGAGAATCGTACTTGTCATGCGTTTTGACACTCCAAGCTGAAGTGAAACATTTATAATTGGCTGGCCTACCACCACCGGAAGCACTAGTCTACTTGGCACCTGCACATAGCCACCTTCCATGTAAAGGAGAATGACGAGTGGGCCATTTTTACCTTAGTACATTCGAGCCAGCAACTACTTTGTTTATCCTTCATAAAGGCGGTGTCTATCATGATCCTTCAAAGCCCCCAAAGAGTCAATCTTCTTCGAGACAACTACTAGACGAATGAAACGCCCATTTGGTTGTAGTTTAGAGGTATCTTTTATTATTCTATTCTGAAGGAAAGAAGAAGCTATAAATACCACGCGGAGCCAAGTCGGGTTTTTCCATCAACTTCCGATGGTGTTACTTGCTTGCTGATCTGCAGCAGCTTTAATGTGATACCAACTGGTCACGATTAATTGTTCAACAATTGGGTGAAAAGACCTTGTTGTTATTAAGTAGTACTTCCATTTGGGCCGTCGCCGTCGGATGCGGCAGCTCCTGGCTCCTTCTTGGGCCAATGTCAATACTCTCGAGGAGGCCTCTTTCAGTTCACTTCCGCTTCCCCCAGAGATATTTCTGGAAGTGATTGAGTATTTGGAAGCCGAAGATATCTTGGCTCTCGCGCAAGCCGATGAGGGGTTCGCCCAGTTCGCGTTCTCAGGGCATTCATCTAGTCTGTGCGAATATGGACGAACGACATTGATCCGCGCAGTTACAAGTGGACATATAAACATTGTTCGGCATTATCTGAGAGAGGATCCGATCCATGCACTGCTGATAATGAGGGAAAGACGACATTGCACGTGGCCGCTGGTTTCGGTCACTGTAACGTGGCGTCTTTATTGATTGATGCGGGAGCCGATATCAATGCACGTCTTAAGAATGGATTAGCTCCACTGGATTTTGCCGTTCTAACGGGATATTATGGCGTCCTGGAGCTTCTTTTGAATAAAGGAGCCACCATTACGGATGTAAGGATCGGCGAGGCTCAAAGAACGACTCTACAGGCCGCTGCTATCAGGGGGTATAGCCGAATTGCAGAGGTTTTGATAAGACATAAAGCTCCTATTGATATCAAGGATGGCCACGGTCACACGCCTCTTCATTTGGCTGTTTCGAAAGGGCATCTTGAGATAGTTCGGGCGCTGCTTCGTGCTGGAGCAACCTGCCTCACAAGAGATGAAAAAGGCGACTCACCTCTGCACCTCGCCGCCAGCAACGGTTATACTGCTATAGTACAGGAGCTTCTGAACAAGGGAGCAGACCCTTCTCTGCGAGGCCACGAGAATGCTATGCCATTGCACCAGGCGTCATTGATGGTTTACGTTGATATTTTCCTGCTTCTTCTCAATGCTGGGGCGAATGTGTCTGCTCAACTTTTAGATGGGAAAACCCCTCTTCTTCAAGCCCGTGGCGGCGGTCAGGTCGCAATCGTGCGGCAGCTAAAAGCTGCCGGAAGCTGCCCTTCAGTTCCAGGTGAGGATGGGAACACGCCACTACACTTCGCTGTCCTTCCAGGGAAAACAGCAATCGCCGGTATGCTAATAGAAGCTGGAGCACATGTCGATAGCATAAATGACAGGAAACAGGGCCCCTTACACTGGGCAGCTAGAGAACACGAAGAGATGGTCTCTACTTTGCTGAAGCAAAATACAGAACAAGAATGTAAGCTTTTTCACAAGTTTGATGATAATTCATTGATTTGGGTCGCCCTTTTTTGTATTTCTGAAACTGATTTACTTGATTAGCCTGCCGCCCTAAAGGGTGTTTTATCGAACCATATCTCGCTTGCTGTCAGTCACAAAAAGTCTATCTAGAGCTAGAAACCAGATTTTGGCCGGGGATAAATTCGCCTCTGGATTTGCACCAAAGTTGGTAATCTATCGCATTTAGTATGGTATTTGCGGTGGTCGAGGACAACCGGATGTCCAAAACGGACGGAAATTAGCGGCAGACAATGCAGGATTCAAGAACAAAATGGAGATACGACGGTTCATAGTGGCCCAATATTGGACGCTGTGCAAACTAAATGTTCCTGCCAAATTCCGAGAATTTCATGACAGTCAAACGGCAAACCATTAGCCTGTTGTTCAGGATAAAAGAAAAGTTCTTCTCTTAAAATAATCTGCGAGAACATATGATTGTTCGGAACCCCTTATGAAAGCAAGGGGTGACACTGTGTTATGTTTTAAATACCCAAGATGCCCAATTCCCTTTGTCATTCCTTTAGTATACACAATGATTTGCAACGTTTCTTTCCGCAGTATGAAGTTGCTTACAATACTGAGCTTCTTCTCTCTCCTGGATTTCGGAAATGCAAGGATCATTCCATTTGGAGAAACCCCAAATTTTCTCCAATTCGAACTCACATTAACTTGGGAGGATGCGGCACCGGACGGCACAGTTAGGAAAGCCATCCTGATGAACAATCAACTGCCCGGCCCTACTCTGCGATTGAAACAGCACGAAAGTGTACAGTTTTTGGTCCGTAACTTATTACCAGTGTCAACCGCCATACATTTCCATGGTGAGTTAATTCAGTGTTTTCTATTCGTTCCGTACGTTTTGAAGACTGACGTTGGGACTTCCCGCCTAGGAATCGACCAGTTGGGTACCCCGTGGTCCGACGGTGTGCCAGGCCTCTCGCAGCGGGCAATTCAGCCTGGAGAGAGCTTCATGTACAGATGGACGGCAAATTCGTATGGAAGTTATTTTTATCATGCCCACTCCAGAGGCCAGCTAATGGACGGACTGTTTGGTGCCATCTACGTCGAACCATCGAATATTCAAGAGCGACCTTTCAAACTGATTTCCAGTGATGAATCCAAAGTCGAAGCTATGCTTCAGGCAGAAAGACAGACAAGGCCATTGATACTTTCCGACTGGAGGCATCTAACTTCTGAGCAAGTTTGGGAAGCCGAAGTGGCCTCAGGGCTGGATGCGCCTTGTGTGAATTCTCTGCTCATTAACGGAAAGGGCTCGGTGAATTGCTTTGATCAAAACTTCATTAATCAAATGACATCGCCTGCAGTAAAAGCCCTTCTTCAAGGTAATAACCTTACAGATATTGCGTGAGTGCTTCCTAGCTTCTAACCATTTGGCAATCGCTTCAACTGACCAGGTAAAACATAGATGCCCGCCGCCGTTTATTACGAATCTCGAAGGATCATATGGCCCGGTCAACTATAGCGCAATCCCCTTCGGGCTGTTTTCTGGCTGTAGAGCCTCTCAAGGCAGAACCGAGGTATTCAACATAGATCCTTCTGAGAAATATGTGAGCTGGGATATCATCAGCGCATCGGGCACCAAGTTCATGATCTTCTCTATCGACCAGCACTCGATGTGGATATATGCGATCGATGGTCACTATATTGATCCGAGTCAGGTAGATGCTATCAAGATTGCAACTGGCAGCCGATACTCGGTTCTTGTGGAGCTCAACAAACCCGCAAATAGCTATGCTATGCGGGTGGTAGATGCCGGGATACAAATTGTGAACGCGACAGCGGTTCTATCATATAAGAGAAACCCGCTGGACCCCACGACTCTAGGTGATATGATCGCCCCATCAGAAACTCCGCATATTGATGTAACCGGAGCTGCGACATCCGATAGTGTGGAATTTTCAAACGAATTCGGATTTGTTCCATATCCTGTGGAAGCGATTGGGATGAAGACCATTGACCAGACATTCATCCTCCAAATTTCTCGATTCAACAACTCATATACCTGGACTCTTGGAAATAAAACCTTTCCAATGGCTCTTGAAGGATTGCAAACCCCCCCTTCTATTTAATCGCACAGCCATTACCGATAGTGACCTAAGAATCATCACTCGGAACGGAACATGGGTCGACATTATCATTACCAACCCGCTCCTTGGGCAACCCACTCACGCAATCCATAAACACTCTAACAAATTCTACGTTATTGGCCACGGATTTGGAGACTGGAACTACACGTCAGTCGCTGAGGCAATGGAGTTCATTCCAGATAATTTTGACTTGCTGAGTCCGCAGCTTCGGGATACGTTTGTCGTCGAGGGAACACGTGCGGGACGTAGTTGGCTAGCCATCAGGTATCAGGTGGTAAACCCAGGAGCTTTCATCATTCATTGTCACATTCAGCCGCATTTGAGTGGTGGAATGGCTATGGCGATTCTGGACGGAGTGGATGCCTGGCCTCAGCTTCCTCCGTATCAACTCACCGCGCGCTGAAAGTGATGATTTGAACCATACGCAATATGTAATTTACAATTCATACCTTAGGATTACCGATATCTCCACGGTACATTAGCGCTGTGAGATCGAACTTTTTGAAATTTCTATATTTAACAGTATTTGACAGTTTTCACCATGAACCATACTGTAGAAAGCTAAGATAAATTCTGTGAATGAGTTTCAAGCAAGTGGATCAGAAAATGAACTATTAACTTGCAGCGGAAGTATCTTGCCATTGAGTATAGTCTTGCGATATATTCAATATCTTTCGTCCCAAAGTAGGGAAAGAGATGTATACCTAGGATATTCTAAACAGGAGAGCAAGGGACGGCCCTTACTGAGGTGAAGCTGCAGCGTAAAATTGGTTCATGCTCAATGTACTCGCTTGATGCTCATTTTCAAGGGGAACCTATTGTGCTCTGTATGAAAAAAGGGAATGTGTGAGGTAGGTAAGAGACAAGGGGCTCCTTGATTATGATTTCTTGAGTTAAAGGGTTCGTGAATAATACTGTCTGGCTACGTGTTGCTCGATTTTCCCACATGAATCGGCGCTACAAAATTAATCTTTGATTTGTCATAGTATTAAATAGAATCTTAATAATTTATAGAGTGGTAAGATTGATCTAGTAATTGAGATACAAGCACACCAAAAGGACACTAATGAATTTATCCGCCAAATGTGTGGTCAAACGATGTAAGGTACAGAAATAAATGAAGCAAATAGGCAGTTTCATTTTGACACTGGTACTATGGAGGGGCTGAATGAGAAGAGATATTTAAAAAGTGTTCACCTAGATACCCCGCGCCTCCAATGCCATGCGTAGCGTCTTCTGGAATGAGAAGACATTTTCCGGCGATAGCATGGTGTAGTGCGAGCCCAAAACCTCATGAAAACGGGGCTCGGCTCTGGTAAAATCTTTCCACTTGAGGAGAAACCCTTCGAGCCATAGCTTTTTTGAGGAAGCTACGGCGGTGATGGGATCACAGAAAAAGACATCCATGCTCGCCACGGAGGATGAGGGTTCGTATGATACCGCGATGCGGTGAAGATTCAAACCAATTTGTGCCCATCTTGTCAGGGCAGCCAACGACAGCGCCAACTCAGTCAAACGATTGTGATTTATATGGACCATGACCTCCGTGATCAGACTACTATCTGGGACGTCCTGAAGCTCCTTTGCCAACTCTCCTGCGCGATCCTCCGATATGAGTTGTAAGAAGTGGCACAGGTCTAAAACGGACATCTTCCATGTCACCTGGCTCATGCGTGTTTTGATATGAGGTGGCAAATTGAATGAGCCAATGAATTTCACCTGATCACCATTCGACTCAAGGATTTTGCCAATTTCAAATGCCAACATTCCACCATATGAATAACCGGCTACTGCATAAGGGCCTTCGGGCTGTTCTTTCTTGATAGCCCCATGATAAAGCTGCACAATCTCTTCAATAGAGTCGAACGGCATCTCCCCTTGGTTGAAACCAGAGGCGCGCAAGGCGTAAACGGGTCGATCTGTGATGTACTTGCCCAGGTTCATGAATACCATCACTTCACCCACACCAGGATGGACAAACCAAAGAGGAATTTTATCACCTCCTGTCTGTAGTTTGACCACGGGATTGTATGCTACCACGAGCCTTTGGGAACTAACTAAACACATTGCCAGATCCCGGACGGTGGTATTGGTCATTAATGTAATCAGGGGAATCTCTTCGATGGGCATACACTTTAAGTTGGTTTCAATGCATCTCTTCAGCTTGATCAACTCGATTGAAGAGATACCTAGATCCAGAATTGAAGTTTGCACATCGAATTCACTCGGTGCCACGTTCATTGAGTCGATAAATATCGTCAATAGTTCTGATTCCAATTCATCCCTAGGCTCCTCTCGTGCGCTGATGCGGTAAATCGCGAGCTTATTGGCATTTTCTTCTTCGTACACATGGTATTCCCCTCGTTCAAATGCTTCTTTCATTGCTGATCGTGAGAGCTTCCCAAGTGAAGTCTTTTTAAGCAGGGACTGGGGTAATGGTAATATTTGCGGTCGGCAGCCAGTCAACGAAAGGGTGATCTTGCCAATTGCATCAGCCGTTTGGGCACGGGCGTTGATGTCGTCAGGATTGTACGTTGGTACGTAGATAGCCACGACCTCTTCAGTATGCCCTCCCAGCTTGAAGTAAGAGAAACAGCAAGTCCAGCTAGGTGTGACGCCCAGTATGGGAGCTTCATCAATCGCACTCTCTAATTCGAATGGGTCGTATTTCACCCCGTTGACGACCAACAGATTTTTGGTGCGACCTTGCAGGATCAGGCAACCGTCATGATTGATTAATGCACGGTCTCCCGTCTTGAACCATCCGTCACTGGTAAACGATTGCTCAGTATCGCAAGGATTGTTGAAATAGCCCTTGAAGACCACGGCTCCAGATACTTCAAGGTCGCCTACAACGCCGGGAGGCAAAGCGTGGTTTTCTTTCCCTTCACAGCCACCCGTAATCCTCATGGAAATCCCTGGCATACATAATCCCAGAGAAGGAAAGAGAAGTCGCTTTTCCACATCATATCGAGGACAAGCAGTGTTGAAAATTGCTCCCGCGCACGTTTCGGTCATTCCAAAGCCTGGTACAATAACATTCAACGGCGCACCGTAGTTTGCAGAGAGCAATTGTGATAGTTCGTCGCAAGTCTTTGTCACATTAGCCTCCCCCCCCGGAGGTAATATTGCGCAGACAAGCGAGATTCCAAAGGTGCTCAGCGGGTTTGTTCTCTCCCTTCTCCCGCAGAAGAAATCTGTGGATTGCGGCGAGGAAGAAATTGGGCGCGAAAGTTGAGGCAACGCGATGTCGGTCAATTAAGTCCAAAAAAAGCTCCGGACTCACCAGCAGATCGGCAGCTTGAACTAGCACCTGGTCCCGCCCTGTGTATATTCCCTGGAGATGCATCTCCACAAGGCCCGCAACGTGGTCGAAACCAGTCCAGTTCAGAAAGCTGGAATTTTCTGGAACAGGCATCAACCAGGCTTTTCCAGAAATGGCTGCGAGAAGTTGACTGTGGCTCAAAGGGACTGCTTTACATCGTCCTGTACTTCCTGAGGTCAACATCAAAACCGCAGTAGCATTCGCGTCCGCCTGGTTGACGTCTTCAGCTTTCGTTTCTTCGTTTTCTGTCTGACATTGGCTGGCTTGGTAGTTGGTTTCCAACAAGCCAACAAAAATCGGAGCAAATAATGCATGTCCCTGAAATTCGGATGCTAAAGCTTCCGTGGTGAGGCATTTGGGGGCCATGAGCATTTCATACAAGTGGTCCAAATGAGCCAGCCTCTGCTTCAGATTATTCGGGAAAGGAGTCGACATTGCTGGAACATAACCCGCGAGCAACACGGCCCAGAACCATAAGAGTCCATCCCAGTGATTATTGAAGTGCAAAAGCACCACAGAACCAAGCGGCGGCAGACTTTGAAAATATAAGGGCAGGGTCAAAGATGCTCGCTGAGCCATTCGTAGCAACTTTGCGTAAGAGATCACCACTGGTTTGGTCGTGTTTGCCAGAGGATAGAACAATATACTGCCACTGTCTTTTCTTGAAGCGGTCGCCTTCAAAAGTTGCTGGAGATTTTGGAAAGACATGACTCTCCGTGCGAGAATGAATATTTGTAATTATGGTGATAATGCCAAAAAGGAACTCTTGACTGTGAGGATAGAGAGGCAATCTACAAAATGTGTTGAGTGATTACAACTTTAACTTATAAATATTTGTGGATTTTTTGGGGTTATCGCAACCGAGATCGCTCAAGAAACAAAAATTTAGACGGTGTGCTGCATACCAAACTGATGAAGCCAACAGCAGATCTCAATGGATGCTCTATGCGCACTGCAGCCCTCAATATTTCACTTAATAGCATCTATGTGGTGGGCCAAGATCCTAGAACAGGCACACCGCCATTTTTCCATGCATACCCAAGTAAGGAGGCATACCACCCTTTTTGACGCCTACTGAAGTCAATAAGGCATGAGGCATGTTGCATACTTTCCATGCACAAACTTCTTTTCCCTGGTGAGGGAATTAACCTCGTGTCGACGGGACGTGTTGATAGGGCAGTCATATTCTGTCTTTAGCTCTAAGTGAACTAAATAACTGCAATGCATCTCAGTATCCTACATGATATTATGGATCAATGGGTTGTTGACTCTCAGATGCCAACGAGCTATAAGTTGATCGATGTGTTGCTTCTACTCTGAAAAGGCGCTTATCTTCATATTACCGTTTCAAAAGAAAACGGGATCGAGACTGTCACGCACAAAGACATTGGAAATTTTCCTTACGATTCATACGAGATGGCTATTTCAGCGCATGAGTCCATCCGCAACACTATCGCCCGGTGGCCATTGATAATGGACCAAAGAATGCACGAAAAACTCCCCACCACCTTTAGCTCTGATGCTATTTTCCATTATCCCCCGCCTATCGGAACTATTCAGGGCATCGCTGCTTTGACGCAGATGCTCAAAACCCTAGAAGATGTCAAAACTTACCATTCTTTGGGGACGCAAATTATCCAAATGACTAGTGCAACTACAGCGACAACTATAACATACTGTATCGGGGTTCACGTGAGGACAGGAGAACAAGCAAGGAAATCGATGACAATACTAGGACACTATGAGGATAGATTAGTCAAGGAAGATATCGTTGGGGAGAGGGAAGTAGATGATGATGGTTGGCGAATTGTTGAGCGACGGGTGTTCCATGATATCCCACCCACCGAAGGGCAACCATTTCCTGCTCTGGCTTGATTGGATACTGTTGGGATGATTTGGCACGTCACCGCTCAGAATTTGGTTAGAATACGATACTCCTTGGAACTCGTTAAAGCAATTCTTGCTAGCCTATTAATCGAAAATACACATTTGAGACGGCCTTCAGGTGTATTCATAGCAGTAATCACCCGCCTGAGGACTCATCAACTCTCTCATCTTCTTACTTGGACCCAGTACCCCGAACCCAAACTCTGTTTCCAGGGTCAAACCCGGCGTCAAGGGAAGATTATACAACGTCATAGTCCCATTGATGGCCCACCGATGATTCGTTTCATCCAGGCCTTGCCATATTGCCCACATGCGATCGACCATTCCATGATGTAGCATGAAAGCCGGGTCCTGTGGAGAGGACAAGAAGTCCTCCATTGTACCAGTCATCGCTTTATGCCCAGCAGTATGGGGACCGAACTCTCGCGCCCATACCTCAGGGTTCATACTGATGTCCATCCGTTCCTGAAAGGTGATAATATCGGAGGATGCGAGAAGACGATCAATCACGGTCGCGTTAGCGAAGATCGCAGTAACAGTGGAATTGAACTGGCGATTTAGACAATGAGGGGTGTAGTCGAATATATTAGGAGGCATTTGAAGCGTTGGGGTTGCTCCTTGCGCAAAATGAACCCGCATGTTAGCGAATGGACCACTTGTCACGCAGTAATCATGATCCCGATTTCCGTCGCCGGATAATGATGTTGGTGAGCCGTCGAAGAGTGGACTAGCAGAAAGATTGTGGGCATATAGAGGCCAATCCCAGTACCTGAAATAAGTACTCTGTGTTAAACGAGCAATCATCTTGGAATGGAGTCAACATACGGAAGATATCCTTGGTATGCACACTCTGTTCTCAAGGCATGTTCCCACAACCAGATGAATTGACGATGCCACGCCAGAAGGGCCCCATTCGCGTGAACATGAGGTGCATAACTCATATGGACTCTGAGTTTTGAATAATCAGCAGCAAAGTTATCGTCTTCGGAGAAAAGAAATTTTGGTAATCGACATACACCGTGAAGTCGTCCATCCGATGACGAACACCAGGATATTGTTTAGGCGAGAGAACAGGTGGCGTTTTTAGCATACAATGAACAGCACGGATATATTCTTCGCGGTCAGAACCGGAAAGAGAGCCCCTTTTCAGAATATTCAGCATTAGATCAATTGCAATTCCCAGAGTCGAATTTCAATTTAACATAACCTACCATTCCCGTCGAGTTACTCTTGTACTGGGAGAGCATGTGAGAGAGTTCACAGGTAGGAATAGGAGCATAAAAAGTAGCATATCGTGAGTGTATTTTGACGCAAAAGTTAAATGAAAGAACCATTCAGGGGAGTGGTGAAGAAAGAAGGGCGAAGTAGTTCTTACCAGTCAACTTTCTGAGATTACTGCCGAGAAACCGTTCAAACTAATTAGATGGGCGGTGGCTTCAAAATTTGGCCATTCAGACGCACATGTCCGTATCCTTAAAACCTCATTGTGTCTCAATTGTAACCCACAAAGTGAAGTCCCCGGCCACTCTTTCCCCGCTTCTATGTTGGAAAATAAGCCAGGGTGAGACTGAGATTGGGTCAGTAACTAACTCTTGCTAAGTAACTGGCTGGATTGCTGCACGGGGTGAAGATACGCAGACGCAAGGTTCTCTAGAGATATTAGTATGCACTCTCATCCCGTGCGCTGTACTATGTAATGATGATCGATGGCAAGGGGTAAAGTCGGCAATCAAGTACATTATGGTGGAGGAGATTGAACTTGCCTTCTAGTACACGGTAAGATGCTCTGCAAGCGCAAATTCCTTTACATTGCGTGACGTGAACAACGATGGCCGTCTGCAAGACTCAGAACTTTATTACAATGCATACGCGACTTAGTCCTTCAAGAAGATTTGAGTCAACTGCAAGGGGCCAAGACAATGATGCAAATTTATGTAATACAGTGATACCTCAAGTTACTAGACCCTAAGCCTCACAATATTGAGTGGAAACAATCACATACTTGAAAACGCCAAAAAGCCCCATCTTTCTTACAACGGCGAAGACCTACATGAAGAAGCAAATCATGAAAAAGTCTCAAACATTCTCAATTATTGCTCTTTTTGGATTGGCCGTTCAAACACTGAGTAAAACCACCGTTTCCATCATTCACGCGTTTCCATCGGGTGTATCACTGGAGAATCTTGCCATCGACTCATCCAGGAACAGCATTCTGGTCACCAGCAACAATACTCCTTCTCTCTATCAAATCAATCTCTCATTCCATCAGCATCAAAATAATTCAGCAAAGGTGATACACACATTTCCCAACGCCACCGGCCTACTCGGAATTACCAAATACGCACCTGATACCTTTGCGGTTATTGTAGGCAGTTTTTCTATTGCCCACATTGGTCAGAATACCTCCTTCTCGGTTTGGAGCATTAAATTCCTTAATACTGGTTACTCCCACACCGCTGAGACCAATATTCAGGTGCACAAGATTGCCGACATCCCTGGGGCTCGAATGCTAAATGGCATGACATCTATGGATGAAAGCTCAGAGGCAGTCTTGGTTGGTGACAGTCTAGCGGGTCGAGTGTACAGATTATGTACTCGCTCAGGCGAAGTCAAGGTGGTTCTTGAAGATGATGAGACTATGAAGCCAGAAAACCATCCTGGGGAACAGATCACATTACGCTCAGTTGCCTTAAATGGAATCAGGAAGGTCACCATCACCAACGATCATGACCATGGGAACAGAACCTATCTATACTACAGTAACAGCAACAAAACTACCATTAACCGGGTTTTGATCGATCCTCTTACTGGGTATTCCAGAGGTCCATTCACCACTTTGACAAGCAACGATGGTAGTCTTTCACCAGATGATCTAGCGTATAATTACGACTCAGGTGATGTCTATTTTGCTGGTCACATGGATGACGTTGTTGTTAAAGTCGATTCAGACAAAAAGGAAACAGTGTTGGCACATGTGATAGCTCCCAGCAGCCTGGTATTTGAAGAGGGTGAGCAGAGCCACATTCTCTATTGCACAACTGCTGGTGGACCTGAGTTTGGGGCAGAAAGGGAAGGGGGGAAGCTCTTATCAATCCAGGTGGAACTGGACTACCAGTCGTTTTAGAATGGCTTTGGAGACTTCCGACCGCCAGCCTCATGAACCAGAAAGTGGCTAGCAGGATCTATGGATTCTCATATTCAACACCATTCTCTCTTCTAATCTTTACATTATAACGAGACCCAACTTCTTTGTCTGCATCGATTATTTGACGCTAAGCTTTAGTCAATCAACCAATATGAATGTCCTGTTTCCATTATACCACATGTAACTAAGCTTTTTGTAATTCTTCACCCAGTGACATATTTGCAGCATGCTCCTCTTTTAGCCTTTGAGCTATCTTTTCAGCTTCCGCCGCATAAACGCATCGCCTCCGAATGGCGGGGCCATATTTTATCAACAGAAATGGAAATGGGGTGCATATCAATGTGAGAAAAGCAGGGATAGAACTAGCCCAACTTATACCCAAATTTTGGTACATCTTCACAGTAAATAAAGGGAAAACTGCCCCAAGAACAGAGCGAAGTACCGAAGACCCTGCCATGCATGATGCAGCATAAATCAAGTAGGCATCAACAAGATAGTTGGTGCAACTGATGAATAATAAAACATTGCCACCACCAAAAAAGGCCGACCCAATTAGGCAGACTGACCAATGAATGCTTTGTGGTGATGCGGTCCATGCAAACCAGAACAGCCCAATAGGCACACAAATTGCACCGAGCATACATGGGGAAAGGCGAGCTTCGGGCGCAACACGTCCACCAGGAGCCATTTTCGATCTTTCGCTGTACCAATTGTTGTCAAAAATCATCCAGGTTAATGCCAAGATCATCCCGACTGCTATGCCGAGAAATGCAAGTCCTTCCATAGAGGGTTTCCAGTTTCGCTCTTGCCGGAAGATCAAAGGAAAAGAGGCAAAAAACATATACATGGTGGCATATATGATGGCCATGTACACCGAGAAAATCAAGACAATAGGTTCAAGGAGTAGGAGCATCCATGGTCGTAAAAGGGCAGCCTTCAAAGCTGGACCGACTTTTCTCGTTGTACCTTGTTCGAGATAACTGACGTGCACCTTTCCAGTTTTCTTTGTGAGAAGTGCTGCCCTCCTTTCCAATAGTACCGGTGCATACGTCTCTGGAACTAGGATTATGTTCAACACCCATATAGCAGCACCGATTATGGTAGGAAGCCAGAGGTTCCACCTCCAGCCAGCACGCTGTCCCAAAAAACCAGATATGATCGGCCCCAACACTTACAATGATGTTAGCTATCCAGATAGTTCGGGTGATTGGAGTTTCGTAAATGAGAGGTTACCTGGTCCCATAAATGGTCCAAAAGAAAAAATTCCTAAGGCCAGACCTCGCTCATTAGCTGAAAATTGGTCAGCAATCACGCCGCTTGTATTTGTCAAGGGGCTCGACCCGAAGATGCCACCAAGCGCTCTAAAGACAAGGAGCAGCGTAATAGATTGAGAGCCTGCTGCTGCTGCATTGCACAGTGTCAGTAAGCCGAATGTTGAGATGAACAATGTCTGACGGCCGTAAATCTCAGACAAGGGAGCCCATAACAGCGGCCCAAGTGCGAATCCAAGAACGAATAAAGACACTCCAAGTTGGGCCACAGAATTAGATACGCTGAATTCAGCAATAATCTGCTCAATTCCGCCAGTGTAGATTGAAGAAGTCAAGGAGACAGTAAAACCTGCAATTGCAGCAAGCATCGTAGATATCCACCGCCTGGATCGAGGGAAGTTCATTGGATTAAATCTGTCTCCTGGGAGCCATTGAACGAGAAATGGGGATAGAGAAGTGCCATCACCGGACCAACATCGCTCAAGAATTTCCGGGGCAAGTGGTCTGGAACTGCACATCGATTGTAATATCAAAAGAGGGTTTCTTGTTGCTTGCATTTCCGGTTCCAAGGCGGCTGGAGCAGGGGGGGCGCTGCTCTTCGAGACGACCATTTCCAGGCTGCCGACTTCAGATTTGCTTTCAGCAGCTGGGGCAAACATGAGATCTTGTAGTCTTTATAGGATGGCCGCCGGTTCTACTGGAAACAGAACCTTGGCTGGGCATTCTAGGTTGTCGCTTAGACAACGGTCCATGCCGCCCTGGTATGCGACTAATCCAAGTCAGAAAGGTGTGCGGGACTGTGCACCCGAAATATGCCAGATGACCAATAATAAATTCGCTAGTCTTGCAGGCCTTCTAAATTGATTTATTGGTTGATTTAAAAGTCACAGGATCCCCTCAGTATCCATGCCTTCAGTAAGTAGAAATTGAATCTTATGAGCAAATTGGTGGAACTAACTCGACTATACTAACTACAAGATGCTATGATAAAGTCTTTTCAGATCCTCTCGAAAGGAACACATGTTGCCAAAGGTATCTCCTAAAGATATTCACGTCGTGTAAGGGGGTAGTACATAAAGTACAAGAAAGTCAAATTTATTGATTGGCGTGACAGACTGAGAACTCTACAATGGGATTCAATAAGATCTAAATCAGACAAGGACAACTGCGTAGTAATCTAACCCCTGACTAAGTTTCAAAAGAATACAGTTGATCCTAACGCAAAAGACAGCCTGAGAGATCTAGCCACTTTGGTCCAATCTCAATCGCGACACTAAGTAAAGTGTGGTCGGAACCCTTGCCTCTAGCTCTCCTAAAGGCCTTCTATTAGTTCTGGGATTAGATATCTAAATCATGGTTTCCTAGATCAGAGGAACCTGATTGAGCTATATACTCGGGCTTGACTACGTCCAATTCTAGTCTGCTGGCCACGGTCTAGACCCCAAGGACTTGCTGTGTTGCACCCATTTCGAGTATACATACCCACTTAGATCCGTCAGGCCATTGCCTCACCGTAGATTCTGAGGAAACCCCGGTTCCTTTTCTTCGTACATTTGCAGGATTCGCTCATGGACATCTGTTGGGACTCCGTCTCGGTGTTCTCTGAGCTGATGCAGATTTCGTGTTGCCTCGAGGACCAAGTCAATGATAGAGGATGTTTCTTCATCATGATTACCGCGCGAAGACGAAACAGGAGAGACGATATGATCAGGTGATGAGATTGAGTGGCCTTCTTGACTTCGATCATCCTGCTGGGGACGCAAATTGTCTAGAGGTAGGACAAGAGGAATGGAAGTTGCCTCAGGCGAAGTTTTTGCGCTCGTCGCTTCGGCATCTCTGGTACTCACTGGTTCTCCTCCATCATTTTGGAATCCGTCGGTCAAGGAAGCTTCGTTTTCACTCTCCGTCCTTTTCACTGTGGCATAAATTTAATTATCCGGTCAGATTCTTGATTCTTCATAAATTATACCCTTTTCTAGCAGAGTTGGGGGGGCCGGTAGGAGATGTCTCGTTCTGGCTTTCGTTTTTGTTGGGCAGAACGTGTTACTCCGCGTAGCTTAATGGTTGATTGGCCATAGGCTTTTGCCCGGGGCATCTCAGACATGAGTTTGACTGCAAAAAGCTCTCCGAATTTCCTGCACCAAATGAAAATAAAAAGGGATTATCACTACGCGCAATTTCTGGGCCAGTGCACTGATAATCTCAGTTTTATCGCATCAGTTTTCGCTTTCCAGAAATTGATTTTCGTGAGGGACTGTGTGGTCATGATGAAGTGTGGGATATCTAAAGAGACAGCCAACACTATGATGAGGTGTTACTTCACCGTGAATAGCAACGACGACACCCTCGCAGGATACCGGTGGGGAGTCATGCGGGTCAATCGATGTATGGCAGCTCTGCTCGCCAACGGATGGGGACACAAGAGCTGGGAAATTTTCTTACTGGGTAAGTTTCTTTTCATTTTATGGCTCGAATTGACCAGTTGTACCAAGAGGACCGATCTCTAGCACAATTTGCCCGTTTTGCTGCCTTCGAAATGCGGAGTTATCAGAGGATCCTTGAGCACTTGGGGAACGCGGGCGTACCCATCAAGGAAGAGGGTTAGATTCCATACTGTATTCCTTACATCGTACGGTCTTTAACGGGCGACAACGTCAGGTAACGCATCACCACCCGACAATGAGACCAATGCTAACGAGCATGTGAGGCTGGAACGTATCTGTCATATTCTCGGCTACAGCTCTTCAAGTAAATCTTTGATCATGGCCTTATCAAAGCAATTCATCCATCTCATCAAAGATCTGGTGGGTCATCCATTCCTGGCCGACTCAGCTGGCCTTTCTTTCACCACCAGAAAGTCCATCTCAGGCCCAACATAGATATCCAAACGCAGGATGTAATAGTAACCCGGCAAAAGGTCCTAGATGACGTGGGCCAAATCAATGATTCGGGAAGGTTCGTTAGAAAGAACGCGGATCAGGATTAGCAGTGTCTAGCGAAAAGTTGAGAGCTCTTTATTCATAGCAGAACGATACATTTGATATTGGCATCCCTACTCCAGTTAACATAAGTTCCCATCAGATCCCGTATAACGTACTTCTCAGCCCATTATCCGCAGAAGAGGCTCGGCTAGACCCATAATTCCAGTCAGTGCTGACTTGCGCACTCTGAGTTCCATTGAACCACGCCTAGAGTAGGTACCGACTGAGAGGCAGAGAACCGAACCCATCGGCCGCTCACGTAATGATTTTTTTTTTTCTAGTGGAAGGAAGGGTAACTCACGACGCCAGGACGACACAGGCCCTGGCGCAGGCTTATATATAGCTCTATCTCCTCGTTATCTGAGCTTCCACAGCAAAATACTGCACAATAAAGCTTTTCACCCAGCATCATCTAGGGAATCATCACAGGGATGTTTCCTACGAGAAAAAACTGGCCCCTGGGTGCAGGGGCCATGGCTTAAATTTCTTCGCTAACGAGCATTACCATCACAGAAAACTCTGCGGAACTCATCTTTGGTCAAACTTGCTATTGTTCTTCACGGAGCCAACGTCCATCTGATGACAGATGCGTCAGCTCTACCAAGCCTGTGTCACACCGGTCGTAGACTACGCATCGACCGTCTGGCATGATCCACTCCACGACAAGACCCACCGACATTTGAGCACAGTGCAGAGAACATCGCTGATCCGAATCCTATCAGCGTTCAAGACCGTAGCTACTGCCACATTAGAAGTAGAAGCCCACGTGCTCCCAACATACCTCCGACTTCGGCAACGCGCTCAAAACACTATTGCGAGTCTGCACACGCTCCCTCGCGAGCATCCCATATGGAATGTACTCTGGCGGGCTCACAGACGCAGAGACAATCTTCGGTCGCGCTTCCGCTTTCCCCTGGCGGAGACTCTCAAAAAACCATGGATCCTGGGAGCTTAGCAGAGCTAGAGAAGATCGACCCAAGAGCAGTCCCACCCTGGCGACGCGAGGCTTTTGCTGAAATTGAAATCGAACCGGACCGAGAGTTAGCGATAGCGCGAGCAGAAAACATACGGTCTCATACCGATATCGTCGTCTACTCAGACGCCTTTGGAAGACAGGGGAATTTGGGCAGCCGCCGTCGTCACGCTAAGTGACAACGTAGAAGTAATTGAGTCACAGCAGATCCAAAACAACCTTCAAATGGACATACTCGGAGTAACTCCGACGAAAGATATACAGCATGGATTCAATGCCATCAGCTCGTTGCATAAAACTTGTGGATCTTGAGAAAGGCTTTAAAAGCAGTTGAACGAATTTTGTATAGACGTAGTCATTTCCTCCACGCAGATGGAAAGGAGACTCGGTTTATTTGTTGGTGTCATGGGCTGGCGCGAGAAATAGCGTCACATATCACCAATTTCTAGATTTCATTCAACCTGATTTTTGAGTATTTCTGCTATATGTTGAATCTGTCTCAGAATGGCCGTTTTACAAAATATTATAGATTCATTTATCCTTATTGATCAGTGCGCTTGCAACGCCCTTATTGTTAATAAGCCCTCGGTTGTGCTCTATACTTTCCTTCTGAAGACATTAATCTTCCTAACTTAGGTATTTGGATCTCTCTTTTAAGTTTCTTAATGAGAGCTTTATTAGTGTAACGGGTTGCACCCATATCGAGGCCCGGGCCTTGGCCCATGCGGCACGTGACACATAACAGGGGAGCTAATGCATGCCCCCTAGTATTGGTTGGCTCTCGGTGGCCCATCAGTAAGTTGCGGCCCCTCATGTCGCAACGTCCGTAACACATAGCAAAATATTATAGAAAGGCTAATAATATCCGAAATAATTATAGGGGGGAATACGAGAGTGTTAGGAAACTCGTTGCTTTTTCTATAAGTAATTCCCCCCCGAGAGCATAGTTTCCTTTACAGTCATACTGCCCGATTGAAACCAATAGGAACCGGCTCTGGCGATAGGATGATGGTCGACCTGACCTAGCAGTCGCGCGACCGAGGGTGATAATTCTCACCCAGGTTCTCAGTTTCTCGTCAAGCACTCACCCATTTCACCCCAGGTCGCGCGACAGAAAAGCGGCGATTAGCTGTTTGCCCACCAGGCTAGGCCGATCGATTGGCGTGCCTGGCCATTTGGCGTGTGGCTAAACTACAGACAGTAGTGCGGTGGGTGTCGCCCGGGTGATTAGGGTGAGTGCGCAACAGACAGGGTGAGAACAAGGTGAGAACGGGGGGAGAGCAGGTGAGAATGACGCTCCGTCGCTCGAACATTGCACGGGCCTTTTCAGCTGCATCAATACAATTTTTGATTGGGCTAGACCGTTCTCTCTGAAACGCTCGGTATCTTGGTATCTGCACATAGCCACGCAAAGATCAAGAATAGACAAGAATTTCCCTCGTTGCTATAGACTACCTGCACAAGTACGTTCCTTTTACCAGAGTTATGTATTCCATCACAGGTGGTCACTGGGGTAGAAGAACCCCAAGCCCGACTTGTGCTGTCTAGAATCAGTTCCAGATAAAAATTATTGAAAAAAAATAGAAATCAACAAAGTCTGGCTCACGACGGAACGGCACGGTCGATAGAGAGGTCGTGGGTGGCTCGGTCCGCTATATGGTTGGTTCCATCTTTAGTTAATACGACGGTCAATTTTCGTTGGAAGAACCTACCAGAATGCTGGTGGTAATGGGACCCACCATAGTATTCCCTGTTGTTTCAACTTATGTCCTCAGTTTCAAGGCCTGGAGAATATAGCTCATTTCGGTTCCATTACGGTGGGTATTGTCCACTCGTTTTTCAACTTGCCTTGCTGCTTCATAATATGATGTTACCAGTGATTCGTCTACATACTGCGCAGCACTCCCGAGGAAGAACCTTTCCATCAAAGTGCGTAAGACCGAAGGGCATAAATAGCTTTAACGCCGTCTTGGCCGTACTCGCGCCGGGCGCTTTTGCAATGCAATGTATACTGTCCAGGAGGGTGATGCTATCGTGGCTTTTCAAGGTTCTGACCGACTATTTATTATCCGCCTGGTTGGAAATATCTACAAACTTATTGGGGATATATTCGTTGATGGTTTAATGCACGGGGAAGCATACGAGAATCAAGATCCGGACAAGGTCGATTACGATATTGAGTTGGCTTAAGCATCGAATAGTGAAGATGATATAGGAGAGCATACCTAAATATGGTAAAATGCCATTCTCACGGTTCCTTCTCTCCCTTCATGTCATTCTCTCAATTTCGTATTAAAGACCGTCTTTTCAGTGTTATTTGAGTATGTCCCTGGACCGGATCTAAAAACCAGATCGCTCACGACCTCTTCGATATGCCTAGGTCAAGGAAGAGAGATTTCCGTTGTTGAGTACTAAGGCCGACGGAGATCAAGTCTAGAGAGACAAAAAAAAGAAGGAAAAACAGCTAGCTTGCTACATTTGGAAAACGAGGTGGTAGCCCATCAGCCCCCCGGGCGTGAAAACTACCAGGGTGTTGGATGCCCCGAATATCGTTCACGCCAGTAGTTTTTATGATTTGAGTAGTTTTCACCCCTGTATCGGAAGGACGGGATCGGGTCGATTCCGCATTTCGTACAATATCGATGAGTACATCTGGTACACGGGGGAAAATCGTCCTGGGCACGGTAATTGGTGCTTTTTTCTCCACATTGGCACTAAAATCATGTAAACTTCGAGTATATTCTTATCGATATTTTCTGGTAGCTCTTACACGGGACCGCTAGAAGATCTTACTCGCCATCCAGGACATAAGCTGCTGGTGATCAATGTGGATCTCTTTGCACTCTGCACATTTTTGATGGGTGCAATTAGCACATGGTGGAGTAGCCCCCGTCACTTCTGCTTGGGGATTATCGCGCTTTCCACATTTGCACTGAAGTGATGTAAGCTTCAGGTAGTTAGGCATCGATTTTTTCCAGTAGTTCTTACACAATACCAGTCCGAGTAGGCACGGGCACCCCCAGTGGATTTCCTTTGCTATTGATTGTTAACTAGAAACTTCAATTAATAAGCTATTTATTAACTCACCCTCAATGGTGGCATCTCGCGGGTATAGTTCCGAATATCCGTAATGTTGGTGTTCCAACTCTTGGGTCTTTTTAATGATATCTCTGTGTCCACAAAACCTCCACTCTCCAACTCAATCTTAGTTACTAATTTAAATCAACTAAGACATTAAACAGCCTTTCATAACTAACTGTATGTCCTCGCAAATTAGTGCTACTGCTGTTGCATTTGCGAACAGCTCTCAAGCAAGCCGATGGTGGTTAGCCACAAAGGCTGGTATGGGGGGGAGCTTAACGGGGTTCAATTGCATCTAGAGTGAGATAAATTAACGCCAATGTCATAATGATAGGAACTTGGAAACAAGACACTCTAACTAATTGACAGAACCTTTCCACCGCCGTATATTCTATGATCAGCATACAGACTCAATACGATTCGTATCACCACGCTTATACGAAATTAATCATGATTATTCCTTCACCCGCTTGATAACGCGGGCTGCTTGGCACAGGCATATATGTTGACTTTGAATACTGCTCCCTACTCAATATGGATACCGCAATAGCCATAGATGAAGACCCACGAGGATGCCGAACTTGTTAAATATTCAACTTAGTTCAAGATCCATCACAAACGACGCTGTAAGCGAGGTGTCTCCATTTTGTTTCTTCATAAGCAGCTCACTGTCCCGCAGTTCAAACCCCAAACTCTCGTATAGGCGACATGCACGGGTATTCCCAGCTTCAGCCTGGACGACAATGCTAGCTTTCGAGCTAGCTATCGCTCTGGCTTCTTGATAGGCGGATGCGATTGCAGCATTAATCAGCTGGCGAGCACGTCCTTGCCCCCGTGCCTGAGGCGAAACAAACAGGCCTCCAATCACATAAACGATGCAATTCCCTTGCAAATCATGGGGGTCCGGTGGCATTGAGGATAGATGGTATTTGCCATCCCTTATAAAGACTTCCCACGGCTTGCTTAGCTGTTTTTCTGCGGCTTCATTGGGTTTCGGGAATGGAATGGGACCAGTGATCGAAACAATGCCAGCCCAGTCATTTTGCAGCAATTGCTCGAGTAATGGGTGGGTACAATCAAGATTCTCAAAATTTCCGATCCCATGGTTGTAATCTGGCGTTTTCTCGGACTCAATGACTGAGACAAATGTCTTGCTTACGCGGCTTTGCAGTTGGGACCGCCATGCCTCATCGGATTTCTTAGACGCTTCTTCATATGAGGATGCGAAGGCTTCAGGGTTGGTTTTGAAGCCATTGAGTCGAATATCCTTGTACCGGTATAGTATGTTTTGTAGGTTTGTGGCCGAAGGGAAAGTCTTGGGAAGAATGATAGCCCCCGTTGAGACACGGTGTGAGGTGGTCATAACGCAAGCTAGTTATATAAAGCGAATGCCAAATTATCTTGCACCGATTTCCAAGTGGTGAGAAAATCTCTGAGAGTCCTCTTCTTGGAACAATCTGGGGTTGCCGTGGGAAAATGAGCCTTCATGCCCCGGTCATCTAAATAGAAGGTCGAGTCATCCATGATTACTACCGGTAGTATTAGTAGTATGACTCAGATCGTTGTGGTGGCGGTTACCCGTTTGGACTATTCCTCGAAACTCTGAGTCTATTTCTTCCAGGATTTCAACGGAAATCCAAGATGTATATCAAGTTTGGTATAGTTTCATACTCCTGCTATAATAATTCTCCAGGAATATTGACTGGTCTACTGCAGAGCTGTATACCGCCGATCGAGCTTGCAAGTAGAAGGCTATTGCGGGGGAGGGGAAGGGGTAAAAGCAACCTTGTGGCTGCGGAGTTCAATCACCATTTCGGAGAAGTCCTCGACCACTAGGTCGGTATACTCCAATTCCCGAGATTATACATAGCCAGCTGGGCACCACAATTACACCACCTGCTCTTCATCTGCATTCTCCGTGGCCGAATCGGGAAACAAGCTATCTGCTGACTCATCTGGGCTCTTCCTATCGGCACGTGATTTTCCCGCTGTGCTTCTCCGACGGAGTGAACTTCAGTGGTTCTCGCGACCTTTTTTCTTCTCCTCCATTCCCTCTTCTCTTGTCAATTCAATTCCTCCAGCTTCAATTGTCCTCGTCATGGCTAGCGTTCGCATATTCCGAAAGGGCGCCGACCTGGTGGCCGCCAGAGCCTCCGCCCTCCACGCACCCCGCGCCTCTATCGGCTCCCCACTTCTGCGGAGGGAGCTCTCCTCCGCGGTGCGCCCTGCAACCCGCCAGGCTCCCAGCACCAGAGTCGCTACCCCGGCTGCAATTGCACCCGTCAAGGCCCAAGCTGTCCGTTATGCCTCTGGCTCTGCTGGCCCGCTGAGCAAGACTCAGCTGTACGACCTCCATGAGGCCCACGGCGCTAAGATGGTGCCTTTCGCCGGCTTCTCCATGCCGCTGCAGTATGCCGACCTGAGCCATGTGGAAAGCCACATGTGGACTCGTGAGAAGGCCAGTCTGTTCGATGTCAGCCACATGTAAGCTTGCAATTCCGTCATTTCCTCGAATCGGTCAATCGTGCAAGCAACAGGCACTAACATGGAACCACCTCTTCTAGGGTTCAGCACAACCTGAGCGGGCCCGGCGCTCTCGAATTCCTTATGAAGGTGACCCCATCCTCCCTGGATAAGCTTGCACCCAACACCTCAACTCTGTCTTGCCTCCTGGAGGAAGGCACCGGTGGCATTCTCGATGATACCGTCATCACCCGCCGTAGCGAAGACACCTTCTACTTCGTCACTAACGCCGGCCGTCGTGCCGAAGATCTTGCCTTCCTGCAAGCCGAGATTGAGGCCTTCCGTGCCAAGAACGGCGCTGACAGCCTCAAGTGGGATATTCTTGAGGACCGCGCGCTGGTCGCGCTTCAAGGCCCTCTGGCTGTTAACGTGCTGCAGTCTCTCATCAACACTTCCGCATCGACCGCCGAAACCGACCTGAACACTCTGTACTTCGGCAATTGCCGCGAGCTGTACATCACTCTCGCCGACGGCAGCGCCTCTCCCCAGCCTCTGCTCATCTCCCGCACTGGCTACACCGGTGAAGATGGCTTCGAGATCTCTATTCCTACCTCCGCTTCCCAAACCCTGCCCCAGCAGGTAGTCGAGCTCCTCCTCACCGACAAAAACACCGTTCGTCTTGCCGGTCTGGCTGCCCGTGACTCCCTCCGTCTCGAGGCTGGCATGTGTCTCTACGGACACGACATCTCTACCGCTCAGACTCCCCCCCGACGCTGCCCTCGGCTGGGTCGTTGGCCGCGAGCGTCGCGACCCCGCCACTGCCAATTTCCACGGTGCCTCCGTGATCCTGTCTCAGCTCGCCAGCCCCAAGTCTCTCAAGCAGCGTCGTGTTGGTCTCACCATCGAGAAGGGCTCTCCTGCCCGTGAGGGTGCCAAGGTTGTCGACATCTCTGACCCCGCCAACCCGGTCGAGGTTGGCGTTGTTACCTCCGGTCTGCCTAGCCCTACCCTGGGCGGTACCAACATTGCCATGGCGTACGTTAAGAACGGTCTGCACAAGAAGGGTACTGAGCTGGGTGTCCAGGTTCGGAATAAGGTGCGCAAGGCTACCGTCGTCGGTATGCCTTGGATCGAGAGCAAGTTCCACCGTCCCTCTTAGTTCCTTGTTCGTTCATTCCATTTCATGACGCTATATATGTTCAGCTTTTCCTTTAACTAAGAAGCGATTGGGGGTTTCTGTGTGGTTGCACTTGTACATAACGTTCTTCACAGCAGCCTTGTCTTTTATATTTGCCTTTATGAGATTATATGTTCTACTTCAACAGTATAGAGACATTATACAAAATAACATTATCATGCAAAGATAAATCTATGAGGGATTTCCATAATTCCTATCTCAGACTGTTTCTCCATTATCGTGACTCTGAGCGTCAGCGATAAATTTGCCCAAATTGCCCCGTTTCATAAGCAAATATGACAAACCTGTCATATATTCCTGCCACATTCCCCCAGATCCCAAATGTACCAAACGATTTAATCGCGAGTAAGATCTGGTCTTCTCACCCTCCTCTTCAGTCTCTACCTTTTCACCAGAGTCCGGTCCCCATATCTTCCAGGCGCCATGTCCTGACCCACTCGGCCACGGAGCCTGTCCCCAGGCAAACAGGATCCAAGCAGAGGCTAATTCGCGGGACATCTTGCGATCAGAGTCATCAAGTTTGCTTTCGAGGATCATGAAAAGATACAAAACGTCCAGTCCATGGTAAGCTTTGCCTTGTAGGATATTGGGTAATCGGGAGCGCTGATCGAATGGTATTTGAATAGCCGGTTCTCAAGATGACTATTAACAAGCGCAGTCTGATAATTCTCGACCTTGAGAACGGCTTCCGCGCCCATCTCACATGTCTGATCTATCAAATCTTGACTCGATAGATCAGGCGTAATTCCGTATTCCCCGAGGACAGCGTCAACGAAAGTGGCGTCTTGGACTTGGCCGAGAAGAGTTTCCCGTACTGATTGATACGTATCTTTGAGAATGTTGATCTTTGAGATCAATCCTTCATCATGAACATCGCCGAAAAGGAATGATTTAAGCCATGGCGGTGTCTGGCTGATATATTGCGGATCACGCGCATAAAACCACCCATCGAAACAAGGATACTCAGTTCCAGAAGCTACGCCCTGAATGATCGGATCCGCATTAGCCAGAGTCTGCTCAGGTATCCTTCTCAATTGATCCAGTACATCCGGATGTTCTCGATCAATCGAGAAAAACCGACAAGTAGCATCAAAAATAGCCTGATGCTCTTCAGGACTCGAACATAAAAGCGTACTACCTAAACCAGACATACAAACCGCGCGATGAAATAGCATCGACGTATTGGCAGTCGCCGCCAAATGATGCCCAATCGAAATAGCACCAGCCGAGTGTCCAAAGGCTGAAACGTTATGCACGTCTCCGCCAAATTGAGCAATGTATTTCTGAATCCATTCACTCGCAAGCCGTTGATCGGTGAATCCGAAATTCCCATTCCCAGAAAATCCGTTCTCTTTCAGCTCCGCTGCTATCTGTTTACTGGCAAGAAATCCACCTAACCCAAGTCGGTAGTTGAAACTGACGACCAGTACCGGCCGTCCGGTTTCAACGCTGTGCGAGACAAGGTTAACGGCATCGTAGATTCCGTAGTTGGCGCTCCCGTGGAGAAGAGAGCCGCCATGGATCCATAATATAACTGGAAACTGCTCTGTGGAGTTCTTTTGAGGGGATTGCGGTATGACTATATTCATTACTAAGGCGGTTTTCTCATCGACTTGTGGCTGGCGGGCGAAATTTGGTTTTGGGGGGACCGGGATGAAAGGGTTGTCCGGAGTAGAGCTTTGTGGGCTGGGACAATTATTGCTTCAAACACAAAAAGGAGGGCGGGGAATAATCAGCATGAGACTGAAGCGCCCAATCAATTTATTCTCGACTTACCCAAGTTCAGTCCCATCGTGGTAGTTATCCTCCCAGGAAATACACAATATAGAACGGGTCCAGCGCTTTGAGCGTAAGGGATCCCGCAAAATTGCTCGACACCATTTGCGTATCTTAACCCATCCACTCGGCCTAGAACGTCGATATTGACTGATATTTTTGACGTTGGGGTTTGGAAAGACATGGAGATAGCACTAACCTCAATACAACTCCAGGGTTGCTTCTGCTGGAACTTAACGCTGGAGCTTAGATGTTCTGAGCAATGGCATTATAGATAGTAGATTTTGAGCATCGCTCGATAGGATTGCAGGATTTCAGGGTCCAAAATCGAGCATGTTGAATAACCTACTTGCTCAGATAAATGAATGCTATGCTATCTGCTTGACCAATCGGAGAGTATTGCGAAAGCTCCGAGATGCATGCAACCCTAGCCAATCTTACTAAGGTTGCAAGTTGTCTACTAGGCACTGTATCCACATTTTCATAATGTACTGGTATAAATACAAATTCTTAGGTATTCTGGCACGCCCCTTCGTACAGTTACGAGGTATTTTCCCGAATAAATGCCACGAGTGCCTCTCTCCCGTCATGCTTTATCGGACATTCGGTATGCATCGCTCCGGGAATTTCCTTTCGTGTAATATCTAGTCCAAGATCCTGTCCTCGCTTTTCTAATTTTCCTGCCACGTACGGTGGAATGACTTCATCATTCTCTGCCGAGATAATAAATATTGGAGGAACAGTCGGCGATTGGGACCGAGTGAGGTGGGTTGATTCATTGGTTTGGATTTCTTTCGCGTTCTGGGCTTTCCACGCGGCGAGGTTTTCAAGGGCCGTGGCAGTGCACCATGTGTTCCAGGAAAATGGCCAGAGATAGCGATAAGGAAGCCATTTTTGAGGATACAAGCTGATCAACATGTCCTTAATACTGGAGATCGGAGCCTCCATTATGAGCCCAGAAATGGGAGGCAACACTTGATTTTGCGCTGCTTGCGTGGTACCTTGAGCCGTAAGATATTTGGACAGAACCGAGCTAGCCACAGCAGATCCAAGGCTATGCCCCCATAGCACGATCTGAAGGTCGGTATTTGGCGATGTGTAAGAGGCCGAAACCCAGTTCAAGAAAGCTTGAGCGTCGCGTTCAATTCCTGATTGAGTAGCACGACCGGACGATGTCCAGTACCCACGATAAGAGAGGGCAACTATAGTATAGTCGGGCTCTGAGTCTGCAAATTTCGACTTATGTGCAAGCGTTCTCAGGACCTGAGAAAGAACAGGCAATCGAAGAGGTGTCGATCCACCATTTCCTTGAAAATAACAGATTACAACTGACTTCTTCCTTTTTGGCTCAATGGTACTGAGGTCCTTTTGGGCGGAAATTCGCCCTTCACAAACTGCTAAATTCGTTCCATCAAGACTTTGAATGCGCTTTTCTTCCCACTGCACAGGTTTGCATTCTGCCAAATAATCCTCGATCTTGTCAGATCGAGAGAACGGGGGAAGCCAAGAGAGATACAAGAGCTTGTTCTGCATAACGATGATCCAGAAACACTTCCATGTCCAGAGGCCTAATAGAAGGCCAGTGAAAATTGCCGGCGGGAGCAGAGCAGGAGGGATGGCCTCGGTGAAAAGGGAGCGAGAATGCTTGACCTTCTCAAATTTTGAGGCCAATGTCTTCGACTCTAAGCATGCTCGTTTTCTCGCTCGTGTGTGAATAGAGTTGTGGGGTATCTGCATCCTTGGCTGGATTGACCTGCTCGTCCACAAGCCGATTGGGTGGCGTCCAACACGCCGCGGATTCAGCCTTCCCAGCATCAAGGCGGTCGATCTTGTATCCTCCCTTGAAACATTTAGCAGATACGATGTTTAAGGTTGTTGGATAGAAGAAAGAAGCGCGTTCAATCCGTCGCGGACGTTGAGAAAAAAACAGATGACTCAGCGATCACATGAGGTCTAGGTTTACAACAATGAAGAAGTATACGGAAATCCTGGTCGAACTATTGGGTCGTTGTATTTTCCAAAAGTCCGAAAATTTAAAATAGTAGATTCAATTCAAGTTAAAATATGAAATATCATTTTCCAGACACAATGTACGATAGCCCGAGTCCTACCTGCGTCAGGAAACAATGCCCTAACATACCCAAGCCAGGATTATCAACACATGGAAACGGACAGTCGTTCCGATGGTGAAGGTATCCCGTCACATAAATATCAAAGATTCATATCCTACGATTTTGCCCACTGGCAATCTCATTGTTCCAAGGTTCCCAGAGTATAGGTAGTGGTGGTAGTACCCACCGGTCTTCTGCACCCCACGCATCGCCATGCAGAGATGAGAGCATTCCATGGTAACCTTAATGCCATGAGGTTCGATCATCTCCCAAATACACTAAGCCACTTGTTGCGTCAGACGTTCTTGTATCTGGAGTCTGCGGGAATAAACCTCGGCCACAGGCGCAAATTTTGACAACCCGAGGACGCAATTCTTAGGCATATAGCTGACGTGCATCTGTCTCATAGTAAGTATTGGGTAGCACCGAAGGTATCTATTAATTGGCGACATACCTTCCCAGTGAAAGGAACCAGGTGATGCTCGCAAAGCGAGAATATATCAATATTTTTCACAGTGATCACACCATCGTATCCTTCTCGAAAAATAGCCCCTTTGACTACATCTTCAATAATTTGCTCGTACCCTTTAGTGAAAAAGAGCATTGCTCTCGCATATCGCTCGGGCGTGTCACGAAGTCCCTCCTGAGTCGTGTCTTCACCGACACATTCCAAAGTTATTGATATTTTATGGGCAATCAAGGGTGCCGGTACCAACTTCGGGATCGTAATCAGCATCACTTTCAGAACCCGAGCGGCCCCAGCGTTCAAGACCAAAACCAAGATTTCGCCCTCTGACGACAGACTCGCAGCCCAGTGCAAGCTTCAAGGATTTGCCACGGCAGAGCTACCTCGAGACATCTCTACAGATGCATATTTGTACTGGGATGATGGTAAAGTACACATTGGCGAGGGCCTCTTGGTTTTCGATGGCAACTAGGTCGGTTTGATGCTTCTGAATAAATCAGTTAATCAAAAATGGGTCAAGTTAATTTAACTCAATTTCCTCCGAGGCACCTCTACCAGGAGCGCAATTAAAGCTTGAGATGTTAAACTCAGAAGACTCCCGGTGTGATAAGTAAAATAGCAAATCCTCACGTCTGCTTCTGCTTAACAGAGCGCCACTCAACCAAAAAACTCCCCAAAATCGTCATACAACCCAACGCAACAGGAAGATACCAAGTACTCGTCAAACTGCGATCAATACCGCTCAAAACTTCATCCAAGCGCTGCCCGGGAACGCCATTCTTAATATCGCCAAGTCCACGTTCTTCAATATACGCAGGTGTCAATCCGGGCACAATATTCTCCAATCTCGACGATAGCTGATTCGTGAATATGACTTGCGCAATGGCAATGAATACTGCCGGTCCCATACTCTGCCCGAACAAAATAACTCCGATCCCGAGATTGACATCTGCAGGTGGTAACATTGTCTGGACAGCTGCTTGGGGGCCTTGAAAGCCGATTCCTCCGCTGAATCCTACTAAACCGGAATATAGTATGATCTGAGTAAGTGATGTGTCGAGGCTATAGGTCGTCATTAAGCCCGCTGCGATTGGCATACATATAGAGGCGAAGATCATGAAGGGGGCGTAATAGCCGAATGTACTAGTTCCGATACCTTGTAGAAAAAGGCCTAGCATCATTCCGGCGAGGATGGGGATCATTAAATAACCGCTTTCGCTTGGAGTCTGGAAGAGTTAGTTATAGCACTGATAACATTGTGTATTTACGTCGCAAATTGGCAATGAGGACCCTAATCTTACCCGTGACCGAACAACTTGATAGTATGTCGGTAAATACCACTCCAAAACATTCGTCATGGAATTAGTGCAAGTCACGAAGATAAATCCCGCGATTACACTCCGATTTTTGATGACGCGGAAAGGGAGTGCTGCGGAGTCGCCGCGTCTATATTGATTGTAGACGAAGGCGCCGAGGAGCACGCCAAATACAACAAATAAGGCAATCACTCTCCCATCCGACCAAGGATACTTTGTCCCTGCCCAAGACAGCGCGACGAAGAGCGCAGTGAGAGATGGTATGAAAAGGCAATTACTGACGAGGTCGAGTTCTCTGATCTTCTGGGCCATTGTTAGATCGTCATCTGACTGGGCTCTTGGATCTGAGAAGAGGAAGAGTAATGTCGCCAGCGATACGCCGCCAATTGGAAGATTGATCCTAAAAATATGTCAGTGGTGATTTATATCTTTAGTCCAAATGGAGAGAGAAAGCGTACCAGAAACACCACCTCCACCCTAGCGACTGCGTCAATGCACCGCCTACTATGGGCGCCGCAATGATAGCGAGCGATTCCACACATGCCAGCAATCCCATCAAGACTGGCCGTTTGTTGAGTGGAACAATATGCACTGAGATGGCAAAGCACCCGGCCAATTCACCCGAGAACCCTAGACCTGTCACGGCTCTCCCGACAATGAACATGGTGGATGAAGCAGCCGTAGCGCAAAGTAAAGAGCCAGACAGAAATATGACATTGCTTATCAGGAAGATCGTCTTGATTGAGAAGTGCTTATAGAGCTTCGCGAACCCGAATTGGAATGCACAGGTGCAGAGTCGAAATGCAGATGAGTACCATCCCACATCAGCGACAGTGTGGAAATGGTTGGTGATACTCGGAACGGCGGTAGCGACAATGTTGGCATCTAGGCCTCCGAGGATGAGGACCACGCATAATGTCAATATTGTGAACCAGAATTTCGATCCTTTTGGGTAGTTGGGCGTCGCTATATCCGGGGTTGATTCGATGTTAAGAGATGCAGTTGGTCGTTCCGAGGTTGTCGGTGGTTGCCGTGAGTCAGGCGAAACGGCGAAAGTTACATTCTCGAGCGCGATAGGAGACGCCTCTGTCAGCGTTGTAGTGGCCATTGTATGAGGCTCTCGCCAGTGAACATGAGGAAAGAAAGAGGGGGAGTCTCGACTGTCGTAACGAATGGTGGGGTAGCTCGTGCTCTCGCTGATGCCGAGCCCGAGCCGAGAGGTACTACTACTAGTAGTACTACATAACAAACTTGAATTGTGCGTAATTGAAAAATGCTTTCATGCTATCTCAATACCAAAGTATCTATATTGTATGAACTAAGTGCATCCATTCCAGATGCATCCCGAATGATAACACCCGCTTTCCACCTAGTAATGTTAAAAATGCCATGCCATGCCATTCCTATGCCCAAACACCCAATGCAGCCAGAAAAAGATTGGAAATTGCAGCACTGCGACTGCAAAACAAAAGAAAAGGAGAAACGCCTATGCCAAAATGCACGACATGCAAAGGAAAGAATAGCCGGAAGATGAACGGGGATTGCTTTTTCTTTTCTTGTTTCACAAATCCATATCGTCATCATCCCAGCCCAATTGTTCGTAGATGGATTTTGATTGGGACTTCTCCGGCGTGACTGGCACGGTAGAAGCTCCCTTGACCGGTGTACTCGTGACGGCGGGGGAGATGGCGCTCGAGTGCGTTTCGTGGAGAGAGTTTGAATGGGTATTTGAAATGGAACGGAGCGGGATGATATTAAGGGAGTGCCCTGTTTTCTCGGCGGTGTTTCCATTATCCCGCCCGAAGGGTGGTTATTCTGAATAGAGTCGGCCATTAATGGTGATGAGCCGGGGACGAATGATGGGTTTTCTCCTTGGTGTCGTGATGAAATGGGTGTTGATGGTGCCATTGGTTCTGCTGTGAGATCGCCGGCAGTGGAACGAGGTGCTGGTAGGTTAGGGACTAGGAAGAGACCTTTCCCTCTGGATGACTTTGAGAGTAGATCGTCCGGATCTGTTGAGGTGGCATTCTTATCGCCGTCGAATAAGAGTTTGGAAGATGGTCGGGTCGGAGTTTCTTGTATAGAGCCAAGTTCAGCTGATGGAGCAGGTCGCTTGATGCCACTGGTAGTTGTTGTGCGGCGGGAACTGAACAGGTTTGCATCGGGGCCTGAAAATGAAGTGGCCCGCTGACTCGAAGAAGGAATCATCACAGGTGATTCTTCTAGTGATTGATCTGGCATTTCACCCGCATAGGAACGAGACGGCGCGAGACTGCGAGGCAGTGGTGGCATACCGACTACTGCATCTCTCTTGCGATTTCCACGAGGTGTAGCCATGACCTGGACGCCCTCGCCAAATGGATTACGAACAGGGTTCTTCGATTTGCGTGCGCTGCCACCGGTGGGAACTCTTTTCACAGCGTCCTCAGCAATATCCTTTGCCACAAGCTCACGATTTGGCTTGCGCAGGGCATGAATTGCAGCATCGAGTTCCTTCTTTTGGTCAACAAGCATCTGTACCTTACGCAATTTGGTCTCGTGTTGGCGTGCAGCAGCATCGAGATCAACTTCGCGGTTATCTCGTCGTTTCGCCTGTTGAATGCCACCTCGGACGCTACCGCTCAGGTGGTGTGGTAGAAGAGGCTCCATTGAGTCGCGGTTCGATTCTTGCTTCGATGGAGCTGTCTTCGATCGATGCAGTGATGGGGCTCCATTCCGAGATGCCGCAGCCTTTTCATCTGTAAGTACCCGCTGCAAAGAGCGCCGAGATTTCGGTGCTGGCTGTTGGCGCTTGACTTCTGCGCCAGCTTCCACGCGGCTTTTATTCGACGACTGGGCCTTTTTGGCGACGGGGGAGATTCCACCAGAAACTCCGAATTTCCGTGTGATAAGCTTGCACTTGTCAGGTAGGCGTGATGCATAGAATGGAATGATGACTTCGGTGCAAAAGTCGCGAACCGCATCACTCTCTACCTTCTTGCCGGACATGTGGTTCTCGCTAAAAGACGATGTCTTGGCCGATTCCACGCCGGTCGAGTCCTCCATACTGACAGCATGCCAGATGCACAGGCGATCAAGATGCAGTTCAAGAAGCACATTAAGGTCTTGTGCCTTTTTAGCTTTGGTTTTCTTTGAAGCGGCCTTCTCTTCGCTGGCTACTTCCATGTCTCCATCTTTCGGCTTGTTTTTAGCTTCAGTGGGTGTTGACTCCAACGACAAAACCTCCAGAATGAGTAAAATCTGCAACTGCGTTTCCCGAAGACGCAAATCGGAAACTTGTTTCTTTGTCTCTGTTTCTCGAGCACCTTCATGTGTTGAGAATTCTGCCATGCTGCGATCCTTCCACCATTTGTGAATGAAGCTATCCTCCTCAGGATATAAGCCATTCTTGCCGATCTTCTTCTTCTTCTTACTCTTCCTTTTCTTGGATGCCCCGGTGCCTTCGTTATCAGATAGGGCTAGCACCGCATCACGCATAGCAGCTGGAACAGATTCTCTGAATTTCAGATCCATCTTCTTGGCGGCAAGGATAGCCTCTCGGTAGAATTCTACAAGATCGGCGGGCGAGTGGGAGCCTTCAATGGCAGACGTTTGAAAGGCAGTTCGACAGCGCGTGAGAGGGCCTTTGGCGAAGTAGGCAAGAGATGTCTGCGCATCGTGTCAGAAAGAATATACCGATAAATACCTTTCAGAATCACACTTACCTTAGAAATGTAAAGAGCCTGCAGATAATGATCCCTCATTCCTTCAAGCAGCTCAGCCGGTGTTTGCTTCGCATCACCTTCGGTATGATCAACAGCACGGTCGACATCCATTGCCTCGGCATTGAGCTGTGACTCCAAGGGCGTATAGAAGACATCATCGTGAGCCGCACTCTGCGATGGCTGCACAAGAGACTGGCCACGAGACAGACTGCGAGACGCGATATCATCCACGAACGAAGGTTCAGCCTGGAAGACATCAACCTCGGGCTGACCAAAAACCATATCGACCCTCAAACCGGCAAAATCGTCTCCCAACCCCAGATCCGAATGAGGTTCCTCGATCTGAGCAGCCTGCCACCAATTAAGCGGATCCGGAAGACTGCAGTCTTCACTCTCCCCATCGGTCTCCATATCCACATCCATCTCAATATCCTCATTACCCTGCCACCCCTTCGCCGCAACAACGATATCACCCTCATGAACCCACCTCGCAAGCCTAGCTAACGAGTAGATTCCCCTCTTCACCCTCTCAACAACATAAATCGCTCCCTCGTCCACCAACCGGACGACAAGAACGGTCTGTTCCACGCCCACCCTTGGCCTTGGCCGTAAATCATTTTCCAGTGCGGGGATATCGGCCACGAACAGGCCTCCACCAGGCTGTAAATCGGAGCGGCGCGAAGACGACGCGTCGTCAATCCAGGAAAGCGGAAATCGAGATCGGGGAAGAGCGACAATCGGATCGAGAACTAAGGGGTTGTCTGATAAGGAAGCTGCATGGGCCTAGATATCACGAAAAAGCACCAGCAGAAACCCAAGTTAGCCACTAGATCTCTCCGAGACTGTATAGGACGACGGAGACAAATTTGATGTGTCACGGAGAAAGGGACAGGGACAGGGAAGTCAAACTCACGCGAATAACAATCGAGGTAGTGGCAAGCTGACCCGCAGCATTGCCGGCACCTTCTGACACAAATTTCCGCTTCTTACTCGGTCGTTGGCCTGTTTCGTGGAGTTTGTTCAGTGTCGAGGAACTGAGGGGGTCCAGGACGCCTGGGAGCGCGAGGGCTTGCGCTTGCGCAGTCATGACGGAGTGTCTCTAGGGGACGGTATGGTGCATTGTGGTAATTCGATTATGCGCGAAAGAACAAAAGAGAAACGCTGTAATCAAGTAATGCAATGCTCATGCAAATTGGATTGTATATGAGGTCGTTGGTGAGTGGAGGAGCGCGGCGCGGCGCGGTCAGGTCTGGCCTGGCGTCACGCGTCGTGGTCAATGCGGACTTCTTCCCCGCCTTTCTCTGCACTACGTGGATTTCTGTAGGAACTTGGACATTGTTACTTTAAACTAATTAGAGTTGTGTTAGATTACACTTAATGTCTTACATTTACATGGAACGTGTTTTGTATAATTTTAAATTTAATCATTAATTTGCTAATGTTTAGATTAGCGGCCTTTTAGCCAGCAGAATCTCGAGAGGTGGTTAACACCATCTCAACAGACTGCGAGCCCAAACCCCCCCGAGAGTTCAAGCAAGAATAAATGGAAATGCAAGGCTAGCATGCAAAAGCATAAATACTTTCAGGTGAAAGGAAAGAGGTAGAAGGGGAGGGGGGGGGTCTGTCCAAGGTAATATGTTGTTGAAGACTTTCGCTCCGGAAAAACGCCAAAACAATTCCGTCCCAGCCGATGAAAGTGTGGTATCATGTTGAATTTTGTCTTCGCCGTAAGGCCCGTCTCTTCAGGGCGACCATGCAGATAATGAAACAAGTGGTAGATTGATTCCAGATCAAAGAAACCAAGCTTTTATGAGGGTTTTGTTCTTTTTTTAAAAAAAAAGTTCTATGCACGTGCTTTGAGTTGTTGAAAACAAAGCAAACTCATCAAAGTCGTCAAAACGTCTCCGGGTTCACCGGAAGGAGAGATCCGTTTAGAACTTGAGGGCCTTAGGCTGCTCCCAGGTGAAGCTCTGGTTGGTGAAGTGACCGTTCTTGGCGGTCTGGGAGTAGATGGGCTTGGCCAGGTCCAGGTCCTTGACAATGACACCAGGGCGCAGGTCGAAGTTGTTGCGGATGATCTGGACCAGCTCCTCGGAGGTCTTCTTGGAGGTACCGTAGGTCTCGACGAACAGGGAAAGGGGCTCAGCGACACCAATGGCGTAGGAGAGCTGGACAAGGGCACGGCGGGCGAGACCGGCGTTGACGAGGGACTTGGCGATCCAGCGAGCGACGTAGGCAGCAGAACGGTCGACCTTGGAGTAGTCCTTTCCGGAGAAAGCACCACCACCGTGGGCACCCCAACCACCGTAGGTGTCGACAATGATCTTACGGCCAGTCAGACCGGCGTCACCCTGGGGACCACCGATGACGAAGCGGCCGGAGGGCTGCATGTGGTAGACAGTGCGGTCATCGAGCAGGTTGGCGGGGATGACCTTCTTGACGATCTTCTCCTTGAGGACAGCACGGAGCTCCTCGGTGGAGACATCATCAGAGTGCTGGGCGGAGATGACGACGGTGTCGACGCGCAGGGGCTTGACGGCACCATTATCGTGGGCGTACTCAATGGTGACCTGGGTCTTGGTGTCGGGCAGCAACCAGGGGATGGAGCCGTCGTTACGGGCAGCCTTCATGGCGGCGTTGAGCTTGTGGGAGTACAGGATGGTGAGGGGGAGGAGCTCAGGGGACTCGTCGGTGGCATAACCGAACATGATACCCTGGTCACCGGCACCGAGCTTCTCAAGAGCCTCTTCGTAGTGAAGACCCTGAGCGATATCGGGGGACTGTTGCTCAATGGCAACCAAGACGTTGCAAGTCTTGTAGTCGAAGCCCTTCTCGGAGGCATCGTAGCCGATGTCCTTGATAGCGCCACGGATGATCTTCTGGTAGTCCAGGTTGGCCTTGGTGGTGATCTCACCGAAGACCATAATCATACCTGCAATGTGACATGTCAGATTGGGGAAAATACGCGAGTCAGACGGAATTGTAATGGCACCTACCAGTCTTGGTGGCGGTCTCGCAAGCAACCTTGGAGAGGGGGTCCTCCGCCAGGCAGGCATCGAGGATAGCATCGGAGACCTGGTCGCTATATTGCAGAAAGGATTAATTAGCATGTGAAGAGGGGTAAAGAAGGGGGTTGGGAAAGAGAAGTAATAGAAGCAAAAAGAATGACCAAGACTCAGGGGCAAACTGCAGTATGACCGGAAGAACCTGAGGGGAGGGGAGGGGGAACCCTGGGAAAAAACAGAAAAACTCACGCAATCTTATGGGGTGACCCTCACCGACGGACTCGGAGGTGAAGAGGAAAGTAGGCTGGGAGCCGTTGGCAAGAGAACCCATTTTGAAGGATGTGAATTGACTTGGGGGGGGAAAGTCTAGAGTGGAAGAAATAAAGAGGAAAGAGGAAGAGAAAGAGAGGATGAAGGAGAGAAAGGAAAGGAAAGGGAAGAAGAGGGGAAAAAGTGGTGGGGTTTTTCTTTTTCGGGGCCCAGCAAAAACGTGAGTACAGACAAGGTACCGGGTTGGCCAGCAGACGGGCCGGCAAAGAGTGGGTACTGTTGGTGTACCGCCCAGGCTGATCTCTACGATGCACCGCTCTGCACCACCCTGCACCACTCTGCACCGCTGACACCGCCTGCCAGAATGGGGGGACTCTAAGAGGATTTGATTGCGGGCTGCAGGGGGCAGGATGGCGCAATTGTGGGCGGTGAGAAGTAAGACGGCAGATTCATGTGGGACTCTTCATGTGGTTTGCACGGTTTGCACTGTACGGCAGCCACCACCTTCCACATGTGCCGGGGGAACACCGTGGGACCGTGACCGCCTCCGATAAGCATCAGTCCGATAACACAAATTCAGAGCTGCTGCATTTCTGGATACTAGTAGTCCTATAGCTCAACTACTACCTCCATCCCTCCACCTCCCCCTCTCCCTCTCCCTCCACCCACTATGTCCAAATTCGGTGTTCTGGTCATGGGCCCCGCTGGGGCCGGCAAGACCACTTTCAGTAACTCTCTCATTCAACATCTGCAAAGCACCCGTCGCAGTTGCTTCTACGTCAACCTCGACCCCGCCGCCGAGAACTTCACCTACCAACCCGATCTCGACATCCGGGAACTGATCACCCTAGAAGATGTCATGGAGGAGCTGGGTCTAGGCCCCAACGGCGGATTGATCTACTGTTTCGAATTCCTCCTCCAAAATCTCGAGTTCCTCTCCGAAAGCCCTCGACCCATTAAGCGAAGAATACCTCATCATCTTCGACATGCCCGGTCAAATCGAACTATACACACACGTCCCTCTCCTCCCATCTTTAACGCAATTCCTCTCCCGTCAGGGTCCCCCTAAATATCAATCTCTGCGCCGCCTATCTCCTCGAAAGCACCTTTGTCATCGACAAGGCGAAATTTTTCGCGGGCACCCTGAGCGCCATGTCTGCTATGCTCATGCTCGAGATCCCCCACGTCAATATCCTGAGTAAGATGGATCAGGTCAAGGATATGGTTTCGAGGCGAGAATTCAGACGCTTTGCCAATGTCGATATACAATTATTGCAAAATGACGAAGAAGACCCTGCCGTCACCGCCGACCCAATGGCCAAGGATGCCCTGATGAGCGGTGGCTCGTTCAAGCAGCTCAACCGTGCCGTCGGCCAGTTGATTGATGACTTCAGCATGGTCTCTTTCTTACAACTCGATGTCTCGGATGAGGATAGTGTCTCCGGTATTCTCAGCCACATCGATGATGCTATTCAATACCATGAAGCGCAAGAACCCCGGGAACCAAAGGACGAACAAGAAGTCAACTATGAAGAGGAGTAGAGATGGAAGGAATACTCGCCTTCCAAGCACATCTTGATCGCTTGCTCTATACCTTCTGCCCACTGCTTATTTACCTACTTGTGTGCGGCCACATCTAATCTCGTGCCGACCCGAGATTTCTCATGGCGCGTGCCTGCAAATCTCTGGTGTCTTCACATCATTTGACCCACTTCTCGACCCACGCCTATCCGTCTATCTATCCATATCTACAAAGCTACGATCCACGATCTACACTACCTTGCGCAAGCATAGGCCACTCCGCCATCCAGCAAGAGAGAGCTATAGCTATCTACGATCTACCATTCTCGAGAAAGGCGAAATTTTTTGCATGAAGAATCGGCATTGAAAAGCCAACACCTGGAACTTGATTTCTGGCAGGATCTCAACCTGAACAAAACGCCTCTAACCCTTCCATAATTTAAACAAAAAAGTAAAAAGAGAGCCACGAATGATGAATAGTTCACAGAAGACCCATCGTCTCCAAAAAAAAAATCCCAGCTCGCTATCAATCAAGCCAAATAAAAGCAAATGGGAGATCAATCAAGTGTAGAAGAAACCAAAACAAAAACAATGCCCGCTCATCCCATTCGTACAAGAGTTGGTATACTTCCAAGTGTCCATCAATCACACGACAAACCCCTCACCCACATATTATATCACCTCCCCCAACCCCACCCACCACCAGAACTAACCCTCTCCTTTCCATTCCACCCCGGCACATCACGATACCCTCCACTGGCAGCCTTCCCACTCACTTTCCCATTCTCCGCCGCCAGCGCGGCTCTAGCCTGAAAATCCTCAACAAAGCCCTCAACAACACCATACACCCACCCAAGATCCCGTCCAGCTTTCTCAAAGCCGACCTGGTAAACATAAAGCACGGAAAGGGCAATGGTACCCCAAAAGACCAACCGCAGCGTAAAGACCACCCACCACATTATCACGCGACGCGCGTAGTCTAGCAATCGGAGCGAGACGTAGAGTATTGCGAGTAGGATGAAGATTGTGAATAGGTCTGTTGTGCCGGTCGTTGACATGAGGATGTTTGAGAGTGGGGATATGATGTAGGGGTCTATTATTGTTGAGCGCAGGGTTGCGAGGTGTGTTGTGACGGCGGTACTTGTTCTGGACTTTATGTAGGATGTTACAGGGTGGTTTAGGAGGTCTGTCACGGGTTCGGGGAGGTTAGTTTGTGTCACTGTTTCTGGTAGGAGGGTTTTGGCGGGCGCGATGACGGTTTTGTAGAACGCACCTTTGAAGTTATCCATTTTGGTTGAGGGCCACTCTGGTTGTGGACTCGATAAAGAGGTTGGGAAGAATGCGGAAAGGATAGGAGTGTCTCAGGTCTCAGGTTCCAAGGTTGGGTGCTTTTGTCTTGCGCGGGTCGTAGGTTGTGTTGGTTTTATGTTGCGCGCTACCCCAGGGTGGTGAAAGGGTCTTTGTTTGGTGGACTCGATTGTTTTCCAAGCTTTTTGCTTTGCTTTTTGTTTGGGATTGACAAAGGGGTGTGTGGTTCATAAATCTGTCTTCAGAGGTGAATGCGCATTGAGGAGTTGGTTGGGTTGAAGTGGTATGGAGTGGAGGGATATGATGCGACAAGTGATACGGTGGTCATTGACAGCGGGATGATAACAAAGGTGGTGCAAACGCGACAAACTTTGAAATGCAGTCGCGTGCCGCTGCGGAAACCATGAAACTTGAAGTGCTACTCGCAGTAGTAGTAGAGTAGACTTTTACTTTGCTGAGGCATTAGAATCCATGGAAAGAGAATAGACTGAATAGTGGAATGGTCATTGCAATTATGTTTGAATAATTATAGGTAGATTGAATATAGTAAGTATCTCCCTCGTGTACTAGACGAGTACTGTACAGCCATTATATACTAAAGCAAGTGGTCAATATTTACAAGCGCGACCACTGAAACACCATCCCTGAACGAACGACCAGTGCCCAAACCGAGGCCAGACAAATTCAAAAAGGACAAGAGTCTCGCCAGATACCGAGGCATAACAATAACAAGGTGTTATGACTCAGTATTGACTCTGAACGACTCTAGAAACTCCAGCACCAAAAAAGAGTGAAGAAGGAAATGTAGAAGAAATGGAAAAAGAAGGGAAAACTCCATGACACATGGTAGAACTCTTAGCATCGAAACCGGATGCGAGTCAAGATGCAGATGCAGACGTGGGTGGTATATAGACGAAAGAGAGACCGAAAAAGGGACGTGGGGGAAAACGGGACAGCGCCACTACTATACGTAGCCAGCCAGAGCCTTGAATGAATCGCGTTCGGTCTGAATGTCCGCTTGCAAGCGGCGAGTCTGACGAAGGGCCTCGTCTCTGTAGGGAAAAAGTCAGTTCTATCCGATCTGAAACACGATCTATCGACTTTCGGAGATTTTGTTGCCTCCCGCCAAGGGTAAAAACGTACCTATCAGATTGAAGCTGGGCCACATCGACTTGAGCGTGGTTCATTCTTCCTACCGCTTCCTCCATCTCCATATCTGCTTCCCGGAGGAGTCGCTCTAGACCCTTGATGTGTTTCTCCAGGGCTTCGGCCTGTATGATTTCCGTCAGCGGGACGCCGGTACCGCTGGTTGTTTGGTCAAGACGAGGTGTCCGGCTGCTGAAGGGTGCGTTTTGAGGTCGTGGCGAGAGAGCGACGGGCGTGCGGCTGCCATTCTTCATTCGAACCAGTTGGGCATTCTGGTTCTCCTTCATCAGGCGAATCTCATCTTCGTGCTTGCTCATCGCCTCTTCGGAGTATTGCTGCGCGTACAAGAGGACGTCCTCTAGTTCCTTCATTCGGCTTTGCAGAATGTTGATGCGCTCAACGGACAACTGCTGGTCGCGCTCGCCCTTGAGAATGGCACTCTCCAGACGGTTGCGCAAGGAACTGTTTGTCTGCAACTGGTACTGAACTTGCTCAGCTAATGACTCTGTTCGGGCAAATGCCTCTGTCAACTCGTTGGACTCGGCCCCAGCCCCAGCCTGCTGGCGCTCTAGTTGCAGTTGCTTGTAAGCGGATTCCAGAGAAGATGATGTCGCCATAACCTCGGCGAAGCTCTCTCCATCAGCCTCGAGACCCTCCGACACAACGGCATCATGCTCCTGCAGCAAAGAGCGAAGATACCCGGTGTCTTGCTCGGCACGGTCAAGATCCATCTTCAAACCAGCCAGGTTCTTCTCACACTGCCACTTGCCATCCAAAGCATCTTCAGCACGCATACGCAGGTGATTCAGGTCGTCCCGCAAGCTGCTAACCTCCTTCTCATAACCAAGCTTTCGTGGTGGGCCCGACTGTTTCGCACGCTGGACCTCAATCTCCATAAGCCTAGCGCGCTTCTCAAACTCTTGGGCCTGGAATGCTTGACGATCGAGGAGGCTCTTGAGCGTGCGGTGCAAAGCGTCACGCTGGACTTCGATATCATTAACCTTGTCGACTAATGACTCGCCGTTACCGCTCTCACGTTCATTTCCGCCGGCCTTGACCGAGTTCGACCTAGATAATGATCCGGAACGCTTCAGACCGCTGGGTTTCCTGAGCAAGAGAGTTCGATCGTGATAGGCCGAAAGCCGAGTTCCGCTTCGATGAGCCGCCGTCTTCTTCTGCGATCGAAGCAAATCTCCCTCCTTGTAACTGGGCCAAGGAAGCATTTTCGATCTTCAACGCCTCGATCTCCTCTATTAAGCGCTGCATATCTGCTGGCGGGGCCTTGCCTTCGCGAAGCAGATCACGCTCGTTTCGCAGTTGCTCGAGCTCGACACGCATGGCCGTGAGTAAATCTTCGAAGTTGTCTTTTGATTGTCGCTCCTCGAGGAGTTTCCGGCGGGTGTTCTCTAACGCGCCTTCGAGCTCGTGAGTCTTGGAGGAAAGGTCGGATAAATCAGTTCTCTCGCGACGAAGCTAATGACGGAATAGTTAGCAAGACCTCTTCTCTCACATATCTACACCGGTATTGACTCCTTACCTGTTGGACCTGGTTCTCTAGGATTTGGACATGTGATTCAGATGCTGTCCTTTGCATTCGCTCTTCTTGCAGCTTCTGGGATAGCTCCACCTTCAACTGCCCACGTTCTTGCTCCGCTGCCCGGCGGATCTTCTCGATGTCTTCACTCCGGTCAGGGGCATATCGAACCGAGCTAGTCCCCGAGTCGGAGAAATAATCACTGGTCCGCCTGTTCACGTCGGGTCCTTCTAACTGTAATCGTTCAACAAGATCTTCGAGCTCCATTTCCCGGCGGATGGAGCCCGCCAACTCGGAGCTAATTTCGCGCAACTCATTTTCCAAGTCATTAATTTTTGACGCAATAACATGCTCGGTTCCACTGGCTGTTCCAAGTGATGGCGTCCTTTGGAGTGGGCCAAATCCAGGAGTTTTGGGGTCATAAGGGGAGGCGGGTTTGATGGGGACGTTGGCCAAGGGAGGCATGGGGGAGTACAATGAAGATCGGCCACCGTCAGAGATCTCTGTACTGGAGGATTCGCCGCCAGGGGATGTGGCTGCAGGTGCGTTTGTATTACCCTTCCAACCAAAGAAAGAGCTGATCTTTTTGCCGGGGGTTTTGGGTTGTCGAGGGTCGGCCTGGCCCATAGACATGGACATGGACCGTTGATCGATGTCGATGTGTAACGGTGGTGGCCGATTCATGGGAGGGTGCAAGGCCATACTCGAAGCACGCCTTTGAGTGGGAGGCGGGGAGTTGAGGACCGGGATGAAAGGCTCGCTCACTAGACGACTGTGCAGGGGGGTTCCGATTCCATTCGTGAACTGTTGCTCGTAACTTTCGTCAAAGAAGTCGACACTTTCGTCGTCGTCGTCGTCTTCGTCCTCGACCACGGACCTCAGGTACGCGGACGCGGTAGAGGCCCTGGTATCTATACGGAGGGGTTTGGTAGGGACGGAGCCACGCGAGTATCTAGGGAAGCGTGACGTGGGTAAGTGATGGGTCTTCCAGATTATGGGGAAGCGCGATAGCATGTATTCGGGGCCATTGACACACGCTCCCAAGGAACCAGGACTAGAGATTCTTCAAAGCCGAGCTGGGACCATGGAGGGACAAAGGCCGACGATCAGGGGGTGGGTTTGATGCCGAGTGGGACTGGCCCAAAGTTGTTTTTTTTTTATTCCCTCTTAGATTGATGGAGTTGCGCATACCTGTTTGAATTCCTTGGCACTGATATGAAGGGGTCTCCATCCACTGAAGGGGAGGATGGATGTTCGTGAGGAGGAATGGAAGTGGGCTGCGTGATATCACCCTCGATGGACAGGGGAGAGGAGGGGTGAGCAGGGCCGGGTTGAGGAGGATTGGCGTAGGCGGGTAGTGGTTTTCGTCGTAGCGGTAACTGAGAGGAAGAGGAGGGCGGGGAAGGAGGAAGGTCGACAGTATCAGAATGATGATAGTCAGGAGTAGAGTTGGTTGCGGGTGAACCGCTAGTCGGGTTGTCGGTGGACGCCATAGCAGGAAGTATCAAAAAATAGCCATGGATCGACGGTCGCTCATACCGGGCCACGGGGGTGGGAAAGGATGGCGCGTGCCAACAGATTGAACCCAAAAGGGGAAAGGATTATTCTTGGAGGAGAGTTGTGACAATCGCAAAGAAAAAGGAGAAAGCCCCCAAACGACGTCCAGGACGATTGGCGCAAAGCGCCCGTGGGTTCCAGACGCCTCGCAGTAGTGCGGGTCGAGGCAGCATGGTGGAGCAGGGGGGCGGACTGGCGCTGCTGCATTCGATTGGTGAGGAATACACTTGCTAGCCTGCCAAGCGATCGACGGTGACAGTGAAGTGAGTTGACTGAAGCTATTCCAGTATCATCAGCATTACAGTCAACAACACAATTGTGCCGACTTGTCTGTTACTGTGGACTGTAGACATCACCAGCTACCAGTTCTGAATACTCCGTACTCTGCTGTCAGACCGTTGTACGGAAATAGAACCGGATTCAATAGTGTGACTGGGGGAACTCCCCCCTTGAGTCGTGGATCGTCCTGATAATTCAGGGGTAGCTACGATCTCGTATTGTCAGAGAGTGGTATGGTAATTTACGGGTACTTCGAGTATAGTGGTTGTCCCGATCCCCACCAAGTACCCAGCTAGTACTTCCCCTGTATTGCCATCTCTCCCCGCCCGACATACGCACTCCGCTCTGCATTGACTGGTAAAATTCGCAGGTCAACCATGGTTCTTCCATCTTGAATATTCGCATATCCCCTGCACTATTGCTTACTTCAAGCTTCTATCCATTGCCACTACTCCATAATCTATACTCCGTACTCCCTATCTATCTACTCGTATATCGTCTCCATCTCATGAATATCACTAAACTCAATATCCCCCTCTGCCGCCCTAGATTAAGGGGGCCCCATTAACTCGTCACCACCATGGCATCGAGTATATCTCGCATGGATCATCAGTGGAGTCCACCCCTTTTCCCACCTCTCCCCCCTCCAGCCCAGCCCAGCCCAGCCCCAAGAGAACGTGCGTTCTGCAGATGCTCGCCATCCTGATGTGTCTTGTCCCGTCTCACTCACCAATCACATCCCCCCCTTCCCAACTGCTCGTCCGCCAAAGCTCCCCATGTTGGCCCCGGGCGTCTCGCCGAGCTCTCGGGCCAGCGCGTGGCCACGGCCTATCCTGCTCCAACGGGCATGGCGCCAGCTCAAAGGGATCGAGACACCTGAGAATCCGGCGCTAATCGGTGTGCGCAATCAGACGGCTACAACATCAATGTACCAAATCAATGAGGGGTTCGGGACTTTCTACTCCTCCAACTCATGCTCATCACTCCTACTTCCTCTATCGGGAAGTACTTGCAGTTCCTATGGCTGGTCGTCCTGTCCAGTCTGGCCAACCACCGCTCACCGTGGCTGGACTTGAACCAGACAAGGTTTGAGGAGCCTTCGCCTCGAACCGCTTTACTCCGTACCTGAACCTGAACCTGAACCTGGTTCGGCAATAACCAGGGTTCCCTCGCTCTGAGGAAACTCCCATTTTTAAGACATGGGGTATGCAGCACTTTGTGCATGCATCGCCCTCTGTCTCGGGATTGGACTCGCTGAAACCGCGATTGCGTGCATGGCTGGCCTGTCTATCCAGTTTTTGGCGATCCCCGGGCTCTAGACACTTCTGGACTCGCGTCGCGGCCTCGACGGTTTCTCTCTTTGTTTATCCTCTATGTCCTCCCGTAAGTCCTCCTTTTTTTCCCTTTCTTTTTCATTCCCGGCCCGATCGCGCGGTCTCCACTCTGAACTTGCCGTAAACCCTCCTTAGCTTGGCCTCTCCCCACTCCCCTTCTAGCTAAGGCAACGAGCCGACCGCCACGTTCCCACTTCTTTCGGGATTGCAATGTTTGAGGAGTCAATAGTACATTTACCCCCGTACTCCGTATACACTCCGTGCCTGGCGGTATGTGTAAAAATAGGTCCGGATGGGCTTGGCTTGGCTTGCCGTGGCGTGGGCTATCGTCGCACCATCCGCTATATTGACGCCAAATATAACTACCTCCTGCCATGGGCGCGTAGCATAGGGCTGCAGCCAAGGGTCCCCCACACCTAGACCCTTGAGAGTAGTATATCCTAGGTACTATATATAAAGCTGGGCTTGCTTTGATTTGGATCAGGGGTGCGGATAAAATTCTTACTAGGTCTGCGGCGAGGCTGAGTGACCGAAATAAATTATCATGGTTCACCCCCTGTGCTATTAAATTCGTTTTATATTCTTAACTTGAATACTCCGTATAGTACCTAGGTATCCATGGATAGCTTGAGTAGTATTATGCTTCCGAGTCGTTGGCAATGTTTCACCTCTGGTCTTAGAGTAATCCAAGACAGGAGTTGTTACTAGTAGTAATTAGTAGGCAGGCCAATTGTGCATACTTGCGTTGAGTGCCAGGCTAGCTGGTTTAGATACTATAGTTATATTCTTGCATTCTAAGGGTCTCCGGATCCTAGGACTCGGTTTCTACGCAATTTGAACTTTTCTTTTGGAAAAATCTAGTTCCGAGCTTGGACCGTGAAAGTTTTGCTACATCCATGTGGACATTTCCCTAACAGCATTGACCTCAAGAGCCTATTCGCTGCGTGAGTCAAGGTTGGAATCTAAATTACAAGAGCCCTAGAACCCCCAACCAACATTTTCTCAACTACATATTCAAGTCTTTCCCACTGGCAATTTACATGCACCCAGGCGAGTGCAAGCAGACAAATACAACATTGCGGGAGAAAGCTGATATCAAAATCAGGATTCAAGTTCCAACCCCTACGAAAAGAGTGCATAAAACTGTTTTCTGTTTACTTTCAAATTTACCATGTATATCGGATGGTTCCTGTCCACAGGGTTCTCTCTTTAACTGTGTCGTATTAGTAGTACTACAAAGTGAGGCCAAGCGTGAGCGGCATGCGAATACTATCTGATTACACTCATAGCCAAGATTTTTAATAGCGAGTAGTAGCAATAAAATCAATATGATCCATAAAATGTGGCACTAGCTGCGCCGAATCTTCTTACTACGATGAGCACTCGAATCTCCATCTACTCCATCCACGTCCTTATGATCCACGCCACGATTCACGGCACTAATCACGTCTCCATCCATAGGTTCGTGTTCCACCCCAATCATGGAGGCTAGAACTTGACTCAATAGGTAGCTGCGACGCTCTTCAGGAAAGTAGACCTTCCTCAAGGGCTCATCGGTTACTTTTGCACATTTCTCACAATTTAGAGAACTATCCCCAAGAGCCTTGACATGGTGAATGGCCACCATTGAGCCATCTTCTCGCTCCCATTGGTATGCGCTTTTTGTGAATCGATCGTATAGGTCTTTTTCGAACCTTGGAAGGTATGGCCTTTATACCTACTTATTCAAAACAACCAATAGCCCTGAGAAAAATACTCACCGTGAAGACAATGAAAGTGGACTTCGTTACCTACCGCTGAGTAGAAAATTCGAGTTTGCATGTGCTTACTATATTTGTATCAAAATTTGAATATACATATTGCTCAATATCAACATCATAACCGAGTCCAAACTCCACGGTAATCCACTTGAACACATAGATAAATACGCCAAAATAGCCTGCTGTCCTCCACACCCACGATTCAACAAGACTAGGAAGTGAGTAATCAAAGGATATAAACAGAGAGAGAGAAAGAATATGTCCAAAAGCCAATCTTGAAAAACGCCGATCGTCCCACATCACACAACTGAAGCTTCAGTGCACCAGCCGGGGCATCAATAAGGAATAAAGTCGAACTGCATACGGTCTGTATAGCGGGTTAGTGAAATGCTTGATCGGAAAATAAATCTTCGAGCGACATACCAAGAAAGTGACTCCAATCCTCATCCTCATTGACCTTCTTGGCCCAATATTGCTCAAGGAACCTGAGGGACTGCAGAACATTCGGCACGCGAATGGTATCATGCAAAGATGAGAACAAGCTCCTAACCGTTTCACGGTCTTCCCCCTGTGCCTCGCAACCCGCAATAAAAAGCGGCGTCGTCAACAAAACCCAAGGACTAAGTCCAGCCGACGGTCCAATCTTTGCCGTGCATTCAAGAATCCGCTGAACAGACTGCTGCACATAAGGAGACGTCGTCGGCGTTTTCCGAAGTCGCCGATGAATCTGAATCAAAGCACTATGCTGAAACGCCTCATTGCAAAGCGCAAGATGTTGTATACTATCCGGGGACAGCGCATCTGCAACGCCGGGATAAAGCTCGGGCTGTGTACTGGCACCCCGGTCCATCAGGTAGTGTATTGAAGATTCCAGATTCGCAGCCTCGTCCTCGACGCTACTATCGATTTCTCCCTCCACGAACCCCTGTGTATGAGGGTCCTTTTCGATTTGATGACTCCGCCAAGCCGCCGCACCAATCTGTCGAAAAACAGCCGCCAGATCCACCGTAAAACCCCAATAATCGTCCAGATAATCCGGTAACTCCTTCTGACCCGGCTGGTTTGTCGGAGCAAAGTCCGAAATATCGCCAATCGGGGGCCCGTTACCCGTCAATGCTGTCAGCGACACGATGGACCAGTACCAGCGATCCAGATAGCGCCGAAACCCATTCTCCGAGCGAAGTGAGTCCTCGCCAGATGCATCGGAGGCCTTCATCAAAGCCCTCGCACCCTCGATATGTGCGCGCCAGGAATTCGGGTTGATGGCGCCGGAGTGGATCTCAGCTAGGCACAGCGTTCGGGCTGTCGCCACCAACGCCTCCGAACCCTTGGAGGACGGGTTTTGCAATTCCTTCCGGAAGTGCTCCAGACTGAGTGCCATCAGGCGGGCGATATCGGGGGCAGACTTCACGCTCTCGGATTGATTGTGTAGGGCTTGGATGTGGATTGCGGAGAGGGCGGTGGTGGCGTAGAGGAGGGAGGGTGTTTGGAGAGCCATGGGCACGATCATGCGACAAATATCCTGCTGCATGCCGGAGTGACAGGCCGTTATCTGCGAGGCATCGTTGATGAAGTGGTGCAGGAGGGACTTTTGATCGTGCGATAGTGAGGAAAAGGGATCGACTGGTTGTGTCAGGGCGAGATCTGACTGTGATTGTGATTGTAACTGTAACTGTCCGGCTTGCGCCGACTTGGTGGTGTAGATAAATTCTCCGGGCGAGTACTCTGCAAGTTCTTGGTCAGCGCATTCATTCTAGAAGGTAAGAATGGTGTCTTTTGTCGACATACCCAACCTCTGCATGTTCCCAGTATCGACGCAGGCGCCAAAACGTGATCGCGAGAATGCCCGTCCACCCCACTGCAGCTGCATCGCATACTTGCACTGCACGCCTGCTGTCTCGCAGCGACCGCAGATAGGTCGCTTCTCATCACATTTTTGGCGCCGCGCTTTACATCTTGTAGCAGCCGGTAAACGATCTCGACATGGGTGCTGCCTCGGGGTTTGCTGGAGAGGCGGATTTGATGTGGTGTGGAGTGGGGGAGAAGAAAATCTGCGGGGAATTTTAGATCTCCGGTCGAGTTCCGCGTGGAGAGTGCCACAGTCAGACCGGCCCGGGGGTATTACCAACCACAGGATTATATTCCAAGGTTTCTGGGGAAATTCGCCGAGTCTCCCGGGGGAAATAGGACGGGTAACTTTAGTGTAAGGTTTAGTTATCGATTTATTGCCTGGTCTTTTCGTAGAAGGCATTTCCACCAGGGGATCCACCGATCGACGGGCCTTTTATATTCAGTGAGACACAATGCAAATGTGGTTTCTACCTCTGGTTTCATAGAGAAACCTTGGAAACTGGAAGAGATACAAGAAAACTGTCCCGAGAGAGAAAATAGAAAAGTATGCGCTATGGCAGAAATACAAGGTACATGCCAACAAAGTATATGTTCAGCTCGCCATATTGGAGCAAACCGCAAATCCCGAAGAAAGAAAAATCACCAATCACACATAGTATAGCATCTAGATCCATCATGCGTCAAAGGTATAACGAAGCCATTCTCCAACAGCCCGCAGACTTTCCCATCGTACTGACTCGTCCTTGTCGGCCATCAATTCCATCACCCGCGCCTTCAGACCCAACCTCTCGAGCTGCGTACGTCGCTCCGGCAGCTCCTTGACCAAGTGGCCCACATCGTTACAAGCAATAGCAAGAACTTGCTTGTCATTGTCCCAGCTCTTTGATAGGATCTCGGCCAGTTTCTTGGGCAGGGCGCCGTTAGATTCATCGAGAATCCGGCGCGCATTGTCCTTCCAGAATGTGGGGTTCTTATGCGGGGGCGACCAGCGCAGATGGCCAGATTGGACCTCGGTGGCGTACTGATCAAAGGTAGTCTGTGTCTTGGTGTATTCGTCTAGCATGGTGGACAGCGCAGTCAGATCTTCGAGGAGGTCGGGGTCCGTAAGGTGACGCCCAGCGAGGTTGGTCAGGAGAGCGGGTAGTCGGACGAACACAGCAACAGGGAGGAGAGTTGTGCGGTTGTGGGAGAAGAGGTTGTAAAGGGTTGCGAGGAGCAGTCGGGTCGTCTTCTCCTTGGGTGAGAGACGGAGGAGTTGAGTGTAGAGTTGAATAATTTCGTGATTCCTAGATGGGCCGTCAGCAATTTAACTTTAGATGGGAATTCCTCGAGCGGACTACTTACTCTTGCAGCTCCTCACCAACAAGCTCGCCTTCAAATGTGAGCTGCCAGACTACCAGAAGTACACGGTAAAGCAGCTGAAGACCAATTCCGCCTGCCAGGCCAGGCTCAATGCCACGTGTGCTGCTTCCAGATGAGCCACCATTCTCCTTCGTCCCCGCGGCGGTGCGCAGGGTCTGGATCAGAGGATCCAGAGTTTCCTTTCTATGAGTCCAGAATATTTCGCGCGAGTTCTTTTTGCGGGAGAGCTCCGAAAATCCTTGAACACCGATATCCTGCAGGCCGCTATCCTGGTTCTTGGCCAAGGTAGAAAGATAAACATATAGCTGTGGGAGAGCTTCCTGGTCCCTGGCGGCTGGTTTAGATGATGCGGTGAGGCTGTGCGACACTAATGCCGTGAGGAAAGTAGATGCGAGCAGGGGAATGGGATCTTCGGCATTTGTCGAGTGGTGCAGGAATGGTAGGAATGGCTTGTACGGTTCGGGGTGCGAGACGAGGGAATCAGCAAGCGCAGGAACATCTGGGTTAGGTGAAAGAGGTTAGAAATTGGACACTGACATGAGATGAGATAGCATGACTGGGGTGAGTTGGCCACTGCATACCTTGGATCAAGTCCGATGCCAACACCAAGATATATTGAACGATGTCGGTCCTCCGCGAAGCCGAGTCCAAGACACTTTTCCCCTTTTCACCTCCCGCAAGCAAGCTTGTGTATCCCGGCAGATCTGACTCTACCGTTTGAATTCGCTGCTCCTTTCGCACCTTGTCCACAGCCTTGATCTTCTTAAGGTGGTCATCGGTGATGTTGCCCGCACGGACGGCGCCGTCCCAGGGAATTGGCCTGGCACGGATATTATTCTGCAGAGAGCTGAGGTAGGTTGGCGGGTCTAGCGACATGGTGATTGGAATAAGGCCCGGGGCCAAAGCAGAAGGGTGGGTGAGTTGTGCAGTTGTTGTAAGTTTCGAGTTCCGTTCTTAGTTTAGGAGAAGGGGAGAGCTTGAGGGGATGACGGAAGCACCGCCAAGACTCAACGAGGTCCCGTCAACGCGGCTCCCACCGATTTTCCTCCACTTTCACTCCTCCACCTCTAACTCCATCTCCAACTCTCTCGCTTTCAGGTTGAGCGCATTCTGTTTGGTGTTGATCTTTATCTTCCACCGCCTTGGGATCTCCCCACAGTAAGGCTTTCCCCTTCGCGCACTCTTACGCTTGTGCGACATTCGTTCTGCAACGTGGTTGTTTGCCTTGTACTTCTAGCTCAACCTCGAATCTTACAATCCTTTGATTTACACCCTCTCGCCTATTCTCTCTTGACCCTTGACGCCAATTGAACCTTTCGTCTCTTCGAAAAACTGTTCTCGAGCCCTCCAACATTCACCGTGTATCACCCCGCCGATCTCATGCAATCCGAACACGAAGCATTTGCTGCTCAGTAGCCGAATCGTTATTTATAAACCACACCTATTCGTCATGTCGCAGGACTCACAAGGCCAGAAGCCCAAATGGGCCATGGGCAATTTCTTCCAACAGGCTGTGGCAGGTGTTGAATCGCGATTGGATAATATCCTGATGGACGAGGAGGAGAGAGCAAAGAATGGACTACCAAAGGCTAAAGAGGGCGAAACTGTCGCGCCACAACCGCCAATCTCACGATCTCCTGCTGGCTGTATGAATTTTGCTTCCCCATCAATTACTGTAGCGCTGAGCTAACAGAATACCCAGCGATTTCGCGCAGCTCTTCCAATGCACGCAGAAATGACCGACTCCAGGAGCGCCTGGCACGAGCTATGGTAAAAAATACTGCGGCCCGAAACTCCCAATCATCGCCGAGTGGGTTGTCATCGCCGAATGCCAGCCCTCGGCCGAGCACCGATGGACGTTCAAGCTTGGAGATCGACGCAAACATTGCGTCTTCCGCCGAAGTCGCCGAGGGGCCCAAAAGCTCCTCAATTGTAGAAGAGGCTGTCGAAGAAGGAGACTCAGCGCCGAGGGTTAGCTCTGAAGTGGAGCCGCCTACGCGCGAGTCCATAGATGGCGGTGCTGCGGAGACTCTGCCGCGACCTTCTGGCGATACCGGGGGGCGTCCCTCGATTTCAGACATCGCCGATGAACGGCCCGCGATTGTGGAAGAGGCTGAGACTCCCAATAACCGTGCATCCGTGGAAAGTCCACGCCCCAGTATAGATGCCCTGTCAGAGATACACAGTGGCGCCGATACACCTGAGTCTCAGCGGCAAGAAGAAATTCATGGATATATTGAACGTATCGATGCATTGCAGTCAAAGCTCAAATACTTGGCCAAAGAAGCTGCCGAATCCGCTAAGAGTGCGGCCGCGTCCGCTTCTCCTGGCAGTGTCGAAAAGCAACTTCTGGAAAAGGATGCGAAAATTGCTTTACTCCTGGAAGAGGGGCAAAAGCTTTCCAAGTCCGAAATGGACCACCGAACTGTCGTCAGGAAGTTGCGTCAGCAGCTGACCGACAATACTAAAGCTCAGACAGAAAGCAAGAAAAAAACCGAGAAGATGGAAAGAGACCTTGCTAGTTCGGAAGCGAAGGCGAAACGGGCCGGGGCTGCCGAGAAGAGAGCTAATGACTCGCTATCGTCGCAAACCAAAGTGGCCAAGGACCTTGAAGCTGTTACGAACGAACGCAATGCACTCAGTCAAACTGTGCAAGAAATGAAGGCACAGCTGAGCCGTGCTGTTTCACGCGCAGAAACGGCCGAGTCTAAGGCGCAGTCAGATGCGTTGGAGCAAGAAAGACGTCGAGCCGACGACCTCGAGGAGGAACTCTCGACTATCAAAATCGAGCGGGACATCAGCGAAGAGAAGACGAAGAAGGAGATTGTCAGCTTGAAAGAAAAGGCAGAACAGGAGAAGGAGCGTGCGCGTATGCTGGAGGCCGAGCTGAAGGGCGAACAATCTGTTTTGGAAAGCAAGATGGAAAGCCTCCGCTCACGCGCAGAAGAGGCCTCATCCGGTGCAACTGGAGAGACCCAAGCCAAGCTCCTACGGCAAATCGAGACGCTTCAGACCCAATATTCTGTTGCTAGTGAAAATTGGCACACCCTTGAGGGATCCCTGCTCGCCCGACTGGCCAGTGTGGAGAAAGAACGCGACGATGTGTCAAGAAGAGAAGCTGACCTGCGAAAGAAGATTCGGGAGTTAGTAAGTTTCTGCATCCGGTCACTGTCCCCCTACCTGCAGAATACTAACAATAATTTGCTACAGAACTTAAAGACCAAGAAACTGGAGGAAGATGTGGATACAGCCAAAGAGAACGAACAAGATCTCGAGAGCCAATTAGACGAGCGCATGGAAGAGTTGCAGAAACTGCAACAGAAGCTGGAGAAAACAGCCGATGATCTTTCGTCTAGTCAGAAAGATCTCTCCGAGCAAAAGAAGGTTTCTGACGCGACATGGGCACAAAAGCTCGAGGAAGAACGTGCCAGATGGCGAGAACAGGTCAACAGTTTGCAACAGCCTCGAGGCATCTCACCCGTTCCATCTACGCGGCGCTCAAGCAATCTTGATGCAGTGCCATCTGGTCTGTTAGACTATCGCCCAACCAGCCGCCGCTCTTCAACAATTCCATCCGCCGCTTCTCCAGATATCGGCACTCCCCCGCGTCAAAATTCCTATCCAGCCTCGATCAACCAGGGTGTACTTTCCCCTCCTCTAATCAACACCTCACTGAACACACCATCCATGATCATGGAAACACCCTCAATTCAATTCGAGCCCGATGAGTTCTTTACCGGAGACCCTACCACTCCCTCCGCATATGGCGGCACGCAAGCCGCCGCATCGCGCGGTATCAACGACATCATATCCGAGTCCACCGTGGGTGCCGGCCCATCAGTCCAATTGGTAGAGCGCATGAGCGCAACAGTCCGCCGATTGGAAAGTGAGCGCGCCGGGTCCAAGGACGAGCTTCTGCGTGTCACCACTCAACGCGATGAAGCTCGGCAGCAGGTTGTTGACCTTATGCGCGAGCTTGAAGAAAAGCAAACTTCCGATACCCGGGTCGAAGAACTTGAGGGTAAGCTTGCTGAAATCGACCAGCGGTACCTGACCACTCTTGAGATGCTCGGCGAGAAGAGCGAGCAGGTCGAGGAGCTTCAGGCCGATATTTCTGATCTGAAGAAGATTTACCGCGAGCTGGTTGATAGCACTATGAAATAGCGGAAGCATGTAAAAGGCTGCCTCTTTTTTGTTTCTAGGCTTGCTAGCCCCTTCTAATTACTCGCTCATACGCTTCTGTTGTGTGTAATTTATTTAGAAAGTTGTATATAGAAAGTTTTCATGACGACGATGATTTACTAGTAGCATTACATGGTATACCCATAAATTCGATCTAGGTGTTACCTAGTACCTACCTCTCGTATATCACCCGGCGGCGAGAACGAGGCTTCAAGTTCGGTTCAAGTTGTTTTCCGGGCCCTGTATAATATGTCTGTGACTACCTACGCAAAATTTCAATCCCCTTCCCATTCCGTCCACCGGAAGATAGACAAGATAATAACCTCCGAATCGCAAAACGCTGCTCTTTGTGGGGAAGGTGTCTACAAATACCTAGGTATAGGTATAAAAAATGACAAGAGTGGGATTCGAACCCACGCCCCGAAAGATTACGGATTGCATCTTGTACGGTGTACAGTGATACCTAAACCTGTGAGGTTATTAGTGAAGAGTCTTTATGTAGTGGTAATGTTAGGGCCACGCACGTAACGCCTTAGACCACTCGGCCATCTTGCCAGCGTATATAGCAACTATATCAAAGCTGAGTGTTTATAACAAACTATAGAATCAATCGGTGCCTACACGCATTAATCTAAACACCATTGAACACTATAGGGGACCTGATGTAAACATGGTTACGGTCTGCTCTGCGTCGACGCTTTGCTTCAGGCACCAGTGTGCTGAGTCTTTCAAGTTTCACACCAACTAACTATTTCACCCATCACTACCGTGACCTTCTACCATGGCCACTGCTCTCCGTGATTATAGGGCATTGAGTATGTCCGAAGAGTTCCACGTCAATGTTGGGCGAGTATTCGTCTTCCTAATTGGAATACCGAGCATTCAAAATGACCAACTCTCAAGAGAGCAGCACCGACACTCTGTGCAGCCTAACGTGGATGGAAATTGATGAATCTGTTTGTTATTACCTTGAAAATGATGATTCGATCTCGGAGTTACAAGATCAACTTAATGGAGAGTCGGTGGATCAGCTTCAGGAAATCGAATCTGGCTCCTTCGATACCGGTGATCTTGAGAACAAAGAAGCTGAGGAAAATGACATTTCGCGCAAAGGATTCGAGCGTGCACTTAGAATGGCACACGATGCAGTAGAGCATGCGAAAAATGTTAAAGAGATATTCGGTTATCTGGGACGTCGTGGAGAGAATTCATTTTCGATGTCATGGGAGAAGACCTTCCTCGACTTGCACGTCGTGGACAAAGAGCTTATGACCCAGATACTTGACCTCTCTCGCGATATCAAAATCAAACGCGATGAAAAATTCCGGATCCGTGATTTTGATTAGACTGGAACCACACCCAGAGACTCTTGGCCTAGCCAAGACCCAGCCATCGACGCAAGATGGAGTGTCTTTGTGGAAGACCTCACTCGGATTTCGAACGACGTTATTATCGGTCCAACTCTCACCAAACCGACAGGATCTGCAAACGACCCACTCACAATTCTCTGGAATTACCCATCCTGGTCAAGCCACCGTCATCTCTGGGGGCAGGTCTCCGATGAATCCAATCCCTATTTAAGGATGCATTATGCCAGGCTAGGACTGAACTCATTCATAAAGACTCAAAACAGGATCCCCATTCAAGAGCATTGGACACCGCAAGGAGTGAAATGGGAGCAAAAATACCCAAATTGGGACCTCATAGTGGAAAAGTGTCATGATTTCAACACGTGGCTCAATATGCAGTCCAAGGTCATCCTCCTGATTGGCAAGGAAAATGCATTTATTCCGCGCGAGAAGATTATTCCAGTGAATAAATCGATGGAAATACTTCGTATTGAGCCGTGTAAGCACAAGGGCCGACCCTTTTTGTTCAAGGAACAGCCTTGGTTCGAGGTGATACGGGATCGTTCGACCAAAAAAATTCACTATCTTCTCTTCGTCTCTTACCATACCCAAGCTTTCTTCTATGAGACACATGCCTGGGATTCACGCGTCTACCATGACCTTGTGTGGAATGCGTCCTGTGGCTTTGCAGGCATTCCAGTGCCACAACCGATGTATTTTTTACGTCAGGGCTCTTTCAAGAAATTTGAGAATCCACACAAAAAGCTCATTTATCTTAATAGAGCGATGATGCTTCGACATCTGGAAAAACAAAACGAAACTATTCTTTCTGAGTCGGCTGTTGAAAATGCATTTCACGAGCTACTGAAAAAGAATCCATCCCTCAAACTGTTTCCTGACAAGAATAACAGCTTTGTCGGAACAATTATTCGGTATTACGTCCGAAAGGCCACAGAGAAACAATCTACAAATACATGGAGACGATCGCCTGAAGCGGCAAGAATGTTCGATATAGCAATCACAAATCTTATGAAGCCAGAAACGATAAAGAAGCGTATAGCGACGAACCAAGCTGTGAGGGGATCTGAAACCTGGAGACAATTAATGGGGGGGTAAAAATTCACTCGACGGCCTTAAGAAGGGTCGTGGTCGTCCTAAAAAGCGTAACGTGTGGCCCGCAAAGGTTGAGGCCTTTCTGAAAACCAAACAGGTCCAGGACATGCTATCAGCGAGATCAGAACAACTGACCAAATGTCAACGCCAATGCCAGGAACGATTGATGAATTTAAAATTGGAGACCGATTGCCGACTGAAATACTATTTCAAGGCACATGCAATATGGTACAGCCCTTTCTATCCCAACGGTCTTTGGTTCAAAGGGGATGGGTGTTCCGAGCCCGACGACTTTCCATACAATGAAATTGATCACCCGGCTGTGAAGCTCCAGGGAGCTTGTAAGACATCAGAACGAGGGGCCTTCGAGAAATTAGAATAGCTTCAGGCTTTTCCGAGGGTTACATTATCTGCGTACATTCAGGGCAGAAGAAGGCCACAAGAGATAGACCAACAGGCGCACCCAACTCAGCCCCTTTTTTTAAGAAAAAATAATAATAATAGGACACATACATCATATCAAAACATACAAGAGCGCATGTAGTCACCCACCATACTACAGCCCTCCGTGACTGTGGTACAAATAAGGAGGAGGAGAAGATCATGGCATTGGTAGTTGGCAACATAGCGAAGAATACGAGAATTAAATCCGTTGCGATAACGTATTACCACCACCGAACAAGCTCAAATAAATGGAAATGCGAATATTAGCTTCGAATGCAGCATCCCGATAAAGGGTCGCATTGGCTCCATTTCACACCTATTTAGAGCAGAAACAGTAAGGGTGGGTAGCTTCAAATTCGATCCAAAAGGAACTGATCAAGGAGTATTTCCATGAATCATTCGGACAGCCCAGGCAAGTCACTCGATGCTCCTCGAACTCATTTTCCTGTTGGCGCTTGTTACATCGTCTGCGCCAGTGCCATGGACTGGAATATCTTCAGGCTCGGGCCCCCCTCTCACCTTCGGCGGAGGGGCATCACTGTACCTGCAAAGTTTCATATTCGGGGTTGAAAAAGCCATTACCTAGCTCCAGCGAGGCATTTCCGAGAAAAAAAATTCTCTCGGAAGCCGTGATCACCTAAATAATTAAATTCGAGCCTCCTTAGGCCAAGCACCGGTCGGGGTGGTCACAGCATTTTATGATCCAGCCACATCTTCCATAATCACATCATAAAGCTTAGAGTACACAAATACACAGAGGGCTAGCAACTATTATATAGTACAGCTACAAGGACTCGGAACTGGTGTGTGCATTAGGTGTCGACCGATATTTGCTTCTGATTGGACCAGCAGTCGGCGGGTTGAAAGTTGGCCGATCCGGAGATCATGTCGTCGCCCCAACATCCACTTGGTTGCATTTGGCCATCTCTGCGCTTGTCTCTGTTACCGCGTCTTTTGCTGTTGTGCTTGAATTACATTGATCGACAAGAGTGAGTGGTCCTGTTTTAACCTCCGTGGCTATAATGCACCGATCGGAATTTCGACGTCACGACCCATCGGGTGGGACAAGATCTCAAAAAAGACCAATCGCGTCAGCACTCCATTACAGTCTTATACAGTCAATTGTTATTAATCCTTGATCCAGTTGCCATCGGTGCCACTCGCAAAAGGTTAAATGCTCAGGCGAAAAGCCATGCTCGCGATGCCGGAGAGCTGGCTATGCAGCTCAGTGTCGCTATGCAAACCGCGATCGTAAGATTCGGGTTGACGAAAGGTGCCGCACAAGATTCCTTATTTAGCAAACTCCATTCTGAGAGATTCCAAATTTTAACTTGAAAATTATAGTTACCTGGAGCAGCTCATTCAAGATAGTCAAGAACTTCAAGATCAACGGACATGCCGGGCTCATGGACCACCTGCCCCTTCAAGTTCCCTAGACCAAACGACCAACTTGAATGATCCTCTGCGACGACCCGAGGATGCCAGCTCCATTATCCACGATCACGCAGTTGGAGAGACTCCATGGTTCCAAAGCCTCGGTAGCTCGGCTCTACCATTATACATCAGTGAAGCAGCTTGTACCGCTTTCGCCACTCGTCTTTGCCAGTGTTTGAGCACGACAGATTCGCCAGTGTTTCACTTGCCTCGATGGCGATATACTGATGAAAATACCCTGGAGTCACTTTTCAATGTTGAAGTGCAATGGCCAAGTCTAGTCTATGCCAAGCTATTGGTAAAAACTGCCCTTGGTCACCTAAATCCTGCTTTTCACTTGGTTCTCAGGAAAGAAACGTTGGATGTTCTTCATAACATCTACCAGAGAAGGGAATTCGATGATCCTGGTCTTCAGTGCAAATATTTTGCTTTATTCGCCGTTGGCCAGGCCTTCTCGTCGGTTTACGACACGACAAACTTGAACACGTCCGCCATGCCGGGATCTGCGTTCTTCGCTCGGGCAATGAGCCTATTGCAAATTATTCCTGAACGGCCCAGCATGAATCACATTGAAAGCATTCTCCTTCTTGTAGGCAGGCCCTTTCTATCTCCCTGTTCTTTTTTCATCAACGGTTGTTCTGACCATCGCAAAGGCATACTTTTGTCAATTTCTCAACCGATTCCACTCTGCGTACATTTTGATTGGCAATGCTCTACGACTCAGTCTCAGCCTGGGATTGAATTATAATGTTCCTCAAAGCCAAACATTACATCAAGTGGAAAGGGAGCATCGTGTTCGCATATGGTGGACAATCTATATGCTTGACCGCTTCTGGGGTTCTAAAGCAGGGTTCCCTGTCCAGATCCACGATGACGATGTCCACGTTGATCCACCTTCTAACTTGATCTCTGAAGCATATCCTGAGCATTTCTCAGATAGTGAATATCAAGTGGCAACCGTTGATCTTGCTAGAATTATAGGGAACACGACCAGAGAAATATACAGCCGCAAGAAGTCAACCGAAAGCTTTCTCCAGCGTGAGCAGAAATTGCTCATTCAGCTGAAACAATGGGTACAAACGCTCCCAGAAAATCTCAGGCTCAAGGCAGATAGGCCCAACTCGAAATATACAGTATTTTTGCACCTTCAATTCAGTTATGTGCGTTTCTCGAATTCCAACCGTCGGCTGCTTTTTTATATTACTAATCTGATTTATCATAGTGTGTGATATTGGCAATTCGACCTGTCTTGCTTAATTTACTCGTTTGTCATATCAAAGATAATTCCTCTCCAGCAAATGAGGAAATTACTCCAATCATTGGAGTTTTGAGCGAAGCTTGCATTCACGCTGCGCGGTATTGTTTGAAACTATGCGTCGAAGAATGGACCAGTGGATCAGTGTCATTGTTCGGCTACGCTTTTCCGGCCTATTTGTTTTCCTCGGCGTTGGTACTCACCATATCAAGTCTTCTGCCCTTGGGGGACCCCAACGATCTTGCATCGGTCGATATCGCAACTGAGATCTTGAGAGTCCTAAGCGCATCCAATAGCCTAGCGGCCAAGGATCTCTACGAACACCTTCAACGAGTTCGTCTCTGCTTAAGTCACCGCATATCTGATGCCACACTTTCTCCAACAAATGATGAAAATATGACTCTCATCGCCGATCCCACAGTACGGTTGCCTCTTGAACACCATAGCCCTTCGCCCGTGCCCGAGGCGTCGATGGACTACAGGAATTTTTCTACTGAAGAAGTTGCCGATAATTTAAGCCCTTGTCTCACGACTGAAATGACCCTGCGAAACCCGTTGATGCAGGACTTCCTCGCTCAATCCAGCTTCGATGTGGGCTCTTTGGACGCACCGGAGATACCGAATGACTTTGACGCGGCCTTTCTTTGGTCAGGCACCATGTGCACAGAATAGATCCTAATTTCGTTTTCTAAATAAGACGTTTATCTTTTTGCACATATATTCATCATTTGTATGGGTTTTGAGACTCATCGATCGGTATTTTTGAGAATTGCCGGTCAAAAGTGGGGAAACCGCCTGTAAGCGCGAATGGCCTTTTTCACGCTGGCCGTAGTCAGTTACATTCAGATCCACTCAAAGACCTTGGACGGCTGCTGATAAATAGTTTTAACTGCTTGAGAGCAACCTGTGTTCCTTCTCTGAAGTAATTCCTTAGCGCATAAATGAAGCTTCAAAATGAATATTCATTTTTCAAAGTCTCCAAGACTGAAAATGTATTGGAGGCTGCTGAAAAATATCGAGATCTCCGACTACGAGCTTTGAAAACCTCACCCAGTTCATTTTCGTCCACATATGAGATTGAGGCTGCCTTCTCTGAATCCGACTGGATTGATCGTTTGACAGTACCTGATCGTGAGGTCTTCATATGTGCCGCAACTCCAGTACACATAAATACGACTCCCCCGCCCGTTGAATGGATTGGTCAAGTCACACTACGTGGGCCAATGTCCATGGCCGATTTCGCCTTGCCCGCCGAATCTGGGCAAACCGAGTTGAAATCAGACGCAGAAGAAGAACGATGGCAAATGCTTAGTCTATTTACGCTCCCAGAGCACCGTGGAAATGGTCTTGGTGGGAAATTATGCCAGGTGGCGGTCGACTACTTGCGAACTTGGCAATCGTCGCCTAATCAAATATACATCCGCCTCATGGTCAAGCCTGAAAACCACGTCACCGTGAATCTTTACAGACGTCTTGGCTTTGCGACTGTTGGTAAATGTACTCTTGCTGAAGCACTAAGGGCAAATGGAGATGGGCATCTTTTACCTAAGGACTTGGAGTTGGCTTCTGCGAAATATTCTCAGCGATCGGGGCTTCTTATGTCTTTCTTTATGCACCGTAATTGAAAAATACATTATCGATGGCTCACGGAAATTATAGTTTATATATATTGTTTGTTAAATACAAGAGTATGGATTCAAGTTGGTCGATGTTTGTCCTCGTCTAGATCCAGGATGCTCCGAGCTGTCTCTATACCAGCCCCGCATCAGCAATACCGCTAGGTTGCCGTAGTCTAGTCACAAAATTTCTATACAGCTCATATCCCCCCTTTTCTAATAGCCCTTGGCCTCACCGGGAGGAAAAAAGCCAGTGAAGTAGTCAATCTTTCCGAGAGGAACCCCCTCCTTGCGCAAAATTCCATAGGCGGTCGTGAGGTGGAAGTAAATGTTCGGCAAGGCAATGCGATGAGCGTAAACAGCATTGGTAACATCAATTGAGACAGTGGGTGCAACCTTAGTGGGTCCAGCATTGTCGTAATTCTCGTTGATATAGTTCTTGTCGGCCTTGTTAAGCGTCTTCCGCACTGTCTCGATGCGCTCGTGGAATTCAGCGAACGTCAGCGGACTGCCTTCGTAGGTCGTTGGCTCTCGGCCAGACACCTTGGCCGTCAGATTCTCTGTGAACTGAACAACAAGGCGGATTTGGTCGGTCAATGGATACATGTCCTCATGCAAACGAGCCGCGGGGAGAGTGCTGGCATTGGAGGCTTTCTCGGCTTGGTGGAGTATATGTGAAAGTGTGTCGAGAATGCGCTGGAGCACCACAATAGTGCCGTCATAGAAAGTGTGGCTCATAGTGAAGATTGGTTGATTGTGTAGGATTTGAATGGAAGATTTTTAGTTAAGAGGAGATTGAAAAGAAGAACCTGGTTTGAAACCCATTGATAAATGTTGTGAGTCTTACTGTTGGGGGCGATGCGCTAGGACTAATGGGGAAACCGTTTCGCCAACCTTTTGAGACAATCTTAAGTAACAGCTAGACACGTCTTTCGCTGGCAGATAGCCAAAGAAATAGAGGAAGGCCATTTTGATGCTAGTTGTTGACCATAGATTAAGGTAGAGCCGCCTCATCCGGGCCAAGACATAACTCTGATTGAAGTTCCACCAAGGTCCGATAAGGGGGGCTCTAGCTTTAGCATTTCTTGCTGATTAGGCAGTTGGCTTCCAGGAGATTTATCACTGCAATTGGGAACGAGCTATACAATTGCGACGAGAGTTCCAATATCGTGGGAGCAATTCTGAGGCAGCATTGACACATCGCACTCCCCCACACTTCGAATAGATGCTCATCAACGAACTCATCTGGTTTCTCCTTTACAAAATCCTGGGGCTATTTTCTGCGCGACCTTTCTTGGAATTTGATCCATTGACAGGAATAAGACCAACTTTCCGAGCGATAAAGCTATGTAAACAACGAGGCTAAATCAACGATGTAACGCTACGGAGGAAGTGTGGGGTAAGGGATGAACAATCCGGTAAATAAACCTCACGGAAATAGTTTCTCCACTGGAAATTTACTCTATTGATACCTGCAGCTCCAAATTAAACATATGTTTTAGACAAGGCATTAGTCCCTTCATGGATCAGCCAATGTCATATAAATCGATCGGCTGCCGTGATGGACACCAGTCACCAACCACACTCAGGAATGCAGTAATTGACGATATCTGGGGAACCTCCCATCAGAAATAGCACCATGAGATTACGAGGCATTCTCATTGCCGCCATTTTGAGCTTCAGGGTTGACGCTCAAGATGACACACTTGGTCTCAGTAGTGGATATACGTCCTTGTCAACAGCAAATTTTGACGTCAAACTAGTAAAGGACTCTCAGATTCTAGCTTCTCTTAAACCAACTGGAGATGACTTTGACTTCATGCCATTTGACTTCATTTCATACAGAGCGGGAAATGGACAATACCATAATGGTGATATAACCTACCGTTATCGCAAATCTGGAACTACTCCTTGGCTTTCAGGCGATTCGTCAAGCGCAAGGAAAAAGGTGAAAGCAATAGCTTCTACAGCACTTGCTGCCGCAGACCTTGCGTCGACATTGCCGAGTCAATCGCCTCTTCAAGTTATTCGAAAATGGTCAGATCTCGACGGCGATCTAGGTCTATCGTTTACCTTGACAAACCAAGGAAATGCAAGTCTTGAAATTGGAGGTCTCGGATTTCCGACAGAATTCAATAGCATTTTTTCCAATCGCACGGCGGACGATATGTCGGCCAAATGCTCTTTGGCTGATCCGTATATAGGCTTGGATGCCGGCTATATCCAAGTCACGCCAACATCTGGAACTGGAGCTGCCTTGATCGTCACTCCACTTCTTAACACGAGCACCCCTTTCGAAGCGTGGAGAAATTTGGATGAAACCAGCACGGATCCTTTGTACTATGGGAGTCAAACCTACGAGGGTTTCTACGAATGGCAGTCCCATACCAAAGCCTATGCGGAGGATGAATGGGCGGAAGTCACGCCTTGGAACGAGCCAAGTTCTCGGGTTCTTCAAACCGGTGAATCAATCACGTATGGGCTTCGATTTTCTGTTGTCAAGAATGGTATTCGCGGTATACAAAAGGCGGTTCAGTCGACCAACACGCCTTTGACGATCGGAATTCCGGGATGGGTCGTCCCCGCCGATCTCACTGCTCAACTCTACGTGTTTCACTCTGACATTTCAAAGATTGAATCGAGCGATGACGCGTTCAAGATCACGAAGTCTCAAACGAACGCGTTCGCTCTCACGCCAACGGGGTCCGTTTGGGGTCGAGCCAAAGTGACCATCACGTACAAAGATGGTAAAGTCCAGACTGTTCATTACTTCATCACCGAGTCAGCCCCAGCAGTCATCAGCAGACTCGGCAAATTCTCAACTACATCCATGTGGTATAACGACCCGACGGACCCCTTCGGGCGATCTCCATCTGTGATAACATGGGATCACTCCACTGGAGCACAAGTTCTTCAGGAGCCTCGGGTTTGGATATCGGGGCTAAGTGATGAGGGTGGCGTGATTTACCTAGCAACCGCAATGAAACAGTTTGGTCTCGCCGATGCGTCGGAAGTAGCCAAACTGGAGCAATTCGCCAACAAAGTGCTGTCCAAAAAGATCCAAAATTTAGATTTCACGGTTCGCAAAAGTATCTTTTTCTACGATCCCAAACAACTTCCTGACTACCAGTATGACCAATCGATCAACTGGGGCAACTGGTGGTCTTGGAACAAGGATGCGTCGTATGCCACAGACCGGGCATACGATTATATTCATGTTATTGGGGCATATTGGGCACTATATCGTGCGGGGAGAGATAATGATTCCATTTTGAAAGTTCACAATTGGCAGTGGTATCTTGGACAAGCTTATAACACCACCATTGCCTGCTTTGAAACAAACTCAATTGGAGATGGGGTAATAGGTTACTCACGCCTAGGACTGATGGGTGAGACCGTTGTTGGAGAGCTTCTTGCCGATCTTCAGCGCGAAAAATGGTCGGACGAAGCAGATGCTGTAGAAGCCGCAATGAAGCTTCGGGCTGATGCATGGGACTCTCAGACAGAACCGTTTGGGAGTGAAATGGCATGGGATTCGACAGGCCAGGAAGGGATATACTATTGGAGCAAGTAAGTTATAGCGACCAGGAGATTTTTAAGAGTTCTTCTGACGTTCGACTCAAGCTATTTCAAATTGATGAACACTGCTACAAAAACCATCAACAGCATCCTGGGATTCATGCCGACAGTGTCACATTGGGGATGGAATGGGAATGCCCGGCGTTATTGGGACTTCGTGTGAGCTCCCTTCTAGTTTTCATTTGGCTGGAATTTTTGCTGATCCCCACACTCTAGTTACGGTGGTAAATTGCAACGCATTGAGCGAATGATTCACCACTATGGATCAGGGCTCAATGCACTTCCTCTTCTTTCTCAATTCCGCCAAAATCCCAAGGACACTTATCTCCTTCGAGTCGGCTATGGGGGTATTACCGGCCCGCTCAGCAACATCCGGGAGGACGGCTCCATGTATAATGGCTTTCACTCGTTCCCAGATACCCTTCGCGGCGATGATTATTCTGGGGACTATGGGCCCAATTTCTTGGGCGTCATGCT